CAACTCCATACTTTCTTATATATCAGAGAGAACAGGCTGCAATATTTCAATGGTGCCATATGTTGTATTGCCTAGAGAGGTAAATCAGCCGCAGAAAACTAACTCTGCACCCCATTGTGATGCGCATGTAAACAATACCAGTCAATCTCGCATCCGCTCCTTGCTAAGATCAACAGCCCTAAATGACGACCCCCCGCTTTTACGGCGGACTTCCCCTATGGGATGAAACTTTCGGCGAAAAAACTCTCCTCGATGCTCTTTGTTCTCTTTGTACTCCGTATCTCTGCGGGGAGTGTGCTATGATTGATTGCGCTTGAGTACTCCCCGGGGTCATTTCCTTAAGATCGATTGGATTAATATTAAAAGTACAAAAACTTATTTCATGCTAACGTTAGACTTACCCTAGTATATTAGAAAATATATCCCAGTATTGAAGTGGATGACTATACCTTCATATATCCTGTATATCCCGTATATCTCGTATACTGCCTTGCTATTTCCAAGTTGCCCCAGGTATCTTCCTTGGAAAGAATAAATTGTGGTGACATCATGAAGACGCACGCGAACAAAATTCCTCCCAAGATGTCGAGTGCGTTATGGTATTACCAGTCTCGATACCAATACCGTATGTATTACTCTGTCACATACATCGAACGTTCCGAAGAACGTTGGAAACTTGAAAACTCCTATAAGCGCTTGTTATAGCGCGAGCTAGTCGGGATTTTAGAAGGTCACCTGGACAGCCATTGAGGGTCTTAGTCAGGGGTACACTCATTCTTAATTAACTAAGGCGAAAAAAAAAACAAAAAGGAGTTTGTGTGTCCTAAAATTGAGCTATGGGTCTGATCTTCAGGAGACAACGGAAGGGGCTTATTATCTCCATTCCAGGGCAATTTAATATTCTCCCTTTCCCTGATTCTTATTATATTACTCCGTACGATATTATAACAATTGTTTCGACATAGCATTTCAAATGTTTAGGTTAAGTAATGTAATCTCTTTGGTATATTGTACTCCATAGCACTTATTTGAAACGCCCTAGTGCACGAGGTACAGAGACCTATTAATATTCCAATATTTCAAGATCAATCTTACATGCTGATTAGTACTTTGTATAACAGACCCAGGGGAATGGAACCGTTGCGCCTCACTGGATCACTGGGGCCAGGGTTGTTGCTCTATCACATCAAGTTTGGTATTCTTTGAGATAAACTTTCTTCCCTGGTCATATCACATACTTTGGGGTGACATTGTGATTGCGATTTGCTGGAAATGGCTATGATTTCTCAAAGTTCCGGCTGGATATACAAACAACCTCGCCCATTCTGATAGTGTACTCGGCCGAGCGCACATATGTACATCGTAAAGACGATGAGCTATCCTTGATTGAACTAGGCAAAAAGAGGCACCCCGCTTTCACGCATGCACATCGGCAGGCCTCTACCCTAGAAGGATGACAGTGCATGTCAAATGATACTATCCACTACCACCGAAAAAAGAAGCCATAACAGCGATTGACACGTCTCAGACATCCCCCGCTCTCCTCCCAGCCCGCAGCCACTTTCAGCTCAGCCTCGTCCCGCTTCTTCGATGCGTCTTCGATGCTTCCAGGGTTCATGTGCAAATCAAACCAGGTAGCGTGGTAGGAACACGCCCACACTAACATGGAAATAGGAAAAAAATAAACATCCAAACAAGGTCATCCCACCATCCTCGGGCCTCTCCTTTAGATGCGACACCCCCGGACGCTACCCCCGTTTGCTCAAGTACTAACGCCGCCAATCACCGTTGTGGCTAAATGCTGGATTTTTGTCTATACCACATTTCGATTTCGACTGCAGGAAGGCAGATGGGTGTTTCTTTTCTTTTTTTTTGCCTTTTTCTCTTTCGCTTAGAGGTGCATGTGACTCAGCGAGAATGAATCCTCCCATCATCTCCGAGGATATTCGTGCAACAGTATCATAGGGCGCCTATAGCTCGTCACTGACCGTGTAACCAATATCATGGATTGCGACTTGTCCCGGTCCTGTTCGGAACTCTTGTTTCAAAGGAAGCTATCCCGGAACCGGCATCGCGCCATCATTTGTCTCACGGTTAATATATCCAACTCCCCTACCTTGTACTCCGTACCTTAAACTCGGTCACCTTTTTGTTCGCCGACGCCGATTGCGGAATTAACCCCATACCATCTCTGGATGGGGCATGGCGTACAGCATTGTATGCACGGTCTACAGGCGTTTTGAATGCTCGTTTCATAGGCGATGCGCAGTCATACGATTAGGGAGATCTGATACGTGGCCCATGATTCAGATGCCAAGAGAGTTACACCTGTTTATCAGAGCTTGCAATACTTCCACACTATGGCATCTCCCAAGGCAAAGCGGGGGAGCGGGCGAGCGGGAAAGTGGAAACTTCGAGAGATTGCAACAAACCCACAAGTATCCGAGCATGTCGCATGATATGATTTATCAGCCTTTGATTACCCATCGTGCTGGATATCGTGGCTGAACGTCTCCGGGACAAATGTTGCGGGCTCCATATCTTATCCGGAATAACACCCGGTTCCAGGCGGCTCCGGTCAAAAGAAATCCCCACCACGCAAATCTGATCTCGGCATTACGATTGGTGCGAATCGCTTATGGCTTGGATAGCGAGCTGACGTCGACATCCTAGGCAAGTGGACTTTCAACAAGTTCAGCCCAGTGGGGCAAGTAACAACACCAGGAAGGCGTCCCCGGAAAAGCCGTCGCAAGCCAACGTATATACCCTGTTTCCAAAGCTAGCTTAGCTCTAAGAAACTACTGTAGGCTACTCAAATACGCGCTACTACACTACACGAGATCCAACATCCCGCGTCAAAAACTCTACGCTCCAACATAGATCAAACCAATTTATCTGACGCGCTCATTTCGTTTACCGGAGTTGGTACTCCGTACGGAGTAGTCTACCACACATCCACATGGCACCATATACCAAACCTCCGGGACGAAACGCACATGAAGGGTGCCTAGCGGGTTCCATATGTCGCAGATCTGGGACTAAAAATAACGCCTTTTCCATATCTTGGAAGTTGAAATCTTGGATTGACCCCACATTCAGCTCCCGCGGGACAAGGGACAACGTGGCTTCCAGAATTTTCATCGAAGGCTGTTCAGCCACCTCACAAGTCTAGTAAAAGATGAGGTCCAAGTTCCCTTTTCATCTTGGGGTCCAACTAACACGAAGTCGAACACGAGGTCTTTCTTTTGCCTTTCATGTGTTCCAAGTCTATTTGGAGAATACCACGGGTCGCTCGGGAGCCTTTGCCAGCGAATCTTGGTACGCGCGTCTTGGCGGTTTGACTTTGAACCCCCAAGGATTGTCCAAGACGACGGTGGCTGGTGGATAGGCGTACCGAAACCTGTTGCAGCTGTGGATCCCTCTATGGGTTATGTTGCTGCCGCAACGAGTGGTATTACTGTATTGTGGGATTCATACAGGATTCCTCTGTATACCAGGACTATTAGTACGGCGTACAGTTGGTATTTACCGGTTTGCCGCGGATTTCGAACGGTACTCGTCTATTCTTAGGAGCGGCTCGGAGCACCCCTGTCAAAGAATGCATTGCTTGCATTCAGCCTCGTTTTAATATTGAGCCATAAGCTGTCGAAAAGTACGTAAATAATTACAACATAGTACTTTGCCAAGTTACTGAAATTGCGGAGGGAAAAAAGTACACAATGAAGAATACAAGCCATTGGTTGCCCTGAGGTCCTAAAAAAGCCAAAAAGAGAGACAACGGAGTATCAATATCAAGAAAAATAGGCATTGGAACGCCTTGAAGACCCCCGAAGACAACTTCCTAAGCGAACAAATATACTCAGGGCTGCGATCACCAGTGAGCAACAGAGAAGACCAGACAGACCACTCAATCCAACTTCTCTTAACACTTTCTGCGATAGACGCTAGGAGTTTCAACATTGGAGTCGTTTAACAACACAGCGAAGAAATAATACGTTGGCGAGTTGGCTGCGACCATACAAGGTCGGTTTCATAAGTACCATTGGCATGCGCTATAAGACGAGGAATGCGTGGAGGCATAGCGTGGTCCTTGGACACGAGCGTTGTTGGCTGTGTACCGCCAACAGTTCCTGTCCCGACATTCGGAGCATTGCGGGGTTTCTGACGTTGTATTTCTTGGAACAATGCGGCTGTGGTCACACTTTATTGTTCTTTGAAGTGCTGATCAGCACGGAACAGACGCATAGTGAATGTTACTTTTTGGACACGGGGTTTTGTTACCTCGTCATGACCGCAGGCTGCTATTACTTGAATCTTTCTTGTGTTTTGTGCATCTATTGCCACGCTAGAGCAGCAACATTCCATTGCGCTAATCACATTGATCTGTCCGAGTGTCTCTTTCTCAAAAACACAAGTCGTGGGTATGAACGAGTTAGGCATAAGGTGCGTGGACTGCTTATTGCTATCATTCACAATAGCTTTGTTGTTGACTACATCAATCAACTGAAACCGACGGACTAATTGGTTGTAAAATCCACTGCCGAGGTGTCAAACAACTTCCTAACACCCATTGAAGACTTCAGGTTCGTTCAGGTCTTTGTCCTCGAACCGAACGAGAACTGGCTTGGGGAAGACAACAGGTGTCACACTAGAACTAGTGCTTGCTTTGCCATTTTTTTGCTTGTTGACAGCCCCGTTGCCATGATTGTAATGGTTGATATTAGCCGCCATCATGGCCAGATACCAGGCAAGGTAATCTTTCTGCCAGTCCTGGAGAGCTTGCGATATTTCATAACTTTGCTATTCATCAATGGATACGTATAAGGGAAGATATGAATTCTTATTCTGTCTGATAACAGGGAATCTGTCTCACTGCGCTTGACAGGCGGCCGCAGGAAATCCCTCTGTGGGCCATGAAAGATCTAAGGGAGTCTGCAATAGGCTAGGTAAATTTTCCCAGCAGAGAAATGATGATAGAACCTATCTGAATCCCTAGGAAGCTAAGTAAGGATGAAAATCATCTTGATAACATCGGCAGTAGACGGCATCATTGCTCGCTCTCGCTACATTTATATACCGGTAGTACTACACTGCTCCATGAGAAAACAACTATCTCCTCCCTATCATCAGTCTTAAGGACCGTAGGGGTCGCTGTATCAACGACAATTGAGGCTGCGCCGGTCTAAGGATCACCAGTGGTATCAAGACTATCAGCTGCGTAAAAGGAGAGGTATTACCCGTACGAATAGGATCGAAGAAAACCTCACTTACTAGTCTCCACTTATCCTTAGACAGAGGCCGGTACAGGCGCCGCATGACGACATTCATAGAACACATTATGCATGGTGCCAAGCGCCCAACCCTCCTTGGAGAACTGGTCTCCTCGTGCACCGGCTGATAGGATCTTCGCGAGACCTCCACAGATGTCGTTAATGTCGATGCCTAAGGCTACATAAGGCAACTTCGGGAAGTGACGTCCGTTACATTGCTGACAGTTCGCGCTCAGTACAGCAGGGTTCATCTACGCTATTGATGTATCTCGCCACAATAGGAGACACATTTTTAGATCCGCGAACTACGCGACAAAAATCGTCTGTTTTCCCACCAAAATGGATCGATATTTGGAACAGAATAGGTTTCCACAACCCAGCGGCAGATTGCTTCCAGATCTGCAGGCTAGCATGACTTTCACGTAGGGCCATGCGTCCTTAGGCATCTCTAATTTCGAACTGGGTCTCGCCCATATTACCTCTTGGCTCAATTTTTGTATAGATCAGGCGGGCGAGATCGATCTGGGCGTGTACGCCTGGCACCTGAAAGCATACACTCCTTAACACGGCCATCTGTACACTTTCAGGCTCCGAAATCATCACAAAGAAAGTCATAAATGCCGCAATCGGCTCCATTATAAACGATTTCCAAGCACACAACGGAAGAAAGGAAGCCGGAAGAATGGGGCAGTCAAAGATAGATTCTTCACTAGGCCTTGCCAGGGTCTTCATCCCCAAATTCCCGCGCACGATATTATGGGCTCAATTTGGTTTTCGTCCTTGGCGAGATGAGTTTCCTGGGATGGTTGTGGGGTGCGATGCGAGAAAGGAAAAGGTTGCTGGAGCGAACCGAGATCTTGGGGTTGAATCAAAGAGAAGGAAGATAAGAGACGCAAGTTGAAGATGGTAGCTTGAGATAGTAAATCAGCAAGGGGCGGTGTAACTTGACTGTAGAGTATGTAATATAAAGGGGACAAAATGTGTTGAAAGTGATAGGTATATAAATATATATCGAGTGCAGTGGAGATGTTTTCCGGGAACAAAGGGCCGAGGTGGAAAACTAGAGAAGTTAGGAGAGAAAGAAAACGACATACATACTTCTATAAAGGGAGAGAGGGGGAAAAGAGGAAATAAGGAACATCAATATAGGGAAGGAGCAGTGGTCCTACCCGTCTAAGGCAGGAAGGTTGCCTCAACAACTGGATTATACCTTAAGCAGAAAGAATATCCAATAGCACACCAAGAAAACATCTGAAAGGACACAAAGAAAAGGCATCCGAAAATGCATTCAATAAATCGTTCAAAAAAACATTGTCTTAATATAATGTCTCTAATATCATAGGCGAACCCCAGTGGAGTATACTGCATAGAATGGTAGCAATAAAAAGGATAAAACCACCCGGGCAGTCCATGGATTACTGTTCCTGAGTGTCGATCATCTATTTAACCTTCACTTCACTCATCCCACCACGGTGGTACCTTCCAAGGTTTCACCATGAAACCTCCAGCAAGCCTCTTGAAGGTATGAAAATTTCACAGTCAGTATTAAGAATAACCTATATACGAATCACGAAATTGTTGAGTTACCGGGAGTTAGTAAAACAGAGTTTGGGCACCTCGAATTCCATCCAAAAAGGCTCCTGACTCCATTAAACTCTCATACGACTCTGTGGCCGAGCACCTGGTGGTAGAAATGCCCAAGGATGACACCGAGAGCCTCGCCGGCATCTCCGAAGCAATAATTGACGAATGAGTGATGGAAACGTGGTTGAGAAAACATAATCTCATGGTCCATTACCTTCTCGTTCCTCTACAGGGCTGGTTAAGAGGGCCAGATGCCTTTTAGGGCCTATAAGCCAATCGGGACTGACAGTTGTGCTGGAATGTTGGGAAGATCTGTAATACATTGGCGGTGGATTTTATAGCCTTACCTCCTTTAATTCGCCAACTTATTCTTTCTTCGCCATGCTTTGGAGATGCTCAGCCTTGAAGACCCTCAATACATTACAAAATGTCTTAGTGGTCGTGTTAAAACAGTGGCGCCTTTAGTGGTCACCTCTGATTCTGCAACAGGCAAGGCGACTGTGCATCGCTACTATAAGAATATTTGTTCACCCAGGAGATTCTCGAGCAGCACCTTTTTCATCCTCAGTTTCAGTGGATCGCAGATCATCCCTTGATTTTACATCTTGTTGTTCCGTTTTGTTATCCCAATTATCCCATCTGAAATGGAGGCGAAGGCCGGTATGGATCACTAACACTAAGGCACACCGGAGTGCCTGGCCGAGCTCACAGTGAATTTAAGCTTCGATTTAGAAAGGTTGAGGAGAATTAGAAGAGTGCTTGGCCAAGATACTGAGGTCGTGGGTGGCATGGAGTCTGTGTTAACTCTCGGCACGGCCCGCGATGCTCCACCCTGGAAGTCTCCAGGCTCCAGGGCTCCTTGGAAGGCTTCAGTTAGCTTTTCACTAAGTTCAGATGTTAAGGGACTTAGCTGCACCTAAATGCGAAGCAATATTAACAGCAAGGGATAGTGGAAATGGGATATACTGGTGGGAACTTTCGGTAGTGAGTACGGAGTAGTTAATTTCAATTATGCATTCGAATTTTAGATTCTATGTGAAATTCGCATCCTGCGGGGCGCACCAACACTTGGCACGGTTGTCTATCTATCTATGCAAGCTGGAATGGGTGTCTCTCCAAAAACTCCTCGAAAGTGGACAGCTTACCCCGGGCGGCGGCAGCAGCTTCTGCAACCAACTCCTCCGAGCCAGGGCCGAAATATCCATAATCATCCATAAAGCTGAATCCCTCCGCAAACACATCCTGGAAGAAAGGCAAGCGTGCCTTAAACTCTTCGGTGGTGATATGCTCGAAGACGATGGTCTTGCCGGAACTCTTGGATAGGAGGGCGGCGATCTCCTCAACAGTGTACAATTTCGTGGCGCAGTGGAGTCGCTTTCCCTGGAATTTCTCAGGCTCGGCAAGGATAGCGCCCACAAACTTGCCAGTATCACCGACAGCGTCGATCAAGGGGAACTGGGCCTTGGGGGAGGTGTGACGGGCTAGTACATAAGTACCATCGGGAGCTTGCGTGGGGGCCAAAAAGGTCTGCGACTGGAAGTTTTCCATGAACGAGCCGAGCGAGACAAATGCACTCTTGATTGGAAGGGTGCGAATGTAATCCTCAGCGGCGGCCTTGGCATCGAATGGGACAACTGAACTGTATTTGCCGTTGGAGAGACCGCGAATTGAAGGCAGAGTGCTCCAGATAAAATAATCAACACCTTGCTCAAGGGCAACATCAGCAATCCGCTTAGCGTGACCGACCTCAACATTGAAGGCGTCGGCGCTAATGTCTGGTGTGGTCATGGCGAAGACGGTGTGCACGCCGGTTAAAGCTTTTGCTAGCGAGGCGGAGTCGGTCACGTCACCATCAACAACCTCGACGTCCCCTTTTTCTTTTAATTGCTGTGCTTTTTCAGAGCTGGCATCGCGGGTGATGGCCCGAATTTTGAACTGTTGGGAGAGCTCTGGGTCGTTCAGCACATGGTTCAGGACAGAGCTGCCTTGTTGGCCGGTGGCACCGAAAATAGCAAGAATCTTGGACATTCTGGAGTTTTGAAGCAATCCCAAGGGTTTGAATAAGGCGTGGAGCTGATAGACTGGTTATGTCGAAGGATTTAAGATACAATGTGAGTATTACGAAGGGAATTACTCCGTACTTAAAGCAACAAGGCAAGAGGGGATAGGATGGTTTGAAATCAGTTGAATTTCTAAGCTACAAGAGAGAGATTGGGGGCTGTGCCTAGAAGATTCGAAATTTAGTTCGAATCCTTTCTAATTTATTCAAGGGCAGTAGTAGCCTCATGTAAGGCCCCCTCCTCAGGAGTAGCATCGCCAGGACAAAAGAAGTTAGATCCCTGCCTATCAAGAGCTGCTATCATTAATTCTCCGGGATATTCTAAGCGACCCAATTAGTCAGTTTATCTACGATTTACCACGTCAGCACTCTAGACACCTGGACAGGGTTTCCAAAGAAAGCTTCGTATGTTTTCGATTTCTATATTCAGTCATTCTTGCTAGTTTTGTAAAGCCTCGGCGTCAATTTATTTACTTCTCGGATAGTGACACGGTCGCAGTTGAAGGCCGATGGTCAAAGTAAATTTAAAACATTTAATGGCACATTAGCAAAACTATAGTTCTGTTTCCCTTTTTCCCCTTGGACTGTGAATTGAATCTATCTTGATTGTCCATTAGTGTCAGGCTCATGGCTTCAAGACGTAAAAGCGCCTCAAGTCCAGCGTTCTCGCTCATATTCGAAAGTCGACATATCTTTCGGACAATTGATGCGTCTTGGGTGGGCGTTTGATCCACCCAGGGTCGGGAAGAGCAAAGATGCTCTCAAGGTCGGTTTAAATTTCTGTTTCATAGAATGCACGTTCCGTTCCTTCACGTTAGATAATTCCTCCATGCTTTCACTTTCAAGTGAGAAGAACGCCACGGATACACGCCACAAAGTACAGCTGCCTGAGAATAATCTATCTCTTCTTTAAGAGCCACCAACGTGGGTAACAAGTAGTGAAAAGAGTTAAGATACTTCAGGGTGACGGTAAGGTCTCCCATCAAAACATCAATGTTCAAACTCGAGGACTCAAGAGTCAAGGAGATGAGGCAGTATTGTTTCAAAAATTCCCAAGTGTTCCCAGAGGCCCACTTGAAGTAGGTCAGGTTGGTAGTTTTCAACCAGCAATAACACGATCTCGGATGTTTCCTCACTAATACGCGTAAAGCCCTTCCACTAAGATCAATGGGAGAAGAAAAGAAAAAAGAGAAGGAAGATCGGGGCCGGTGCCAGGTGTTTTATAATTTCCCGCAGCAGGGTGTAACAAAGATGGGTAACGCGGGCATGATAAGGATAGAGAACGTTGAAAGTGGGTAACTCATGTACGTACATGTGACTGTGTATGTCTTACAGTCCTGAAATTTCAGGTGCACATTTCTAATCAGGCCACAGCTCTCTAATGAGACCTACAGGGCCGTTTGAGACTCACAGTGTCATGTCGCACTATATATATCGGAGCCCGGAATATCTGAGCATAATGCTCAGGTATAGTGGTCTTTTTGGCCTAGTGTGTAACTCGCCAGTCCAGGGGCAGTTTGTAACACAGCGGCCAGCCTAGTTTCCTTCATCATCCACCTCCTCGTTAAAAGTGCTTAGTTGACATACACTACATTATATCAGCCCAATACTTAGTTGGTTATCACAAGAATAAAAAGGCTAACTATCTTACAGACCCACAGTTCGACGTTAACCACGCGAATGCGGCTATAATTTATCCAGTGAGACCACCATGTGAAGTTGTGACGCAGAAAGTCACCTGCCCTGGCAGTTTCTGTCCGCTTCTACCAAAGTGTACATTTCTCGATTCTTATCGACTTGATCACATCGCCAAAGTTGGACGCCATGGATGATTCACGGCCAGTTGATCAGAGATTCACCAAAGCACTGCCAAAGATTGAGGTATGATTGATGCTTCGTCCTAACGTTGGGATTTACTGACTGGACTACACCCAGCTGCATGCTCATCTCAGCGGCAGCATCAGTCGCCAATGCCTGCATGAAATCTGGAAACGCAAAAAAGAGCGGAATCCATATTTCGACGTAGAGGATCCACTGGTGCTCATGCCTCCGGGCAAAGTTGATTATACACTGGAAACGTAGGTGTCCGTGTATGTATCTCAATATCTTACAAGCTAATGAAAGGCCCAGGTTCTTCTCAACATTTTCCAAATTGACATACCAGCTCTGCAACGATCTAGAAAGCTTGGTGTATGCCACAAATTCAGTCCTCGAGGACTTCCTCGGTGATGGAGTAGTGTATCTGGAGCTACGGACCATACCAAGAGCATCTCCTGGAATCACTCGAGAACAATACATCAACACAGTTCTGGATACAGTCGAGAAATTCCGAGAAAAAACTAAACGCATGTCTGTGTTTTTAATTTTAGCGATCGATCGCGGCAGCATGATAGCAGCGGAGGCGGAAGAGATCGTCAATCTCGCGATCGAAAACAAATCGCGCGGGGTAGTGGGGGTGGATATCTGCGGCAACCCAACCAAAGGCGATGTCAGCATTTACAAGGAACCATTTTCAAGAGCCAAAGCCAATGGGCTAGGCATCACCCTTCACTTTGCCGAGACGACAGCCTCAGCTTCCCCGAGCGAGCTAGCGACCCTTCTTTCTTTCCAGCCTGATCGACTGGGCCATGTCATCCATGTACCCGACGAGATCAAGAAGGAGATTGCCCGCCGCAAGCTTGGGCTGGAACTGTGCATTTCTTGCAACGTCCATGCAAAAATGATTAATGGAGGCTTCTTGGATCACCATTTCGGTTATTGGCGACACGAGGAGTGTCCAATTGCGCTGTGTGTAAGTTGTTCCAACTAAGATGGTTAATCTTTTTTTTCTTTTTTGCTGACTTGTAATTCCTCAGACTGACGACGTGGGATTTTTCTGTAGCCCCGTCTCGAACGAGTACTTGTTGGCCGCACAACATTTTAGCTTGACTCGTACTGATCTCTTGGATATGTGCCTCAAGTCTGTAGATGCTATTTTTGCGGGCGAGTACTACAAGGGGAGAATCCAAGCTATGCTTGAAGTATTTGCTACTCGGTTTAACTCTGCATGAGCATGTCGGATTTTTGAACATCGCTTCATGTTATTAGAAGAAGATGTCTATCAATATTGAATTCAATACCCAGGTTGTTTTATTTTGTACAATGCTCGGTAGAGAATGCAAGTAAACCTCTTGAACTATTGATTAACACTTCCCATATCACTAAAAAAATCGCGATTTTGGCATTTTAATTTTATTTGAATATATTCAAAAACTAAGGAATCAATACCAAATATGTTTGTCTCTATGGAATTCTTTATCGTCAAAATTCGGGAAACCCGTTTTTGCCCGATTGTTGAGAAACTAGCGATTGAACGTCGGCATTTTTTGTTAGCATTTGTACTTGGACAGGGGGGAGAGATATCGGGCTTTTGACGCCCCCATGTAACTACGGAGTACTACCTAGCTTCTCATTGACGCTATATCTAAATAGGTACCCGACCTCTCTCAACTTCACAGTATGCTGTACAACTTCCATTTCAATACCTCAATCGGTTCCCCGACATTGTTTTCTCCCTGGCATCATAGAAATTTCTTCAATTTTCAGGCTGCAGTTCCAAAATGAGTCAATATTGGAAGCGCCAGTTGAATTCGCTGTCGCTATTTAGATTTCCCCCTTTCCCGACCCACAGGTCAACTCCACATTACAAACATTTCAGCTCTCAACCTCATTTGAAACATTCAAGGTACCTCAACATCCCATGTCCTAAGGATCTTCTCTAACATCGCTTAAAGGTCAGGCATAATTATGGCAAACGGAGCTCTACCCCAGACTCTCAAGTCTATCACTGCCACAAAAATCAATGAACTCTCCAAGCAACGCGTCCTGTTTGACCAGCGCAAAGCAGAAATCCTTGCAGATGCTAATGCAGCCCCAGATCTGCGTACCCGTGCTCAGGCTTTGCTGCATGGAATCTCACGCCTGAAAGGATATCCCAAGGATTCACTTGACAAAGATGACCGAGATCTAGATGCGGAGACATTGGATGAGGAATTGGAAGACAATCTTCCTTCCCGAATACTTGGTCGTTTGCAACCGGAAGATCATAGGAATATGAGTCGCTTCCTTCTGCAAAGTCGCCACGACTCTTCCATCTCCCAGACAGCTCTACAAGATCGTATCGCTCAACTTGAAAAGGAGTTGCGGTATCTTGAGATAAAGCATGAACATGGCGATTTCTACAGCAAGTTGGTTGCGGAGTGGTTGTCGGAGCTAGATGGAAGCATTACTTCACCTGCAGGTGAAACCAACTCTACCACAGGCCCTGACCCAACCCTCGAAAAGGTTGGACGGGCAGAAATGCATGACCAGCGCGCGACTTGGGAGTCCTTGGTCTTCACTCCTGCAACACATGTCAACGAGGAAGCAATCAAGTCGTACCTCAATAATCTTTTCACTCAGACCAAGCTTTCTCAACAGGCACTCAAAGATCTCCGTCAAAGTCTCCAATCCTTTGGAACAGAACTAGCCTCAAGGGGTAAGTGGCTGGATGTGAGTGAACTCAAATGGGTCTCTCGTGCACTGCTCAAAGCCGACCTCCTCAGCGATGAAAAAACAGCCATTCTGAAAGAGTTCATGCGGAATAACGAGGTTGCCCAGGAGGTAGCAGATGTGCTCAACATGCGCCTTGCCTCGCTCGAGAGCTGGACCTGGGCCGGAGACGCAGAAGGCATCCCTGTTCAAATGCGGCGTCATCTGAACGGTAAATACCGGGTTTTCATGGACGAGGACCTTCTGGATGCCCTTATGCTACAATACCTTGGGACAATATGGGCTGTAAAGCTACGGGAGGTGTTTGAGACATTCCTACAATCGAACGCCTGGAAGACCTTGCACGAGGATATCTCAGAAGAAGACAAGGAAATGCGCAAATACTTCCTTGGCCGAAACGCCAACTCAGACTCTGGCAGCCTCAACAAGATTCGAAAAAAGACATACAGCGAGGAATATTTCATGAGCCAATTGCCTGCTTCAACCGATGAAGGTGCACGGCTGTATGATGAGGATGGGTCCGACCTAAAGAACGCCCTGGATACAAAGCACTCTCTTCTACATCTCCTAATCACGGAATCTATCATCCATAAGCATCAGCGTGGAGAGTTTACTGCTGTGCGGTCGGACTTTGAGTGGTTTGGCCCCTCGATGCCGCATGCTACTTTGCTCACTGTGATGAAGTTCTTTGGGGTTCCCGAGCTATGGATGAAGTTTTTCGTACTGTTTTTAGAGGCTCCCCTCAAATTTTCCCAAGACGGAGCCGATGCCTCTATACAAGTCCGTAAGCGTGGCCTTCCAATGAGTCATACACTCGGTGATTGTTTGGGTGAATCCGTTCTTTTCTGTATGGACTATGCAGTCAATCAAGCTACCGAAGGCGCTTTCCTGTACCGGCTCCATGATGACTTCTGGTTCTGGGGAACAGAGAAAAGTTGTGTCAAGGCATGGCAGGCAATGGAGCAGTTTACTGAGGTGATGGGTCTGAAGTTCAATGAGGAGAAGACTGGAAGTGTGCAGATGGGCCCCAATACCACCCTGAAAGAGTCCACTCTGCTTCCCACCGGCGAAATCCGCTGGGGCTTCTTGGTTCTGGATGCGAAGAAAGAAAGATTCATCATCGACCAGGCCCAGGTTGACCAGCACATCGAAGAGCTTTCACGGCAGCTTTCGTCCTGCGAAAGTGTTTTCGCTTGGGTACAGGCATGGAACAGCTACTTCGGCCGCTTCTTTACCAACAACTTTGCCAAACCAGCCATTTGCTTCGGTCGGGACCATATTGACATGGCAATTTCTACACTGGGCCGTATCGAGCAAGGACTTTTTAGGACCTTAGATGGCGAAAGTCCGTCTGGCCAAACCAGTGGCGTCACTGACCATCTACGCACAGTGATCGCAAATCGGTTTGATATTCACGACCTTCCAGATGGGTTCTTCTATTATCCAGTTGAACTCGGCGGCCTGGAGCTCCTCAATCCTTTCATCAGACTTCTTGCCATGCGCGAAAACATTAAGACAACCCCCCGGAAGCTACTGCACAAGGCCTCTCTGAAGGAGGAGAAAAAATACGAGGCAGCGAAGGAAAGGTTTAAACTGAACGGCCCTGATATTTGGAGCGCTAAACAGACCAAGCCATTTATGTCCCTGGAAGAATACACCCGGTATCCAGAAACATTCAGTTTGTCTCTTGTGGATGTGTACAAGCAACTGACTGAGGTGCCGAGCGAGACGAGTGTGGCTCTGACTTGGGGCTTTGAAAGAGAGCAAAACTCCCTCAGGCAATTGTTCCCTGAAGGCTCCATCCAGTATCACTGGGGGTCAATGGAACCTTACTGGAAGTGGGTGGCGGAGTTGTATTCGGAAGAGATGGTCCGTACTTACGGAGGCTTGGCTGCTGTGAATCGCGAGTTCATGCCCCTGGGTGTTGTGAAGACCCTGCGGGAGGGTAAATTCAGATGGCAGATTTGATCGAAGATTGTGGATTCAAGCTGTGTCATAATGCTATGGCTTGAGGGCTTATGGCTTTTGGATGAAGCAGAGCCAATGTATTTTTAGATTTGTATAGGATAAATAATCAAATGTACTCACTACTCTTAACACTGACACAGTTCGTATCACTCCTTCATCCAAATCTTCTTCAATCTTCAAGTAACAAGGATTGTCCATATAACTATTCGGCTTGGAAGCGAGCTGCGCATGTAAGCCAGCTCCCCAGCCCAAAACACATAGCAAATGTGATAAATTACAACTCGATATCTCAACAACAGTAGTCTATATAGATTTAGTATAGATTTTTTCCCCCCAATAGCTAAATGCTTTTTAGGTGATACCTAGCTTCCCTGTGGAGTTTGGAAATTATTTCTGAGATTGTGATTGGGATATATATTACTAACTTTAGGCAACGCAATTCTTTATAGATACTACGATAATGTAGGGTTTCGATTGTCTCGAAACTGATATGTAGTGTTGAAATTCCTTATCAATGGCTATTTTGTGACAATGAAATGGAATGACAACGTTGTTGCTGAGACATATGACTATAAATTATGGGCTGTGCAGCTCGCTTGCCGAATACGCTATTGTACCCCCCTTCCCCCCCCCCCAACCTAGAAGCATACCGATATAAACCCTCAAAGGAAGATGATGCTAATATCCTGATTACTAGGCATGGCTTTGGGAGGCGGATCAACGCCTTGCGTTTTCAGCCAGCAGTGGTTGTTCATGAAATCAAGAGCATGGCACTGAGTTTCCTGAACACAGCTGTCAAAGCATTCTTGATAAGAAGACACATCAAACTCCCGCAGAGTGGGAGTAGCGACATCTAAATAGCATAGTTAATATAAAGGGTAGCGATTGATTTGGGTATTTCAACACATACGAATGCCACAGAACTGCTTGTACTTCCGGCCATTACATTGGAAGATCTTCGCATGGGCAGAGGGACCTAAAGAATACTGTTAGAAAACCCGATTTGGGAGATAGTAAAGAATATATTGTAGGACCGCCTTACACTGTGGTTTACACTCAACATCAGTTTCAGGCTCCGGCTCTGGCTCCGGCTCCGGCTCCGGACAACAACAGCCGCGACCGAGACCGCTTCTAGATCCCGAGCCTTGACCAAAGCGGGCACCAGCAACTCCAGATCCCTGTCCTATCAAGCCCTGAGCCTGTGTGGAGGGGATCTGAGCCAGGAGCTGAGCACTGCACAGAAGAAGTAGATTGGAGAGTTTGACCATTGTGGGTAAGATGATACGGACAGAGAAAGAGCGGGACTTGTTGTGATCTTCCTCCCTTAAGTACAAGCCTCAGCTGGAATAATTAGAAAGATTGCGGGGGAGAGTTCAGCCCCGAGGCATTGCGGACATCGCCATGTCCGCGAGCGATCATAACTATTGACATGATGCATATGCATATGCCGTGTGACCAGACCCTGCAGGACGCATGTATGACAGCCTCGAGTAAATGTATTCGATTGCTAGATACATGGTACCAACATCCCTGTTCTGCAGTCCCCTAGATTGACTGCATGTCAATGTTACCAGGCAGTAATGAAGGGAGGCATTGTTATCCGAGTAAGAATGAAAGTCAAATCAGTCTGGCGTGCGGAGTTCATGGTATGTAGGAGTTGTTCTAGACCATGTTTTGTATTATTTCTCAATCAGTGGGACTTCCCTGTGAGCAAATTATCCCAGATTTCTAGTTGATGTTGGGATTTGGGCTTGATTTGTGGAAAGGCTCATTTATGGTGAAGGCAAAGATGGATGGCTGGTATTCTGAGAGGAGATTTTAATTATTCTGCTGCGCGAGAAAGTACAGTGTGTGGATAAATATATTGGAATGACATAGGTGATATGGCAACCGAAAGGGTCAGACTGAACATCCCACACAACTCGCTCCAAGAATCAGTAGTAAGTGTCAGCTTTACCAAGACCAATATGCCAACTATAAATTACTTCCACAGGGGGACAAAGGCTGCAGTGCAGTCGACATGACCCGAGAGTGTAGATCCAGCAGGCTTCAAAGTACACCCGCCATTCTTCAGCCAATGCGCTCCAATATAGTTATTAGCTTCCAACAGATAAAGCTGCATGCATTCCTCGTGTGTCTTCGCTTCAGGTTTGGCGACTGATTGAGCTGTGAGGCCTGTGTAACATTGGTTACATTTCACCCGGAATGGGTGGTTGCCAACATTAACAATCTGATTGTCGACACATTGAGTCGGGTCGGGCTTGGGCTGATGGGTGCCACACTGTTTCTTACCACAGCCCTCGCACGCTCCAGAGCAACCGACTGAGTGGGCCGCGGCAAATCGAGGAGCTGCGATAGTTGGCGGGCTGTCATTGTTGCTCAAATAGCACACTTGCTTGTTTTGATCGAAGTCAACGCTGCTGCAGGAAGGAGAGCCCGCGCAGTGATCCATGCAATCTTCAAGGGTCGAAACAGACTCGACGTTGAGATAAGGGGTGCCGTGACGCATTCCACAGCTCATGTAGAAGGTCTAAATCCATCGTCAGCTGGGAGAATATCCAAATGCCTTAACCAGTATTGTCTTACCTCACCGAACGGGCTCACGTAGATCTGGCCATTAGCCTCAGGACAGGTTGTAGCGCAACGACGGGTTGTCATGCTGGGCTGTTTTGTGGCCGGAGGAGAAGTCGGGAAGGCATGGAGCTGGCTTCCGTGGGAGGTTTGAGAAAACGAACCGAAGTCGAGGAGGTTGCAATAGAGGGTGGAAGGCTCGAATGAGACACTACATAACATGAGTAACGGTATACATGTTAACGGGCGCACCGCGGGTTGACTTACGTTTCGCAGTTGGCTACATTCGCACATTTTTCAAGACATTCCTCCATACTAGAGACCTGCGGTGTACCGACAGACAGTGCGTTGAGGGCGCCTTGCGTACAGCATTGCAGGTAGTACCAGCTACCATCAACTGTCTCGTATATACTTCCATCGCCTGTCTTGCATTAGAAACTAAGAGTCATGCCGGGGATAATCAAGAGCAACTTACTTGCAGGACAGGAGATCCGTGTGGTGACTGGTGGGGACTGATTGTATGCCTTGCGAGGGTTGGGGCAGGTCCAGGATCCAGGGCTGATACCGCCGCCACCGGGACTACCACCGGCTCCAGTCCCAGGCTGGGCGGTACCACCACTACCAGGCTGAACGCCGCCGCTCCCAGGCTGAATACCACCGCTGCCAGGCTGAATACCACCACTGCCAGGCTGAATACCACCACTGCCAGGCTGAATACCACCACTGCCAGGCTGAATACCACCGCTGCCAGGCTGGATACCACCACTGCCAGGCTGGATACCACCACTGCCAGGCTGGATACCACCACTGCCGGGTTGGATACCACCGCTGCCAGGCTGGATACCACCACTTCCGGGTTGGATACCACCACTGCCAGGCTGAATGCCACCACCACCGGGTTGGATGCCACCACCGCCAGGTCGAATACCACCAGGCTGGATGCCACCGGTAGCAGGTGCGGGAGCAGGAGCAGGAGCAGGAGCAGGAGCAGGAGCAGGAGCAGGAGCAGGAGCAGGAGCAGGAGCAGGAGCAGGAGCAGGAGCCGGGGCAGGAGCCGGGGCAGGAGCAGGAGCAGGAGCAGCAGGCCTAGGGCCGGGCTTTATCTGAGCATTCGCAAGCCCAAGAAGGGCGAGCCCAATAAAATATAAAGTCGTGTCAGGCTTCATTGTCTCCGAATTGATGGAAAACGAGTAAATTCCGAAGATGATTGAGATTGGGCTAAGCAGGAGGTAAGAAGTAGGGAAATATTTATATAATGGGTAGGTTGTGTAGGGAACATACTACTTCAACGTGGCCTCCTGAGTAGAAAGATATTCTGTATTGCCGGGTACAACAAAACTACCCGATCAATTCAATAGCTGCTGGTTGAAGTACCCCGCGCTCAGCTCTATGCAAGATATGAATAGCCTCCCTGTCTTCTCCGCAGGCTCGCAGATTTCATGCACGATCAGCAATGGTATCACATGCTCAGCTTAGCCACCATATTTTTATGGAGACCAGGTCTAAGACATACCTCGATGGAAAGCATCTCATGTGAAGAATTGCAGATATCGAGGCAATTTACCGCTGTATGCATGAACTTTGTTGGCTTCCACCAAAGCACAGGTCTAACCGAGAGAGCTTTTGCATGACCCACTATTCAGCTGGATGTTGTAAATTACATGGCGAGAGTGAAAACCGAAGGAGAAAATAACGTATAAGGGGGGACTTAGTTAGTTCTCAATACCTAGGCTCAGATCTGAAAGTATAAAGAGACCATTCGGCCTTGTCAACCATCCACTCTCCACCCAAGCCCTATACTCCATATTTTGTTCGACGTAACTCCAAATATCGAAGGTATCCTGCTCTCTCATTGTGACAGTGTCCCTTCATATACTAATGAAGCTAGGAATTCTCATCTGCCAAACCTTCAAAATGCAAATCACCAATCTGAAGCTTGTTCTCCTGGCGTCTCTCCTCGGGACCTCCGATGCCTTGCTCTTCAAGTGGACTAGAATTGCCAGTGATAAATGCGCTATGTTGCCTTTTACCTTTGGATTCCCTGATCCCGGATGTCCTGGTGGTGCGGCGCTACCGGCACCCGCTGCCCCAGCACCAGACCCCAAGGCGGTGGCTGCGGCGTACTGCAACAACGTTGCAGCTGGTGCGATTGCTGTATTCCGAGCCGATGGTAGTCACTACGGCTGCTTCAATAATCCATGCCAGGAAACCTTCCCTGGCAGCAACGAAATCAATGGTGTATGTAGATGATCAACTAGAGTGCTGCCAGAAAGAGCCGGTCGAAGGGAGGAGCTAGCATAGGCAGAGAGGACATTACGGGGAATGGTGGAGCAGGTGTTATGTTGTGATAACTGGATATATGTTGTCCATTTGTTTTTACACTCTTTTTTGAATCAATATATAAGATTTGGCGTTCTAAGACTCATTTCCTTTTTGGTACAAACACTACTAGTAGAGTTCACCTTTCTCAAAGTCCAAATATTACTATAGCATTTATGGAGTACCCTATAGTTCTTCCAGATTTGCTACTTGGTTTGCCATGTCTCCAGGGCTGATGTTATGATAGGATTTTCCTGAAGATTTTGGACGTATCATTTTAGTGATGTGCTGGCAGTTGCATGCATCATACGCAGTTCGTGCACTTGGATCTTAGCTGCATTCAACCCCACGATTTACAATAACCCTCAGCTCGCCCCGTGTTAGTGGGGTATTTATTCCCTGCATGCTATGATCTGTCAAAAGTCTTTGAATAATTTGACAATGGTCTATAATTGCCCAGGGTATACTCCGTACTCCGTTCTCCGTAGACCTAGAATTTTGCTAAATCTACATGTAACAGTGGCTGTACGCCCAGATTGCCAGGTAGACCCATGTAAATTTGAAATGCTTTATTTGCTTTTCTCATGCGTACTAAGATGGATAAGTCACATTGAGTAGAAATATTTCATATTAGACTATATGTGACAAGCTGAAAGATGTCTGTGATGAAAAGGTCTTCAATTTTGGGTCTCGTTCAGTGCCCCCACAAAATTACTTCTCCTTCTCTCAATACCCATGACCCTTTCTGCAATTCTATCTTCATTTTCGAATAACTATGGCTCTCAACACAATTGAAAGGTTTCATGTCACGATCCCAGTCTCAATACAGTTTGAGTCCAATGCACAGGGTGTCCATGTCGTTGGTGTATCCATGCCAGATGAACGCGTGTCTATCACGGGTATCGACGATGAGCCTTCAATTGCACAGACAAAATTCGAGCCTGATGACAAAGTATGGCCCGAAGGATTGCAAGACCTAGGTCTCATCGCCGCGAATGAGTCTCTCGCCTGTCCGGATTTCTCTCACATCGAGTATTTTACGCTACATGAAGAACCTCTTATTATCTATATCCCCAACTTTGTTTCTCCGGATGAGATTGCGCACTTGTTGGAGACTACGTACGAACCCTCTTCTCCACGAAACTCAAGAATCGGAATTTTTAATGATTTTCTTGTCTCACAGGAAAGAAACCTTCACTCCATCTGTGGTCTACAGGCAGGGAGTAAGTAGCAACGACGAAAACTTCCGAAAATCAGAGAATGCGTGGCCTCCACGGGACGAAGTTCTGCAATGTATCGAACAAAGGGCAGTCCGCTATCAGAACTTAGAGTCAAAACTTCTCATGGAACAGTTGTCTCTTCAACTTTACCGTGAGAATGGCTTCTTTTCGTATCACCATGACCAGTTCGACTCGCCGCCCAATCGCCTCAACCGCTATTCGACGTACAATGTCTTCCTGCAAGGCGACTGTACTGGGGGTGGTACCCACTTCCCTTTGATTCCCCGACCAGCAGAAACTGCTTGGTGTAACTACATCGACTGCGACGCGACCGAGCCCGGAGTGATCTTCAAGCCAATTGCTGGCAGCGCCGTCTACTGGGTCAATATCCGAGAGGATGGACTCGGATATAGGGAAACACTTCATGCGGGTATGCCCGTAACATCGGGCACGAAAGTCGGTATGAACATTTGGAGCTGGAAGGATACGAGAGAGGATGTAATCCAAGAGGGAACCTTGCATGTACAATAATTTAGAGCTACCAAGCCCTGCTAGGGGAAGTGATATTGAAGATTTTAGTTTCGAGTGCCAATGTTTAAATCTTTAATTGGGCCCCATTTGATCATACTGTAGATCCCAAATTTGCGTCGGAACATTCAAAAATGACACTGCTCGCTCTCATGTGTGTGTGAAACAGTCTAATATACAAATTTTAGCTGGGGGCATTCTGCATTTGTCTTCTCTTGTATACATCCAAAGATATATAAGATTCTCATCAGGTAACATATAAGAATTTGGTGGGCCTTTGGATAAGAACAATTTCAGCCCAGCGCATGATCCTTTCCTCGGTTAGCATTCGTTTTTGCTGTCGAGTGAGTCCGAGACCAAAAGGAGTATGCATAATACCTATTGGGGAGGGTATGCATGCATTGGGTCCATTGAAATACGAGTAACAGAACCATGATCGACACGGTCATCAGTTCTAAAAAGATTATTCTATTTTATGATCGAAATTTTGGCCACGCAGCGTAAATGCATGTCTAGGGGCTGGCCGCTGCAGTGTGATTTTCATTGCTTGGCATTTCGATCGAGTATCCTGGGATCTGCCAATTTGACTGACGTGTCGATCTCAGTGAACATGCAAAATCCAATAGAGTGATATCAGTGAACATGCACGATCCAATATAGTGGCTTATCTGGAGTAAACTTACCATTTTATTACGTGTCATTAATCTGTCGATAGCTAGGCTTTTTGAAATACCACCAATGCAGCTACCTGTACAATATTCTTGCAGCTATGTGGCAAACAAGGCGGAGCTGAAAGTCGTGGGCTATTGAGAATCGAATTGAGCGACCAAGAGCTGAACCTGATTTGGATAGCCGAGGAGTCTAGGTGGCCAGATTTCTGGTTATAAATACATCCTTTAGGCAAACATTCATAGGGATTGAGTACCTTTGACGCAATATGGGGTTTCTAAAGTTATCTACAAGTGCCGTTCTCCTCCTCAATCTGTACCTTGCCCAGTCGGCTAGTGCTAGAAGCTGTGACGGCACGCAGGGAATAACCCTGAAGAGCAACCAGGCGGTCATCAAGGGTGTCCCCCAATGTCCTGAAAGTGAATGCTGTTTCTGAGAATTTCAATGACTAGTTAAACTGACATTTTTAGATGACGGCGACATAATCGAGACCAGTGATGGTGGCTACTACACCTTCCAGTGTTGTATGCACGAGTCTAAGGGATCGACCTTGCTCAAAAATGTGCCCACGACTGGGTATGATGACTGTATCAACCAATGCACCTTGACGGACAACTGTCAAGCGTAAGTATATCACACCTGGAAAGGATGTATATAATTATCTGACAATTGCGCCTGAGCAGGTTCCGCTATGTCTTCGGCGCCAACGGTGACGAAAAGACTGGAGATTGTAAACTTTATGCAAGTGGTACTTTCTCAAATGCAAAATGTGGCAATACACTACACGACTGGGCCTATCTAACCGATCCTCCGGTGGTTGATGTCGCGGAGAATTTGCGAGCAGCATGCTCAACCGAGTGCCCAGATGCAGATGGCCAAATCTATACTGCCAAAAACAAACAGGTGAAGCCTTTTCGGATATTCTATGGCACAAAGTTGAATAACTACTAACAATATTGTAGGTGTTCCACTTGGATTGCCAGAAGCGCCATGGGACAGCTTGGTTCCACAAGCTCGATTCTAACTCCTTGAAGGAATGTACCGAGTCTTGTGCCTCGTTCATCGGATGCCAGAGTGTCGATTACCACAAGCGAACCAAGAAGTGCTACCTCGGCAAGCGTACCTCAAAGCCCACCCTTGACGCCCTCGGGTGGGCATCTGCTTATTCTCTCGGTTGCTCGGGAGCTTGCACTGAGGACTCTTGTGGTAATACGTGTGGCTCAATTGCCCCTCCAGTCAACGTAACTCCTCTACCGGAACAACAAGACCCTATTGTCCCAGCCAACCCTCCAACGGAACAAGACCCCATCCCAGCCAACCCCTCCACGCCTCCTGTGCCCAAAGAGGTTAAGTGCGACGACGACAACAACTCAGTGGTTGACTTAGACGGCACAAAGTACAAGATTCTTTGCGGCAAACAATACTATGACGACAGCCGATACGTAGCGTCTGGTATCTCCTACACTGAATGCCTGAAATTGTGCAGCGCAGACCAGACTTGCAACTCGGCAGATTACTGGGATCCTAGTGGTGGACAGTCCTGCTATCTTTTCAGTGGCACTGGAGAACCAACTTATTCGACTGACATGAACTGGGCTGCCGTCAAGGTTTGATAGGTCCACAAACTGTCTAAAGTCATGGATCCTAATATCTCTACATGTTATGGACTGGAGGGGAGACGGCAGGAGGTTTTGCCTGTGTCAAAGACAAGCAAGAACAACACATGGTTATCCATAGACACATGCAATGAAATGCACTTCTTGTTTGGGTATTGTTTGAATATTTTTCTCCTATATCGAGGTTTTTTTGGTGACAATTAGAAGTCGTACAAACGTGATTCATTAGGCTGGATCCTATACCTTGACTAACAACTCACTAGATATCGTAATATTAAAGTCGTAGGACTATCTAACACAACTCATTCACTTTATACCCATATATATTAAGATACACTGCTTACAACTAGCTTTAAACCTTCATTTCCCTTGCATTTCTACGCTGAACCCCTAGCGCTGATATCTCGTCTTCTTGGAACACCCACGGTCTTCTGCCATCACTATGATGTATACTAGCTTTTCTATATTGAGGAAAGTGCGACTTTGACTGATTTGTTCTCGTGATTATAAGCTTTTGTACTTTCTGGGTGGTGTCCGGTTTCCAGATGTACTTGACTCATTCCGATGCCCGTAACGCTCTTTCCTCATATCCGAAACACCTTTCATCCTGGCAACCATGGATGCAGAGTCCAAATTTACCTCTATTAGGGAAAGTACGTCTCAACTGTAACCTCCTTCTGCCGATTTCGACGTCGGCTCTCAAGAAGGCTTAGTAGCTTTCGAATAATGGTCTATATATACAGCTCTCGAATGCATATATCTTCTTCTTTTTTCTTACTTCTTCAACTATTTTCTCTGACTATTACATCATCCTGCCATCAAGTATACGCCTAATTCACTTCAAGTATACCTCGACTGGCCCTTACTACAGAGTATATCGAATACTCAATCAACCCCAGGAGATTGGTACACCACAACCTCCATCTCCACCTCTAATCCCTTCGAAGCCTTTTCACATAAATCACTAAAGGCTATATAAAAAATAGCACGATGACCTCCGTGCAAGTCTACTACGAACAGGCGGAGGTCTTCAACTGGCTCGATGCTATCTCTGGCGACAACGGAAGCATCGACCCAAAGCAAGCATATACATCCATGTGTTTTCAGATATATATTAACCTTATTCACAGGACACTCGAACTCCATCAGGTTGTCACCATCGACGACAACCAACACCAACCTCAACCACCTCGTTCAGGACAACATCCATCTCCCCAGCCGTCCCGACACTCCACCCTCAATCTCCGAACGCTGGCTCCCCTAAAGCTGGAGCATGAAAACCCAGTCTCAGCTCCGCGAGTAATCACCAAGTCACCTCGTTGGGTGTATGAGGTAATCAGCCAACACGAGCCAAGGCGGATGTTTACCGAGTTCCACTACGAAGAACCCGACTCAGTCTCGCTGGCCACGACTGCGACTGACTCGGAGTACGAAAGATGTTTGCTCCCATTTTGTGGAGCCTTACCACAACCAACCAAGGAATCCTCTGCCGCCGGTGCCACTTCCTCACCGTCGCCCTCTTCATCTAGCAACCACCAGCCCCAGTGGTTGCCTCTTGTGGTTGTGCAAGTTGTATCGAGCAAGGTCCGCAAAGCAGTTCGGGCCTTGAAAAGAAGACTTTCTTAGTGAATATGAGAAAGGGAATTTGGTACATGATCTGTCTTGGATTATGTACCACATGAATTATATATTGTTTGTTGTTGCTGGCACCAAAATACATTGTGTCAGCGAGCGAATATGGGGTACTCTTTTCAGATGGGGGATTTGCCCCAAAGGGGCTTTAACCCAGTTGGTTTTAATGAGGCCTCAACTCATGTATATCACGAATTTGTTTGTTTTGCTTCATGGAAATGTTGATGGCTGTCCCATATTGATACCCTATACGCTTTAGTTTTTGTCAAGTAAATGAATGCTTCAATTTATCAATCTCAATTATGAAAATGTAGAAAGAACCATAAATTTGTAAATCGAGCGTCGATGAAGTGTGAAGTGCGCATGATCAAATGTATAGATCGAGGGCGGTCGGCCCACCTGCCCTGTATGATTTCGGCAGAGTTGCCTCTCCACGATAAAGCCACTGTGAACAACCGCGGCCAACAGGGCATCATCAACAACAACCCATTTCCCTCGAACCAATTCTTCCACAACAGCCAAGATGGATCCCTTTTCTGCAGAGGGCGGTAAGGCTTTCACCCCTCCCTACAGCTCCGACTACCGCTAATCCAGCTTCCCCGCAGAGCTCCTCAACATCCACAGCGCCTTCCACTCAGGCCAATACCAGAATGTGATCGACTTCGACACCGCCGCGCTCTCCCCCGAAAACCAAATCCCTGCTCAAGTCCTAAGACTCCGCGCCCAGATTGCCCTCGGCAAATTTGACAAAAGCCTCGCCGAGCCCTCTATCGAGGAGGACAGCCCCGACCTGTCGGCCGTCAGGGCCCTGGCCCTACAGTCCTCCGGCAAAACAGACGCTGCCCTGCAGCTCGCACAAGAGCTCGCAGAAAACTATCCCGAAAATAACACAGTGCAGGTCCTTGCTGCTACCGTGCTCCAGGCCCAGGGCTACAGCGAGGAGGCGCTGGCGCTGCTGTCCAAGCACCAGGGTAACCTCGAGGCGTGAGTACCCCTGTCTCAAGGAGACTACGGTATAGCGGTGCATATTAATCTGATAATCTGTCTATGTTAGCGTCTCCCTCATCGTCCAGATCCAGCTCCAACAAAACCGGACCGATCTCGCGATTAAGGAGGTTCAGGCTGCCAAGCGCTGGGCTCAGGATTCGCTGCTGGTCAACGTTGCCGAGTCGTGGGTTGGCTTGAGAGTTGTATGTTGATGAGGAACCCACAGTCTCCCAGTCAATTGTTTATAAGCGCTGACTTTTTGTTTCTATTGTATAGGGCGGCGAGAAGTACCAGTCTGCTTTCTACGTCTACGAGGAGCTTGCCTCCGCACCCGGTACCTCCGCACCGTTATCCATCGTCGGTCAGGCCGTCGCTGAGATCCACCTGGGTCGTCTCCCCGAAGCTGAGGCCGCGCTCACTGCCGCCCTTGAGAAATACCCTACCGATGTGGAATTGATTGCTAATAGCATTGTTTTGAATGTGTTGGCTGGCAAGCAGACCGAGGACCTGGAGTCGTATGTTATCCCGTCACAGCTCTGTTCAAACGAGATAGTGAACTCAATGCTAACTTTTATCCTTCGTCTAGCCGGTTACAGCAGCTCCAGCCCACGCACTCCCTTCTCACTGATATCCAGGAGAAGAGCGAGTTCTTCGATACTGCGGCCGCTAAGTTCTCTGCCAAGGTCTCATCATAGATCAATCTCAACGCTGTTCCCTATGTTTGTTGTTTTGTTTAATCCAAGTCAGGGGCGCCTATCCTGCTTGTTATGAAAAGACATGACCTCTCAATCTTGCAACTGGTACCATATTTGGATTCCCTATCTGTAATTTGGTATGAGACATAGTAACAATAAGACCCGTTTCTATCCAACCCGTCCCACTGTCCCAATAACATGGAGCAATAAATAAATCACAGCCGAGCAGCCAACCACTGTCGCAACTCCGACCGAGTCTGAGCCTCCTCGTTAACCATAGTATAGAACGGCGCGTCATGCGACTCATCCTGCCCAACCACACAAGTAATCCCCTCAAAAGTAGACTTGATCTTCTTCGCAAACTCCTGGACAGGCGAAAGCAAGATCTCATCGCTACCAACAAGAAACAAAATCTTCTCCGTCTTAGCACCACTCCACCACTCAGCCGGCGCATTAAACGGCTCATTCCAATTATCCGCCGGCTTACCCGAACGGTACACAACAGACCACCTGGTCAAAGCCGACGCTGTGATAACATCCTTCCACCGATTATCCTTCATCGACGGCCACTCCGAACTAAAGTTAACCCAGGGCGCATACGCAAAGACACCCGCCAATGGCGCTGACAGCACCAACGGCTCAATCTCAGCATGGGGGTGAGAAAGGTGCAGCAGCGTTGCTGTGGCTAGGTTGCCGCCTGCGGAGTCCCCGCCGATAACAACGTTTGCTGGTGAACGGCCCGTCTCATTGATGATGTAGCGCAGGGCCTCTACGGCTTGGCGGAGTTGGGTTGGGTACGTCGCGTGTGGGGTTAGAGTGTACCGTGGGAAGAAAACGGCTAGGTCATGGCCAGTTTCATTCAGGACCTTCAACATGTCCAGCCAGAATTCGAAATAGGATGCCGTAGCGGGGATGGCGAAACCACCACCTGATTTTTATTAGTATTTTATGCTTTTTATAATCGGATATATTGTGAGTATGTTTTTTTTTCTTTCGCTGTTGGTGCGAATTACTCCGCGTGTTACACGATGCGGATTGGGGACGCACCGTGGTAGTATATAATCACGTTCTTAGCGTTCTTATTCCCGAGCCAGTGGCCCTCTGCGCCATGTGGGAGTGCCACAGTCTCGGGTTGAAGACCGCGCTTCTTCATGACGGTTGCGTAGGCGACTGAAGTTGGGGAGCTGATGTACCTGTGCGACAATAAAATATCAATGCCTTGTCCATTTCAATTTTTGCTTTATTGGGAATTATGTGCAGAAGAATCAGAGCGAGAGAACGACATACTGTATCTGCCGATCCGTAGTACGATCAACCATTCCCCGAATCACGGATGCCATGATATAATGATCGTAGCGCCTGGGGCTGGCTTTACCCCGGAAAACACCTGTAATAGCAGCATACAACAAGTTGGCGAACACCGATAGGCGCATGAGTGGTATATCTGCTTTTTCCCAGAAGCCGAGCTTGGGGATATCATGGTTGGAGGACATGGTCGTGATTTGAGTGATTAAAGCTCTTGGGAGAGGAGGAAGTGAGCTGTGCTGAGTCGTCGGCTTTATAGCATTGCTCCCCGCTCCTTGGATACCCTCGGCTGTGGGGCATGCAGGACGTGAAGCCGTCGGGTGCTGATTGGCTTTGCGCCGATCTGTATTGTGAAATCTTCAGGGTTCCGGGTTTAGCGCCAAGTTCAAGTTGTTGACTGCATTCTGAGGAATTTTGTCTGGGAGCTTAATATATAATGGAGTCCAGATTGAACTTACTTGCGTACATATTAAACGAAGCCAAGGGAGGAGATATTCAGTATTTTAGCAACTCACAAGCTCGGACCTCGGGAATCATACCTATCACAAAGCAGAGGCACGTTGGACGGTTGCCGAAGATATCTATTAAGATAACACTCTCCAAATTGAAAAAAAACTGGGTACGTATCTACGCCAATGATTGCAGTATATGTGAGTAAAACGATGGTTGTCCGGCTCTGCGGCATGTGCATTGGTGGGTGTCACAGTAGGTGCAAGTGTGCTGAAAGTCTGATCTAGAATCAGTAAGGCACTATCCAGTTTAGTGTGATTGGAACCTGACAAACATAAGGTGCATAGAAAATGGGACTTGCTTGAGTGAGACATGACATACTATAATCAATTCAGCTCCGGTTGCCTTGAGTTTGACCGGAACGTCATATAATGAAGGGATAATTGATCAAGAAAAGTTGCAATGCTGCTTTTTTTGAACTTGTCATATCAAATGATTTCTGTAAATATTTCAAAATCACAGATTCTATCAAGCTGCTGTTGGAACGTAAATGACGAATAATGTCACACTACAAATAAAGGATAGATAAAAAGAATAGCGTAGTATAAGTGGATGAAACAGGCAAAAGCTAGGCTCGGATGTTTAGTCTGATCAGAAACAATATGTGATGGGAAGGTTGCTTAGGCGATGAGGGAGGGAAAAGGAGATTTGGAATATTTTAGTTGCGGTTTATAGAAGTGAAAGACAGAATGAGTAGACAGGGAATGGCAGTTTCTGTATGTGTTTGTGACAGGAGAGAGATCCTAGAGGTAAGCACGGCGTACCTCCAAAACTCCTATTAACATCACGAATCTGCCTCACCAGCTCGGCTGGTACAGCCAGTCCCCCTCTTTCGAACCGGAAAGGATCGAGCTAGTGGGTTAATTAGACAAGAATTTAGTAGTCAACACAACAGGAGAGATATGAAAGATATCACAGACAAAAGCACGTAGTAATCAAGGAAGCACCTATCGCCACAGAAATGTAAGGTATGATGCACGAGGGTAATTTTTGATGTGGCTAGGAGTAAGTATGGCGCTATGCAAGGAGTTATCAAGCAGATCAGATTTGAATCGAAGAAAAAGACCTGATGGCTTGAAGGGCCCAGCTCCACTTTATCCAGGGCTATATAAGCGCAACACGGCCCCAAAAAACCTGGATATCACATTAGATATGTTTGTCAGAAGGAAGCCTTACAGGATTGAAATTACATCACTTAAGAGGGCTCGCGATGCTGGATATGGCCTTTTTGGTGACGCAAAACGGTGTGAACCTCTCGGGGCGTGTGCTGATAGGTGCTTAAGCGTCAGCGATACCACGCGGCCAAATGCTAGTTAACATGGCACTATAACCAACGAATTCCATACTTAACGAGCCTTATATCGAGGGGTGGATGGACGCTCCAGCTTTTCCTTCCACCCTCCGTTGCTCTGTTTGATTAAATACAGGGCACAGCACCTCATCAGCAACGTATCGTCCAGGCTGTGCTGTAAGGAATTCAGGGGTAATATTACGTTCATTAAATTTGCATCAATCCACTTTGCTTGGTTGTGGTAGTGAGTTTAGTCTTCGGGTTTCGAATCTCCTTCCTGATAGACAATGCCTGGATAGTAACCATGCTACATAATTCCGCCATGGTGTGACTGAGACTGGGGCCGGCGGCTGCCTATCAAAATATCGAATTTCTCGCCGAAAGTTGATGTGTATTTGGAACATGGTGCGTCTCGGAAGCCATCACCCTGGTAAATAATAGGGCTCATAAGGACCCTCTACCAAGCATCAGCAGCCGCCGTACTCATATTTTCGATAGCTATTATTAGAAAGAATATCCAGATATATTTATTTGTAATTGGATGTGTCAAAATTTGACGCATCTTGTCCAACAATATTTCGGTTGGCTCGAAGTCTGACGCGTGTCAATAAAGTTCTATGAATCGTAATTTCTAATGTAGTAAGACTGAGCCTCATTTTTTCTACTGCTGGCTGAAAGTAAGTCGTTACGATGAGAAATCATGCATAAGAAATCAAGTTTCCCGTCTCTTCTGGTATTGAACATCATCCTTTCTCAATAAATGACTGCTGACAGGAGTTCGAACGATCCATATTTTGAAAACTACATCTACCACTGTACCCAACTCGACAACATGAAACCCTCCGTGTAATCTGTGCAAGCACTTTGGGCAAATCGGCTGTTTGATTTCATGCTCATTGGTACTTCAACTTGTCACGCCACTCTAGTTCCATCAGTCTCGAGATCTATGCCTTTAGTAACACTGTGAAGGGGCTCTATTGGATATTAAGAGCCCAACATCTCTTCTACTTTTAGTGCTTATAAGTGCCGCCAGTGGGTTGAGGATATTTCAACTAAAGCTACTCGCTAAGCTCGGAAATTCATTCGTAGCCATGGAGTTGGTTGCATATCCCAACCTCAGAACGTCCGAGCGATGAAATCCAACAATGCTTCCATTGGGTCACAATGTGAGGCGTGTCGAGTAAGCTTCCCCTATCAGGTTATTTACCCTAGAGAGAGTCAGTCTGCTCCAAAGCTAACTAAAGGAGTGGGAATTTGCATATAAGAAGTCAGGATTCCTGTCTCTTCTGGTTATCATCACCTTCCTTTCTGACAGACTATCACTTCCTTAACCAAGAAGCTCAAAGAATCCACCTTTCTTTTAACACCATCTGTATCTTCCACTCCAATCAATACAACGAAATGGCCGCCGAAAGTCTCTCCCCTGAGGAAAAAGCCTTAGAGGATGTTTTGAAAAAGCTCCGAAAAGACTCGGCTGACAATTTCATGCTCTTGGGATTCTACTCTCTTTTTGGAACCTCTTGCCTCAATGAAATGCTTCTCCGTGCCGCTACTGACCGCAAAGCGAAGTTGTCAAGGCATGACGAAATCCAATTTCCATGGGGAAATGCGTGGCTTTTGCCGGACAGTAAATTCGATGGTTCAAGTTGCAATGAAGCATTCGCAAATTTGCAACAACTCGAGCTTGTGTACAGTTCGGTCACGTTCGAAGTATCCGGTGTGAAAATAAACACGTTTTCAATCAAGAAAGGAGCTTGCAAATTGATTCTAGGCTTACTCGGAACAAGATGTGCAGAGGAGCTAATCCTGATTGCTGTAGATGGGCTCCAGTATCTCATATCTCATCTTTCAGACTACTTTCCCACGTCGCCCCCCCCTCCGGCGATATTTCAGTCTCACATTCAAGCCCTGTGGTCTCACGTGGAACACCCATGGAAGAATGTGACAGAGGTGCCTCCCAGTCCTGTTAATTTTCGCAAGTTGTCAATCAAATCTCTCCAGATGTTTGTTTCATATTTCCGCCTCTCCTCTGAGAATGAAGCCCGTGCTACTGAGGCCTACAAATGCATGTCCGAACTTTTGAAGGATCTTCCAGAGAGCGGCGCCAATCAGAAATTTGGAGTAAACAGACCACTTCCTTCTATGGGGCAGATTGAACAAGATCTGCCTATGGTACCATTCATAGCGTTGAAAGAGGCAAAGTCATTCTTGAAATATGAATTGAAAACCGAGGGTGGTAGCGACATGCAAGTAATCAATGACAACATGCGATTGCTCTGGTTAGAGTGCGTGGGATATCTCTACGGAAAGGTGGGGGAGGATACCAAAGCAAAGTGGTTTCTTGAATGTGTGCAGAAGGTGCGGAAGCGTTCTTCGGGTGATGGCTTGGGAGCTATTTGGACTCGTGAGGATAAGAACGCAATACAGCAGAGATTGAAGGTGCGTCTTCAGCGGGAGCTGGAGCTGGAGCGTGATCGGCGTTGGTCCTACCTTGATGACCACATGCCAACATGGGGCGAGGAAGATAAAGAAGTTCTGTCTCCTCGAGGCATTTGCTCTTTCCAGTATGTCTAAGATTGACTAGGACATTGATCATTACACCCATCTTCGAGCACTTTGTTTGATGCCACTTGGCACCCTCTTATGTTCTTTTGCTTTTTGTCGAAATTTGGATATTGGTACCGACCGTTTACAGTCCTTTTTAAATCATAGCCTACAATTCATCATATTTTATGCAATTATTTGCATTTTCAATGTTCCAGTGGTATGCCGTGGTTTTCTAGGTCAAACAGTTGATCTGTAAATAATTAGTCTACCAGGAAATTATAATTTTATTGAACATGTTTTATTTTAACGAATGTAGCAATGCAAATGTTTAGTGATTGATTTAAACTGTGGATAGCCGTGGTTATTTGGATTGTGCAGAAGTGTAATGGACTGCCATCGTGTGTACATCGTGGCAGACCTTGGTCACATTATAAGCGCTCACCTGTTCTCTATGAACCAGGCATCCATACAGCTGACCGCCCATATATGTTAGTTTAAAGCTGAACCACTGAAAATTGGCACCAGAGAGCAGAATTATCCAGGTTGATAATACTATATAGGCCGTTATAATAATAGAATGTTTTGACTGAATGTCTCCGGTTTTCGGTTGTGGCTACTTCCAAGGTTGATTCCGCACATTACATGAAGTAACTGTGCCGTTCTCTACGCTAGGAAATTAAACATATACATACATGTTGGCCAGGTGCAATTGATATCTGTCTAGCTCATCAATTAATTTGTTTCGGGGAAATTGCAATCTCACAATGTCAACAAAAAGCCCGAACGTCAAAATCCATACTGCTTCCCTATCGACACCACACACCAACAAGTTCATCATATGGAATATTCGAAATTCCTGTCAGATATAAGCTACGAACACCAATGATGCTCCCTACCAAATCAAAAATTTGATCAAAGGGCTGTCCCACTTCTTTCAACCGTTTTTGTTTCGTCCCACAGTTGCAAGCGACTGCTTGTAAGGTCGTACAAAATGCGGGCACAGTCGGCCTGCTGATACGCATTTTTATGCCCTGAGCAGAATGCCTCCTCTGCTGTTTCGAAACAATGCCTAAATTGATAGTTCAGAGTTAGCAGTTTGTCATCTAGAGCTGTAGCGAGGCCCGTATAGACATACAGGGCAGCATTGAGATCGGCTATACCAGAAGGATTATTTCTGGCGTGGTTGTAATAATGCAAACCCACTTTGTAGCTTGCCATTCCAAATATGGGGTCTTTTTCACCCAGGGACGCCCTTAAGCACTTAAAAGCCTGCTTGTGGAAATTGAACGCCGTTTCGCCGTCGTCACCATCGCCAAGGTATGCATTGCCTAGCCAGTAAAGGGTAAGGCCAGTGCTGACAACACTCGTCAGCTGGAGGATCAAAATTTACGAGCAAAGGTTATTTGCATTCCTTACCGATAGTCTTTTGTATGATCAAAAGGTGCTCCTTCCAGTTCCAGGAGAAATTTTGCAAGGTGTGCTTTCGCCTCCTTTGTCTTTCCTTGCAAAAGCATGCAATTTCCCAGGTCCACTTCGTACTTGTTGTACACAATGTAGGGTGGCCTGAGTCTAAGCGCGTCGCGATAGTATCCTTCGGCTTCCTGGTGGCAACCCTTGCCATCCAGCGCTTGCGCCATGCAACCACGGAAGAGCCATTCCCGCCCCTTGTACCGTACCTCAGAGCGGAACTCAACCCTTTGATCCAGGTATTGCTGTATCGCTCTCTTTATTTCCTCATGTGCCAAGTCAAATTTGTGCAGTCCAATCAAAAGACATGCACGCAGATACCCTGTGTTAGCGCGTTCCTCATCTTTGGAAACACATTCCTCATCTTTGTTTGTGTCCTCTACGGTAACATCAGACCAAGAGTTAGAGAATATGTCATAGCTAGTATCTAGCATATCGAGTGCGCATTGGAAATCGCCCTTCCAGTATGCTACTTCCCTTCGTATTGTCAGCATTGGAGATCGTTCCGACGGTCAGGAAGATACTCACCTTGCTGCTACATCCAGCATTGTCAGGAATTCAAGCGGGATCTTGAATCTACCCTCTTTCTCTGTATTTCTTGCGTTGTCGATATAGAATTCACGTACCCGTTCAACATCGCCCAAAAAGGAGTCGTCTTCGATCTCTTGAATGGTTAACCCAATGGAAGACAGGCCTTCCTGGAGATCAAACTCCTTTAGGACGTCACGAGATACATTGAAACGAAGATCGAGCTTCTTCAGAACATGCTTGGATGCATTAAAAAGAAGACTATGCTTTTCTTCCGGTGTGAAAACTCTTTTTTGCAAATTTTCAAGGGGTGGGACAGGACTTTCCTCATGCTTTTCCTCGGTCATTTTGTCGCAGACCAAGAGTATACAACTGAAGAATGATCAGTTCTGTAAAGAAATGGCAAGGCAAGACCCAAAGATAAGAGTGATAGGAGAACATCAAGGTATTATTTGAAAGAGGCCATGATCAAGATATATAAACTTCAGGCGCAAAAGGCTCATAAAGGGCGCCTGCCAATATGATATTCTCTTTGGCTCGCACTCATTCTCTCTTACGACTCATACCTACTCACTATAATGCAGAGCGCGATGCTCAACCAACCCAAATTACTCAATAAGCTGGTCTCGAAACACTTCACATGTCCGCTATAAGTTCTGATGGCTACCATAGGTCGGCCTGAAAAAGAAAAGCCCTACTGCTAAGGTGTGTAGGATATACTTTAATCGAGTGCTGCTCTGCTGGTATCCAACAATAACTCCGATATCACTCATACTGTCAAATGTGATCACTGCCCAAACATTATTACATATGTGATATCCCATTCAACTAAGAGATCTTATGGACCAAACACCTCATGTTGGGGTTAAGTTAGAGCTATGAAAACGACACCGGGAGGATTGTGCACTAAGCGCCTATTTTCGCTACCTGTACTAAACAGCCGCCACATATCCTGTTGAAATCCTCAAAGCTAAATATATCTTAGAAATATTAGCCATGAATTTGATGATGGAGAGAATCTTCAAATTCATATAGAAGATGATATTACCAACACCAGTTAGCGCCTAAGATGCCTGAGCGCAGCCCCTTTCCGTCACCTGTGCCATACTATAACACTGCGCATATATAATGGGGGAAAGAAAACCACAAATTGGATGAAGGGTGATCTGACGTGGAGGCCAACAAACGTGTAATCCAATAACCCCATTGGTGCAAAGGCCAGGCTCTTTGGAGACCCATTGGCACACCAAGTCCAAGCTCTTGCGTTATGGCAATTATAGCCCGAAGTTTCCAATCTTGCCTTCTGTTATTGCATTGTCTTCGTGATTTTGTTTTGTTATTATTTCACACCAGAATATCATCACTATCTTCCATGCACATTTTACAGGTTTGCGCCAATGCTAGAACGGGGTGTTTCATCTTGACGCCAAAGATTAGAATATGACAACTTAACTACCATTGACCTAATTTGCCTCACCAGTCGCTGTCAATTCACAGAATGCCTTGTAGGTTGTAAAGACATCATCACCCTCACCGCTGCCAGTGTTCTCAATCACACACTGAGCAGTAGCGCCGACGAAGAAAACATAGCCCTCCTGGACCTCCTCGGTCTTGTTGCCGACAGTAATCTTGCCCTTGCCACGTGTGCAAATTATGATACTGGGGCCATCGATCGGGTCAAAAGTGGCCTTGGCGCCAGTGCGGTTCAAGTCGGTCTTGATAACGCTGAACTCATCGATAGGAGGGTCGTAGAGCATCGCGGACGAGGCGCTAGAGTAAGCAGTGGCGTTCAGAATGACATATGGGTAATCTGTCGCCTGGAGTTTCTGCTCCTCGATTGGTGCGTAAGAGTAGGTCAGCATCTGGGTGAGTGTGTCGACGTCCTTGAATTTCGGGGTGAAACCCGCGCGCACCACGTTGTCAGAGGACGCCATGCACTCAATGATATCACCGGAGATGTACGCGTGGATATCATCTGCCTTCAAGAACATAGCCTCACCAGGCTCCATCTTCACAAAGTTGAGGAAGAAGAAGATGAACAGGCCGATGTCGTTTGGGAACTGTCCATCCAGACGCTTGGCAAGCGCAGCCAACTCGGCGGGGTTGGTAGGGTTCGTCTCCACCTCACCTGGCAGGGTCGCGAAGCTGTTGGGGCTGTTTTTTGCGGCCGAGATAAGGTCCTTGCAGGCTGTCTCTACTTTGCCGGGTGAAGACTCCATCAAGGCCGTGAAGAGGGAGCGCAGCGCTTCTTTGTTGTTTCGAATGACGGTGGGTTCGTCTGAGTTCTCGTTACCCTTGATTGCCTGCTCGAACTCACTCGCCGCCTCGTTGCCAACCAGTGTGCGCAGAGGCTCCACGGCCTGGAGGAAGTGTGTGATCTCTGCGAGTGGACGGAAGCCACACAAGCCCTCGAATGGAGTGATGGCAATGGTCATCTCGGGCTTGTGATTGTCATCTTACAGTTGGTTAGCCATCTTTCCGGGTACTCGTGTATTGAGTGTTGATCCCAAGTACCACTCACCGGGATAGTTCTTTGGGTCCCGGGCGTGGAGCTGCTCCGCAAGCTTCTTGTTGGGATGGGCCTGGATGCTAAGCGCTTTACGGATGGAAAGCACCTTGAACAGGAACGGAAGTCTGCCTCCAAATCGTTCACTGATAACCGTCGATAACAGGGCCTGGTTGTCCTGAACCATGTCGAGGAGGGTACGCTGGGTCTCGACATCTTTAGAGGGAAGAGAGGGATGTGTGCCCATCCAGAGCTATGAGGTATGAGCCCATTATGTCCAATATTATTCTTGAGGTCTCACTTACTTCGGCGTAGGGCTTGTCGGCCTCGATCACAAAGTCCGGGGCGGCTGTTGTGGCCGCATACTTTGCCGCTGCCGACTCTTGGCCAACCTTGCCTATGACGGGTTATCAGTGCGGGGACCATAATCTCATCAGTGGTACTAGCTTACCCCAGTCATAGCTGTTGACGCCTAAAGGAAAGCTTATTAGTCCTGTTTATTATGTTATAGCATCTCAAAACCTACCGCACTGCAGGCGAAGTAGTGGTACCTGCATATTGGAAATGGATGTTTGGAGAAAAAGCGGAGGGGCAAGCTTGGAACCACCTGGGCAGTTTGTATTAGAAATTCCCCGCCAAGCCTTCGGTGAGAGTCGTCAAACAGGGTCTATGGTCTCTATGACACACATTCAGAGCTTTAAAGTGAAGCGCTGGAGATTGATCTGGCACCTTAGTCAGAGACATTCCCGGCTTTTTGTTTCTGGGATTTACGGAGTATCCCGATCTGTCACGGACTCCGAACGAGGTACTTCCGCAACCATTTTACGAGTTATGGCCAAAATATACAGCCGCATTGAGATATAGTTTTAATAGATTCGATTAAGTCGGAGGCTCTTGGAATTGATCACAAATAGGACAGAGAAGACATAACTACATTCACACTGGATAATGTCTGGCAAATCTTTGCTTTCACTTTCCGTTTTAGTGCTCGTCCCTCGCCGCTTTTTGCTCAGCTTAAATAAACAACCCGATCGAATTCGCAGCGTTGCCTGAATACCCTGATCCAACTCCCGCAAAAAACGGCCAAAGTTTCAGATACCACATTCTGCTAATTTTGTGGCTTTTTTTTCTTCAATTTGTTGGTGCTATTAAGCTGATAGCACCACGTTCGTCCATTTCCCATGGTCATCAGCACAATTGGCAACCTCCTCGGGGGTACAAGGTCGATGATACCAAACACTGAACTTGCTCTGATTCAAAGGGCTGAGATGCATCATGTCAATACGCGCTGCGCGTGGAATCACATCATTGGGCGTCAACCCAGCAGACTCCACTTTGATAACATGTTCTATCGTAGCGACAAAATGATCCGACGTCCAGAAACCTTCTCGCCGCGGGGAGTTACGCACGAGGCGTAATGTCTCTTGGCGCGTATGCCAGTCACGGCATTTAGTGGCACTGAAGTGGAGGACTTGTAGAAGCATAGGTTTAGTGGAGAACACCGAAGCTTGCTCATCCAAGCTCAAGTAAAGCGCCGCCAGCTCCTTCATCCGCTGGAATATAGGCAAAGAGGAGTCATAAGACATCTGATCTAGAGGCCTCTTAAGGGAAGCCAGTATGATCTCACTGCCCAAAGTCCACAGCTCGATTAGTATTATCGGGCCGCGGTCTTGCGGCGATAACGTATCCTTATGTGCCGAAAAGAAAGCATGAAACTCGTTCTTCCAGTTCGTTACTCTCTCTATAACTGTCTTTTCCTCGCTATTCTGATAAAGTAGATCGGCAAGGGCGGTGTTCAATCTCCGTAGACTAGATCCTACGCGGAGTTCGAATCCCTGTGGATAATTTGTCATGATAGCCGCTCCAAGGACAATCGCAAAATCACTTTCAGAAGCTTCCGAATACCCGTACACAGGCCGGCATACGGTAACCGCCTTCCAAATCGGTAAATCTTCGGCCTCCGTCTCTATATCATGCTGTGGTTGAGAGAATGTAATCCGGTGTAGCTGTAGATCTGAAAATGTGCGCATTAGGATCAGCCCCGAGGGATTCCCGTCGAAATTGACCTTCTGCCATTCCATAAGCACACTATAACCGGACCGTAGGTGCGCGGTCACAGCCTTAGCATCGCCCTGGAAGAGAGACAATGACACTAACATAATGCATGAAACAAGAACTGCCTCTCGATGCGCGCTGCTTGTCGTATATGTATCTCCCTTCGTTAGTCTCTGCCGTAAAGAAACAAGGGCCTTGGCGCACTGTGCTAGAGTGAAAGGTAGGATTTTGTTCATCCTAGGCTTAGCCATAGGCATGGACTTCGATTTGAATGAGTCGGTCTCTTGCATAAATTTCCAGTGCATAGAACTCAAAGCAATAGCTGCATGCCGTACAGCAGGTTCCTCCTCGGCGACCTGGTGAACGAGTCGCTGCCAGAAGTCATCGACCATATACCCGGTACATTTTCTGGAAGTATGCGTCTTGAATAAATCGAGGTACCGCCGTTCAGCAAGTGAAAGGCCCACTTGGCTCGGATCTAGTAACCGTCGTGCAACAGAGTTGGGGGGCAGATTGGGCCCTGGGTTAGGGGCGGGGTTGCGGGCGGGGTTGCGGGCCGTGGTGATGGCTAGGTTGTCTCGTACGGCGCGTTTGCGCCGGTCTGGAGTCTCCACGTATTCGCATACTCGACCCGTATTGGTGCACGCTAGACAACAAGGGTGTGTTTCATCACACTTTTTGCGGCGAACTCTGGAGAGTGATATTAGTTGCCGCGGATCCTGTTAGCCGCGTATAGCTTACTTGCATGTTTGGCAGCCCGAGCGAACCTTCTGATGGGTTGCCCTCCTCTTTCTCTCAGTCGTTGTTTCTAGGGCCATTTTATGTCCCCTGAAGGCTCAATTGCCTTACAGGAATGCCTATTTGGTTTTGTTAGGCTTCGAAAGGGGTTGACCTCACCGCCTTGCCTTTACAATATATTTCACGAGCGAGTGACTCGTCTGAGAATTAGGAATCTTGTTGGCTTGCCAGGTAAGCTATGTATGTGCTCCACAAATTTACCCTACTATCTTCGAAGGCTGCCTAGGTAGGTATTTTGTTTACTCAATCTATGTCGATAGCGGGCAGATAGTTAACTAAGTAGTCGCGGATAGGTAGCCCTGGAGGTAATCGAACAACGTAGGACGAGAAATGACGATAAACACTGTTCATTTTTCGCATTATCACCTATTCAGCGAGCCGGAGCACGGCAGCCCCCATAGTAGTGGTGGCTGACCCGATAGTAGTAGATCCGCTGGAAAACATTAGCCTGTCCATATACATAGTGTTATATAACTGTCAACACCGATGCATCTACAATGTCATGTCCCAAAGTAGTTTAGCTTATCAACTCCGACCGCCCGACGGAGCCCTTATCACCGCATCTCCAACACCTTGAAATACACAACTTGTACTTCAAATCTGCAGATCTTATTACCCAGGGGCTCTGGTCAGCAGTAAGCTGTTCATACTCTTCACACATTCTTTACAGTACATTGTCGGTAAACGGTCCGAGGATGTCTCGCAACCGCCCCCGACCCAGAGACAACGGCTTCGGCAATAATGAGGAATTGGAGCTCTGGACCAAGATTTGCCAGGATATTCGAAAATCTAAGGAGAAGTTTGATCAACAGACCTCATTGTCCCTGCAGATCAAAGCTTTGATGGACAAGATCGCCCACGACGGCAACCGTGAGTGCCCCCGCACTAGATCCCTCGGTTCTATACCGGATATCAAAAACCTCTAACATGCGCCTCGCTTCTCATTAATCCGAACACCTCTAAGCTCATTATTAATCGCATATACTAATATTTCATTCCCAAGCAGAACCTACCATAGCCGAACATGACCAACTCGATAGCTGGCTCCGCCTAAGCCAGAAGCTCAGCGAAGACGAGCGCTCAATCATGCAGGACGAGCCATGCGACGTAATCAAAAATTTAGAACTGCTCACTGCATTGCGCAAGGCATCTGAAGCTGAGGCGCCTCCAAACCGGTCCGCGTCGTTAAACAAGTCTCGCAAGAAAAGAAATGAAGTCGAAGGTTCGGTGACCGACTCCCCCAGTGCCTCGGGGGCTGACAAGTCCGCTCGCTCAAAGGGGACCGTCCCACGCAGCGGAAGCGTTTCATCAAGCACGCAAGCCCGCGAAGGGGGCCGCCAGGATAACATCATGGTCAAGATCGAGGAAGGGCCGTCGGAAGGGACTAAAGGCACCGTCGCAGAGCGGAATGGATTGCTGGTAGTTGGCGCTCAGGTTGTCTTTAAACACAACAAGAATAAACAAGGTGTCGAAGGTGAGGGGATCCAATGCATAATCAAGGCTGTTAATGGCGACGGGCCGAAGAAGCGGTAAGTGAAGTTGTTTGGTCGTTTGCGTGTCGTCTCGCTTTACATTGACTGACGCGTCATGTCTGATCCAGATATGATGTGCAGGACCCCGAGCCTAATGAGAACGGTGAGCAGGGCGCGGTTTACAAGACTACCGCTGCCTCTCTCATTCCCATTCCTCAGCTCAGCACTCACTTGGCTGCGTACCCGGCTGGCAAGCAGGTCCTTGCGCGATACCCGGACACCACCACCTTCTATCGTGCGGAGGTGATGGGCGCAAGGAAGGACGTCTATCGCCTCAAGTTTGAAGGCGAAGAGGACGATAAAGAGATGGAGGTCGACCGGCGATTCGTGCTGGATATTCTGGGCAAGTAACCTCAAGCTGTTTCTATGATCTGATGTGATGATGATACCATTTAAGCGCGGCGCTATCTGGAGTTCGAAGGCCTACCATGGATATGGGTTGCTTTCATCTTGACTAGATACTTTAGTTAGAAAGAACAATTTTTTTTGGAACTAGGTTAATTTACTGTTCACATTTGACCCAAGTGCACAATGTCAGGGATTTTTGCTCCCTAGGCATCGAAACTGCAAGCCAAGCTCTATTCCTGGCCTAGTGGCCGGGGGATCTACGCAGAGAAAGCTGGGGCTGATCAGTGCAGTTCTAGATGTCTACAATATACGAAGGTTTTGTAGAGCACCCCGCGAAATTTTATGCTCAAGAACACAATGCACTAGCCCGCTCTCTTCGCGAGAACGGTACGATCGATGCTAATGGCTTCGACGATGTACGAATCTAGTATGTCGAGTACGAGGTGGACAACAATTCAATATGCCGTAGAAGGCCGAATCGGCACACTATCTCCCCAAATGGCGATGCAATCCAGCTTCTCGGCTGGGCTCATTGAAGCGTCGAGCCTGGCGAGAGGTGATCGCACGAACAAGTATGATTTAGGAAATGCTTTCCACACCCTGAGAATTGTGGCAGCATTGATGGTGGGCATGATGAGTACGTCGCTGGTATTTATGCCACCTAGATACTGGTGGCGTGATCAACTGCCGTGATTACTATCTATCTTTTCCTTCCCCGATGTCGGCTTCGCGGAGTCGAGTTGTTAGATTGACATAGGCAAAGTGAGAACAATATTTGATGAATCGACTCTTTTAAGAGGCATGCATTCCATGGACAGTGTAGTTCTAGATCAAACAAAGCTCAACATGAAAGTTATAAATTCTTGACTAAACAGTTCTCCAGGGCTGGACCATGGGCCGAGAGAATGTGCTAGAGTAAGCCGTGACATAGAGATGACTCAGCTTTCTTCTCCTCATGCCGAGGGAGCATAACCGGAGCATAGTCTACTTCGCAATTAAAACTTTCCATTTAACAGAATTTGGGTTGTATTTCTTATTGATGAATCTGCGCCATTAAATTCCTACCCCTGCACACTAGAGCTTCTGCAGTGAGCCTCACGCGTCACACCACCCGACTACCCCGCCTCTCCGCCGTCGCAATGACCGACCTACCGGCCCATGCCTCACCAAAGCTCGCCCCGCGCTCCCTCCCGAGCGAAGATGGACAATTGGATGATTCGAACCAGGGGAGCAACACAGCAGACGACCAAAGGCCAGCTGTACCGAACTCATTGCTGTCGCCCGCATTCACCCCACCTGCTACCCCAGGTGGCACATTGAACTTGGATTTACATCCCACTTCCGTCCTTCACAAAACCCAAACAGCAGATATCCACAATAAGAGCGAGGATGCCAAAGGCCCCAAATTACTCCCGAAGCTACCAGCAGTGGAATGTATTGTGCGAGCGCGAATCCCGACAACCAACGGAGCGGAAATGTTCCTGCACCTCTACCACAATGATTTAGATGGAAAAGAGCATTTGGCCATTGTATTTGGAAACAATATTCGCAGTCGGAGCTTAGACAGCGTCCGGCCAGGGGAGACCGAGATGGACCGAATGATCCGCGGCGCTTACGTTGGGAAATTGCACCCAGGTCGAGTCAGTAGCCGGTATGATGAGAATCTATCCGGGTCAGCCTCGACGCCAAAGCAAATTGAGCCGCCGCTGGTGCGAATCCACTCGGAATGTTATACGGGCGAAACAGCGTGGTCGGCACGGTGCGATTGCGGCGAGCAGCTAGATGAGGCGGCGCGCTTGATGTCTTTCCCCGTTGAGGGTCTTGCCTCTGATGCGCCACCGGAGGTTCAGTCCCTCTCATCCCATTCGACAGGTGGTGTGATTGTTTACCTGCGACAGGAGGGTCGTGGAATCGGTCTTGGCGAGAAATTGAAGGCATACAATCTTCAAGATCTCGGGTCGGATACCGTTGAGGCAAACCTTTTGCTTCGCCATCCGGCTGATGCACGAAGCTATGGGCTGGCTACAGCCATATTGGAAGATCTTGGTTGTGGCGTGGATGCCATCCCAGAAGGAATTCGTCTACTTACCAATAATCCTGATAAAGTCCGCGCTATCGAGGGCCCCAACCGGGAAGTTCTTGTAAAAGAGCGGGTGCCGATGATCCCATTGGCATGGCGGACTGGCGGCCAGAGAGGAATTAAGAGCTCTGAGATTGAAGGATATCTTCAAACTAAGGTACGCTTACAAATAATTATTTAGTCTGGGGTTGATACTAATACGCTGACTTGGATAGATCTCGAAAATGGGCCATATGATCCAATAATCCTCAGGCTTGTTGTTTTGAATTTTTGTCCCTATCATCATTCCCCTTTTCATCTGGCTTATGCTTTCTTTGTTGCATTGGAACTTACAAAAGCCTTTGTATATGATCGACACGACCGAATCTTTTTCTTTGTGCATAATCTTCATCCTTTTGGCTTGTTCCCAGGTTATATATGGCGCTATACTTTGTATATTCTTTTTTGGGTGGCTTTGCTACCCAATGCTTCATGTTCATTTGCCTCTCAGACTCCTAGAAATGGGAGATTTTGTTCCTAGATATTTAGTATTCCGTAACAAATATAGTCAATTTGTTCACAAGTGTGAATCTGATAGCCATGCAATACCAAGACCGCATGAAAGTTTAAACGTGTTGGACTTTAAACATTCTTGACCCACATAGCACCATACTCACACGTCTTACCCCAGAGCGCCTCCTCAACTTCCATTCCACATTTCTACCCGAATGGCTAATCCTAACTAGCGTGCAAGGCCATGGCCACCCGCGCCTCGAACGCCAATGAGCATGTGGCGCCTTCGCCCGACTTGCCTGAACGTTCGCAACCTCCCCCAAGCAGACCCGCAGAACCGCCAATTCCGCCTCGTGCGACCTCCCTAGATGTGGAGAGACTCTCGGACAATGGCACAACATCGGGACGTAAGCGCAAGCTTCATAGCATGTCATCAAGAGGTGTCGCCAATCTCACTCCCGATCAGTTGGCAAAAAAGCGGGCCAACGACCGCCAAGCGCAGCGTGCAATTCGAGAAAGGACCAAGGGCCACATAGAAGCTTTGGAGCAACAGGTCCGAGACCTGTCATCACAAAAACCTTACCTCGACCTTCAAGCAGCTCTACGCGAGAATGAGACTATTCGGTCGGAGAATGCAGAGCTCCGTCAAGGGCTTAAGGCGGCAATGGACATTCTTAAACCATTGATGGCTAAGCCAGAATTATCAGGTCGGTTGCGCATCGCAATAAAATTCATGTCTCAAGCTGATAAAGATAGATACATCTCCATTAGCTATACCCAAGCCCGCCCCGCCCCCTTCGCATACCTCCCCATTGCCCGACCCCGATCACCTCACCTCCAGCAGTCAGGTACTGCTTCCAGGCGAGAAATCATATGCCGAGTCTTCTGCCAGCTTAGATACGCCTTCTCCGACTCATTCTGCACCCCTCCTCGGGAGTCGCCGCAATAGCACCAATGGAGGCCCTCTATCGGCCTCTCTCCGTGTCGCATGGGACTCGCAACGACATGATATCACACATGGCCTAGACCTCGGCTCCGAGGAACGTCTAGGGTTTAACTTCCTCCTTGATGCTTTGCATAGTGTCCCAAAAGTCGAGCGGCTTCACCGCAGCCACTCAGAAAACCTCCGCTGTTCACAGCTGAATTCTCCCTCATCGATATACCCACATCCTTTGACTACTACCTCTGAACATGGGCCACCTGCATTCGCGGCTCCAATCCAAAACCTACCTGCGACATGTCCTTTGGACAACATTCTTTTGGATTTTCTTCACAGCCGGCAACGCGAGGCGGCTCAAGGCATCCCTAGACAGAATTTAGCCGGGCCACCGTACCCGAGTGTCTCTTCATTGCTGAACCCGGAGAGGAGCGTCTACTCCCACCCAGTATCAAAGGTTTTTACAGATATCCTGCGCGCCTTTCCGGACATCTCGTCTTTGCCGGAGCAGGTTGCGGTGCTGTACACCATGTTCCTTCTCATGCGCTGGCAGATTTACCCTACGCAAGAGAACTATGAGCGACTCCCAGAGTGGTTTACTCCGCGCCCAACACAAATTCTGCATCCACACCCTGCTTGGATGGATTACGTTCCCTGGCCGGGGATGCGTGATAGGATCATTACAAATTATCAGAACTACCCCTTTGAGAACTGGTTCATACCATTTACACGTGGGATGTGCCTCAATTGGCCTTACGAGGATACGGACTGTTTGTTGTCAGCCGGCGAATCGGATGAGCTGGTCATCAACCCCGTCTTCGAACGGCATATGAGGAATTTGTCTAATTGGTCTTTGGGGCCCTGCTTTGCGGAGGCTTATCCCTCCTTGGCAGACACTACACTAATCAAGCCGAAAGCCCAGCGCAACGCCTCATGCGCAGCAGACTCACCAAGGGGGTATACAAGCACTTAAGAGAGATTCATTTCAATTACTGTCTCACCTTTGCCAAGTTGATCTTGGTTCTGCTTTTTCCATTTCGCGACTTATCTTGGCGAAAAGGAAATTGTGACTTTCGGCAAGTCAAATTATTTCATATATTCTTTGGTTTGTGATTTTTTTTAGAGCAGAGTCCCACTACAAGGCAGATGCATGCCATGAGAAGAGTCACAGGTGACCTGGTCATATATTGTTATCAATAGCCCTGGAGGTGATGTTTGGAGGAATCATTTCGGTCTAGACATTTGAATAAATATAAAACTTCATGCCAATAATTACTGTTTCTTGTACACACATGATTTTTACTCTACTCTCTCCTGCTCTTCTCATTCCAAAACTCCAGACCAGCCTTCTGGCGCAGCGTCCCGTACATCGAACTGCTATCCAGGCACTCTCCGCCATATTCTCTCGCAGCCTCCATGTTAGCCCGAGCAATCTCAAGACCAGGAAGCTCAACACCTTGCTCCCGGGCCATCGACATGGCATGTCTAGCATCCTTAATTGCGAGAGAAACCCCAAAGCCAGGACGGGAGTTCAGGGGTGGCGCATAAGCCCCCGTGGTCAATCTTGAAACAAAGATAAGTATGAAGAGCCACACTGCCAGGGAAACAATATTGGAACACACCTCTTAGAATACCCCCCAGCAACAGGACCAAAGGCCTCTCCAATGAGCTCTTCCATAGCAGCAGTTCCAAGCCCAGTCTTTTCAGCGAAGACCTGAGCCTCACCAACAGCCTCCATCATATTAACAGTAACAATGTTACCCGCGATTTTCAGAAGCGAGGACCTTGTAGCATCCTCACCAGTTTCAATAATGCGCCGCCCCATCACATCCTGGATCAGAGGCTTGACGGCTTCAGTCGCACTCTTAGGGCCACCAATGGCAAAGACAAGCTTGCCATCCACGGCAATTGGGTTCCCGCCAAAGACCGGTGCTGCTACATAAGATGCATCCTTGCTTTTCAGCTGCGATATAGCCGACCTCACGGTCTCCGGGTGCACTGTTGAGCAGTCGACGAAGATCTTGTCCTTCAGCGACTGACTTGAACTCATGGCGGTGGATAACAGGCTTTGGAGCACTGCGTCATTTGAGACCTAGGAGGTGCATTAGAATTACATTGCTATGGATCTCCGAGCTGGAATCGGCTTACCATGGTGAAAATGATTCCACATTGAGACACCAGCTTCTCGAAATTTGGTTCTGGAGTTCCACCCAGTGCTTGCAGGGGTGAACCGCGCGACATCGTGCGGTTCGAATACATCAGGCTCACAGCCTTCTTCGTGGCTAGGTGGCGCTGCAGATTGGAGGCCATTGCTAGGCCCATGGACCCGAGTCCATACTATGTGCATTGTTAGTTCTTTGTTCTTTTGTTCCAAACTATAAATGATCGAGGCGTTCCTTACCCAGCCGATTTGTGGCATTGTTGCTCGCTGTTTTCTCGGGTGCGGATTTAAATGGGCAATGGCTGTCTATAGACAATAAGCCCAATATCAGTTCAAAACACTGAAGTGAAATATAGCAATGCCGAGTCTATCTGAGCAGGGCAATGCAGTCCTGGTATGAGTCTAGGGACGAGAGGAATGGTGGAGCGTGTGTTTCCCGAGGACCGGAGTCGGCCGACAGGAAGCTCTCCAACGCTATCAACGGGCTCTACGGGGTACTTGTCTTCAGATTAGACTCAACCTGTTGGATTTTATTACTGTGGATATATCAATCGTCTCTTTACTCAAATTATATGCTTTCACGGTTGGTGTGCGCTTGTAGTTAAGTCCACGTGTATGCCCCTTAATGTGAGGCATCCACATGTACAATATTCTGGGCAAATATTGATTCTAGAATTATCCCACTATGTTTACCAAGGGCCTAGAAGCTTTATTTACGCCCTAATCCATGATCTCCGAGCTTGTCTGGTTCAAGAATGCGTTGATGCGGTCACATACCGTCATGGCTGCGGCTCGCCGCCAGTTGTGGGGTGGATATCAGGTACGGTACGGTCACGTAAGTTATGATGCTCCGTCCGTCGTGGGCTTGACTTCAGACCTCCCAACACCTCCGCTCTCCCCTGAACACTCCTAGTGCCGCTCATATTGGGAGTTTCCAAATAGAATCTCAGTCTTCGACGGTATCTCAACTCCCAACCGTCGAATCCCCAATTCCTCCAACATGGCGGAAATGCCCATTGGTACACACTGATTCCCCAAGGCTACCGTGTCCCAGCTCCAAGCTAACAAGCTACTCCGCAGTCCTCGATGGAGGAACCGGTTTCCTCAAGGTCGGCTATGCCGCCCAGGTATGTCGCACAGCAACTACAGTTCCTCTATACTCTTTTCTAATTTATATTCCCTGGCCAGAACTTCCCAGAGCACCAGTTTCCCTCGATAGTGGGGCGGCCCATCTTGCGAACGGAGGAGCAGGGTGATGACATCGTGGTCAAGGATATCATGTGCGGTGATGAAGCCGCTGCTGCAAGATCAATGCTCCAGATCAGCTATCCTGTACGTTTATGTCTGTTCTTGTCCTCTGCTGGCCGTTCTACCCCGCCCTCTCCGCAGACCAAGCGAGTGTCTTGTCAATGCCTAACCCGCGCTACTTTAGATGGAGAATGGAATTGTTAAGAAATGGGACGACATGCAACATCTATGGAACTACACCTTCTACGAAAAGATGAAGATCGACCCCACGGATCGCAAGATTCTCCTCACGGAGCCGCCGATGAACCCGCTTAAGAACCGCGAGCAGATGGCCGAGGTGATGCTAGAAGGATACGGGTTTGGTGGTGTCTATGTGGCGATCCAGGCGGTGCTGGCACTGTATGCCCAGGGTATGTGATATACGGCAAGAGCGTGAGTTGGGGATGAGTACTGATGTCATGTTATAGGTCTGAGCAGCGGCGTGGTTGTGGATTCCGGTGACGGTGTGACACACATTATCCCCGTGTACGAATCGACCGTACTCAACCACCACATTCGCCGTCTGGACGTCGCCGGCCGCGATGTCACTCGCAACCTGATTGCTCTCCTTCTACGCCGCGGCTATGCGCTGAACCGAACCGCCGACTTCGAGACCGTGCGTCAGATCAAGGAGAAGCTTGCTTACGTCTCCTACGACCTCGAGTTGGACAAAAAGCTCTCTGAAGACACCACCGTTCTTGTCGAATCGTACACCCTTCCCGACGGCCGTGTCATCCGCGTCGGCAGCGAGCGCTTTGAAGCTCCCGAGTGCCTCTTCCAGCCTCACTTGGTCGACGTTGACCAGCCCGGTATGGCTGAAATGCTTTTCAACTGTATCCAGGGTGCCGATGTCGATGTTCGATCCAGTTTATACAAGGCCATCGTGCTCAGCGGTGGTAGCAGCATGTATCCCGGTTTGCCCTCTCGTTTGGAGAAGGAGTTGAAGCAGCTCTGGCTTACTCGCGTATTGGGCGGCGATCCAGAGCGCCTTAACGTACGTTGCAGAAACCCTAACAAAAAATTTCGATACAACTTGGCTAATGATTTTCCAGAAATTCAAGGTCCGCATCGAAGATCCCCCCGCCGGAGACACATGGTGTTCCTAGGTGGTGCCGTGCTCGCCAACTTGGTTAGTATCTTTTTCTCTGATTTGACTACAGCTCTTGCTAATACAGTTTTCCTTAGATCGCCGACAAGGACGACATGTGGGTGAGCAAGCAGGAGTGGCAGGAACAGGGTGCACGCGCCCTGGACAAGCTCGGCCCGCGATGAACGAATTGTATTTAGGCGGTTCTTGGTCTGCTCCTTTTTCTCTGATTTCCTGCTTCGCATTGTTTGCGAGCCATGTTGCCTGGGCCTTTTTTTCCCCTGTCCTTTTTCCTTTCCCATCAGTGTCGATATACTCCCGTCCATCTTGTAGTTTCCCCTGTCTCCTCGCCTACTTCCTACATTGTGCCTAGACCGGTCTGGCGTGGGTGGATTCGGGGCGTTCATGACAGAAAAGAACGAAATATTTCTATCGGCTTTTCGTTGTATGCCAGCTTTGTAGGTTATCTACATGTGAACTACTTGATGTATGATTGAACTCGTGATCATGATTGTATACATCTATCGTCAACATCAGAATACCGAAACACAAAGGCATACCGAAAATATGTACTGCCTCTGCTCTCCATCATCGAAAAAATGCCACTCCCATGCCTGGGCAGAAACGTATATATGAACTCGAGAAATCCGAAACTGTAAAATATTGCACGCAAAACGCAACAATGCAACAATGTTAACAAATAAGCATTACCACCACAAGGAGCAATGTAAACGGTTCAAAAAGGAGAAGGAGACCAGCTGGTGACCAATGCCAAAACTAACGCTCAACAGCCCCAGGCGAAACCGCCAGGATAACTGCAAGAGTAGTAATAATCAGCGCACCAGCCACAAGCCCCGTAAGAGCCACACTGCCCCGACTAGCCGGGAACTTCCCCCGGATAATCCAGTACTGGCTCTGGAAGTAGCGGTGGAAGCCAATAGCAAGGATAAGGATCGAGACGCCAATGAAGGTCGAGCCGAGGGGTTTACCCACACTACGAAGACGGGCGGATGCAGAGCTGGACTCGAATACGGCTGAACCGTAGCCAGATGCGAGGTTTGGTGGGAGGATACCCGGGTTTGAGCCGGATGCTGGATCATAGTAATTGGCGTGTGTGTTTGCGGAGGTGCTGTTTAGACGGAAGAGTTGTGTTACTGCGATGCCGATTGATGCAAAGGCTAGGGATGTGCGCATCCAGGCTAAGAATGTTCGTTCTGTTGGAAAGGGGTGGATGTTAGAGAGTTCTATGTTGGTGGGTTCAAGGTAGGCTGCACATATCATACCTAATGCGAGGTGATCACGGGCAACACTGCCTTTGTTGTCTAGCTCGAGACTGCCATATCGATCTGCGAATCGACTATACCAGGACTGCTTGGGCTCGGGGGTTGGGTCTTGGTTGGCTGGTTGACTGCCATTGCCAGAGTTCGCATTATCTACGCCGAGGTCTTTGAGTTGAGAGGCGGCTGCTTGCTCTGTGGACTGATAGTTGCGGCCGGCGGGACCGGCTGCGTTGATTGGGGTAGACTCGGTAGATTGATATGAGGCTTGGACTGGGTTCTGGTTACGTGCATGGTTTCTGGAGGAGGAGCTTGAGTGGGACCGGGTGCTGCCGAAGGACGAGGACAGGGCTGAATCTGTGGGCGAGCGTGACGATGACTGGTTGTTTTTTGCACCTCCGGAGGTGCTGGGACCTGTCGGAGGCGGCGCCGATGAGTCGAATGTATTCATTATGGCGTGCTCGTCTGCGTATCTGTCAGAGGAGAATATTGTCCAATCCGAGGTCGCCAAAAAGCCGATTTTATGCAGGTCTGAAGCGTCGGGTTCTTCTATGTCAATAGAGGATGAAAAATAGCTGTTTGAGGCAAGATTTTCCCCACAATAGGAAAACTATTCGATAGCTGGATCTGATCTGTTGATGTCTTGTTATTTGCCTTTCTTTGACTGCTCCTCTCAGGGTGCTATGGCCATCATGTGGCACATAATGTGACCTCGTGCAAAAGCGAGAAACAATATGATGATCCCGGTCACCTGACCAATCCGGGGAAGTGATCACATGCTCCACTCTAACCCACTCGGGCCAAGTCTTCATCGGAAGTGTCACTGCGACTTATAAAGCTTGACATATTGATATGACGATCGAATGTAGATCGTACTTCAGTCAATTAAATGCTTTGACCATCAAATACAACTTTACAAACTAAAACCTCTATATCTTCCCCTGGCATATTGCGTCATTTTCTATTTAAGGCAGGCGGTCAGTCCTATTTCATGCTTATTCTCGACTTATCCGACTTATCGATTTCCTTTCCCCTCACATGTGCACTTGGCCAACATAATGGCATCACAGGAATCCGTACCATCTCCTACAGGGAAGGTGGATCTTTCCCAAAAACTTTCTCAGTTGCGGTCAAATACCCGCAGGTCAAACCCCAATTCCCGAGACCTCACTCCAACAACCCCTCCTCTTCCTTCGCCGCCAGACCTCTCCGCCCACCAGTACCGCCAACCAATTCGCCGCATCCTATCCCCTAAAGACCATGAACTGTTCCTCTCATCTTCAACCTACAAACTTGTCCTCGCCTTCGTCTTCGGGCTAACTGATTCTGTGCGAGGATATTCTTTCACCGATCTCCAGAAAAAGCCTCAATCAGAATCCATCTCGAAGGTCCTCTCGGTGATCACTCAAATACGCTCTCTCCTAGCTAAAAATCCGCCAATCGACCAAGGTGGATCCCGATTCGGCAATCCCGCCTTCAGAGCATTGTGCGACGACGTAAGCGCCCAGAGCGCATCATGGCACACCAACATTCTTGGGCTGAAAGACGCTGGCCCAACTGAGGAAGCCTCGACATATCTAATCAACTCTCTGGGCTCACGAGAGCGTATTGACTACGGCTCCGGTCATGAACTCAATTTCATGATGTGGCTGCTATGTTTGTATCAGCTCGGACTTCTCTCCGCCAGCGACTTCCCCGCCGTCGTGGTCAAGGTCTATGTCGAGTACATGCATCTCATGCGGGAGATCCAGTCAGCCTACTACCTTGAGCCAGCTGGATCGCACGGTGTCTGGGGTTTAGATGACTACCATTTCCTCCCGTTTTTGTTCGGAGCTAGCCAGCTTGTTGGGCACCCGTATATCACTCCGTTGGGTATTCACAACACAGCTACTTTGGATGAGGAGGGTGATAACTATCTATATCTGGATCAGGTCCGGTGGGTTGACAGTGTCAAGACTGTGAAGGGACTGCGTTGGCACAGCCCTATGCTGGATGATATCTCTGGTTCTAAGAATTGGACTAAGGTTGAGAGCGGCATGAAGAAGATGTTTGTTAAGGAAGTGTTGGGAAAACTTCCTATTATGCAACATTTCTTGTTCGGAAGTCTCCTTCCTGCTGCTGAAGGCATGACCGACCCTTCCGAGGAAGGTGCTGAGCATGACGGTCATGACCATGCCCATGGCCACGACCATCCTCATGAGAGCGCAGACTGGTTCGGTGATTGTTGCGGTATCAAGGTACCCAGTACCGTAGCTGCGGGCGCTGAGATGCGTAAGCGTATGGGCGGATCCAATCTGCGCCCAATTCCTTTCGATTAAGGTCGCAGGTAGGAATATGGGCATGCTAATAAAATAATAAAATCAACATGACTAGCATATTAGGAAATGCCAATAAAGATAATTCTCCTATTCTTATTCTTAGATGTCTCTACTCTTGCTAATTATCCCAGGTATATACCTATCTATGTAGGTATTCCTTAGTATACCCCATATACGATAGCTCTTTGCCGATCATGAAATTAATGTCATTTTCGCATGCACCGCGGAATTGTTCTACAGCCCTGCCTAGGTGGACCTAGTGAGAACAGGTTACGATGCAAGTATTCCGTAAAATGTGTTGCCTCCAATTCTATAGATGATTTTGGAACGAATGATTGCTCACATATTGACGTTTGTCCTTGAATTCTGCTTGATCAAATTCTGTCAATACAATCTGTAATAAAACTATGTACATATTCGATACAACCGCCCACCACGTTACCTAGTCTCTCTATCCACGGTATGTCTTTCCCGGCATTCTCTACCGCCAGCTTCCACCTGCAGTAGCTGCAGTCCCAGAGCAGCCTGATGGTACAGTGTAGCTCCGGTTAGGATCGCTTTCCCATGTAATGCTACCATCGGTGTTCTTCCTGAAGAACTTGTACTCAAACGTGGTGCCAGCGGGAAGGGTAAGACTGGTAGTCCACAATGGGTTGGACGATGTGTATGAGCTTGCAGATAGAGCAATTGCCGATGTGGTAGACCAAGAGCTTAACTGACTAATCGACCCAGTGAGGAAGATATTCTGGCCATATGCCGTGGTCACTAGCTCGTTGAAAGCTACCGGGACGGCAGTAGTAGCGCATGCGGGGGTGGTGGTGGTGGTTGTGGATGTAGATGTGGTTGTTTTGCTCGTCGTAGCGGTCAAAGTCGTAGCAGTGGTTTTGGTCGAAGTTGATCCTGGACCCGAACCACCCCCAATAGCAATATCAGCACAGTGAAGATAGGCTTGGGCCGTCTGGAATGAGTTCCACCGGAAACGCAGCAAGGTGTGTGCCGAGTTGTAGTCGGGAATTTTGATCTTCTTCGTAACGGTGTAGCCACCAGCGATAGTTGTCTTGCAGGAGTTCAATGGGGCGCCATCCACGCCCTGGCAGCCGCGGTTGGTGTCGGCGCTGAACTTGTTGCAGGTAAACCAATCATTACGCCAGCAGGGTTGATCGGAAGTGCAGTCAGGACTGTAGCCACAGGTCTGTCCAGTAACATCTGTACATTTCAATTCGCCGTCCAGGAAACAATCTTCGGCAGCTTGTTTCTCATCATTGGTTGGGAGGTAGTTTGGATCCAGGAACAAGTCGACTAGTGTCTGATTCTGACAGATACCGTAGGTAAACATGCCACCATGGTCTCCATTGTTGTCGACACACCATTGCACTTCGACAATGTCGTTGGCGGTATATGTGGCGACTACGGAGTTGCCCCAGTGAGCACTGGGCTGGTTATAATCAACACTAACTCGGGCATTGTAACCACATGGTCCACTTCGGCCAACTTGGGCTGCTTCAAGGTCGGGCCAAGCAGCGACTGGTTCAAGGATGGAGCATTCAGGGCAGGTATCAATGCCAGCCTACTAAGGTGAGTTTGATATCTTGCATCCATGAACTCGTCTGAGATCTTACCTCGAATCCAAGTCGAGTGCGACTTGAGGGAATGGTCAGGTATCCATGAGCATTGACTGTGGCCAACAGACCGGCCAGGGTCAGAATAGAGGATGTCTTCATCTTGGATGTTCTTTCTCAGTCGTTTGAAGTCTGGATAGAAGCTGCTGGCTCATGAATCGAGCGAAGCGTCGCCCCCTTATATATGTATTCCCATGATTGCTATTCGAACGTGTCAACCATTCATATCGTGATCCTACACTTCCGTCGGCTTGAAAGTCTGAATGCGTACGCTTTTTCCTGTCTTCGCAGTCGTATTTCCTTTTGTTGCGCGTAGTCCGATAATTGTCCGACAGCCGCTAGGGCAAAGGGATGTACGGTGTAAGCCGATAATTCATAGCCTCAGTAAGAAAAAAAGCCGATAAATCCCCGCTTCCCCATATATACTAACTGGGTAATCGGCACAGTTAAGCGACAGCAGCGTTCGGCATTTATATTTCTTCGGGATATTTGCCTCTTCTACCCTGATATATTGGAATCACAATCGAAAATTGTACTAGAACAAGTGAGTGACCTGGAACCAACTCCTAATTACCCAAATCCGTGTGCTTATTTATTCTAAGGCCGCAGTATTTTTAGGGTTGCATTCCCCACGTCTGACTTTTCCCCACGTATTACTACGCCGCCACAATATATTACGCTTCTTCACCATTGCGCTGGCCTACTCCTAAGGGGCGCCCAATTGCGCCACGGGCGTCAGACTATATCACTTGCTGTAACGCGTGTCGAATGTCAGCTGAAGATACCTCGGTGACTTAGTGGCTACGCCACTCTCAATGTCCGGCACAGCTCGGTATAGACGCATTCCAATGCAGCTACATGCTGCGAGGTGAAAAGCAGCACTGCATGTCAAAATGCATCGTCATCCACTTCCTACTGTGAGGTAACCGAGACCTAAAAACTAATACAAGACATCGAGCACCTTCTGAAAAGCAGAATGGAATATAGGCCAAGAATTTAGAGGGTAAATCCACTACATAAGTACCGCTATGGAGTACATTTCCTATACTAGGAGAGACTTTCCTATCTCAGCTACTGGCGCATATATGAGGACGCCCAAGTCGAGTTAGGCTCACCGAGAATTAGATTATATCTCTATGTTTGTGGGGTTCTTTCGATATTTTAGGCTAATTACGTATGTACTAATGATTTCCTTATTTCCATGTCAAAATTGAGACTCTTCAAGGTACTTTTCCTGAGCTGAAGAATGGAGAATCTACTACTACCATGACTTCTCGACTCATAGAAAGTATATATCTTTAATGTGAACTTAGAATTAATAATTAGCTTCATAGTATATGTACGCAAGCCACAAGAGAGCGCCTTAGTGTACATACCCCGATGGTCTCGGAAATGCAGGGTGGGGATCCTAATTTAATACAATTACTATAGGTACATATGTAGTGTCCTGGGCATTGGTACGAGGGTTGTACACTTGAAGTAGGCAGGCCTGTTTTTTAGATAGTATGTACTTTTAACGATGAGATTTGAATTTACGGTAGAGTAGCGGTATATGTAGAGATATGTTTCCGCTACATATACCCAAAACCAAGCAAATCCAAATAGTTTGACGAATTCGTAATCACAACTTGCATACATTCTTTGCGTAGGTTGATGGCCAAATCCCATTCTTCCCCTATTGGGGTCAAGTGTAGTTTTGATGGCCTCATTGAATCTCATAAGGATGTTGCTGTTCCAGTTGTACGTTTCCGCAATCTGGTCCATTAGTGCCAGATAAGTGCGATATTCGCCCCAGCCGTGGGCTGAGCAATCATCAATCAATCTCTTGACGAGCCAGTGGGTTCCTTTCTTTGAATCAGGGTCTCTGCGATCACAGACGATACATACCATGTGTTTTGCATGTTCCGATTAGCAATATAGACTCTTTTGACGTTTTGAAAAACCACTTTACTTACTTATCTCTCGTATACCAACCGTAAAAGTTCCTATGAAGTCCAGCCCTGCTTCCCGGACTCGCTTCTTTGTAACAAAATACTGAAGTATTGCATCATCACCGGAAAACTTGCTGATAGGCGAGAAGAATAAATAAGCACCATTAGGAACCCAGTCAGCCCACTTCAGCTCCTCGAAGGTTGGGATTCTTTGGAATATTTTGTCTCTGGTATATAACACACAGTTCTCCTTTATATCATTCGGAAAGTAGCATTTTGCTCCCTTGGTGACCGAAAAAGCACCTTTGATGATACCTCGAAGAGCATTCCGAGTTGGTTCAGGACCATACAAAGCCCCATAGAAGTCCCATCGGCCGAGATTCAGGCGCTTGCCAATCACGTCAAGCTCATCATTGTCAAGGGGCCCTTTTGTCGATGTGTAGTCCGCGTTTATTCCCAGGACAGCAGCATCTAAAATAATATGGGGAATTAAAAGGGGAGCATATTTACGAGTCTGATAGGCCGGATAATGTCGACAGCTTGATGAAGATCCTCATCTCTGGGGAATGTGATGAGATAGAATTGATATCCTCCAGGGTTTGGCATGAGCTATGATTGTTAGAATTAAAATTAATAATGATTGTTCGCGTGCTACCCACCCATAATCCCATTTTTGTTACTATGCCCAAACTAATCTGAGAGAATAGCCCATCGTTAGATGGCCTAAAGCCGCAGGGAAATAGTTGCCAGCATTTATTGGGACGATCCTCATGTAATGGAACAGCTGGTTCATCGGGTTTCTTTGGTTGTGACATTGCGCCCATACCAGTCCGCATCAGTTCTCCGCGAGGAAGCACGACCTCCATTCCGCAGTGCATCATTCAGTGGTCTGAAAAGGTCAGAACTTCAACATTTGCATATAATATGGCTTAAGACCTGCCTCTGTAAGGTGTACATCCTACTCCCCTCTCCACAGTATTTCCCAAGAACCGACCTACCACCCAGGTCGATAACCTAACAAGACAATACCTATCAGCTCGTGAAATTCAAAATATCTATTGATAAATTACATCAATCCAGAGCGTATCTCTTAGGCTGTTATCGACTAGGTACTGGTGAAGGTCAGCGAAAGTAATACCGGGCTCCACAATAGCATAGGCCTCGTCGACATTAACCTCGAGGACTCGATTCATATGTCTTCCAAGGTCAATAACGATACTTCCGCGCAGCCTAGGAGCAGCGGCCCCATAACCGGAGTTGCGACCAATGGATGTAGACCATAGAGAGAATTTGGGACTCGTTGGCAATACGGACGATGGCCTGAAGATTTGGTACAGAGCGCGGGCAGATCACAGCCGAAGCCAAGAAGTACTCCTGATCAATGATATGATGAGAATCATGAGTACGAGGCTGTTCGAGATATGATCCATCGTCTAGCTCTTGGACACTTCACCAAGGAAACGCGCAAAACTTTCCTGGCTGGTATTGGGAGGCAAGGCAAGAGGAGTAGCCATGTTTGAAGACGATGAGTGGAAAGAAGCATAGATTTTTGTGGAGACATATCTTCAACATTAGACTAATGTAAATAAACGGTTCATACTAGTTCAGCCATCGTAATCCGCAACTGTACACCGGTATTGCACTTGTGGGGGTGGGCAATTCCCGCCTGGAAGTCATCGGCGGGAAATTATCCACTTCCTGGGGCTTGCGGGGTGACGTTCTCTCTGGTTCATACGCCAGTCCGCATAATTCCCTCTTTTCGAAACAATCATCCTCAACAGATGATATGGACATCGAAAAATTCACTGGCGCAGCTGAATTCGATACCCTCGAGCAGCTACATCGTCACTTAGGATCTCGTACTGCACCCATCCTTCTCTTCGCGGCTCCGCTTTTTGAACTAAGCTGTAGTCCTTTTCAGATGGAGATAGACATCCAGTGATATGTCAGTTCTGTCAGCGACTGTTCACTCGCAGGTATCGATCCCACTCCATCCAGGCCATGTCTCAAGCTAAATCGGGTAAAGCGATGCGCTTACTCGCCACATGAAGACATGTAGGACCCGGTTAGAAACTGGTGCCCCAATTCCGTCCACCCCCCATCGCACTCGGGGGAAGAAGAGAAAGGCCTGTGACCGGTGTATGAAGCTGAAGAGGGCGTGCAGCGCTGGACTTCCCTGCAATACATGCATCTCCAAGCAGCAGGAATGTGTGTATACAGTCTCCAAAGAAACCAGAACAACGCCTAGAAATTTCGAAGAGTACAATGAATCATCGGATCGATACGAAATTGATTTGAACGGCTTACCCTGCTTAGGTTTGGGGTTCACTCCTCCCTCGACTCGACTTGATGGGTTACATCATTCTCGCCTGTCACCACCAGGCTACGAAATATTGCAGGATTGGCCTGGACTGACACTGTCACCCACTTCAATAAGCCGGTCTTGTGACCCAATGTCGATTCCTTCACAATCTAGCATCAAGTTTGAATTTCTGGCTCGGCACACTGGCTCGACTGGGCTTACGAACTGTTTCGACTGCCGAGGTGTCAGTCAAACGGTGCCTCCCAGCTTCTCAGAGGCGGAAAGTCTACAACCCCCCTCAAATGCATCTTCCTCTAGTTTCGGTTTAGATCACTTCGATGGCATTGAGCCGACCAGCCTCGCATCGTATTTGCAAATGGTCTATCAGAAAACCAGTCACTTGAATGCCCCCTCAGATGGTAGACCGGATCCTTTTCTTGAATGGGCTGTTCATCCTCTGGCATTCAAAACACATGAGATAGTGATGGGACTCAAGGAGACGATACGCTACAAGTCACGGAGGAGCCCAGTGAGATTGGAATGGTCGCCCATTGTCGAGAAAATGTGCTATCACTTCTTCTCCCCGCCAAATCTTTGCAGATATCTTGAAGCCTTCTGGGCTTCCTGGTATCCCAACTGTCCAATCTTACATAAACCCTCTTTCAACCCCACCAAAGCTTCTCCCATATTGCTAACATCAATGGCTATCATTGGATCTTGTGTTCTACCAAACAAAAGGAATGATCAAAATGCAGAAATATGGTTTGATGCTGTGGAGGAGATGGTCTTCGATGAAGAGTCTCTCCAAGAAGAATATCTCGAGGCCCGTGTGAATGAAAATGCAAACAGCAAGTCCCAAAGGCTGGAGGCTCTACAGGCGGCGTATCTTGTTTGCCTTTTTCAGAACTGGGAGGGATCGGAGATAGCGCAGCGAAGGATTCGACGTCGACGATATAGTACACTTGTGGCTGTAAGTTAAAGCTCCAGAATTATTCAGGAAGTATTCTCACTCGCATAAAGGTTGCAAGAGATCTGGTCCTTAGGTCCGCCATCCACCAAACCTTTTGGCTCATAAACGATGCGTCGAACTTTGACTGGCAAGCCTACATCCAGAAGGAGGAAACAATTCGGTAAAACATATCTGGCCCCCAACACCGGCCTAGTCCACTAACAATATGCCAGTACACTGAGTTATGTCTTTTTTTTGTTTGACTCAGCCTTCGTAATATTCCATAACACACCGGCGCAGATCTTCGGACATGAATTGGAGATGCATATCAATTGCCCTGAGGCAGCATTTCAAGCTGGATCGGCCAACCAGTGCTTTCAGCATTTGAAGAAATGGGCGGATGAAGTGCTTGATCATCCCTCTGTATCCACTGCTATCGAAACGATCTGCCAAGGTGACACTGAGGTTTGCCTTGAGACATACTCTCGTTTTGGAATACTGAACATGTTTGTGATAATTTCTGGTAAGGGAAAAAGCCAAAGCCTTGCACTTATTCCGTGATTCATCTAACCCAGCCCAGCTTTATGTGTGTCTATATATCAGCTCCAAAATGCCCTTGCACCTCCCACAGCCTTTGAGAACATCGAGCGCGGGATGAAGAACTGGAAAAATGCATGGGATCAAATGCATCTTCTATCTAACCTAGACGATGACAATATCGTCAATTTTTCGGATGAACCGTGGAGGCGCGATGGATTTATGAGAAGTGCTTCAGAGTATTGGCTGCTATGTAATGTGTTATTGGAGAGCATACGGTCGAATACCGGCGAACATAACGTCTCTAAACGCATGCTTGGTAAATATGACCAAACGGATATGGAGCAAGTGAGGCAACTGATCACTCAATTTAATGCCATGAAAATGGGATGATGGAAAAAAGAGTGCATCAAGCTTCTCAAGATTTTAATAATGAAGTTCCTATATGTGAAAACCAATAACTGCAGGGTTCTTAAGGTTGCCTCGGATTGGCAGTAGGCGGGATTAATATTTGATCGCTTTCTACAAAAGAGCCTAGATTCAACTATCTCTTCAACATTCAGAACGACCGACTAATTATACTATTCTAATATCGGTAGTGAAGGCTACGCTCGGTGAAGGAGAATACTGACTATAACCCCAAGGTAGTGAATATATATTCCGCTACGCCGTGTGGATAGTATCCACCACTGGCGACGATCAATCCCTGTCAAGGTCCCAACGGGTTTATAAGTCTCCATAATTAGCTTGATAATTCGACCATCCTAGCATAACTGCTCCATAAGTACGCGATTTTCCCGATGAGTCAGCGGAAAACATGCTTGCCAAGGTGGTGGTGGTGTTATCCCGTAGGGATATGAGTGGGCCGCATTATGATCAAGCGTTTAACTCCACTTTGTAACTGCCTTTTATATTTTTTTTTAGCAATATTATAGGCTACCGCATAGTCTAGGACACCGGTTAGAGTCGGTATCGTGGCGGGGTGTGGGTTAAACCAGTCGAAGCTATTGGATTCAGCTCTATAACTCTGCTGATCATTCTGTTATATTTTTCCGTGTTTAGAAGACGGATTTCATTATAAAAGCACACATTTAGAACCGAATTGTTAGGTTATGTTATTCATCACAGACCTTGCATCGTTATTTCTTCTCTCTGTTCATTTATCAGATCAAAATGGTGTTAAACTTGACTCACCTGCCTGCGAAGACCGTGTCACCAGTAAGGCTGGCCCATGTTGTCCTCCGGACGACACCTGAGAATTTTTTGACTATGACCGAATTCTACAAAAAGTTTTTGGGGGGCCAGGCGTCGTGGGAAAATGATGTCCTGTCCTTCATTACGTACGATGATGAGCATCATCGGATCGCAATCGCTGCATTGCCCAACGTTGGACCGAGAAACCCAAAGACTTGTGGACTAGAGGTAAACTACTCCATCTGTTGAGACTAAACTGCACTACTACCTTACTGCTTCTTGCCCTATCATTCATACAAAACTTCCTTGTGCCCATGTAGTGCCAGAAGGGCTAACAAACGCGCATGAAATATAGCACATCTCCTTTACTTTCAACTCCCTCGAGGAGTTGCTTGTTGCCTATCGACAGCGTGCAGCTCAGGGAGTTTCTCCCATCTGGACCGTCAACCATGGAGTCACTGTCAGCATGTACTACCGCGATCCAGATGGAAATCAACTTGAAACGCAAGTGGACTGTTTTCAAGATATCGAAGAGATCAATGCATATATGACGGGCCCCGAAATGGCAGAAAACCCACTCGGTGTCGAGTTTGATCCCGAGGAGATGATCCGTAAACTTCAAGAAGGTATACCTGAAGCAGAACTGCTGAAGAGACCGTCTATTGGACCGAGAGGGCTCGATGATCTGCCGTTGATTGATATGTGACATGGCGCTGGAAATTTAGTGCATTGACATGTGCATTTTTGCCGGCTACCAATTCAACATGGAAGCACATTTTCGGCCTACTTGTCTCTCCCTTCTCTCTGAAAGTCTAACTGCAAATCACTTTTCGTCTCTGACATTCACTTCCATTGCCTTCTTTTGGTTTCCATTTTAAGATCCTTGCCTCGACATAGGGAAGGCAATTTAAGATTAAGATAAGTAAGCTTGGCTTTTAGAATAATATCAAGTTATTGACATCTCCTACTGTCGTCTGTCTCCAAACCTGTTCCAGTCTATTTTAGATTCAATTTCACCTTGACAGTCTCGTTGATATGGTGTTCTACGTATCGGTGTCTTAGTAAATGACTATCATATTCTTATCATCTGGGTACAGCTCATCTTTTCGTTGGAAGAAAGAATTCCAGAGGTTGATATTGGGAATTTCAATAAATAGGAAGGTGGAAGACGAGGGCATATTGAGCAGCGACTTGCTTGGTCCATAGAAAGTGTAATAGAGGATTCAATAGTCAGTCCAAGCAAGGGACCCTTTGCTGATGGAGAGATACATATAAAAAAATAAATCAGTTCGGTGTCTACCTCGGTTAGAACCTATTTGCGATAAAACTCTCTGTAACTTGCTCTCGACAAAGAATATATGGTCATTGAGTTTTGTTTAACCCAATCTGCAAGTTCTTGTGTCAATCGTGCCTTTCTAAACGTTTCCCAGGCTCTGTGATGCCAAAGGACTGCGGTCGACAAGCAACTTCCCCGCAGTGGAATTCAAAGAACAGCTCGTCTCGGTGATTTTCGGACTCCAGCCAATATCTATGATACATGAATACCCAGTCTCGAATTCCTGCTTCCGCAGAGTCCGGAATATTCACCCAGCCTGCAACGAATGTTAGGGTGTAAGTCCAGCGCAGCTTCCAACTTTCATTTAATCTAACTCGAAGATAACAGGGTATTTTCCTGCAGACACACTCAACATGATTGAACCTCACCTCACTCAACTTGGCGAGGCGGCTGTTTCGCCCCAAATCTTTGCATGGAATGCCGACGCAGAAACCAACCTGCCATATATCAAGAATTACAATGTCTGGGGCCAGTGATATAGGTATGACAAACTGATTACAACTGAGGGGTAGAAGCAGTTAGGAAAGTGGGGGGCTAAGCATGGGTCAGTCTTTGATCCATCTATTTCTTGATATTCATTTGGCACTCATACGGATGTTTTAGAGTTGTCTCGCTAGGATACGACCACACGTACGGCGTTCATAGGCGCACTGTTCAATATGCTGCGTACGTTACAGTTTCTTCTGTTATCTCATGGGCGTGGATACTAACTACCGGACCTCAAGAGTGTACTTATACGTCCCCTCATCGTCAATGTACAGATGTCCGATGAGTATGTCCGATAGAGCGGCATTTGTATTGTCACAACGCCTCAAAGATCCTCCGAGTGACCATATTTTACACACTCTGTTTCGGAAACTTACCTCTAGAGGTGATGACTACTGGACATCTGGTATGGATGACGGAAAGAGCAGGCGGGAGCGACGTTCAAAACACAGAAACATGGGCTACATATGCACCCTTGCCCCAAGGATCAAAAACATCAGACGTCCTCGCCGAGGGTGACTACCTGATCAGCGGATTCAAGTTCTTTTCCTCCGCGACAGATGCCAACGTCGCTTTTCTCTTAGCCAAAACGGATTCTGGGAAACTGAGCACATTTATCGCCCCATTACGGAAAACTTCCATTGGAGCGGATGGAAAGCCAGAACAATTATCCAATGGCGTGCGCATCCACCGCCTAAAGAACAAACTTAGTACCAAGGAACTACCCACAGCTGAACTGGAACTCAGGGGCATGCGCGCTCACCTAGTTGGTGAGCTTGATCAAGGCATTCAGACTATTGCTCCACTGTTAAAAACCACTTGCATTCAGACGCTTCTTGGAACACTATCAACCTGGCGTCGTGCTATTAGCACCACGAAAAATTTCGCTAAGTCACGGACCACTGTCGGGGAGCCATTATGGTTGATTCCGATGCATCTGCGTCTCCTGGCAGATATGGAGAGGTAAAGCATCGCGGCGCTATAAATCTTGCCTTTTTTACGATTTCGGTAATGAGTTTGATCGAAAATCCGTCTAGCACCGCGGAACATGCGCATATGCCTCAGAATCTTACCGAAGCAAAGGTTGTCTTCCGAGTCCTAACCGCCACGTGCAAGGGGGTTGTTAGTAAGATGTCGATGGTGGGCGTTCAAGAATGCCAGGAAGCGATGGGTGGAGTTGGATACATTGATGAACCAGACGAGCCTGAATTCAACATTTCACCCCTTCTCCGTGCTGCAGCCGTGTATCCGATCTGGGAGGGTACAACGAATGTGCTGGCTAGTGAAATAGTCCGTTTCCTCATAAAAGGTGATAATTTATCTATTTTTTCCGGGTGGCTCATTCGTGTTTTGTCTTTGATCCGTACGCCGTATCTCGCCGGGGCATTGAGGCAGGCTTTGTATTCTTTCCTTTGTCGCATGACACCTACTCGTCCACAAACTGCACTACTGGCTGATGCCCGGAGGATCATGTTCACCTTTGCCTGGATCCTTGCAGGGGCTCTCCTAGCTTTGGATACAGAACGTGATGGGGATGAGGTCGCGATAGAGATTGCTCGCAGCTGGGTTCTGTTAGGTGAGGGTGGGGTTGGCGAGTTTGTCTACCGGGATATTGTCAAGCCTTCGATACAACGGGGAGCAATGAGCAGAATCATACAAAGTTGGATTGTAAGATTGCTTGGGGTATCGAATTGCCGTCTAAGGTGATGTTTGGGCATCGCTTTTTGAGCGAGTCTTCGAAACTCTAGATCAAGCTAGCTGTATGCTAGGATTCAACATCAAAGCTAATCAAATTGTTTGTCAAACTGCAAGCACTCTTCGAAACTTTCATTGGTCTCGTGAAAATCTAGCGCTCTCACAAAACACTGCCTCATCCGCTTCCACATACCAATGACATGTTCTCTCTCAGTAATCAAATGTCGTTCTCGAGGATATGTCACCAAGTCGACAGGCAGATTATTGTGGACACACGCTCGGTAACAGGAAATAGCCTGTGTCAAGGGCACACGCGCGTCATTCTCACCACGGAGAATCAAGATGGCTGTCTTCACATTACGCATATTCTATAATGGGCTTCCCCGTTAACCATTCATGTTTTTAACCATTTCTTCGTTTTCAATTCCACGTAATCTTGCTTTTCGTCAGGTACTGCATTCACATCCACATCCCATGGCGCGACACCGGATAAACAACCCTGAAACCAGTATGCATCCCTTGTCATCGTCATAACGTCCCAGCCCACTACATCTGCGCCATATACGGCTCCTTGAAATTGGAAATGATTGCGGGTGACTGCGAGATACGACAAGAACCCGCCATGCGACCAGCCACCTATTGCCACACGCGAAGGGTCTACGGAACCCTTGTTGATGCACTTTCGAAGTATATCGATGCAATCCGTGTAGTGTACTGTTCCCACATTTCCATAAGTATATAGACATGTTCTTCATCCCTTCCTCTCCCGCCACGGTACTTTGGACAAAGAACAGCGTATCCGGTTGAAACCGGAAGCGGAACCTCCAGACAATAACAGACGGAAAGGCTTTTAGTTACAAACCAGTGGCCCTCCGCGTGGGAGCATAACGCTAGGGAGCTGCCTCTCTTCTATTTTGTATTTGGAAGGAACGTGTCCAGGAATATCATACGCTGAGGATGTAAAGATCTAACGCCATCTCCGAGATAGACCAAGACTTGGATATTTTGACGGCGGCAATGGAAGAATTGTGATCATCTCCCTGTATATCCACATGCGGACAAAGAGAGATGTGACTACCTAAGAACAAACAAGCAATCTCTTGCTGCCTTGTTGCCTGGGCATCTCAAAAGGATGGATGTGAATGAAGCAACCTTGGAAGAGATGTGCTAAGCACTAGCGCCTATTCTAGGGTTATAACTAACGCGGGGAAATCTTATTAGACGCACACGAGCTTTCGCTCTTCGCTCAAGGAACAGAAGGTATCACCATCATAATATGCTCTTATATATAATATTATATACTGAACCCCCTTTCTATAACCGCTGGGATAGCATGCCTAGCCAGCCTCACTATCCAGGTTGCGCCCACACTCCCCCATTAATTATATCCCTGGTATCAAGAGAGCTGAGAGAGATATAGGCTGGTACAGATGAAGTTGACGCATTGATTGAGGTATGCATGAGTTCGGATGATTGTCTGAAAGTTGATGCAGGGTCCGGACACAGGGTCCCCTGTCCCCAAACCCCCTGTCAGCATGACAGACTTGGTTCTAGACCGCGGGCACAGGGTCTGCTTACGATGTATCTTTCCACCAATTGGGCATTGGAAGCTCTATAGACCCCGGCTTATTCAAGCTCCACAAAATCACCCAAGGCATCGATGCAATTTCTATCACCACTGACACGTATCGCGGCATAGCCGACACTACTTTGTCCCTGCTAGAGGGCATTAGATCATTACCAGCCACAACTGAATTATCATCCATCCGGAAGGAGTTGGTAACATCAAAGCATAGCTCAACGACAGCTACTGGATGGAACTTCGAGGGTGGTTGTCACCGGCGCACGGACGTGGACTGCATTTTGAGGTGCGCTCGTGACGAACTCCAGGAAGCGGAAAGTGGTTGCTTGAAATGTCCGATTTCCAGATTCGGCTTGATAAGGAATCTTTACGTGGAATTCTATGGCTTGTTGGTGATCCAGCTTGTAGAAATTCACCACTGCTGTACGTGCTAATCCAAGCATCTATACTATAGAACCCTGTGTCAAGGTAACATATTAAAAGTTGATGAGATGCCAAAGAGGAATAATAGTCAAAGAGTATGTGACTCACTGTATATCTATTGCCGTGCTATAATGCCGAGATAACCGTTCCTTTATTAATTTAGCAATAAATCGGATGTATTCGGGAGATCGACGAACCCTGCACATATCGAGTGTGATATGTATATCAACACAAGTAGTCAGGATCAGGAGATTCTAGTGCAGGTGGAAAGCTTTTCTAGTACTAACGCGCTTGTTGACGCCCCCGGTGGCCGCTAACCGTTTTTAGAGACATTCCGGAAACTCCTTTAGGAAGTCCATCGATTCCGCCCTTTTCCCCTTTGGGATAGAGATATATATATAAGTCCCATTGGGCTTTGTTTTATTATGACAGCCTCATTCTTGTCTCAGAATTCTCCGGTGCATGGGAAATCATTCAACCACGGCACCAATGGAGGAGGACCAAGTAACAGAGAACTTGCATCAGGACTCCGAGGGGAGTGGTGCGGCGACGCCCACCGACACCGAGGTGATCAGGGGAAAGGAAGATGCTGGTCTGCACGAAAAACAGTTGTCGGACTCATCCGGTACTGCAGCTATCGAGCCGATTGCCGTGAGCGTGAAACGATTTCTATCTCTCCGCAATGGCGATGACCAAGACCTTCAATCTGCAAGGATTGTGATGGAAAATGTAACAGTTGAAGGCAGTGGCACAGGTGTAAGGCATCCGATCCTCTCTTTGTACATCTATCGATAGAATACTGACATTCGAGGGAAAGGCCCTTCCGGCCCCGAGCGTGTTGACAGACGCGAAATCTGGCTTCGGATTGCTTGAGCCGATACAAAGTAGAATGCATCGCCCGTCCTCGCGACCTATTCTTCGGGATTTCTCCGCTGCCATCCAACCAGGGGAGATGGTTTTGGTGATTGGAAAGCCTGGCAGTGGTTGTACCACCTTCTTGAAAACCTTGGCTGGTATGTGGAGTGAATATAAGGGCGTCCAAGGTGACTTGACTTTTGGAGGAGAGTCCATGAAGTCCGTCATCGAGAACCATTCGCAGGATGTTGTATTTTGCGGTAAGCCTTCTTCCACCTTCCCGTCTAAAGGGGCGTTGTGACTGATTAGACATAGGCGAGTCCGATGATCACTTCCCGACCTTGACCGTTTCTGAGACGCTGCGATTCGCACTTAGGGCACGCTGTGGACCCAAACCATCAGCATCAGAGATCGACGAGAGAGTCCGCTATCTGGCCCAGCTGGTCGGACTCAGTAGGGTGCTGAACACTAAGGTTGGAGACGCCTTTGTTCGAGGAGTGAGTGGAGGCGAGAGACGACGTGTCTCGTTAGCTGAGGCGCTAGCAACATGTGCACGGTAATTTGATTCACCTCAGCAGCATTTGAAAATAGGAATACTGACCGTTATCTCAGTCTTATTTGCTTAGATAACCCGACAAACGGCTTGGACTCCTCGACGGCCCTTGAATTTATAGAGATGATGCGGGAGTGGACACTGCAGAGTCAGTGTGTCACTGCCATGAGTGTTTACCAAGGCAGTGATGCTATTGTTCCATACTTTGACAAGGTTGTTGTCATCAATGCTGGACGCCAAATCTTCTACGGAACCATTCCAGACGCCAAAGCCTACTTCCTTGGTCTGGGCTTTGAATGTTCATCTGCCACTACCACCACAGACTTTTTGAACTCTATGTCTGCCGATCCCGGAGTCCGTCGTGTACACGAAGCCTACCGAGATCAAGCGCCTCGCACACCAGATGAGTTCCAGAATGAATTCCGACGCACCGTTCACTTTGAAGAGCTCCAGGCTGCCGTACAGAGGGCAAAGTCTCTTCCCACCTTGGTCCGCCCAACCAAGTCTGGCCAATATGCTTTACCACTTTATCAACAAATCGCGTACTGTACTACGCGTCAGGTGCGCATTATCCAGCACAACTATAGCGCCTTGCTTGTGGAAGCCATATGTATTGTTGTCCAGAGCTTGATTTTAGGCACATTGTTCCGAAACCAGCAGCGAGCCACGGGATCTCTGTTCATCTTCGGATCTGCCCTCTTCTACTCGGTCCTTGTTCCAGCTCTGCAAGCTATGGCAGAGTTTCGCAGTACTTTCGCCCAGCGGCCACTTATTCTCAAGCACAAGCGATACCGGCTATACCGACCCATGGCCTATGGCTTCGGATTGATTATGACAGATATCGTCTGGAAAATCCTCGTCATTTTCTGGAACATTCCTTTGTATTTCTTGACAGGTTTCCAAATGAACGCTGCGAACTTCTTTACCTGGTTCGTTGTGGTATATATCGAGCATTTGGCCTTATCCATGTTTTTCCGCTCGGTTGCAGTGTTCTCGTCTAACATGTACCGTGCTGTCCTTCCCGTCGGAATTTTCTTCAATATGTATGTTCTGTACACAGGCCTTTATGTGCCACCACCTCAGATGCAGGTATGGCTAGGCTGGCTGAGATACCTGAATGTATGTATGCCGAATTATCTATCGTCACTGGAGAAATCTTGCTAACCAGAAGGAACAGCCACTTCACTACGGTTTCGAATCTGTCATGATCAACGAGTTTGCCGGTTTGACCTACGAATGTAGCGCAGCAGACATAGTCCCAAATGGGCCTGGATACACCGATATTGCTAACCAGGTATGCGCTGTGGTAGGCTCTGAGCCTGGCCAGCGACTTCTTGACGGAATGGCATATATCAATGCACAATATGGCTTTGAAAAGGGCAATCTCTGGCGAAACCTGGGAATCAACGCAGCATTCTTTATCGTTTTTGCCTTGGCTTCAGCGTGAGTTTCCAATATCGATATTCTGTCTCTTCCCGCCGTATTTGTGTGCCCAAGTTTACTGACGAAGAGACATAGCCTTGGTATGGAACGCTTGAAGCAACCGGCAGGCCGTCTGGCAACTGTATTTTATCGTGGTTTGAATTCCAATCCATCTCCTTCCCTCCCAGGGTCAAAGTCGTCCGATCAGGAAAGCGGGGCCGTGGATCTGGATGCTCCTCCAGTGCAGGGCGAGGAAGGTACAACTGGCGAACGCAGTGTCACTATCGAATATCAGTCTCGCAGCTTGACCTGGACGGAACTCAATTTTGACGTCAAGACCAAAGACGGCCAGAAACGCCTGTTGACAAACCTGAATGGATCCGTATATAGCGGCCAGATGAAAGCGTTGATGGGCGTGTCTGGCGCTGGTAAGACCACCTTGTTGAATGCCCTAGCCGGCCGATCAAAGAACGGAACTTTGTCGGGGACACTGGCGCTGAACGGGCAGCTCCTCCCTAAGTCGTTTAATCGCCACATGGGCTATGTGCAACAGCAGGATATCCACCTGCCCACACAAAGTGTACGAGAGGCATTGCAGATGACCGCCCGACTTCGTCGACCACAAGACGTGTCCCTCAAAGAGAAGGACGCCTATGTTGAAGAGGTCATCCGATCCTTGGACATGGAATCAATTGCCAACGCCTTGGTCGGAACCCCGGGGGCTGGCCTTAACTTGGAACAGCGTAAAAAGGTCAGCATTGGCGTGGAGATGGCTGCCAAGCCGGATATTCTCTTCTTAGACGAACCTACTTCCGGCCTCGATGGCCAATCAGCTTACTCCATTGTTCGACTCCTGAGAAGACTTGCAGATTCTGGACAGGCGATCTTATGTACCATCCACCAACCGGCTGCAGAACTAATTTCAACATTTGACGAACTCTATTTGTTGGCACGCGGTGGACAAGTGGTCTATGATGGCCCCTTGGGAGTGGACTGTCAACAGGCTATCGCTCACTTTGCCCCTTATGCTCGGCCGTGCCGTGAAAGGGAAAACCCTGCCGAGTACTTCTTAGAAGTGATTGGCGCTGGTACCCGGCAGGATGTTCAGACAGACTGGGTGGAGATCTGGAAGCAAAGCCGTGATCAAACTTCAGGCAACCACAATGCCCTTGCATCTTCCGAGGTTAGCGGCCCACTTAGTGGTGGAGTCCATTCCTCGCTGCCGCTTCATGCCGCTCCGTTCTATTACCAGATGCTCGTATTGCTTAAGCGGACATGGCTGTACTACTGGCGGGCGCCAGACTATGCTAGAGCCAAGCTGTGGTTAAATGCCGCTAACGCTTTGCTCAATGGAATGACGTATCTTAACTCGCCTCTGACGCAGCGAGGTGCATACAACCGTGTCTTTTCAGCATTCATGTCTATGATTGTCGGCCCGCCGTTGGGATTGCAGGTGCAGCCACGGTTTGTGACCTTGCGAAACATTTTCGAGCACCGCGAACGTGAGAGTGGGACCTATCACTGGCTAGCGTTCAGTCTTTCCGCCATTCTCGTCGAATTGCCATATGCCTTCATGACCTCACTTGCATACTGGCTGTTGTGGTACTTCCCTGTGGGTTACTTCCGAGATTCTAACCATGCAGGATACAGTTTCTTGATGTATCAGCTCTTCTCCGTATTCGCTACCAGCTTGGCCCAACTCTGTGCGTCATCAATGCCTACCGTTGAAGCCGCACTATCCGCCAATGGCTTCTTCTTCATGTTCTGCAATACCTTCGCTGGCACTTTATCCCCCGCACCGGTAACGCCGGCGGGATGGCGCTGGTACTACAAGGTGTCACCCCTCTTTTACATGAACGAAGGTGTCGTGGTGGATGTCCTGCATGATCTGCCCCTCCATTGTAAAGACTCGGAGGTGTCTATCTTCCAACCTCCCGGAAGCACAACGTGTTATCAATATGCGGCATCTTTCCTCCAGGACGCTACAGGATTCCTAGTCAACCCAAACAGCACCACCGATTGCGAGTATTGTCCATACAAGAACGGCCAAGCTTATGTGGGTACCCCTAACTCCATTTTCCACGTGGCCCCTATGAGAAATACGAAAACATTGATTGGCTGACTTCAACTTTTATTTAGTACACAAAATATGACTATAGCTATAGTCACCGCGGCCGGAATGTTGGCGTCTTCATCGGCTTTATTGCCTTCAATTTCACCATGGTATTGGTCATCACTTATCTGACCCGGGTGCGTCGTCGCTGAGAGGGGCTCCTTTTGTCCGGCTTCGGTTGGTTGATCTCCCTGGGATTGGTTTATGAAAATCCCAGGTAAGTTTTTTTTTTAAAATTATTTCCTTGATTTCCTAGACCTTTTGCATTCTTTTTGTTCTCTTTCGCCACATTGGCATATATACTCCGTACCCTGTATTTAATTCCCAAAGATCTGCTGGTGCGGCGTGGTCAGACAGTTTCTGTGTGAGAAAATTGAAAGAAAATACCATTTGAAGACAATTGTACTGACCAGGGAATCTGCTTGAGCCCAAATGGTCACACTACAATGGTAGGATAATCCTAGTAGGAAGTCAGCCTTCATGGAACGGTGAGATATTGAACCCCTTTGAAGCCCCTTGAAGGGGATATCCAATCAGAAGCCTTTACTGACGCTTTCTCGCTTAAACTAGTGGATTCACATGCAGGACCCAGTAATTTCTCGTAACTGCAATATGCTCCACTGCAGGTCGCTGTTTCAGGCACGCGGCATTCCCCGGGAATATCAGTCTGTGATAACCAGTTCAACTGTGGCGTTTCTCGGGGATCGGATTCTGACTTCTCCGATAATCTTATCACGACCAAGCCGTCTCGAAATGCTTCACGCCATCGATATCATCCCGTGCACTATCATGACTCCTGTACTTCTTTTGCGGAAGTGGCACATCGGACTTGTGTATGACCCACATTGGTTCGATCTGACCTCGAACCCTCATCCACTGGACAGGAGCAGGGATGACATGATTGTGACCACCGTTGACAGAGGGCTGATTCTGCCTTTCATCCGGTGAGATCCTTGAGCAGGGGTCGGATTTTTATACGAAGCCGGAGACGTTGTACATTTACCCTTCTGGGTGGTGGATACTCCGTACTTCACTCCGGGAATGGCTGAACGGGAAGCTCGTGTCGAGAACTGTCGTTGCAGCCACACACAGTCTCTGACTTTTTAAGATTTGACTTGAATGTAACCCTATTTGGAGAGCTTCAAGATCTGTGGTTTTCATGAACGTGACCGGATACGTTTCCGACAAGACGGGAGGCTCGGTCAATCCAGGGGGCATGATCCCGATTCACTTGAGGCTCCCAACGAGAACATCTTGATTCTTCGGCTCCTGAGCGTACATGCAAGACGTCATCTCACTTGATAACCAGTGTGAAACCAGCAGAAGCGAATGCGTATCCACCAACATGCCAATTTATGTGTACAATGCACAGCATCGCTTGGCTCGATCGTGCCAGGCTTATCTAGTCAAGCCCTGGCCCACTGCCAAGTAGGCGATCCATCCACTAGATGTGATGGGATAAATCAACATTCATTTTGTTTTAAAAAAAAATGAATAATGAAAAAAAATGAAATAAAAAAATGAAAAAGAGGAAAAGAGAAAAAGAGAAAACAAAAGAAAAGAAAAAGAATGACTTCTCTATGAGAGAGGTATTTGACCTGAGCCAACGTAGGGTTGGTTGGTTGTTTCCTTGTGGGCTCACTCGTTTCCTCGTCTAATCATACTTTTCTTTGTTTCTTCCTCTTCTTCCTTTCCCTTCCTATTCTCCTTCTGGATACTCTGGATCCTTTGAATCGTTCTGGATCTCTTGGAAATAAAGTCTCTCCTGCTTGGTATTGACTATTTCTCATCACATGATTCTTGGCCATGTTCTCCACCTTTTCCGCCAATGTCAACTCCACTGATCGCCCCTCGGAGCAACCCGCTGCCGCACCCCGTCCCAGGCGTAACCAGGTTGTTCGAGCCTGCGACTGGTGTCGTCTTAATCGCATCAAGTGCGATGATAAACAACCCTGCCAGAATTGCAGGACACAGGGCGGCTACTGCAGTAATTCCAAGCCATTTGAACCCCATTCACTGCCGGTTGCGAATCGGTAAGATCCGTGGCCCCTTACCTCTTCTTTGTGTGCGCTTGTTCTTCTGTATCAGCACCAGCCAGAACAAGCTGATGATCAATGGTTAGGGAAATCCACCGACTGCGCAATCGACTCAAAGACCTCGAAGAGCAGCTAAATAAAGCGACTGAGAAATCGAAAAAGCACGCTACAGACACGAAATCTCCATCCCCGGAATCCCCCAATACCTCTGATTCCAAGTCCTCCCGTATTGCAGTGTCTTCTGAACTTCCGAGTTCATATCGCAAGACATGGGACGGTTTTCAGAATCCGGACTCGCGAACTGGTCGGGTGATCTACTATGGCCCTCAATCATCGCCGTACATGGTTATGCGCCTGAACCAGTACATGTCCCAATCGTCCAATCAGCTACATCTCAAGTCTCCTCTTTCGGTTCGTATCTCGCAGATGCACCGTCACTCTCCCGAAATTTCGCAGGAGCAGTTGTCGGACGAAGCAGAACAGCCCAGTCTTCGCCTCAGACTAGCTGAGGTCGAGGACCTGTCTCGGGAGCTAGAGGAGCACTTCCTAGTGCTTATGTGGCAGGCCTATCATTGGATGTATCCTATCGTTTTAGAGGAAGATTTCCGAAAATATTACGATTCTCTTTGGGCTGGAAATGACGGCCAAAGCCCGCGCCAGCCCTCCGCACTTGTGGACGGCTTGTTGGCTGTCTGCATACAGTACGGCAGCACTTTTCTGGTCGGAGATGGGGATATGGCGGATGACGAAACAGAATCCCAGGCCACTCACTTTACTACCGCTGCGCATGCTTTTTATCGTCGGAGTCAGCGTGTGCTGATGGAGACATTAGAGCATCCTTCGATCCAGTCACTACAGAGCCATATTTACTGCATCATCTACCAATACAACACCGCCAATTTAGACACCGCTCACATTCTCCTCGGATTGGCTATCAGAATTGCTCATATGCTGCGCTTGCACCTACAACCTCTGGGACCTCTACCGAAGGCGACGCAGGAGCTGTATTCTCGGATCTGGTGGACTTTGTACCAGTTAGATAGCCAGATCTCGATGACTCTTGGCCGTCCCCCACTGATCAACCTGGATGAAGTTGGATGTGCAATGCCGACAGACACAGGTGACGCGGTGCAACTGTCAGCCACCGTGTTGGTATTCCCTCCGGAAGAGGATCTAAGTTGGCTCGGCTTCCACGTACAGTATCTCCGCCTGGTAGCCGCAGCGCGCGGGGTCAACGCTGCGTTCGGTACGCGCTGTGCCGAGCTGTTACAGACCAAAGATTTCCAGGATATCCATGAGGATCCACCAACACTCGAGTTGCTCGCAAGATTCATGGGCAGCGCAAACCGTCCGATGTATGATTGGATGCAGAATGTGCCGCGGTCCCTCAAGAATGAACGCAAAGGCTCAGGCGTGGCCTTTTCGATAGACCGCACGGCGCTTAATCTGAGCTCTACTACACCTCTTTGGTTGCAACGTCAACGGCTTCTGTTGGAAATTATCTATCATCATCTGCAACTCTCCATATTCTGCCCCTTTATCCGCTTTCCTCCGCGCGGCGCGTCCCTCACCCCCCTGACCGATGGTCATGGTATTAATGCTCTCAACCACGCTGTTATGTTAACTCATATTTTGAGTCAGGTTCTATCAGAAACGGACCTACTGTGTGGATGGACTTCGGCCTTCCAATATCAGTGGGATGCTACCATCTGCATCATTTCATTTGTATTGGCAAATCCAGTCTGTCCCCCGACCCCAGCCGCCCGTAAAATCTTGCCAGCGGCTTTCCAGAGTCTGGATATCCTCGGCAAGTCTTTCACACCAGCCACGAGCAATATTCGGCTTGTCTGGGAGCAATTCTATGCTAGCTCAACCCCACGTAAGTGGTCCCAGCTCACGCCTCCAAACCAGAGCACCTCAGACACACCGGTACTGCCTCCAGCATCAGTGCCGTCTTCCGCTGACATCGCTACCCCTACTAGAGGGCTTGGCACTGGGGTAGGCGTGATGGATTCTACCCCACAGCTGAACTATGCATTCTCTGGATTGCCGACCTCAACCAAATTTTCATCCAATATGATGATGGGGTACGACTTCTCTGATCCAGCCACCATTACTCCCCCGCTGGATCTCATGGGCACATCTTTCAACATACCCATTGATCTGTCGATGGAGCCTGGCAACGAGTGGATGTCGAATAATGCGATGTCAATGGATTCCTGGGAAGGATATGGGTCTCAATGATCCTGCCCTCTGTTTGGCTCCACTGGGGTCCCTCATTTAACGCAGTTGTCTCCCTGCTTTCTACGCATATGACGAGGTGATACTTTTTACGATTCTTCTCATTATATATCTGCCATTTTTATAGACGCACGACCCACATTTCTATCTCATCATGTTTTGGTTATTTCTGTTTTTGTTCAGCGTGGTCCTGTCAGTCCTTCTTGTACTTACTTAGATTCTGTTCTTGTTTTGCGAACAATTACATTCCAAATCATATATAAGAATGATCCGCTCCACTACAAAGTATATGCACTTTGTTTTCATCTTGACTCTAGTATCTCAACTAGAAAAAAGTCTTTTGGTCGATATCATTTGTTCATTCGGCTACACATTGATCGAGTTGTAAAGGACAGCTTTATCCAAATCGGTGCAAATGAACTAATTGATAATAAAGAACATACACGTCACGGTGGGTGGCACCTTCCTTCAACTTGCAGGTCTGCTACGGCTGTTGCCGCATCATGACAGTCATAACAGAGTCATCCCATAAAGAGCCTCATCCTCGGACACTAGCACAATCTAACGGGTGGATAGAGGCTCCTTTACCTCCTTGGCGGGCTTGGCCAGAAACTAGGCTAGGCTATCTTACTGTAGATCAATACAATCTACACAAACTACATTGACTGGACATAAGTAATTGTATACCCCTTGGCCCCACCCAACTCACCGCTGATACCGCCTTCGTAAAATGTGTAACATGTATGGATAGAACTACCTGGAAATAGTATAGGAAGCAGCGGTTTTTTGTAGACAAATTACTGTGTTATTTTCTCTTTGATTCTTAAAGCTAGTACTCTTATATGTGCAGTAATAGTAGAGATAATTAAACTTTATGGAGATTCTTTTGACGGGCAGAATATTAGGTAGTCTTTAGGGGTGTGGGGCAGGATGCAATTATCTATGTCCACTGACTAGTTTCCCAGAAAACAGCCAATTTCCAACCCTCCATTGCTTCACAGCATCGGATGCAGGCATATACATCTCACATGTATTGATTGATCTAATTGTAAGGAAACCATGTTTTATATATATATTGTATCCAGAAAATAATCCCTTTGAAAACATTATTCAATTGTAGTTAAACTTCCAATCCATGAGTATATATATTTTGGGTTTAGTTTGTAGGAAAAGCGCAAGTCGAGAGTAGTCAGAATGGGGAATGAAACTGCGATCATTGGAGTGTTCAAGAACTAATGGGATAGTATATATTTACCACCACTGATCCAATTCGAAGCATTTTTGCCTATACCATGTGTCGAAGCTATATAAAATTAGTTGAATCGAAGTAAATTGATGGCATAGTATTGATGTTGCCTTGAGCCTTCAATCGCCACCACATTCGGGATTTGCTCTGAATCGACCAAGGAAGACGCGACATGCCCAAAAGGTTAGGACATGGAAGAGTAACAGACTCCGAATCTCCTTTGGGGTCAAAATAGCCAAATGAATTCCGCGACCATTGACGATGGGGTAGTCTGCATATTTGTGGTTGCCTTCTTCTTTTACTAGATTTACCATCAACAGGGGAGGCCAGGACGCGCGATGGCATTTAGTTAACTAAGAAATCTCTTCTCTGTATTAGTTATGTAATTGCGGTCATTGTACTCAACTAACTACCTGGGGGTAGTTGTCTTGTTGCTACGTTGTGCCGCTTCGTAGTCTGGTCGTTAAGTGTGTCACTACCACTGGGTATACGCCCTCCGTTGTATTGTCTACAAAATATATGGATACAACTCAACAGAGCACAGGTCCGCCAATGGCTCCCTCTAGTTTTCAAAAATCAGCTGTAAATCCCCAAAATGGATGCACACTTTCGGTATGTCCGTTTCTTTCTCCACTGCCTGCGATATCAGGCTGCTTACCCAGGGAGATCCATGAAATGTGCCGAGAAATTCGGCGACATCTTCTTGCTCAAATGCTTCAAGATCGCCATCATCGTTATCAGTGGCCGGAAAATAATCAAAGCCCGAGCCCCTCGACAAGAATAGTAATTTGTACTCTCGAGTCTCACCGCCCCAAATCCTTAGACTCTCATCGTATTATTCACATCCTAGTGCTACAATAAAGCGACACTTAGAGGATTGTATGTGAGTTGATCTATTGGAATTTCATGGAGGCCATTGCCACTCGTTGGAAGGAACATTGGGAAGTACAGGAGGCCGGCGCTAAGGGAATGTATGACTTTCCCACTATGCCGAAAGATAATATGCCACACCCGAAACGATATAGTAACCAGATTACTAGTGACCAATTGGTGTTCGACATCCGGCCCCAATGTTGTGCATGCCCAGCACGTGCAAAAAGTATTATATTCAATAAAGAAGGTTTGGTTAAGGAGCTCCGGGCGAATCCTCCGGTGAATGACCTCTAGCTGCTGCGAACCATAAAGTAGTGGATAGCGGGGAATTATCGCAATACCTAGAGCCCTAGAGGTGGAGAATCTACATAATATAGACGTTGTATGCGACGGTGGTAAATAACGAATACGAGATTGAGGAAGTTTATACTCTGCAAAAGATCATGAATGTTACTAGACTTATACCTCTATAACTTATAGATTTCTCTCCTATATAGACGTCTTAACCTTCTAGAAAAGCGTGATAATTGACTAATTTTCACCCCGCGAGGAAGGGCTAGAGTCGCCGCCACCCTCGGGAGAGCGACCTTGTAAGAGGCGGCCCGAGCTTCTAAGAGGCGGGGATCGACCGCAGAGGCATTGTAATTGGTTGGAACTGAGTGACTCAGCTTCGGCATGGTGAATCTTATATAGGAGACGTGGTCAATTAACAAAGTTCATACGGACTACTAAGGGGAGAATTTCTATATTACTTGGTGGATTAAATGAAGCACCGGTATTTAATTGTAAAGCATACGTATTCGTGATACGCGTGTTAGTTATAAATAGGTCTTACTGTAGGCCTGAGAGTATGCAAGTAGGAAGTTAAAGACAGGCGAATTCTCAATTCTCAATGGGGAATCGGAGTTTGCCTCAAACAAGGCCAGTGGATGATCTCTTGATTGAATATCGGCGAGTATCCTGTGCTCCGAATACCCTCGATTTCGGAGTCTTGTTTAGAAACGGCAAGACGATGAAATAAGCAAGTATAAAACATTCCTGCCTGCCGTCAACAATATATCCATTTTCAGAGGAGAATAGTACGTTATTTTGATATACACAATGAAGATCGATGTTCACCACCACTTTTATCCCTCTGCCATGCGGGAGGGTAAGTACACTGTGGATCTTTATGAGAATGAATGCTAACAACATACCATGTGACCAGCTATCGATGCAGCAGGCGGAGACCCCTCTGGCTGGTATACCCCTCCTTGGACTCTCAATCTCGACCAGGAAATCAACCGGATCCTGAACGTATCAACCACCATCCTCTCTGTCACTGCCCCTGGCCCGGTCATCGCCAAAGAGCCAACCGCTGCCGCTCAACTGGCCCGAGAATGCAACCTCTCCGCCGCGAAGATTCGCGATGCCTCTCCTTCGCAATACGGCTTCTTTGCCTCGGTACCCTCACTCTTCGACACTGAGCTCGTGCTCGAAGAGATCAGATACGCACTAGATATCCTCCGCGCAGATGGAGTGACTCTTTTCACCCGCTACGGCCAGGGCCCCAACTACCTCGGCCATGAGGCATTCGCACCAATCTGGGCTGAACTCAGCCGTCGCCAGGCGGTGGTGTTCATCCACCCCACCCATCCCCAGGATACATCCTTAATAAACCCCGCCATGCCTCAACCGATGTTCGATTATCCGCATGAGACTGGCCGCACCGCCGTAGACCTCATCACCTCGGGTCGACTGCGTCAATATCCTGGCTGTAAAGTGATTCTCTCTCACGCCGGAGGTACCTTGCCATATCTCATCCACCGTACGGCCACCATGCTCCCTTGTATGCCGCCGGACCGGAACATCGGAATCACTCGCGAGGATATTATCGAACAGGCTCGCAACTTCTACTTTGATACAGCGCTTTCCGCAAATGAGGTCACCCTCAAGGCTTTGGCGTCATTTGCTAATCCCGGTCACCTCCTCTTTGGAAGTGACTTCCCAAATGCGCCCTCCGATGCTATTGTCCGCTTTACCCGTTTTGTGGAGGAGGAGATGATAGATGGAGCTACGGTGGAGGACCTGAATGAGAATGCATTGAATCTGCTTCCTCGACTGAGACTGAAGAAGGCGGAGGAGATGAGGAGTGCCACATTGGAGGCGCATCTGTAGCCCCCCGTTTCGATAGTGTCGGGGCTGAGCTTTTTATACAACTAGCCCCATCTTTGGGGGAAATCAAATGCTATCAGGAGCCACTACGCTATTCCCATACCGACTATCTCCGCTATCCATTTTAAGTAATGTGGGGCTCCTACTCCTGATCTCCGTTTGTTATTAACTTGGGCTTATGAGGAATACAATATTGAGGTATAGTATCAGAATTACGGATGATAAAGTGTAAGATCTCTGGAATTTTAGGATGGAATACACAGGCAATAATATATACAAGTTGGATATGAGACGCAGGAATTAAATCATGGAAGCCCCTCAGATCTTTCGGCGGTTTCTGATGGTGACCTGCATATCTAGGCCAGCCCAGGCTTCAATTGATTTTCAGTTTGTCTGTACATGCATACTATACCACAATACCATACAACCATACCAGGCTTCTTCTCAGCAGTTTGCACTGAGCAGGGGGTCCGATTGGTTCGCCTTGTTTAATCCTATTAACTAATTCTGTTGATCAAATATTTCAGCTGCAAGGTTGTGAAGCTCCGACCCTCCATCAGGATCCCCTAAATATCCGTTCTTAGCCACGAACAGGTGTAGAAATTGGGTAGTATTTCATTTTTCCTTTTTCCCCCTTCTCTCGATTTCTCGCCATGTTCATAGATTGTATAGCTAGTCCTGGTCATTTGAGAGGCATTGACCCTTGGGTATCGCACTTCGCATATGCCTCCGGGTGAGGTCTTCCTTCTTTCTCTATTACGCCAGTCCCTCATACTGGCTGACAAGTACTCCAACTCTTCAATCTTTTGGCAATGACCACATAATTCTGAAATTTTACACACATATCTAGCGTTGACTTGAAGCTCATCCCCTCCATCCCATTAGACCCATTAGATGGGCCCGCAAACACGATGGTTTGTATATACTCAAAGTGGAAAACAGTAACGTGGCCATGGTGACTGATCGCTGGATTGTGAAAGAATTGATTGATAGTAAAAGCTCGCTACACACCCGCTGGCCTTACTCCTGCGCTTCGCATGCAGTCATCACTGCAGGCGACCATCCGTCGGTAATGCACCATGAATCATAACGACGCATTTTCCGTCGACTGGTACGGATCTAATGGAGTCGAAGGTGGGGATTCAGTGGATGAGGAACTATATGCTTGATCCAAGTCATCACATGGCTCATCCGAACCGGTATAATAATAGTATCACTAACTCGATCGGTCTATCTTTGCACTTTTGATTTCCCTATCTTCCAGTCCTCGGATTAATAGTGCCTCGGATTAAGAGCGAGACGCTAACGCATGTCATTGGTGTTTGGGATTCGCACGGCTGATCGGCATGGCACTAGCATGAATTAGCGCTGTGAATTTATGGAATAATGGTCCGAGATCATGGAAGCCGGCACCACGCCCCCGGTTGACATCTTCTCTTGGCTGAAGAATATCCTAGAATGGCTTTTGGGTAACATTTGAGTAGAGCACGTGCAAATGGCCATTGATAGATATTAAGCCGGTCGGGACCTTGGTCGTCATAGATCACATAATCTCGACCTGGGATCGCAACTAGTTATCGCAGCATGAATTGTTATTTATTGGTGGCGCTTTAATGGAAGGGGGATGGCACACGCGTTCAAGCCTGATGTTAGCGATTTTGCAAGCGTCGATTCACAACTCCGACGTCAAGCGTAGGACATATGCGGGGATCCGTGATGTTGTCGGCATACTCCGTAGAATATCACCGGTATAGGAAGATCTGGGGCGGCTGCATTATACCAATATTATTATTAAAGAGGGGCATCGGTGGTGTCCAATCCCGCCCTTATGCTTTCCTCGTACTCTGAGTGAAGATATACCCGCCTTTCCTGCCTTTACCATCCATTGAACTGCCTCCTGGTGAGGTTCCCCCTGTTGAGTTAAATTAAGCCACAGGCTCTATGCCTCCTTCCGTCCATTTCTTTAAGTTTCAGGCTTGCGACCATCCTCCCGCCACACACATACAACTGCACACCCACATCCAATTATGCACTCATACAGTCACTCATTCTAGATGACTAGATTAATAAAAAATTTCTCCCCAAGCCTACCATGATCCTTATCAACACTTAGCTCAGGGTCCGCCCGTCGATCCCAACCAAGAACATAACCCAGCCCCCCTCGGCCCCCAACCTTTCACCAGCCACCCTTTCCTAGTCCCCAGAGTACATCGTGGGCAAATAGGAGTACCATGATAACTCCGGCTACGGGATCACTCAACGTATTTGTCCCGGTATCCATCTGGCCGAGCGGAACACATTCCTACCGATCGCCAAGCTCCTGTGGGCATTTAAGTTTCAGCTCGGAGATACAGGTGAGCCGAACGATATTGGTCTGGTGAGGGGTTACCTGCACGGGTTCTTGTACTACGCAACGCGGCATGTGTGTCGATCGGTGATGAGGGGTGAGACCATTCGGCGGATTATTAGGAGCGAATTTGCCATTGTGCAGCCGTGAGGTATGTTTGAATTTTACCGAGGGCTGATGGACAGGTTTTGGTTTGGAGAAGGTCATATTCTTGTTGATCTAGATTGGAAATGGTTTGGCTTGAAGTTGGTGTTCAAGGTCTATCATATCTGCCTTGGCATGCTGTCACTTGATATGGTAGATTTCCCCAGTTCTCCTGGCTATCTAGTTGTGATAATTGTTTCTCTTCTTCATTCTCTTTCTAAATTAAGGGGGTAGTTGAAGTGTAGGGGTTCTTCTTTGAACTTATTGCTTCCAGATATGCCCAACTATAGAAACTGAGGTACAGCGTTATCGCCCATTTGAATATAGTATATCCAGAACTATAACAAGAGCAGGAACTTCCACATATGGAAGAACTCAAGGCATATTATAAGATGGTATGATGATATTCTACATCCCTATCTACAACGATCTATATTTCTATGTCAAATTGTAGTATATTGTAATAAACAAACGCATATTTAGGTACAATGCAGCACGGTAATTGTCTCTCTATCATGGAGCATATATATGCTGTGGCAAATTTTCAAAAGAAAATGACAAATAATTGAGAAAAATTGCTTCCGCCACCTTGCCAAGTGCTCCGTCTCTACTCCGTATTCTATAACAATTCAAGTGATTGGTTCCGTTGTATCAACAACAATAACCGAGGGGAAATGGATATAGGGTGTGGAGTACAGGACTTCCCATCAGCTCTACTCGGCCACATAATCTTTGCCCTGGTTTGCAAAAGGTATTTTTCATCTTTAAGTATATACAATTTCCATATTTTGACTGTACCAAGACTACCAAGTCACCCACTGTGTGAGTCATGTTCAGGAGCTATCCTTCATTGATAGTGAGCTATAAGGATTTGTAGTAAACTAAGATGCTAAAATATAGGTATTAACTATAGTAGTAAGCGCTAAGAATAAAAGCCAGGGAGATGGGACTCTATAGAAAGAAATATAAGTACATTTGCTATAAATTTGCTATATTAAAAATCAATAATCTACAAGCGCCGATTCCTAACCTTATATATATTTATCTCACTTAGACCATTATTCTCTCTTGAACATATCCCTTAGGTAACTATATTAAAGCTAGAAAATATGTTAAAATAGATACCTTTCAGAACTAGTCAGTGAATACATTCCTCGCAAGAGAATAAAATCATAGGTTGCATCATATCACATTGCAATGCGCATTTTTTATTCATTGTACAACATACCCTTGGTAGTATATGCCCTTTGAAGGCGTAAACTATCAAATGGGCCCCACCTAGCTGCCATATATCCTCCACTCATCGTTATCCCTTCAAATATATCCTTTGCTCCGATGACACTGGCTAAGCTAAAGGCAGGTAGGTGGTCCCCACTTCAAGTGATTTTTTTCAAACATTCTATATCCAATTGACGCCTATAGATCATTCCGTTCCCAATGGAGATTGTTGTGAAGTGTCGGGCTTATCGGTCAAGGGGAGATGCCGGAGAATCGGAGTGACAGATCGGGAAGTGAAGGGCACTAACTCGATTTAGTTCATTGCTCTCGTTGTTGTGGCCTAGGGTGGGGCCGCAAGGAATAGAATTAATAGAAGCAAAAAAGGCCACCGCGGGGTACCAGAGTATCTCATTTGTTCAAGTTTCTATAGCGTCTTTCTCGCATATTTTGAGTTCTTTAACATTTAAGATTATAGCTCACCGCTTCAATTTGAGGAGGGGCCAATTCATAGAAAAGAGTAAAATCAGTCCCTTACAGTGGAGGTTGCGAAGTGGTATAGCGGCCAACTGAGCATACCTTAATTAGAAGGGTTGATGCTGAATTATGCCTGATTTTATACTGGCAGAAAATTAAGATACGATTGTTATAACAAACCTTACTAAATATGTAAAACTCAAGTTTACCTTTTAAAACAGGCAAAATGAAGCTATTCCCACTATACAAATCTTTACATTTGCCCAATTATAGGAGTTGAAACTATTCTCACTATACTCTATACAAATGGTTGGATCATATATACTTCGAGACTAAGGGTTTGTTCGATTGATTCTATACACCCTAATTTTCTATAGATTAACTGGGTTATAGCTCTTCCTCTCTTTTCCGACCTATTAGCCTTAGCATAGATCCCCATATTCACCTAATTTCTAGCGAAAAGATATTGCCAACTATACAATTCTCCATGTTCGCCCAATTCCTGGCGGCGAAGCCATCCCCATTATACAAACATCTCTATCGGTGGGAATGGCTTCGATGCCAGGTATTTGGTGGATTCGGAGGTTCATCTAGGAGAAGTGGCTTTAATTGCATTTACAAAACATGGTATTGGCGGTGTCGAATACGGTCTAAAAGCAAGCATAATCGAGGTATAATTCAGGCATCATTCAGGCATCCAAACTGAAAAATCGGGATATGCATCGTTGGCCGCTATAGACCTTCGCACATGTGTTTACTTTACTGTGCAGATAGTCACATATTTACTGCAGTCAGAACCACATTCGACAAGCAAATCTCCGTCCATTTTCTCCCCAGTTTAACCGAACTTCACAATCGCCTTGAATACTACATAAATAATTATGCTCACACCTTCAGGAACAAGAAGCTCATTGGTTTATATTATATGACAACACTGGCCAGAGGAGGAATAGAACGAAAGTAAACCTTGCAGCTTAATGCAGCTTAGAAACCTAGTCCATATATTTGAGTTTGCGATATCCGATTGGACAGACTAGGCAGTTGACGGCTGTACACCTTGCAACCTGATATAGTCTATATATTCGAGTTTGCTATATCCGATTGGCTAGACTAATTGGCTAGACTGGCAACAGGACCACTGTAAACCTTGGAATTGATATAATCTACATACTTGAGGTTACTGTAACCGATTGGCTCAATTAGGAAGAGGACATTGGTAACCCCTGTGATTTTATGTAGGCATTTGAGGTTGCTGTATCCACTATAGGGGAGGCGCCGTTGATAGTACCTGTCGTCCGGGGTAGAGACGCTGCGTTACTGGTTTCTACGAACCATGACACATACCAGATATTGATAGAAAGATGAACCTATCTCAAATGACCTTTAATATAAACCTCAACTCAGATATGGGGCTCATTGGAAGTTTAGGTGGATTCTCTCTTGCAGCCACAATCACTCTTCGTATTCACCTTCCTTCTGGCACCCACAATAATCATTCTTCGTATTCATCTGTTTGGCGTTTTGGCCCCAAAACCTGCGGAGCCAGTCCCTTCGCTTTTAGCAACCATTTATGGAAGTCCGTGAACTCCATTTATTGAAGCACTCGGAATACTCATTGACGTATACGAAAAAGGCCTTGGTGAGCATACTAGCAACAATTAAGACATGAGATGATATTGTTGATAGATGCCGAGCGAGCTCCGGTAGTTGCAAAGATCGAAGATATATAAAGGGTCTGCATAGACCAACAAACGAAAGATAAAAAGCACCAGCATCATTGCATTGCATTGCATCTTCTGAATCTTCAGGGCCTCCTCTTTCTTGGTACCAGATACATCAGACACAAGCATGTTTGCAACCATGGGTCCCCTGCGCATCTGCCTCGTGGTGCTAAGCTTTTTCTTCATCTGCTCTCCCCTTGCCGCAGCCGCGCCAAACCCGAAAGGTGGACTGGAAAAGCGCTATACCAGTCCCACAGTTATCGCACCTAGCAACATCACTCGCACTCCACTCAATGTCTTCCTCCAAATCCTCGAGACACAGGCCAACCCCGACCCGAATCTCATCAAAGAATACGTCGCCCTCGACGCAACTTATGTCTCTTTGACCATTGACAACCCAAACCTGCACAAGATCATGCCCTGGGCGGGAACTCGTTACCAAGTGGGGCCCCAGGCGTTCCTGGACACCTTCACACGTGTCGGACTTTGGTGGACACGGGGCCCGTTCTCCATCGATGCAATCTTTGCCGATGGGGGCAATTGCACCGCCTGGGGACAGTTTGAGATCACCTCCAACACGATGCAGAAGACTATTACGTCGCCGTGGTCGGCCCGTGCCGTGGTCAACGATCAGGGCATGATCACATATTTCCAGTATATGGAGGATACTTTCGGAACGGCGAGTACCTTCTGGGCCGATGGCTCCAAACAATACCGGGCTCACCCGGATGGCGGAAGTGTATGGTTTTGAGGAGTGAACGCGAATTAGAGGAACAGTTTCGGAGTGACGGAGATGAGAGATGAATTAGGATAGAGAGAATATAAATTTCCTAATGGAGAATACGATTGAACTTGTTTTGGCAGTTTTCAACTATCTGGGATCTCCAGGGTTGTAGTTTACAGTAAGTGGGGGTGAACTCCTTTAGGGCAGAGAGGCTCCTCCGAAACTCCTTGTGGCGGTAGGTGGCTCCACATTGCCGACAACCGCAAGATCTCTCTATTTATTCGCCGTTTCTAGGGTTTTGGATTGAGCTATTCAAGGAATAGAAGTTCACTAGTTGGGGAATTTCGTGTGATAACTATGTGACATGCCACTCATATGTAGATAAGAAGCTAAATAAAACAGACAACATTCGTTAAATCCTTCTCTTCATTCCATCCATTCCACGCATAACCCGCGTCTACTACTGCAATCATGACTCGTGTACTTTTGACCGGTAGAGTCCAATTGAATTGTTTTTATGAGGGTAGGATCTCGCTAACTCACTCGCTAGGTGGAAATGGCTTTATTGCCGCTCATGTACTTGAGGTTCTCCTAGCCCGGGGCCACTCCGTCGTCACCACCGTTCGTTCCCAGAGCAAGGCGAATGCCATCCAGCTAGCCCACCCGGGAATCGCCAATGACCGCTTGTCGTTTGCCATTGTCGAAGACATTGCCCAGCCCAATGGTATACCCGTCCTGCAAATCGTCAGATAGAAATGCAAAAAATCGCTGACTGATGATACAGCTTTTGACCAAGCGGTGGTTTCGGACCCTCCTTTTGAGGCTGTCATTCATACAGCCAGTCCCTATCACTTCCATGCCAAGGATGCCCAAGAGTTGTTGGCTCCAGCTATCATGGGTACAACCGGAATCCTCAAGTCCGTGCAGGCAAATGCGCCTTTCGTGAAGCGCGTGGTGGTGACCTCGTCTTTTGCTGCGATCAATGATGTCTATGCCTCGGGCGCCGGCAAGATTTACTCTGAGGTGTGTTTTTCCTATGAAACTGATCACCTCTTCTCTAACTGACAGAAAATTTTCAAAATCTTAGGCGGATTGGAGTCCCATTACAGAGGCACAGGCAAATGACAGCCCCGCCAACGCATATCGAGCCAGTAAAACCTTTGCCGTATGCTCCCAGAAATTCCTCCGATGAAAAAAAAGGACCGCGCTAACTAATCCATTACCAGGAACGAGCTGCATGGGACTTTGTAGAGAAAGAAAAGCCCGGTTTCACCCTCGCTGTCATCAATCCGCCCCTCGTCCTCGGCCCAATCGTTCACAATCTTACATCCCTAGACGCCCTCAACACCTCCAACCAACGAATCCGGGATCTCCTATCCGGCGCGGCTAAGAACCGCTGCCCCCCAACCGGAAACTACCTCTTTGTCGACGTCCGTGATCTCGGCCTTGCCCACGTCCTCGCCGTCGAGAAGGAGGCAGCAGGCGGGAAACGTTTCTTCGCCGTATCCAGCCATTTCTCGAATGCGGAGATCTCAAAGATCATCGGCGAGGAGTTCCCCGAGTACAGCGATCGTTTGCCCACCGGAGACGCTTTGAAGCCTGGCCAATACCCCGCGGATGGAGTATATGGGTTCGACAACACCCGTGCGAGAGAGATTCTGGGTGTTCAGTTCCGGCCTTTGAGGGAAAGCATCGTTGATGCTGTCAAGAGTTTACTGCCTCTTGGTGCGGACAAATTGCAATAGATTATACGGAAGGGCTATTGGTGGGTTGTTCTGTTTAATTCATGAACATTTTGTTGCTTATGGAATAATCAAGCTTTCAGTGTTGTGTATATTCAAAGATTCTGTCGTCAGGGGGGTTCCTAACTATATTTATAGATTGATGTACTATGTACCGGTATTCCAACTTGAAAGTCTCAAGATCAAGTCGCCCGGCATAACCGCCCATCTGACTCCTGCACCCATTTCTCGCTTCCCACAGCAGTGTGCGCATAGAAGTTACTCTTCGGATCATACTTATTTTTAATTGCCAGAAGGCGATTATAATTTGGTCCGTAGAAGGCTTCTTGCCAGTTTGGTTGTTGCGGATCAGCCTGGATAATGATGTTGAATGAGCAAATTGCTTAACCATACTGTGCCACTCGCTAACAAGGCAGTCATCGCCCTGAATACGTACCTCGTTCATATAGGAACCTGGATCAGATGTCAGGGATGTCAACATTGGCATCCACTTATCAGTCATCTCATTGGCAAGCTGTTTCATTTTCCCAAGGTTTGCGCGCTCCGGCCATGTTCTAGAATGGATATAGTCAATACATACTTTTCAAGATAAAGAGGATGACAATCGACGGAGGATAAACGCTTGAACTGAACTTACGTTGCCAGAATGATATCCATTACGGCCGTCCTCCACGATGGAAGTACAGCATTGTTCGTAGCCCCCGTCACGGCGGAGGACACATTCAATGAAATACTGACAAATCCGACGCCGTCCTGGGTGATGTTTCGCATCGCGGTAGTCAACGCCGAATTTGACTGCTCGACCACCGACAAGGGGATCAATTTGCCACCGAACTGGCCGTTTTCCACGAGCTGGGTGGGGTTGGGCTCAATCAAGGCATTGTAATGATCAAAGTACGATGGGAAATGTGTGAGGTTCATCGCATAGCTGATATTCAGCTGGTCCAGCTTATCAGTGAAAGGTGTGATCAGTTCCAGTGCGCTCTTCACAGTGGTGTTGGGGAGAGTTAGAGGCGTGAGCAAGAAGGAGGAGTCCGTGACACGAGCGATGGCCATGCCCCCCGCCGCCGTGAAGCTCGGAACCAGGGAGTGATAGTATTCCACAGCATCATAGAAGGGATCGAGGTTGGCGGGATCTGAGTCGAATTCGAGGACCACACCTGCGACGGGGAAATCGGGGAACACCTTCGCCGTCATGGACGTGACAACGCCATACGTTCCGCCACCGCCGCCACTTAGAGCCCAATACAGGTCGGCGTTCTCCGTTGGGGAGGCGCGCAGCTTTCGCCCTCTGCCATCGACAACCTCCCACTCCAATGTTTGATCCGCAGCCAGACCATACCGCGAACTGAGGGCCGAGTGGCCGCCGCCCTGCGTGTACCCTCCAGCCGGACCAACGGTGGCACATTCACCGCCGACCATCACTAGGTTGTGTTTGTGCAATGCAGCGTAGACTTCCTCGCCCTGGACACCGGCTCCAATGGTGACTGCCGGGCCGGTGTAATGCGGGGAGGAGTAGTTATAATTGATCTTAATATCCTTGAGGTAATGAGTCCAAATGGAGAGACCTCCTGCGCCGGTCGATTTTCCCATGTAACTAGCGAATTGTTAGATTTTCTGCATCATCTTCAACGTCTTGCTTTTCTAGTGGAAACCTACTCATGGCCGGTATTACGGATCACAAGTCGAAGATTATTGTCATCTGCATAGGCCATCGTCCGGGCAATATCTGCTGAGGAAGAAACATTGACGGCATACGACACCATATTTCCAAGCCGGCAGGGACTCGACGAAGCAGTGAATGGGTCGCAAGTCGCGTTAGCTATGTCAGCAGCCATGATGGAGGAAGAGGAGCCATCACTGTCAATTGATAAGTTAGATCAACTAGAGTGGGGTAAATAACCTCCAGGTGGAGGGGGTATGCAAATACACTTACTGCAAGGCTGGCTGCACCCACTGGTCTTGAATATATTGACATTCAGTGGCATTATAGCTGGGAGCATGACAAGGGGAGGCAAGTGGGACTGTCTTGACCAGTCGCCCGCCCACTGTGGAATTGAATCGAGACCATTCCTTCACCGATGGCCAGCATGAATCAGTGGGCATGCATCGACATTGTGAAGGAGATGTAGGATTTGGCTTAGCCGAAGTGGCGCCGACCAGAAGGGCTACAAGTGTCAATTTTCCTATCATCATCATGACTTTCCCACTTGTTGGAAGAGACGATCGATCGCTTGTGTCTCCATGGGATTGAACATGTCGCAGGTGAATATATAGTTTGTAGATTGGACGTGGTAAAAGACATTGTCCGGGTCCACATCATGGTACATCCAAAAGAAGTATACTAGAAGGAGCTGTGATGAATTGAATGAATTGTAAACATTAGGAGATCCAGAAATAGTGCCTTTTCTTTGCCTTAAAAGGAAGTGGATGCCACCGGAGTAAGCGACATATGTGCAAGGCAAAAACGGGATAGTGTAGTTTTGTGTGAAGTCGTTGTCGAGTGGCTGAGGACAATTTCCAGTTTTCATTTGCTTGCTCTAGCTCTTTTCTCCTCTTTAAACCTTTGATAAAATGACGATACTTTGGAAAATAGTTCACGTTATTCAAGATCAAGATGGAGTAGGTCGTATGCATCAAAACACAGAAAAGGTACACACAAATGCCCCTCTCATATATATACAATGAGTCTAAGCAATAGTTTTACACATTTATGCTAGTATTTTTGCTGAAGCTCTGCTAGCACTACATACACCAGACTTACTTCTCATGTACCGTATCCTAACATATTTCACAAAAACATCCAATTAGCTAGCCAGGTGTTTTTAACATTGCAGTCTAGAGCTACGGAGATTGATCGGCACTATGTGGCAACATCTTTCCATAACAGTCTAGCCCTCGGATAAATTGTATCTAAAACTCTGTGCATACGTGGATACCACCGTCCACTAGTACATTTGTCCCAGTGACAAAGTTTGCCAATGAATTCGCCAAAAAGGACAGCAAAGTTCGAAATTTCCTACAGCCTCTGCGAGAAGGTATAGAGGCCAAAGCCTATATTTCCGATGTTGCCTAGTTTATGCCTAAATTATGCCCATTTTTAGACTGCTTTTGATACTAACCCCAGCCGCTATATATCTCTGCAGAGGATATTACGGACGAGGAGAGAGTTTTGATTTACGGGGAGGCTAGTTGCCGGCCCCGGGGCTAAGTTGCGGGTCGGGTTCTCCAACCTATCCTCGGCGCTCGGGGTTTGGCACAGACTAGCCGCTCTTGGCATATAAGACATGCTCTACTACTCCGTATACGAACTAGTAATTAGATACGAAAGGATTCTAACTGTCTTGCTCGAAACTCCGGCTGTATCATTGGCTAGATGTAATGTATGCAAGTCTCATACTATGTATCCTCGCCATAAGCCTGTATATTTAGCTTCCGGAATGAATAGCAAGCGAGTACCAACATGACTGCCCATTCTACGCTATCCTAACGGGAATTTTGGAAAATGGCGAGGTCATAGAACTGTGGAGACTATTCTTTCGGGTAAAAGTTGCCAGGTATAGATATATAATTGAGAATTGATCGTCTTTTTCGTATATGTCCGAGTGATTACCGAACTTATGCCGTTTAGTGATCTCAGCACACTGTATTCGGGAAAACTAAATGACATAAAAATACTTTCCCTAGTCACGTAGAGCAAGGGGGCTGTTGGCTAGTAAGATCATAGATTATGTATGTTGTAGGACTGTGTGACTGTTATATTCGTTCTGTGGTCCCATTTCTGCAAGGATTTACACCACGATGCTACTAGTAAGTGGCGGTAAATTTTACTTCAAAGTATCGATGGGGTGGAAGAATTTGATAGAAACGTCTCTCACTTAATAGTTATTGGCTTTTCTCCTGGTATAAATAGAAGACTAGTAAAATTCAATGGTCATTGTCAAATGGATGATGATTTTCGCCCTCGTGTTCAAGACAATCCATATCGCCCTCATGATAATATGACTAAATTTATGAAGTGAGCCAAGTAAAGTATAATGTGAAAGGAAACCTTGGCTCAAGTCAAGAGTCCTAATCCACCTATAACGGCTATTCTATGCCATTGAGCCACGGATACTCATTATATGCAATTGTAAGCCATCCAGGATAGGGCAAATATCCCTTAACTAGCCCGACAACTTCCTCGTGTGCCACAAATCACCATTTCTGCATATACAGTTGTTCATAAGCAGTTGTCCTTGAGGAAATCGTGTTTTCCATTCTAATCAGGGAATGACATATGTAAGAGTGCATTTGTTGGATTGCTTTTAGACATATTTGACTAACGTCCACGGGTGATCCTCTAATAACACAGTAATACAGACATCCTACATATTACTCTCTATAGAAAGAGAGAAGTGGTCTACGATGGCAATGCCTCAGAAGTGATTTGAAGCGAAATCAGCCACATAGCTCATATATCTCTGCAATCATTTTATCAATTTTATTGACCCCAAATTTTGGATATCATAGTTTTAGTGGGATTTTCGGCGACCTGCACTTCTCTAGATATATATCAAATACGGATCTTGCCATTGACAGTAAATAGTGTCTTTTAACCTTCAGAAGGACTGTTGTCGTCATTTGCCCATTTTGAGATAGTAAAATCGCCACCAGACCAACTCAAGCTATATTTTTTCTCACACGAAGCGACGTGAATCTGCAGGCAATACGGCCACTATCTCCAGCTGATTACTGTTAGAGCCTTTTTTTTTTCGGAGTCTTCCTAAATGACAGTACACAAAGATCTACGGTGGTATCCAGGATGCGCTATCCTAGACAGCGTTATCAAGGAAAGAAATTAGCCAGAGTAATATCAAGTGTTGTCTATAGAAAAGCCAGCAGCTGGGGTCAGGCTTCATAATGTTCAGTTCTCCATCTATTGTACAACGAAATTACATTTTGGACTCTATTCAAGGATCTGCGCGAAATAGGCTAAGTAGAGCCAAAACCTCAACGTTGGCGCATTCCATTGCCTGTCTAACAATATATCTGTACAAATTAGTACTCAGAGCATCTCATAGAGGTGCTACTCTGAATACGACACTGAAAGAGCTCAGAGGGTGGTCTCATATCTCATTCCTCTCTTAACATGCAAGAGTAGTGCGTGGTTCAATACCCTCATGCATCTTATAAAAGTGCAAGGACTAGTGCCATACTAGGGCTAACAAGGATATCACAGTTACTGTTGATTGATGACGACGCTAAAAAGAAATGTAGCTCCACCCGGGGCTGCCGCAACTCTCTATATCTGATCTCCTAGTCTAACATTCTACAACAATATTCAATCTCAGAAAGGTTCACCGCACATTTGCTCCACGATGATTTTTTAGCCATGGTGTTGATAACTTCGGCCTATCATTTGAGAACCAAGTTGCCATGGATAAAAAAGAATAGGAAGAGAAACAAGTCGAATTGAATATCGAGAGACATGGTGAACTATTTGACATTATGGACGGGGATAGGAAGGTGGCAGTGATGTGCGAAAGTATAGAGCACAATGAGGTTTTGTCTATCATAAACTCTCTGTCAATGTTTTTTATACACACGGCTATTTCTGTATTGCTGATCTAATATTGAAACAGGCTGCTGCTGTTGCGGTGATTTATCCGATTGGATATATAAGTGAATCTGCATTCAAGCGGGCAACAATTTGTCAAGGGGTATTGGAATCATGAGTCTGTTTGTTTAACTAGTTCGTCTGGATCCCCTTGTAGCGACTCCCTCGAAACACATTGTGAACATATTGAGGTGGTGTGAGCCTCAATAGCCAACCTTGGAAGAGCACAGGCGATTTTAATTATCATGTAAGATATAGGGGCGCCCAAAGAGTGCAACAGCCGACAATGGAGGTACGAACCCCTCCAAGGAGGCCCTTGCCACGAAAATGAGTTTAATAAACAGAATAAACTCAAGGTGGCTTATGTGGCAAGCCAAAATTGTCGATCACTTATTTGTGACTTCCTTGACAACAATTCTGATGCATATTGTAGAATATCATGAGACAGAACTAACCGATCTGTGCAGTACGCATAAAGTTTGGTAGATACAACACCATACTGTGATTCGGACCGAACAGCCTAGGAATATCACTATAGGTGCGTAAGAGGCTTCAGGCTCCTTGTAAAATTCGACCTGGTATCAAAGAAAACAAAATTGAATTATATAAGTATGTTGTATTCAAAAGATGATAACTATCAAGTATGTACAGGAAGATAGGAGAACGGGTTGGGAAAGGCACTACGGAGTAGATATAGTCAATTCACAGAGACTTGCAGACCCCTAAAAATATAAATATAAATCTAAATATAAAAAATATGGTATCGAATATTATCTTAAAATATCAATTGGTTGCCTGTCAACATACAAAGTTATTAGTGTATATAGCGTGTAGTTACGATGTCAATATACGATGTCGATGTAGAGTGAACCGTCCAACCTGCCACCGCCTCTGATTGGCCCAAATCCAACCTCAAACTGCGACAAGAGAACTCTCCTCCGATTTCAATCAACACCACAACAACACACACAAAGCCTAACTTCACTATTCAATCATTCGTGCACTGCACAGCGAATCTGAAAAAGGGAACGAAATCCGCACATCTACGCCAACACACAAGACCGATCGACCACCTCTCCTCTTCTTACTCCGCACGCCGCGCACACATATCATCTCCCCCGGGTCCAATACTTTTACGAGCGGCACGTCACACTACCAAAAGAGAGGAATCTGATTAGTCTCTTCCTGCTGCATCCCACAGACCAGCGCCGTAAGCATGCCGGGCGACGAGTACTCCATCGGCGGCGGCAAGCTCAAGCTGAAGGGGAGTAAAGTCAGCGGAAGTCGGATAGAGAAAAAGAAAAAGAAGAGCACAAAGAAAAAGGAGGGAGAAGTGACACATTCAAAGCCAGAGTCAACGCCGGATATACAGCGACTAGAAAGTGAAAAGGATGATGGTGTGAGATCTGAGGAAGACAGAGAGAGGGAGAGAGATGCGCCTGGGAAAACTGAGGCCGAAAGGAGGGCCGAGGAGATTCGACGGAAACGGGTATGTGCTGTTTTCTCTTTTCATTTTTTTTTTTCTTTGTCGTCTAGATGGGCTCAGGCTCTTTCTACTTCGGCTTTGTTGTACAGACTAAGACTAACCGTTCGGGACAGTTGCATGAGCGGCTTCAGCGCGAAGGTGTCAAAACTCATAAGGAACGCGTGGAGGAGCTGAATAAGTACCTCAGTCGACTGAGTGAACATCATGATATGTATGTCTTACTCTTTTATTTTTACCTTTTGATCTCTGAGCATTGGACTCTATAAGCTGACTTGTTATATAGGCCGAAGATCGGACCAGGCTAAGTGGGTTCTACGGTGTTTCATATACGTTCCATTGCGATCATACAATCTTAGTCCAGGCATACCATGTCTGTATTTATACTTAATGCGTTCTGTCCAACGTAATGGCTGTCAAAAATCCGCCGTGTTTCACAGATCCGTAAGCTACCTGCGGTACTCAGTATATGTCATGTGAGAGGAAAGAGGCTCAAGATTTCAGAATATGTATAGTTCGTAGCTAAAATGATCCCATAAGAGCTCTGTTTAGCAGTCCCGAGAAATGAAAGAGGCATGCCCCAGATGCGAGATAGCAGCAGTAGCAGCAATAGTAGATAAGTGGTCAAAATATCAAAAGATCAAAGAGAAGATAGATATCAGCACTAAGCACAACGCCATGTAAATGAAGCCCATAAAGACTGGAAACCAAACAAGTCAAACCAAACAAGCCGTAGCCAAAAACCGTATCCGATCTAGATATAGATCACGAATAACCAAAAGAAAGATGAAACCCCATCCGGGGGAATCCAAGAAGAGTTAAAAAAAAGAGTAAGACGAAACACCGCGCTAAATCCAAGATCACCGCAGAGGCACGCAAGAAAGAGAAAGAACCAGATCGAATCGAATCGACCGCCAAGAAGGTACCCTGTAGGGGTAGCACCTGATCGGCCGAGGTAGGCAGATAAGATAGGGGGAAGGAGGCGAGATGGCCCGGGCCTTCATCGACTAGACTGATCACGGTCATGGGTCATCCTTGGCCACCCCCCTTTGTTCAGCCGAGATAAAAGCGAAGAAACAGCGCCTATTTCTCATCCTGATTTGTAGTCCTCTGACTCATACGCCCTTGACAACAACGGTTCGCTCGCTGTTCAGCTTATCGGCATTTCGGGCGTGCGATTCTTTCTTGCAGTCCTCCAGTCCAGTGCAGGAGTGGGCTTCCAGCATGCGGTGCTTGGAGCAGAAGTGGCCGGTGCAGAAGCTGCAGTCACCGACGATTCGCTGAGCAGCTTCCTTGCACTCCTTGAAGTTGCAACGGGGCTTGCGGGGAGGCATTGTGGTATGGTTATACTGAGGGGGTCGGTTTGGGGAGAGAGGGGTATAGAGGTACTTCTGTGGAAGAGAGGAGAAGTAGGGAGTAGAAGTAGTGATGGCGAGACGCCGAGTTTGAGATAAGCGCCTCACGTGCGGAGGCGAGCGGGGAAAGGACACAGAGTAGAGTAAAGTAGTAAAGGGGGAGGGAGGGAAAGAGGGCCAGCAATGCCAGCCTATATATAGTGTAATCGGAAGACACGGGAGAAAGCCAAAGAAACAGACTTCTAAGGGCTGACTCAGTGAGGCGACAGTGACGGAATCACAGGTGGAGTTCCCAAAGTTATGCTGGGGCTAGGCGATTTGGGACTTTTTAAGTGGTATAAGTGGAGTTTAGTTTAATGAAATAATTGGAATTAATTGCATTTTATATTGGAGGTTTTGGAGTAGATTATTTACATTTGACTGGTTAGACAATAGGACCCCTATACTTATAACTATACGGAGTATATACATAAGACTTTTTTTTTTCCCTTTCTTTTTCTTCTGACTTTTAATCTGCATACCCACGCGGTACACGCGGACGTATCACCCAGGCGCCTGGTCTCGGGCCCAATGATCGGAATGTTGAATTGCCCGTGCATTCAAGGGCGCCTTCACGTGATGATTCAGGAGTCAGGTGTACGAAAATACTAGTCTCTCAGCTAACTCTTAACAACTCACTACTAACTAGCAATCTGCTAACTACAAAGGGGTTGAATTAGACCTTCCAAGGTCGGAAGAGCACTCCAAAACCAAATATCGGTCTACGATTTTGCCGCGCCACCAGAGTGGCAAGGTGTTCGCCCGGACTTCATTCATAGCGGTACTCCAGGCAACGTTGATTTACTCTACTCCGTACTATCCTACAGAATACGGAGTACATAGCGTCCAATAAAACCACTCAATCCAATGCAAAAGGGAAGGGAAAAAGCCACCTGTAAGTGGACGAAAGGAGCTATGACCTCTACAGCGAGTGAACTGTCTGCGATACCCGACAAGTATGCAGACAAATGTGGACGAGTCACCTAAGCCAAGCCCAGCTAGGCACGACGGATGATCCGCGTGGAGCTATTGCACCGGTAACAGCATCCTATGCAGGACTGCGTACATAACCTTGGAAGTAGCCCTGTGGGATGCCTTTCGTATACTCCGTTCATTTCCCGGGTTAGGCCTTAAGTGAGGGTCGATCCCGCTACCCAATTTCACCGTCTCTCTCTTTCTCTCTCCACATCTCCCCACCATTGCCATATGTAGTAGTACTATCTGCCCACGGATCCCCTCACACACGCTAAACGGTACAAATCAGAATCCTGGACACCCTCTATACGGGCTACGTGTTCGTGATCAATTTTAAATATCAACTAGCGTGGATTGGTTTCATGATATGTCTACCGGTAAGGGTTGACGAAGAGAGACAAAAAACAAAAAAAGGAGAAAAGAAAATGTGCATATGAAAAAAAAAACGCCGACGCAGACCGATGGTGCGCCCAAACCCCCCCCCCTTGCCCTGCCCAAAAGCGAAAACGAACAAAAAAAAAATTAAAAATTGAAAAAATTGAAAAGGGTAAGGAATGAAATCTCATCATCTCATACTCCAAGCTCGTTTGCCTTGCCGGCATCTGGGTCAAGGTAGTCCTCCCGTTCCGCTGCCTCATACTCGCCAATCAGATCCATCACCACCGCCCGGGCCTCGTCAAATTCACCGAGTCCATCAGCAAATGGCGCTTCCTTCTTATATGAATCCAAGAAGGCATTGCGCTTACGGAGCATGTCATAGTGCTTCACAATGCGCTTGAAGAGTGTCGCCACAGAGGTATGGTTGGCCAGCATCAGCCCGCTTACGCGGTGTCCGGTTTCCTCAATATACGGGGATCTCTTCGTGAGAGCCACTTGGATGCTGGCAGGGCCCCAGGGGATGAAAGAAGCGAGGCGGCGCTCTCGTATACGCAGTAGTGACTTGTGCACGTCGGTCGGGTCGGCTTCGCCCTGGATAATGTTGAGGATGCTGATGTAGCAGCTGGACTTGCTGGGGTTGACGGAGACCATGCGGTTCTTGGGCTGTAGGAGGCGACGCATAACATCTAACACGGTTGTCTTTCGCACTGTCCGGGCTTGCTCGATGTTGGCGCCCGTGAAGGGTGTGTATGATGTGAGAAGGAAGTGGCTGCGTGGAGTGGGGATGAGCGAGGCAATGATGCCGGCAAGATCGTTGTGCATGTATCCAGGGTATCGTAGGGTGGTTGTAGATGCAGACATAACCGTTGACACGAGCTGGTTGGTTTGGTGGAACGAGGGTTCTTGAACGTGGAGTCGATCAGCGACAATTCGTGATAGAGCGCCATTGTCTAGGACGACCACGGAGTCGGCATCTTGGGTCAATCGGCGCATGGCAAGCAAGCTGTTGTAAGGATTAACGACGACATCGGACTGAGTGTCTGGGAAGACGGAGTAGGTTTGAATAAGTTTCTTCGGGAATCGATCGTTCATGCGTTCGAGGATGAAACTTCCCAATCCAGAGCCTGTTCCTCCTGCGATCGAATGTAGAAGCATAAATCCTTCTAGTGAATCACTTCCGTCCGCTTCGCGGTCGATCATATCGAAAATCTCCTCCTGCACGCCCTCGCCTGCAGCATATCCGGTACCCCAATTGTTTCCAGCTCCGATACCTTGTTGTCCAACGAAGAAGTTCTCGGGATTGTAAATATTCTTGTAGGGGCCAGTTTGAATGGTATTAAGGACCTAGAAGCAAGTTCTGCGTTAATCACCGTGTGTCGATATGATATATCGGTGAAGCATAGCATACCCTGGGTTCTAAGTCAAGAAGAATCGCTCGAGGGATGTATCTGGTGTCGTCACTCTGCCCACGTCTGTTAGCCAGTGTTCTTGCTATGCCACCAAATAATATGCTCTCCAATCTTCCTGTACGCACCTGGTAAAAGAAGACATCCTTGCGATCACCAGCCGCCCCGTCAGTTGCATGCTCCTCCAGGTTTCCATCTGCGCTGATTCCGTGCTCCTGGCACAGCTGCTGCCAAAACTGGCTGCCGACTAGGTAGAGCCAATGTTAGCGACATAAACTATATTTTCTCGCGCTCCGTTCAAATGTATAATAAGATCAAGGGTTTCGTAGAAAGGGTCGCGGAGGTGAGCCCACATACCGTTGTTGCCGCACTGGCCGGCTTGGATTGTGATGATTTCTCTGCAATTGCCACCAAGATTAGCATCGGTGTTCAAGCTGGATAGAGAGCTATCAATTGTAATTGAATCGAAAGAATGTACAAACCTTGGCATCTTTCCTTCGCAGAAGCTGTCGATTGTTGCTGCTCGTTAACGCGTACCGCGTTCACGCGGGGAACTTTTTGGCCGATATTGATGCCTCAGGCATAAGATCTTGCTACCTTACGAGTTGGACAGCAACAACATTGTAATATGGCCTGTAAAATACATTGCGAAAGCTAATTAATCTAATGTCCAAATGCTTTTTGATGCGCCCAGATATGCAGAAATTTTGTTATATCCCTTTTCCCCAAGTAGTATAATTGGCGAACCGTCGCCCCGGACCACAATATCGCTCAGAATCCAGCCTTCAAGGCTGTGACGAGGGTTCCAGCACCGGCAACTACTCCGTCAACAATTCGCACACGTTGGCCTTCGGACTGCCCATACTCCTGAACACAGCCCTCCCGTACCGCCTCCTCCATGCCAGCCATACCAGCACAGCCCAGGCATACAACCTTAACACGAGATTCCGAGTTCCGAAGCAGGTTGCGGGTAGCCTCAATGATCCTCCGTCGCACTTCTTCTGGTTCAGTGGTGTGCAGTTCAACTGCTGTCAGACCGGTGGTTTCGACGCCCGCAAAGTGGCCGGAGCTTCCGTCCTCAGTATCGTAGCCCAGCGCTCTCTGAACGCCATTGGTAAGCTCCTCCTTCCATGCGGCACCAGTGGTCACAACGCCGAAGCTGCCCTTCTCTTGGTACTTGTGTAGCTTCTCTGCTGGTTTGATCGGATCCTTCAATGCGAAACCACTAACCAAAGAGAGCGAGGCGGTGATGGATGCTTCAAAGATTCCAGTGACGTATTTGTTTCTCGACGAGCCCGCTTCTTCGAGTGCCGCGATGTCCTCCCTGAGTCTGCCAACGAAAGGATGCGCGGAGTAGCACGCTACAAGGAAAGCATCATAATGGCCAATAAGCTCCCGCACAGGCCAGCAATTCAATGCCGACTTGCATGATTCTTCCCCGTTGTTGATGCTGGCAATTGGCTCGATCTTGACTCCTTCGACCTCGACGGGGGAATCTAGAGCAGTGAAGTACTCGAAGTGCACATCTTGGTATTTCATGCTGGCCAGAATGGGCGTCAGAGCTTCGGTCATGTGGGTTGAGGTATTGGGGTTGATGATCAAGATGCTGTAATCCCGCTCGCCTTTCCTCGGATCCAGCTGGATAATTTCGTTGGCGTCATATCGCGGCTCAAGGTTGGACGTCATTTTCCAGATAACTAGGTGACTTGAATGGATTGACAAGGGAAACAATTCTTCTCTCTGGAAGAAATGAATCCCCGCGGAAGCTGCGATGAGCTCCGTTATCCGTTATCGGGATCCGCCGCAACCCCGCCATCCATCTCCTAGGAGCTTGCCCGAACCACTTCTTTATTAGGTCTATGGGCTATACATTGAACAGGTTTTGAGGTAAGGGGTTGTGTATCTTAATCCCGTGCATGTGCGAAATTCTTGGAACTGATTCGTTATCAATCTTGAAAACTTGGAATCGATCATGGCTTACAAATTAATTGTATCATCACTGGAGGGCTGCAGGGTATAATATAAGAGAACCCCTCCCCAAGCAAGCCCCGCCATCCTCGCACGTCATACCACCTCCAACACACCTCACATACTAACAAATTCCAATTCCCATCATGCCTCTGATCGCACAGAACCCATTGCCGAGAGTTATTCTCGGATTGATGACCTTCGGCCCAAACGCGTCGAAGGGTGCTCGAATTACCTCGCTGGACGAGTTCAACAAATGTCTTGATTATTTCCAGCAGCAAGGGTTCAATGAAGTTGATACCGCCCGTGTGTATATCGGCGGAGAACAGGAAGCATTCACAGCCAAGGCAAACTGGAAGTCGCGTGGACTGACTTTGGCCACGAAATGGTTCCCGAGCCAGCCCGGCTTCCACAAGCCGGATGTCATCCGTGAGAAATTAGAGCTTTCTTTGAAGGAATTGGAGACCGACACAGTCGATATCTTCTATCTGCATGCAGCAGATCGCGCTACTCCGTTCGCCGAGACTCTCGAGGCTGTTAACCAGCTGCACAAGGAGGGAAAGTTCGTACAGCTCGGTTTGAGCAACTTTACATCATTTGAAGTGGCCGAGATCTGTATCCTTTGTGCTGAGAGGGGATGGGTCCGTCCTACCATTTACCAGGCCATGTATAATGCCATTAGTAGGTGTTCCCTTTCTCTTTTGCGATAACTGAAGTCATGGCCAATGAGCTAACACAGTTGATAGCACGCAACATCGAGACCGAGCTTATTCCCGCATGCCAACGTTACGGTCTCGATATTGTCATCTACAACCCGCTGGCCGGTGGTATTTTCTCCGGAAAATACAAGACAAAGGACATCCCCGCAGAAGGCAGATACAGTGATGAGAGCGCTAGCGGACTCAATTACCGCAACCGTTATTTCAGAGATAGCACATTCGAAGCTCTGAACATCATTGAGCCTGTCGTAGAGAAACACGGTCTCACATTGCTGGAGACGGCTCTGCGCTGGGTCCACCATCACTCTGCTCTGAGAATGAATAATGGTGGTCGTGATGGAGTCTTGGTGGGAGTCAGCAGCCTTTCGCAGCTTGAAACTAACCTTGCCGATCTCCAGAAGGGCCCACTTCCGGAAGAGGTCGTGCAGGCCTTAGACCAGGCTTGGCTGGTTGCCAAGGCCGATTCTCCCGTCTACTGGCACCTGGATCTGAAGTATACTTATGATACCCAGAAGGCGGTGTTTGGGTCTAAGGTGTAAGGTAACGGGAAATATTAAGGAGTGTCCATAGGGTCATCGTACATGAATAGTAGCTAGTGAAAAGCAATGTAAATTTGAGGAATTTCGAAGCTATCTAATACGGACCAACCTTCGATCATGTTTTGAAGAAAGCTGAAGATCAAACATTTGACAATCGAGTTCAGATGCTCTTGTTCGTCACTATGTAAATATTAATACCATACATTGCAGGTTTGTATACTCCGTACCGATGATGTTAAACCATGTCGTCTGATCTAATTTCAGGTTTCTGGGGCCAAATCCTTCGAATACGAGTTCGGGCAATGGCCCGAATGACATACATAGTCGCGCAAGCTAACCCCAATCTGGCAAAGCGTGCGTCCGTGGAGATCACGTGTTGGAGTCACAGGGGTCCCGCTTTTGACAAGTGGATGTGACGACACCTGAAGGCGTTCAATTTATTACGCCTCATTTGATTTCTGATCTTCAAGCGGAGGATTTCAATTTAATAAATTCTGCGCTTTGATTCACATCGCAAAACCGTTGCTTATCGGGTCGAACCTACCATTCGAGCTACAACTATCTCCGATCGGTGACGAGTTGCATGTATCCTGTGAACGGTTGCAGCCTATATTGAACACGTGGGAATAGGCTTCATGGATAACGATTTTTTTTTCAAGAGAATAAACTCCAGCCACGTTTTCTGCGTCACCTGGATGAGTGACATTTTGACACACTACGCCTCCGCTCCTTATCCCTATCTTTCGGCGCAGTAAATCGGACAAGTACACCCCTGACGGGCGGTATTCATGTCGAGGTAGTTAAGCCAACAAGCACCATCCCCCATCATCGACGTTGTGGCTTCAGATAGCTTTGAGCTGTTAGAGCCGCGGGCCTCAACCCCGGACGCGGTCAGCGATTTCGACTCTGACAACGATATGTCTGTCAATCGTCCCCCATTACACCGACCAACAGGCGGCTGCTCGCAACAACCCCTCCTAAAAGATGACCACCATCACCCATCCCGCTCGAGCTTCGGCACTCACGATGCAGAAGCCCGCCCCATGCTGCACGAATCCAGACGCCCAACAATCCGGAGTAAAAGTCCGGAACACGACGCTACCCAAGCAACCCGCAAAAAATACATGGTTGCATCTGGATTCCTCGTGCTCAGCTTGATTAGCTTCGTGGTCCAAACCGAAACTGCCTCATACATTCAAAATGAGTTGCACTGGAAGAAACCGTATTGCATGCTGTAAGTCCCGAACACGAATATACCAGCGACATACCCATACGACGCCCATTTCCCAGAATGTAACCGCTTACCATTTTCTTTCCCTGTGTAGCTATATCACGCACGGGTCGTGGTCCTTGCTCTGGCTGGTCCAGCTAGGTATCCTTCGATTACAGAAACGGAAGCTCACCTGGGATGCTTTCTGGCGGCGTCACGTCTCTCTTCTTCGCAGCACGGCCCAGATGGTAGAATCCCAGGAAATTCACCTGAGCACTCGCGCATCCAATCGATCGCCAGTCCCTTATATGCTGAAAACCACGGCCTTTGTGACTACTGCTCTCACGGTCGCCGGAGGATCATGGTACGTGGCAGTCAACATGACCACCGCCAGCGACCTCACAGCAATCTATAACTGTTCGGCCTTCTTCGCGTATGCCTTTTCGATTCCGCTCCTGAAGGAGAAACTACGGTTCGACAAGGTATTTTCCGTGGCTGTGGCTACCATCGGCGTTATGGTTGTTGCCTATGGGGATCGGCCTGATAAGAAGGCCTCAAAAGGAGATGCCCACAATGCAGAGAACAGATTGCTCGGAAACATTGTCATCGGCGTTGGAAGTATCCTCTATGGACTTTACGAGGTGCTCTATAAACGCTTTGCCTGTCCTCCAGAAGGCACCAGCCCTGGCCGGGGTACGATCTTTGCCAACACTGTTGGCAGTCTCATTGGGACTTTTACCCTGTTGGTACTATGGATCCCATTGCCATTATTACACTGGCTCGGATGGGAGACATTTGAATGGCCGACTGGCGAAGCAGCATGGATGCTGATCATCTCCGTAGCAGCGAATGCGAGTAAGTACCAGACCAGCGTTGCATTTCAACACCGACCACAGAAGCTAACACCAAGATAGCGTTCTCGGGCTCTTTCCTCGTTCTCATCTCCCTCACATCGCCCGTTCTATCATCAGTCGCTGCTCTCCTTACGATCTTCCTCGTGGCTCTGGTGGACTGGTTCCGAACCGGAGACCCGCTTTCTATGGCCTCTATTATTGGAGGCATTTTGATTATGGTTGCGTTTTTCATGTTGAGCTTCAGCACATATAGAGAGATGAGTGAGGAGCGGAAGAAGCATCTAGAGCATGACGAGCTCGAGTCTGACGGTGATCCATAGACGGTGTTTTTTTTTTCGGGATTGTTTTACATAGAGCATTTGAATTAGTGTCCAGCGTTACTGACGTATCAAACTTGTGAAGTTTTTTTTTTATTATACTATATTCAGTATGGATACATATAGAGTAGTAAGATAGCTTTGCGCACTATGAAGAAAACTAAAGCCTCGTATTCAAAGATAATATAAGAATCTATAGATGTGACCAGAGTACATTTGGGGAAACTTCGGATTAAATAGTTGGAGTTGCCTCAGATGTATGTGTCCCATGGATGCAAGTGGTTCGGCTTATTCTACGTGGCCATATCTCAACCAAAATCTGCCTCAAACCCTTCTAGGTTGACACTCTTATTTTTAGTCGGGTATGCCCAAGACTTTGTAGGCAGATGGATTTCCCGTAGATTTCGGCATCCCGCATAGATCCGGACTTTGGAGATTAATACTCTCACATATACTACTTGGAATGTACTTCGTACACTGTATACGTTAATTTCCTTTTGGCTTGGCATTATGGTTAGCGAATCAGATCCACTGCGCAAATTAATCTTCAATGATCATTTCGGTCCATCGGTATAATTTATATACTATCTAGTAATATCTACTAGTTTAGCGTCTAGTGTAAAGAAAAAGAACGGTGAGAAACAAGCGCGAACTACTCGACGGACCAACTTTTAAAGACGTGATACAGATGCATATGCAGGCCATTTCAACATTCAAATCCAGGATCTGCCAAATTTCATGACGATCAACCCTCCACGACTCAATTGCCTAAAGTATCCGTGAAAGCCGCCATTGTCATTGGGTTAAACAAAGAACCCGGTCCACCAAACGCTAGGGGGAGTAATAATGTTTCACAGTTCGTTTGTCTATCATCTTTTACCCCCTGTCAAATGGCGCTAAGATATGTCGCCACTATTTATATCCGATCTGACTCCGCAGCCAAGACAAGCAATGGATAATGCGAAGTTCGGTTTCAAGTTTGACAATCTCCCGGCATCCACATCTAAGAAATACCACTTTAATAGTCATGCTAATAATCATGCCATAGGGATTTCTCATTCATACCCAGGGTCAATAAGGCCTTCTCGGTAATCACCCTTCAAGGTCCCCGAGATGAAATATAATCCCCTTGACTTGCAGTGTTTCCCCCCCAGCGTGGCGCAACACTATCGCTCCGGACCCACCGACTCAAGCGAGATTTGGATGGTCATTTAGGCCGAGTGATTGGCAGTGGCCAATACCCGCTTTTTTCTCCGGACGTGCATCTTCTTATTGATTGGTGCCTTGAGGACCCCAGGATTGAAGGTGGCCTTGTGTCTTTTTTTTTACTACCTTTTTCTTATGTACCAGTGTGGATGCAAGTCACCACTTTTTTATGGGCTACTTCAAAGTAGTTTGTATAGTATATTATAGTAAGTCATAACATTACTATTTACTTAGAAGTAGTATATACAATTAAAAATATGTCAAATATTCAACATTCTTCAAAAGTCCCTTTTTTCCGTTCTTTTGACAGATGTCACCTAATATGGCATCTCCTCCGAGATGTCATGTGTAATGAGAAATACTGTATTGTATTATATTTTAATACATGAGTTCCTTCAGGGGAAAAGGGATTACTATTTCCTAAGAGAGGAATAGGTAGTTAACTCCCTAATATAAGCCCTAGTTAATCTCATTCCCCCAATACCCTTTGATTGGTTTGCCCGGATGGCAACGGGTGATACCGTGTATGGTAATTTCAGAGGATCCCTTCCAAGTTTCCCCTCCTGGATTTGTTGTTCTCTTTTGGCTCTCTCTCTCTCTTCAACCTCTCTACGACCAGCTTTTTCATCCTCCCCCCTCTTTGGCCTCCGTCGTGGCCGTCCGTTCATTTTCCATACTTTTGGATACTAGTCCGATTTCATCTCACTCGTTTCTTTCTGCCTGGCGCGGAACATTCAATGACCTTCGCCCGTGCTTAATCTTGACCTCCAGATTCCTAGGCTTTCTCGCTGTAGGGAAGTCGGTCTGGAGGTCTTTGCCCTGGGATCTTTTGGACTAGGCTCATATCCCCCCTCCGCTAAATTTCTTTTTCTACGTCCTTTTTTGTTTTTTTTTTCAACCATGGCTTCGATTTCACTTCCTCCACAGTCCCAGGCGGGCTTCCCGCCACATTTCGATACCTCGAATCTGTCCGCCAGCAGCGGTCGTCGCCAACACCTGCACGCACCGTTGCCTAACCCCCCATTTGTCTTTCCAGCACGGGACCCTGACTCCCCCAACACCCAATCAGAGACCCCTGAGCGTCGGGAACGGGCCGCCTTGCCCGCGTTCTCTTTCAATCCAGGATCAGAACAGCAGTCCTCACACCTCACAGCACCGTCCTTGTCAAATCCTCGCCCTGGCGGACACCGTCGGCGACCAAGTGAGTTCGTTGCAACAGACTTTTTGGCAACACCGGAAACATTGGGAGGTCATCAGCGGGCGGCTTCCATGGCGGATCAACCTATCCCCCTTCCAGGACCTGGTGTTGGCCGGGTTCCTGGACGACGGAACCATGCCCATCGCCGTTCGGCTGCGATCTCTAATGTCGACTTGAATGCTATCACCAAGGCGCTTGGCCCTAATTCTGCAGGAAGTGCGCCTTGTACACCCGCCGACCCTAACCACAAATCTGCATCTGATATTCCTTCGCGACCATTGTCTCAATCGGCTGTTAGCCTCGGTCGCCCCACGCCCCCTGCGTCTCCTCGGTTCCCTCCCGTCCCTCCTGTGCCTCCCATTCCGGCTGCCATTCAAGCAGAAATGGGCTTGAACAATCAGATCTCGAATGCCGAACGACCAATACCCACTGTGTCGCACGGTACCTCGGATAGTACGACCACAATTAAAGCCAAGCCACAGGTGGAGGAACCTACTTTCTCGGATCTTGTAACGCCAAGACCTAACTTCAGCCCAAAACCTCGACCAAAAACTGCCGATGCCTCTTTGGCGATGGATTTCATGCAGATGGATGACGACTCGGGATCCTCTATCAAACGTTCGCACTCAGCCGCTGGACATTCACGCTCTCGAAAGAGCAAATCAACACCGCATCTTGATTCCACTCTCTCGCCCGATGATATTCAGTCATCAGACAAATACCGGCCTTCGTTTTCCGACGATGGTTCCGAGACATCTGGCGATGAAGCGACAGAGAACTCGTCTGACAACAAATCCCCTAACAAGTCGAAAAAGAAGAAGCAGAAGCGTGTTCGCTCTTGGGCCGGTCACATTCTAACTCGAAGCAAGAGCAAGAGTAAGAGCAAGCGTCATGCGAAGGCTGACACACAGGAGGAACCACCTGTACCTCGCGCCCCTGCACATCGTCCCCCTGCTCTTACTCGGACCAACTCGGGAACCGGATCGGTCTTGGATGTTGATTTTGATAATGACGATGTCGTTGTCATCCGGACTCCCACCAACCCGACGATGCCTCCTTCTGCCCTTGAGCCTCTTCAAAATAATCGCCAAACTGACGGTGGTTGTTCTTTGGCTGCACAGTCTCTAGAGTCCTCGTGGAAACCGAGGAGTTTCTATGAACAGGATATTGGCTCGCACGACAACGTATTAAGTAGCCCTATTATCGACCTCGATGCTGCGCTTGGTCCTTTCAACACTCCCGATATGCGACCGGCAGCCCAGGGTGCCCCCAACAAGAACTTTTCGGTTGCAACACAGCGGATGTACAGCGGCGGAAGACGGGGTGAATTTGTTGGCCCAGAGATGCGATACCATCGACGTACAGAAAGTGCTCCAGCAATGCAACCATTCGACCGCTCTGCTCTCGGCGCATTCCGTCTGGGTCCCACATCGGCAGTCGAAACGCCCGATGTGTTTGACGAGGAGGAAGAGGATGCTTTCTTGGCTGCTTCCCAATCACCCAAGGGCGAGCGCCCTGCAGTAAATGCCCAACCAGTCGACAACGCAGTTTTCTCGTCATCGGAGGATGATTCGAAATCTATTCAGAGCAACGATACCGTTAGTACCAGTGATACTCTGACTCGTCCCCCCACCGGGAGCATCTCCTCTCAGAATGCTGGCTTAGGTATTCGACAAGGTGATAAACATCAGAACCAGGAACAGTCGAGGGAGATTAGTGTCTCTGAGCAGGTGCACACTGCCAGTAATCCTTTCACCAGCAAGCCGCGAACCCCCGTGGAAATTCTGAAGACAGAAGAACCTGCGCATAAAGTTAATGGACCTCCCAGTCCTGAGATTTCTCCTCGATTCTTAGCTATCGACAAGCGACCTCTTACATCACCCATTGAGCTGCTTCCCAGTGTTCCACCATTTGCGTTACCCCCAGGGGTTTCGCCATCTGAATCGTCATTCCCGTCTCCGGATGCTCCACAATCAATTGCGGCATCATCGATGACCGATCGGAACCTTTCTAGCCACTCGTACCATCATCTTCCTTCGGCAGAATATCCTTATGCATCGGTTGAAGATGTTCCATCTTTGACCAGTAGTGCATCGACCATGACCAACACTTTGAATCGTTTCTCGGCGGCTTCTTTCTTTCCCCGCGGACGTCTTTCTACCGACCGCGCAGCATCTTTTTCAGCTGCTGGTACTCGACGCACCAGCCAGGCTAATACCTCCAAACGCTCTAGTCTAGCCAGCCTTTCCAAGCTAGTCGGCGGTCCCCATTCTGAGCGGAGCAAGCTCAACCAGGAGGAGAAAGCCCCTAGCAACGCATCCGACAGAACAAAGAAGAAGGGCCGCCGTCTCAGCCGAATGATGCAGTTCTGGAAACCCAAAGACAAAGAAAAGGCATCCAATGAGGCGGTACCAGCAAACGAACGGCCGCAGTCCTAGTCGCGCGGTGCGCGTTTTGATAATTTTTACTTCGATTTACGGCGCAACCTTGGCATAGCGACATCCTGGCAATTATTTTTGAAACATCCCATTACTCCCCCTGCTTTTCTTTCCCACTTTCGACAGCGTGGGCATCTTCACCCAATTTGTAAATATTGTGTTCCGTTCAGCTTTCCTGTGGATTCTTTTTATTTTTCTTCATCTTCATCGGCGGTTCTATTTCTGCGTCTTTCACCAAGACGCTCATTACGAATTTCTTTACTCTCAAGACGTTCCTGTCTTGGGTATGATCTATCCTTTTTCTTGTCAATCCTTATGTTCCGGTGTGAGTGATGCACGGATTTATTGACTTTCTCTACGATCATTGCTCCTCTTCTACGAGGCCCCTTTTCTTACCACTTTTGTGTGTTTTGATCTTGCTAAAGGCTCTTGGCCTGGAATATCATTCTTCCCCACTGGGTCATCCTTTGGGTCCCCTTTTTTCTCTCCAATATCTGGGACATGGCTGTCTGTGTATCTATTGTGTGGCTTTGATGTCTGCACTGCTCAGGTGGTATGGCATTTCGTTAATTTGTCTCTGTCTGATTACACAAATAGCGGATAATGAAACCACTCTCCAATCCATATGAGTCCAAGTAAGATTTGTAGTGATTTGTCAGTTTATGATTTTAGGCTCGATTTATCTTATAAGAATGAATATCCGTAGGCCAAGGCTTATATATGTTTGCCCATCTCTGAGTATTATGGTATAGCACTATACAGGCTTTAGACATTTGAAGTTCATCATCCCAGGGTCAAAGTTATAATTGAAAAAAAAAAAAAACTACCACATTCTTGGCCTCGCAAACTCCCACTCTCAGTTCAACTGTGCGCGGTGAATATTCCACGGAATCAAATGTCAGTAAATGGAAGCCTGAGCTTAGTAGTATGTTCTTGAGCTACTCGCCTCGGAGGTATGCGAACTTGAAACCGCTGCTTTCTGGGCATAATTATCTGCATAGGGACAGATTTAACAGCAAGTATGGGTGCTGCCTATGAGTACAAAATAATACTACAATATCATGATCTGAGGGTGGAATAGATTTGGAGACTAATCTATTCGAAGAAATAGAATGGATATCCAAGGACAACAACATATATACTGGATAATGCCTGGTACTCGAAACCTTTCCCTTTCCGTATTAGTGCTCACCTCTTGCCGCTTTTTGATCATTGAGTAAATTGAGCACGTCCCTGAGTGTTCTGACTTGATCACGGGCATTACATAATCAACTGATCTACTCACTGAGCATCACCTGATCATCATCTGAGCACTCTGATTTGATCACTGAGTGCTAGGCTTCAAAGCCTAACCCCCGGCCTATCGTGGGCCCCTATTGGGCCCCTATCAAAGCCCACGGTTGTATAAAATATAGGTCTTAGCGTTTATAACGGTGCTAAGTCATTGAAATAAATAACTGTTTTTTATAACTATTCTGGTTTATTCGTCGAATATTGCTATATTATCACGATAATAAGTTGCAAATTTTATATAATTACTCTGAATTTGAACCTAATAGGCTTTATGTTATATTGATTACCAGTAAAAATTGATATTAATTATAATATAGTAGTGTTCTATTAATTTAAGTATTTATTGACTGTGGACTATTAGAAATATATATTTGTGGTAGAGGGGAGTGTATATATATTCGCGGTGGCTATAAATATAGGGGATTGGTACATGGACACCCCTCTCAGTAATGGGACACCTGTCGGCGCAGATACACCAGGATACCGGAGGATTTATTAATCCTAAGTATGCAGTAATATTTCTTATGTAATCAGGACAGTATAAATTGCCAGGAAGTCAATACAGCAATAGGGAGAGTTGAATACCATTGATTGGACCCATACATTTCCACCATACGGAGTAGTTGACAGTTATGAGCCCGGTTCGCACTGAATAAGACTACTATATCGGCATATAGTACCTAGCAACTTGCTAGAAACTGTCTTATAAACCTCCACGAAGCCACTCCGCAGAAAGTCATCCCTTGTTTCACATCAAAACAACACAGCATCCAGCAATGGAAACAGCATCGATTCTCTCCGCCATGAAGGGCGATAAACTGAAGGATGCACCGCAATGGCTCACCTGGTTTGCGAAGGTGCAGCTATACGCAATGCAAAAAAATGTCTGGGATCACTGCAACCCGGATACCCCGTCAACTGAACGACCTGATACTCTAAAGGAACCGGTACAACCAGAATATCCTGAAGAGGGCACCGAAACAGATCGAAGGAAATGGAGAGACCAAGCAGACGTGTATAAAATGAGCTATACTCGATGGGAGAAGCAAGCAAAGGGACTGAGTGATATAAATGAATATATCCTCACCTATCTTGACCCAGTACACCACCTCGCACTGATCACATATCGTACACCGTATGATAGACTTGTGTATCTGAAGTCTCGGTTCGCTCGATCGACCGCGTATAAGGAGGAAATCCGAATGAGTTGGAAAGTGTTTGCAATGCAGAAGCCGACTGGAGACATCGACAAGTGGCTCCAAAAGTGGAACTCGCTAAGGGAGCAAGCGGTTAGTCTTGGTATCAAGGACGGAGATACCAATAGGGACTTCCTGCACGCCGTGAAAGAAGTTCTACCTATATAGTGGCAAGGCAAATACCAGGAAATAGTGATGGAAAAGAAGGTGTACGATACCCGAGATCTCCTTGAATCATTCCGCGCGATGAATCGCGAGATAGGAGCACAGATGGTGTTATCAACCACTCCTCCAAAAGGCGCTTTCTCGACCTAGCAAGGTCACCAAGAGGCGAAACCGGAAACAAAGCAAGAGAAGCTTCCGTTTGAGAAGAGACACTGCCCTTGTGGTAGCTTACACCCGAAGTATAAAGTTGCTACTTGCTAGCTCCTAAACGAAGCGATTCGGCCAGAAGGGTATACCCTAAACGAAGGGAAACTAGAGAAAGCAAAGAAGAAGTTAGGAAAGGACCACGCTTAGAAGCAATAGGTGGATAAAGTGATAGCTGAAGCTCAGCAAGCTCAGCAAGCACAGGAAAAACCAGCCGAATCCGCCAACCAAGTCAGCTTTGTAACCACTTTTCGAAGTAAGCCAAGTGAAGCTATACAGATTAGCAAGCACATGCTCTCTGTGGCAAAGGTAGGCGAGCCCTCCCTCCGTGACCGGTGGATTCTTGATACCGGATCAAGTACGTATATCTGCAATAACCGAGCCCTATTCGTCGACTTCACACCTGATATAATTGACCTAACAACCGGAGATAGTACCACGTAGGTACTAGGGAGAGGCAAAGTCAGACTTTTAGGGAGACACCCGGTAAAGGGAAGGATAGAGATCACCTTAAGCGACGCTCTATACTCACCAAGTTTCTATACGAGTCTCGTGTCGTACGCGATACTAAAGAAGAAAGGCGGCCTCTGGTGCCAACGTACAAACTGTATACGGGACCCAAATGATAGACCTATCGTCTGTGTGAACCTATAGGATCAATTCAATCTCTGGATCTTTAACAAGCCAGGCGAGGCTCCGCCACAATAAGTATATACTGTGCAGTAAGCACAACGGAAATCAGTGAAGCCACAGGAATCAAGGGCTTCCTCTGAAATTTGGCACCGACGCCTAGCATATATTTAACCGCGGACCGTAGCAAAGCTTGCTACTATAGTAGACGGCGTTGTTCTTGACAATAAAGGAGGAGCAAGCACAGAGTAAGAATCTCTATATCAGACCTATAAGACAGGAAGTGCTCCGAGGCAGATTTCAAGACGACAAGTTGGACGTACCTTTAGACGTTTTAGAAGGGTGCATTTCGACCTAATTCAGCTGCAGCCAGCCTATAATAAGCACCGCTGGATATCCCACTTCTACCTAGAAGGACCGAGATTCCACTGGATTATAACTCACGAAGTGAAACCTGAATATCAATTGGCTATCAACTAGTTTGTATAACTTGCAAGAAATCAGTGGAAGCTGCCAATCAAGGCCTTCCACTACGACAATAAAGCAGCAGCTGGTAGAGCAGCGGAGTATAGTCTTATAAGCGATAGTATCCTGATATATCACTCCCCCCCCAGGGCACTCAGAGATAAATAGGTATACTGAGAGATCAGGTGGAATGATTATCACCCGGATACGTATACTCGCCCTCGAAGGGAACCTCCTAAAGGAGCTATGGCCGGAGTTCGTAAGCGCCGCCGTATAGTTATTAAATCGTACACCAACGTATATCGCCGCCGAGAATCGGTGGGTGGTACTATAGGAGGAAGTGAGGAAGGAAGTCGCACCACAGGCGCCGAGGATAAACCTATCAAATATTAGGTTATATAGAAGCTTAGCGTACTGCAGGATTGAGAAGCAAGTACAGTCCGATAAGATAAACCCACGTGCAGAGATTGGCTTCGTGGTGGGATACCTTACCTCGAATATCTGGAAGATCTGGTTCCTATATAGTGGGAAAGTGAGGTATATCAGGGATGCAGTCATTGACGAGACACGAAAATATACCCCTGATTATAAGAAATATCAGCCTATCCCACTACCAGCTATAACGGGACCATAGGAACTCACCGTTAAGGAGGTCGCATAGGTGATAAACCACCAAATTACTAGTCAAGAGGAGACTAGTACGATGGAAGAGAGGACTTAGGATCTACAGGAAGCACAGGAGCCTCAGTAAGTACAGCAGCAAGAGGAGGTTCCGCAATAAGCAGAGGTCCAAAAGATAACAGTTAACCAACGAGGGACTACCCCAGTCCAGGGGGTAGGTGATAGGTTATATTGGCCGACCCTAGACCCTCCACCACAAGCACTACCAGGTTCCTTTCCGATTGAACAGCCCCTACCACCACTACCAATCACCCCACCGCAGGAGCAAGAGAGGTATACTGGCTCTGGTTAGGGGGTGGATACCGAGGGAGATCAAAGGGACTAGATCCAGTAAGAAGAAGCGGATCTTGAAACCACTGAAGACGAACTAGAGAAGCAACTTTAGGTAGAGCTACTGGCTCCGAGAAGAGAGATAATCGGAGATATAGATACCAGCAATATACTCAGTGGTAGGCGTAGACGCCAAGTAAGGCAGGAAAAAGACTTCGCCTACGCGACAAGCACCACCCAAGAAGTGGAACCGCCGGCGCTACTCTATACTTTTGCCGCTAGCTTATACGCTGAGAAACCAGACACTCGCCGCCACCGAGACGACCTCCCACCACCGCCAAAATACTGGAAGGATATAATAAACCACCTATTTCAGGAAGGTTTTCTCGCAGCGATGAGGAAGGAGATCAACTCCCTCTCTGAAAAGGGGACTTTTGAGGTTATTAAGAAACTAAGAGACCGAGGGAAGCAGATTCTCCCTCTTTTATAGGTGTTCTTATACAAATTTGACTAGGACAGGTACCTTTTGAAGCTTAAGGCCCGTATCTGTGTACGCGGAGACCTTGAAACCATCTCTCACGAGGAAAAGAGAGCTGCTACGCTAGCAGCAAGGACAGCGAGGATGATTTTTGCCTTGGTTGCTGCCTTTGATCTTGACCTAAGACAGAGAGATACTGTCACCGCGTTCCTAAACAGCAAGTTAGACCAAGAGACGTATACGTATATACCTGAGGGATTTCAAAACCTAGGTAAATACTGGAAGTTACGTCGCGCGCTATACGGTCTACGGATTTCACCACGACTTTGGCAGCAAGAAGCAGCAAGCGTGCTCCGCAAGCTAGGTCTACAGCAAGTGCTAGAAGACCCATGCGTTTTTATAGGAAAAGGACTACTAGTTTTCTTCTATATAGATGATATCCTAATCGCCAGTCATACCAATACAAAGGCGTAGGCACAGCAATTAGAGCGAGATCTCGAAGCACACTGGGAACTGACCGATCATAGAGAAGCAGCATAGTTCCTAAATATACGAATCATTCGAGACCGGCAACAAAAGAAGCTCTGGTTATATCAAGATAGCTATATAACAAGCATTGCTACCCGATATCACTTGACAGAAAGGGCACCAGTCTATACTCCACTGCCGGTTAAGGAATTGACCCCTTTTCAGGGGGTGGCAACGCCAAAGGAAATCCTGCTATACCAGCAAAAGGTAGGCTCAGCAGGGTATACCACCATTATCACTAGGCCCGACGCTGCAAAGGCGACCGCGAAGCTCGCGCAATTTCTCACGAACCCCGGTCCACAGCACCAGTAAGCAGCTGATCGAGTTATCACCTACCTCTACTCCACCCGGAACCTAGCGATTGAGTACGGAACAGCCAATACTGGGACCGACTCGGTGCAGTTTGCAAGTGACACTTCGTATAGAGACCACCCGGATAGAAAAAGCTCAGCTGGGTATATCTGTCAAGCATACGGCGGTCCAATTGACTGGAAAGCAAGCAAGCAACCCACAGTGACAACGTCAACCACAGAAGCAGAGCTACTCGGCCTATCGGAGGCAGGAAAGCAGCTCCAATGGTGGCGCCGATTGTTTCAAAACCTCGCCTTTACTCCGTCACACTACCTGACAATCGACTGTGATAACGAGAGGACTATCAGCTTATTGACAAGCGAGGACACAGCTTTTGAAACGAAGCTTCGACATGTCGATATTCACCACCATTGGCTCCGCCAGGAAGTCCAACAGGGTCGAATACGGGTGCGCTGGGTGCCTACAGCAAGCATGGTTGCTGATGGCCTCACCAAATTGCTCACTCGGCAAAAGCATGAGAGCTTCGTGCGACTGCTCAACATGGTTGATATAGGCCATCTTATAGACTAGGAATTACAAGATGATACAGCGATCTCAGCAAGCATACTGGGACCGCTGAGGGGGTGTGTCGGCGCAGATACACCAGGATACCGGAGGATTTATTAATCCTAAGTATGCAGTAATATTTCTTATGTAATCAGGACAGTATAAATTGCCAGGAAGTCAATACAGCAATAGGGAGAGTTGAATACCATTGATTGGACCCATACATTTCCACCATACGGAGTAGTTGACAACACCCTCCTGCCTGATTTCTGCCTAATAAACCAGGCATCAATTTATTCTGCCAGATATTCTGTGATTATGGCGGACCTTTCTCCGTCAGACTTCTTATTCTGGTGTAGCCTTTGGCGTAGCCATGACGTGCTACCAGATATAAGCACTAAAAGCTAAGGGGAAGATAGAGATGATCCTATTCCTATCTACCTACGGCGTGCTCATACGGAGGCAGCTGTCAGGTGACCAGGCCTGACCCATGGGTGACAGGGGCGATAGGGCCAGTAGGTCAGACTACCACGATCGTATAGGTGAGGGCTATAGGTGACACAGTGAAATAAAAAGTGCGCAGTTGGAGTGGACAAGAGATCAGGGAGAAAAAACCGGCAATAAGTATATGACAAGTGCGGCATGGGAGTCATTCAAGGTGGAAAATAGAGCTCTTATTTTCCTATGCGCCCATTCGTCATCCAACCATACAAGACTTGTTTCTACGCCAGCGCCGGCCCGGTAACCGAATATCATATTGGCTCGCTAATTGCGGGGAGAGCACCGCAACTGGCGGGCCTAACCCCGTCAACCTTGGAAATAATATCTTGTGGCAAAATCGAACCATTTGTTGCTATTGTGGCTGTATTCGGCCCAAAGCTGGAGATCACATCCGAGATAAGAGCTATTTGCTAACCAGTCACTTCAGACAACCGAGTTCAAAGATGGGTATACCGGTCATGTAAGTTCAACATGGCTTGCGCTAAGGACGCCTTTCTCCAAAGTAGCGTTTTCGGGCGTACGCCATGCGTCATCCGCCCCAGAGATCAGCGAGGGGAAATGATGGTCAGCTCATGTCCGCAGAAGCCTTTTCCGTGAGTGGCTGGACTCGAGCCATAAGAAGGATTCCGGCTATTGGCGGATGTTGCCGTAAAATGCTTGATTGCCACCACGGGGAGAGGAGATCTGGGAAGGTGGAGCAGAGTGCGACAGGTATGTTCGACGGCACCCACTTGGCTACCCAGATGAACGAAACATCGTGGCCTTTTATCCCAAACGTCCTCACCTAGCAACCATTAATGATCGATATAACCAAAAATATGGACGAGATAAGATCACGTGGGGCGAAGATCGCGTTTCCACCCCCTGATTCTATCTGTCGAATAATAAGATTGAATACATGGTGGAAACAAGGTATAATACCCAGGAAATCATGTGACAACTGGTACCATCCGTACCATACAAAAGTGCATATTACAGTTAGTCTTCTATATCCGCACAGATTGTTGAAAACGCGGGTTTTGTCATTTTAGTTAGTTAGAGATTCCAATATATCTGTTTTTGACCATACGTTGTCGTACCGACAGATTTCTGTCACTATGCCCTAAATGATTTGAGTATCACATAGGTCTTATCTTCCTCCCGTCACTGATTCACAACATGTCTCTCTCAAAACTTCCTTTTAGCACAAGCAATATATCGTGAGTAAATAAGTAGCAATAGCCAAAAGTAGACTACCCGAGACTACTGCAATCCATGGTGACTTATCGAAGATACATGGACAAACGTAAGGTACCTCATCAGAGCGAAAATGACGGGACGGGCCGAGACACGAACCCCTGAACCGCGATTGTTGAGACCGAGACGCTCCACCAGACCGCCTAACAATTATGCCCAGGAGCAAGAACTCGATATCGAGCAAAGCAACGCGCGTTCCCAAGAAACAGAATGCAATTGGCGAGAGCCGCCTGCACTTTGTATCCCTATGGAAGAGGGTACCTTGGATCGGTGGAAACTGGGAGTACTGACTGATCCCCGATGGATTTTATTTGCGAACGTTTCGTTGTGAAGGAGAGCTATTATTGTTGGAGGACATAGCGAGGTGATGTATCAACAGACAGCTCCTGGTGCATAAGCACCTCCTCCGCATTCCCTATACCTCATTGTATGGTTGGCGTAACAGTTCGACTAGTTTACCTATAAGCTTTCCGCGCATACGACAGTTTCTCCAGAGTAGTTTCTATTCTAGGCAAGAAAAACAGAGTCAAATTTCAACCTCAGCAAGGCAACGATATGGAGATCGCCCTGGAGGATAAACTAGACCAGGTATCACTTACACCATAACTATCGAATAGTACGCGTTTGTGTTCCTTTGATTGTGGAATTGATGTTGCATTTGTCAAAGTGGTGATGGAGCATCGGGTTATCAAATACCTGGGAAATTGCACGCGACCTCGGGAGTGTCCAGGTGGACGATGCATGGTCATTCAGCCGACATTGAATGTATATTTTCCGCTGCTTCGTATGCGTGGGCCCCAAATCCAGAAGAAAAATGGAATGGGAATTAACAAAACAGCAAATCCCCCAAAGACACTCGTCGCCGGCCCATTGCCTAATGCTTGATACATTGAATCAATGAAAAGGGGAAACACTGCAGCAAGTGTGCTGCGCAGGAAGGTGTTCGCTGCGATAGCGCTAGCACCCCATCGATTAAAAACGTCCAGGAGATAGTTGAGGGCGCTTTGAAAAACCGTGAAAAATCCAAACCCCACACATCCTGCCCCAATGAACGACACAATCCACGGAATGGATGGATTGGCCGTCCACCCTAGAATAAAGAGGCCCGCCGCGAACACAAAGGAGCCGATCATCATGGGTGGCAAGCGAGCTTCTGGTACAGTTACACCACCAGCGGCCATGTATACGTGATTGTAATGATACTGACCCAGAGCAACGACGATAGCCCCGAGTAAAATTCCGACAAGAAGAGCTAGGAATGCCAGGCTGCCAACGACAGAGTTCCAGTGTCTGGTCTGGTCAAAAAGAATTGGAAATGCTGCTAGGGTAGCGTAAAAGACACCAAATATGAAGGACGCATGCAAGGCCACTAAGAAGCAAATTGGGGTCAGGAGCATCTGCACCGGGCGAATGCCGAATTTGTTGAAGTAGTATTTCAAGGTGATATTACCAATCCACTCCTCGAATTCGGTGTGCAAGGCCCAGTTCCCAGTTGTTGCCCGCAGATATTTCGCTTTGCGTATCAGGAGGACTGGCTCATATGACTCTTCCAGGATCAGAGCGCCAATCAGAACAATGCTAATTTGGAGGATGCCCGCAAGCTTGACCAATTTTAGTTTCAATGGCTAAGTTATTGGTTGGGCGGGCTTTTGTATGGAGTGCACTTACATATTGCGTCCACCTCCAGCCAAGATGACTCTCAACCAAGGCACTTCCAACTAAAGGTCCCAGTGTTGGACCAACAATAACTGCAAGCGAATACGACATGATCGCATACCCTCTTGCGGTCGGGCTATATATATCACTGAGCACGCCACCGGTGTTGGAAACTGGGGCAGACCCAAAGAATCCAGTAAAGAAACGACATATAAGAATGGTTTGAATATCTTTAGCTGCGCCAGCCCCAAAAGAAAAGATTGCGGCAGCAGCACAAGGCACAAGAACAGGCCATTTTCGACCGTAGACTTCTGATAAAGGGGCCCATACCAGTGGACCGAATCTGTAATATGATGGAGTGAATTGCTTAGAAAACTGAATTTTCAAAGCCTTGGGTGTTTTAAAACTCACTCTAGGAGGCAGAAGCTCAGGCCCAGCAATGACACTTCTTTACTCACGCCAAATGCCTGCGATATCTCATCAACTGCCGGTGAGTAACTGGCCACTTGTCAGCCACCCTCGGAGTAACATCCATTAATCTGCTCGGTCCTACATGCTAGTCGTCCATGTAGCTGTCATCGTGATCAGACCGTAAAGAGCAGTTGTGAGAAGCTTCTTTCGACTAGGCCAGTTGCGCGGTTGGTAAGGATCACTGGGGCCATCAAATCCAACGATGCATTCAGAGCCTGTAACAAAATTGCTTTGGGGATGATCAAAGAGACGGCTTCGCTGCCCAGCATGGCCATTTTCCAAAGACTCAACATAATGAGCTGACATTGCGGTATGTGATACTTGTGTTCTGGATCGCATCAGAGACAAAGAAAGGAAATGGTCAAGACCCCCAAACTTCTCCAGAGCTCCAACTCCAACTTGATTCATCGGAACTTACATAACACTAATACGGGGGCGTAAGCGGCATCAATTGACCCCTGGAAGTGGCGTGCTCGAGCTAGACCCCGATACAGCCGTCGCATGCAGATCGGCGGGCCGGATTCCGATGCACCCGCGTGGAGAGCGAGGGCATGTTCCGTATGGACATCCTCTAGAGTGGAACTACAGCGGCAAATTATTTCCAAGATTTCCTACCGGACTTCGCCGACAAATCTGCACCACTATACAAGCTCACTTCCCCACTCGTGCCGTTCAATCTCTCATATGATCACATGCATGCAATCCGACAGACTAAGGACGCAGCCTTCTCTTACAATGTGGATCCGACGAAACCATTGGTCCTCTATACGGAGGCCTCATTAATTGCGTTGGGCTCCATCCTCTATCAGGAAGGACGGCTCGGGCAAATCACGTCTAGATCATTCATACTGGCGGAGCGCAATTACAAGACAACTGAAAAAGAACTCCTCCCGATCATCCATGCAGCTAATAAATGGCGACATTTATTTGAGTCAACAAGTCTGCCTCACGGTCCTTACAGACCATAAGGCTATCAACCGTTGGATCGAGATCCTGCCCGTTCAAAGTGGTGTTCGAGCATGTAGCTGGAATCTCCAACCCGACAGACTTCGTAGAGGTCTGTACATGTTGAGTATCACGGTGGCTGTATTGGGTACTATGGTGGCTGAAGCTTATGGCAGGGATTGGGAACAAATATATACTAGGCCTCCCGCCCCTGTAAAATAGAATACAACAAGTCAATCAATTATTTCAACAGTGTACTATGAATGCGAATACAAATATCTCAAAATGTCACGAATATGTATTCGTGCTGGCCCCTAACTGTGATCCATATACGCATATCGCCACCGAATTAGTTCATGACGATCTGCATTTTTCTTTCCCCTGAGGGTTGAACAATGCGTTATAGGACCCTGGGGAGGGTGAATTGGAATGTTACACTATATGCGGTGGATTTTAAGGTTGATACCATGTGGCAATCATCGAGTGGTAGCAGAGTTATTCTGATGATAGCGTCTGTTATACCTCGCGGAAGAATAAGAGAATCCTCACTACCAAATGAGTTTTACGTACCTCGATCGCTGATTAGTACGTACCAACCGTGTTGTCAGGGCATAGAGGGGTTACTTACCACTAGTAAGCTCTTAGATACACCAGAGCCCATATCTCTTTGTGTTTTGTATGGTAAATTGGCTAAATTGGCCATCCCGGTGTTGTAATCACCAAGCATCGGTATATTTGCGGGGTATTTCAAGCTGCCCTCGATCATAATTTATTCTCTTCAATCAATCAACTCTTTCATCCCGAATTGGTTCTGCTTGATCTTATTCGCTTTGAATGCATACTAGCCCATACTCTTTTAGTTTGTTCTGATACCTGTCAATAAGTTTGTACCCACACTCATAATTAGAATAATCCACGATCCACATGACTCCAATTGCAAATATAATGCCTATGGTATGACGACGACTTTCTTTATTGTAGGTCAATCTGCTACTGCGAGCCGCGGACAGGGTTTCTCCAATTGCTACTGTAAGTCTCGTCAGGGACCTTGACAGGGACCTCGACAGGTTTCGAAGCCCCAAACCTTGAAGTTGTCACATTGTTTTTTTGGGGGCCGCTCTCGGGCAACCTGCTCCCCGAAAAGCATCTGCGAATACAACTGTAATCAACTTGTTAATTTACTTGGCTCTTCTGTAAGTTTGAACTGAAATCATAAACTTTCTGGAGCAGTTCGAGGGCAGCCCCTGGAGGCCCGCCTGTAGCATAGGTGTTAATAGGTCTCTAACCACACTCATAATCACCAACAAAAAGTGCCGGTTTTAGGCCTATTCTTCTCTACAAATTCATATGGTGATAATGTATTTGATAACGTTAAATCAAAATTCAATATTAGATCTATGAATTACTTCTTTCTCTTCTAATATATGTTGTTGCTAATTCCTAGGTAGCTAAATGCCCAAGTGCTAAGGTAAAGCTTAGATATATATAGGGGCTTCATGCTAATATCGCGATTGAAATCTTTTGTTCAAATTTGAAAATGATTATTCTCTTCCAAAAAATACTTACAGTTTTACTTTGTATATATTTCACCCTAGTTTTGATATAATAATTAACACAAGAATAATTAAAAAATCAGTTGTCATATAAATTTGTGGGGAAAAAGGGCCTAGAATCGATACTTTGTTGGTGATTATGAGTGTGGGTACAGACTTATTGACAGGCTTGGTATATACTAATCAGCGACCACCATTTTGGAATCACAGTGGACTGCCCTGCCATTGGGAGGTCTTCCAAGGTACGTAAATCTCATTTGGTAGCGAGGATTCTCTTATTCTTCCGCGAGGTATAACAGACGCTATCATCAGAATAATTCTGCTACCACTCGATGATTGCCACATGGTATCAACCTTAAAATCCACCGCATATAGTGTAACATTCCAATTCACCCTCCCCAGGGTCCTATAACGCATTGTTCAATCCTCAGGGGAAAGAAAAATGCAGCATCGTTCTGAACTAATTCGGTGGCGATATGCGCATATGCCCGAGAGCGGCCCCCAAAAAACAATATGACAAGTTCAAGGTTTGGAGCCTCGAAACCTGTCGAGGTCCCTGTCGAGGTCCCTGAAGAGACTTACAGTAGCAATTGGAGAAACCCTGTCCGCGGCTCGCAGTAGCAGGTTGACATACAATAAAGAAAGTCGTCGTCATACCACTGGCATCAATATTTGCAATTGGAGTCATGTGGGTCATTTTAGACCTGTCAAAACCCAATTAATCTATAGAGCCGTACGGCAGAATTGGGCTTTGATGAATATAAATACGGTGGTTGTTCTCCACGATAATTTCTGCTGTCTATCTCAATCTCAAGATATTGCACAAACTTACTCATTTCTCAACTTATCAAACATGTCACCAATCGCCACATCAACTTTAGTCGAAGAGACACCTGTTGCTCCCCTGCCTACAATTGACTATGCCTCCCTGGAGGCAAAGGATCTTGAGGAGACAAAGGCTCTCCTAGATGCCAGCAAAACCCACGGATTCTTCTACCTTAATCTCAAGAACGTGGGAACAATTTTGGATGATTGGCAGAAAGTTCTCCAATTTATGGATGCATACTTTAGCCAGGACATTACTACCAAAATGAAAGATGATCGCCAAAGCGATACATATGGGTAAGTCAATCCGTGATTACATACCTCGGTATAAGATTCGTCCTAACCAGCGAGCAGTTATGAACCATCTGGAACCTCTGCAGGAGGTGTACGTGGTCAATCTGACTTTTATGAAACTCTGAAGGTAAGCACGGGTGATGAAGGTCCCTATTGTTCCCAGGAGCTAGGTTTGACGAATGATATAGATTGCGCGTTCGGAGATGCTCGAGAAGTCGCCTTTCCTACCCCAGGGTGCCAAGGATAATCTCGAGTTATTCGACCGCTTCATCAGAGCCTCAGACACCATAACCAAAACTATTCTCGCACGGCTCTCGGACATTCTCAACCTGACCCTTGGCTGCCGTTTTGAGGATGTACACCGCGTTGGCGAGAGTTCACGTACCACACTCGTCCTCTTCCGATACCCTCAACAAGAAGCTTCCGACTCGGGCGTTGGTCACAACAAGCATACAGACATCGGTACGCTGACCCTCCTCTTCAGCGAGCAATGGGGGCTACAGGTGCTTTCACCCGAAACGCAGAAGTGGAATTTCATTCAGCCCAAAGCAGATCACGCTGTCATCAACGTTGGTGACTCACTCCGCTTTCTATCAGGCCATCAACTAAACTCCTGCGTCCATCGGGTCTTGCCCAATACGAAATCTGGTCGCCAGGAAGAACACAGGTACAGTATTGCGTACTTCTTGAGGCCCGAAGACGCAGCCGTATACACGGACAGCAAGGGTCGGTCGATCCGTGCGCGAGACTGGCACGATGAGAAATACAACGTGTTCCGTCAGGCGCATGATGAATCTTTCAAAGACAGTATTCTGACTGGTGGAATGGAAAGAGATGACCTATTGGTTGAGACTTAGCAAGTATGACTAGGAGCTTCGCAGCAGCATACCTGGGTATGCGCTCTCTGTGGATTTTTGTTGCAAAACCAAGGCCCCTTGTTTGTACGATGCATACTTCGTATTTCATTATATCATCCAAATCAAACTTACGTTCGTTACTTTAAGATTGTAAACGGCGGACCTGTCAATTACTGTATCGGGTTAGTTGATTTTAAGGTTTAGCCTCAATACGCTGTCACGCTGTTGGAGCACGTGAATCGTCCTGCATCTCATATACTGTACATGCCAAGTGACAGAAATTGTGATGAAAACAAGGTATGGTAAGGTAATCAGATATACATAACTCTTAACTAAATAAAACATGAGAAAATCCGCATTTTGACAATCTGTGTGCGGCTTGCTGACAAATCTCTAATACACTTTGTAGGGTAACTATACCGAGTACTGGCTGTCACATAACAAATCAGCTGTTTTCACCCAGTAATACATGCCGTATTTCTGACACCAAGAAACAAGTCTCCGTGTGAAAGTGGATCCCAACGCGATGCGTGAATTGACTTACCTTCTTCGACTCCCATGGTTCCACGAACCCCTCTACGGCCTATTAATTCTAATGGGCGTAGAAATACGGAACTCACTCCTAAATTTCGAGTTAAAATTACGGAACATGAATTTGAACTCTCTTACGCCAAGATTGCCGCGCGCCATGGCCTTTCCGCGTCTATCGTTCAATATACCGTCGAACAAGAACGTTTACTCCGCGACGGCCACTCGATGCCACGCTCCGGCCGACCGAAGGCCTTGACTGAGGGTGATAAGCGTGCAGTTATTCGAATAATTAAACGCGATCCCTTTGCCGGTTCCGACGATATCCGCGAACAAAGTGGGACTACAGCGTGTAATAAGACAATATTTTCAATGCTCCGCGACGAGAAGTATGATCACTGGGAGGCCCAAAAAAGACCTCGATTAAAAGCTGAGCTGGCCGCTAAACGCCTTGCTTGAGTTTTAGAATATCGGAATTGGACGTTGGAAGATTGGATAAGGATTATTTGGAGTGATGAATGTTCCGTCGAAATCGGCCGAGGCAAGCGCCACCGTTGGTGCTTTGGAATCAACCACCACAACGAAAAATTCGATAAAGGCCATGTTACCACATATAAACAGAGTAAGGCAATGTCAATCATGATCTGGGGGGCATTTTTTAATGGTGGAACCTCCCGAATTATTCGAATACAGCGCGATGAACTTGCCGCGCGGAACGGCTACACTGCACGGTCGTATCTCGACGTGTTCGAGGCCGAATTACCTTGTATCTATTAAGATACGGATTGGGCCTTTATGCAAGATAATGCTCCGATTCACTCGGCCAGAATTATCAGAGAGTGGTTGGCCGAGAATAGGATTTGTACGATGGAATGGCCGCCGTATTCGCCTGATTTGAACCCGATCGAACATGCACGGGCCAAACTGAAAGAGATGATCGATCGGATAAATCCGAACCTTGATAAATTTGCTGGCACCGCTGCTGAGCTTTTTGCAAATTTTTGCGAATTAATTAAACAAGCGTGGGTACAGCTAAGCCAGGATCACTTCCAAGGTTTGATCGGTTGGTTTCTACTATGGATCATAGGGTTGAGGCAGTAATTGCTGCGAAGGGGTGGTATACAAAGCACTAAAAATCTGCAAATAATATGATTGAATTCTCTAAGAAATGCTGCATAAAAAAGAGATTATCATAGTAATTAATTACGATGGTAGTGGTCAGTCATGTAGTTTGAATGTACGGAGTATAGGATATATGTTTTTTGGTGGCACGGAGACTTCATTCCTAGAACTGTATCAGTTTGACCGAGTCTATGATACGGGGCGCCCCCATTTTTGTCTAACACATGTAACCTCCCCTCAATGCCTCCGACATAAAAGACCCCGTCTTCGCCGCTCGTCCTCCCCCTGTCTCACTTTTGCATTCTTCTTGCCTCTTTATCCTGCACTTATCGTTGCGCCCCTGTCATTTTGCCCACCCAACCGGAACACCTGGTTCCTCCACCCTGGTTTTCGGTCGCAGACTGCAGTCAAGTCCTGTTTGCCTCCACTTTTGTAGCTCTTGGAACAATATTATCTGGCCTCTACGCAAGTGGCGTTTTCAGGAATATTGCCAGGCTTTGGAAGAGTTTGTTCTCGAGCGACGCGATACGTCAATCTCACAGAGAGTACACTTGACCAATATAGTCCCCTCCAAACATGGGTTGTCCTGCCCGCTCAACTTAGTGACATGCTGGTCCTCGATTTGATAATCTACAGTTTCGCCTGAATTTGTTCTGATGCCTCGTTCGTGTGACCTACTATTTGACTTCCGGTACTTCGGGATCTACTTCTGCCTGACCGCTTTTTATACCGCCTATTCTATTTGTAAGTACGCTAACTCGCGTTTTAACGCACTATATTATGTACGCTATATTTCAATGCTCAAGGATGGCCTAGATATTGAAATATTTCAGTATCTAGTAGAAGCTATGCCTCACAGGGTAGCTAATGTTATTAAGTGTAAGGATTGGCATACTGGCTATTAAATTATATTATATTTTGTAGGTTTCTGAATGGCAGTATTAGAGAAGTGGGTCCTAGGCCGAAGTACTTGAGGTCAAATACTTTTGTTACACCACTGTACACCCTTCGACTATCTCCGACGTCACTCCTGCCGTGTTCTGTCGCGGCTTGGTTGCTTAGTGACTGGGGGTGCTGCGCCCTCTCCTACCCAATCGTGTAAATACCTCACCAAAGACCGCGTGCATGTCGTAGTAAGGCGCGCTCTCCACTTTTCCCTTTGATCGGGACCTATATTGAGAGATTGGGAAATACGTTTCCTTTGTAATGGGCTTGTGACTCAAATGAATTCGTAAGGGACCTTCACAAGCTGGGGGTTTATAAAAACGGGGCCCTCCATAGTCCCCAGTGCAGTTGTCGACGGCTCCACTGGTACTTTTTTCCCTCGGACTATTCTTTTCCTAAGTACAATTTCAGATCTTTGCCTCGAAAGACTGAGATTCATATTCTTCTGGCCTTTTGCCTTTGGGTGCATCGGTTGTTTATTCTGTAGGACAAAAGCCTTACATCTGAACATTGCTGTGGAACAAAAATCACAATGTCGGCGACTTCAACACTTAGCTCTGGCTCCGAGAGGCTGGAGGCATGGACTCGACGATCTCAGCCAATGATTGAAATTGATCTGACCGGACCGAAGCCTGGCCATTTCAACTGCTACACGACTGCGGATAGCATCGATGGCACCGTGACCGTTACTGTGGAACATGAAACGCCATTTGACGAGGTTGAGATCGTTTTTGATGGTATCATTCCAATTGATTCGTGTTATATGAAGACCTGCCACTGACTTGACAAAAAGGTACATCTCGAACTAAGGTGGAACGAGGATCATACCCTGGCCGCATGGGATCGCAACATATGTTCCTCAATTTGCGTCAACCGATTGAGGATATTGAATATCCAACCCCTCGAGTACTGAAACGAGGTCGTTCATATCAATTCCCCTTCACATTTGTCGTTCCAGATCGCCTGCTACCCCAGGTCTGTACCCACATCAAGAAGAACGCCCACGTTAGACGTTCTCACACTATGCTTCCGCCGACTCTGGGTGATCCTATGCTTCAAAACAATGGCAAGACTCTCCTAGATGATATGTCTCCCGATATGTCGCAGGTGGCTTATATTGTTCGAGCATCCGTTTACCAAAAACAACTCACCGGCCACGGAGTCAAGTCTATCGTCGCCGTTGACAAAAAAGTCCGAATCATCCCACTTGTGGAGGAAGAACCTCCAGTCGATATTTCCGGAACCACGTCTCTTTATATGCGAAATGAACAAAGCGTTAAGCGCGGAACCTTACGAGGTAAACTGGGCCGACTCGTCGCCGCAACATCGCAGCCTAAGCCTATTCGATTGCTTCCCCCAAATTGCGAACCGTCCGATACTGTGAGTACCGTGGCTACCGTAAACCTGCGATTCGAACCCGTCGGAAACGAGCAACCACCACCGCTAGGAACAATGATTAGCAAGCTCCGCGCAAGTACGTTCTACAGCGCCTCACCATGGGACGACTTCCCCTCCTCAACAGGCGTTCCTTTTGGGCAAATTGACCGCGGACTGTATACAGAGGCTGTCCCTCTCTCCACAATGTGTGTCGCCTCGGCACAATGGACCAAACAAACATACGACTCGCGACCTTATTCTGCCACATCATCATCCGACTCTTTATCAACGGGCCTGTCCTCCACATACGCCGGAGATACGTACTATACCGCTTCGCTCGTTATCCCAGTCACACTCCCAAAATCAAAGGCTTTCGTCCCAACATTCCACTCCTGTCTCATGTCTCGCACCTACTCCCTCGAACTCTCATTGACATATCACACACCTGCGACGAACATAATGACACCGACTATTTCCCTGCGCGTCCCGATTCAGTTCACCAGTGAGAGACTCTCTCAAGTCTTCCCGGTATGACTGTCACACCAGAAGAATTGGATGAATTCTTCCACCCTCCAAACGTGATCTCGCCAACCCACTTCTCTGTCCCGCACGTTAGCGATGTGATTGTCGATCTGGCTCCTCCCGGGTATTCGGAGACAGTAGGTGTCAGGGTCAGTCATTGAATCACGAGAAAAACCATCTATCTTCTCTTCGCCAATCAGCCCTCTTCATGTCATAGGCCAGCGCAAATGTTTTTCCTTGCATTGCATTATTTCATGACTAGTTTTCCCCTCTGTTACGCATATACGGTATACCCACATTCTCTTATGCTTTACAGCATGCTCTTTTTCTTCGCCTTGGCAAGCGAGGCTTAATCCATCGAGCCGGTTCTGTCTTTTTTTTATATATACCACCTTTTTAGATGTATTATTTGCTTACTCTCACGTGAACTTATACATCTTTTTGGAGTGACTTTGCGCAAGCTGAATTGCAATGAAACTAGAGTTGTAGCGCACGGGTCTATCCGAATGATTCCCATCTATGTAGGTGTATAATGGCAGAGATATGGGGAAATCGTAAGAATTTTGGGCGGATCTCTACTAGCACGTAGAATAGCCAATCAAGCGTAGATTGCGACAATGCTCACGAAAGTGGAGACACTTTTAGCGTCGCCAAGATATATGCGGGCACTCTTGGCAAACTCGATAACGCCAAGAACTAGTTATGTACATAGAATAGCCTAATAGGGTAATTCTTGCATCAATTTTGCATAACGGTGGGCGATGGGCGTCAAATTTCAAAAGGCCCACGGGCCGTGGACACTTCCTAGTGCTCATAGACGGGCAATGTCGCAGTCTACTTACTAGTAAACGGCACTTGACAACCTAACAGTCTAACAGCTGGTGTTTGCACTCTATATATTAATTACTAGGAGGTACTAGTAATCGAAACTCCCCTGACAACCTGACCACCTAACGAGCATTTCGCCTGCACGGAGGCATCCCCTAGAAAAGGAGGGGCTGGATCCTCTTAGGAGGGCCAGCGATTAGTCTGAATATCATCATACCCATACCAGGCACATCTCATATTCTTCACTCGTATTCATATCGTACTAGGAAACCTCTCAGGGGACTGTTATAACACATATGGGGGTGCTGAATATTCCTCGGGTGCGCTAGTAAAACTGCGACCCTGCTTTGTCGACATTTTTAGATTTATGCAGAACAGACGGACAGATAGACTTGAATTCAGACACCTGTTTAGTGATAATCCCTTGTTACTTACGAGACCTTACCAATTCACCAATCGTCCACAGTTGTATGCACCACTTGTCGATCAACATCCAACGTCACTGCGCGGTCAATGTATCCCGCACCCCGCAGTTGTTTGTGCATACCCGAGGTAGACGGGAGAGTCAGGATGCTTGATTCACAAACGAGTTTAATAGTCTTTAGTCCTCGTTTTCCTAATTTCCGATCATTCAGGTGTTTGCTTTTCAGGTCATATTGCATTCATCCGGGATATGCACACGTCCAGCAATTACTCATCTGACTAGAACTCTGCATCACCCACATCACATCTATCTACAATGGGAGCTCATGTCCATCTACTGCGAGTCTTCTCTGCAGGTCCAGGTGGCGGCAATCTTCTTCCAGTCGTGTTGAACGCCCAGGGCATGTCGAACGCAGAAATGCAAGCAGTTGCCGCAAGCCATAAGCACGAGAGCGGGTTCGTCTTCCCCGCACCGGCAGATTCGCACTACGACTATGAATTTCGTTTCTGGGTCCCCGCCCACGAAATGGAGATGTGCGGCCATGCAACAATTGGAACCGTCTGGCTAATGTCAAAGCTTGAAATGCTCGAACGGGGCCAGGTTCGCATCTTGACCAAGAGCGGTCTTATCGAAGCAAAGGTCTCGCATGTTCCAGGCGACACAGACGACACAAAGGATGGGATATGGGTTGAAATATCGCAGCCTGCATGCACGGTAATGGATCGTATGGAAGACGATTACATCAATGAGATTGTGTCTGTTTTGGGGGTTTCAAAAGATGATTTGTACCCTGGACTATATATCCAGAATGCCGCCACGAGCAGGGTGAAGACGCTGGTCCCGCTCAAGTCGGTTTCTTTGCTGAACTCTCTGGAGCCACAGTTCTCCCGGATAGAGACGCTCTGTGAGAAGATTGATAGCACCGGTCTGTATCCATATGCTGTTTCCAATCTCAAACTACAGGAGTTTGAAGCGAGGCAATTTCCCAAAGCCTCCGGATACCGCGAGGATGCTGCAACTGGAATCGCAGCATCTGCTTTGGCCTTTGGGCTTCTAATGAATGGTCAGGTGAATAGCACGGATCGGAATGTCAAGATTAAGCAGGGTTCGGCCATGGGCCATCCATCTGAGATCAGTGTCAGGTTTAGGAAATGGGGTGATGAAGTTAATGGCTGTTGGATTGGAGGCAGTGCCGGGTTCGAGACTGCAGAGAAACCACTATGATATTTTTCATACGGACTTTTATGTTGCCCACGGAAACTTCTCTACAATTATTCCTTTTCGCTTCGCAAGACTTCACATCCTGCCTCGCGACCATCCTATATGGAATACACTACTACGAGCCAAGAAGCGTAGGAAGCCGAAGGTTTCGGCTGAGAACGCAACCCGGGCCCAACTCGACCCATTTTTGCATAATTACAATTATAAAGTTGCTCAGTTATCAAAATAAAATACTGTTTTTCACATCAGTTCTAGCTTGTACTCTGAGCCACTATAATTTCCTAGTATTACTGGAGATTTGAGGTTTGCTCTATGCTTACTGTCTTAGACTTATAGTGAAGGCCTTCCACCTTCCTATAATCTCAATTCTAACGTACGTTCAATAGGTCCTTTTAACCTGAGTACTACTTCTCTAACTTCTGCGAGGGCGGCGGTAAATTCTTCTTTGACTTTCTGAAGTTCTTCGTTGTGCAGTTCGTCTCGCCGTCTGATCTCCTTCCTGAGTTTGTCGAGTTCCTTTGACAGTTCCGAGGCGCTCGGGTCCTCGCTCTCTGTTGATGATTCCGATGTTATCACTTCACGTTGGGCTACTGGCTTGCTCTGGGTCTTCTTCTTCCGTTTATTCCAAGATCTTACCATTGCTACAATTTTACTAGCACACAATATTCGGTAATGGTTTAGAAGTCCGCACCACAGCTCTCAAAGAGGGGTATAACCATAGGCAAAGAAAGGTTTATTGAATTATCCCCTGAAATTAATCTGAATGGACAAGAATATAATCAGCCGAATTATATAGGGCGAGCGGGTATAATCCCTCCTAGATAGACTTCGGTATAACCCACTCTAACCCGGACTCAACCCAACCTGGCCCAACCTAGAATAGGTTTTAGGTCTATTGCTTCGACCTAACGATAGGTTTTGGGTTATAGCTAGACTTCCGCAAAGCTCGAAAAGCCCGAAACCCGACCCGACTCGACCCTCAAAAGGGTCGGGTTTCGGGCCTGATTCCTAAAGCTCGCAGCGGGCTTCGGGCTTTTGGTTTGGGCCTATAGCTCGAAGAGGGGGGGGGGGGGGGGGGGGGGCCGACGAGCCCCCCCCCTACGACTAAACAGTGTAAATATACTAGTTTCTTATAACTACACAAATAATACAGAAATTCCCAGTATTTTTGAGTATTTCGATTGTATTGCTCACTTTAAATTCAACAAATCATTGATTCGTTTAAGTATATATCAATGTATTATAATTAAATCAAGTGTGAACTAATAAGACTGATATATATTATCCTCTATATACTTCCTTTTCCTCCCTGATATACGTGGCTGAGTAGTATAACTTAGTAATAGAGGATCGCTAGTATTATTATGTAAAGGATATGCCTGGGCGCACATTCTCCAGCTCGGCCAAAAGACCATTATGTCAGAGCTCATGCTCTGACATGCCCAGGACCAATATATATAGTAGCGCACATAGTTTATCCGTGACACCTAAAGACAGCGTGAGCGGTGTAGAGATAAAGATAAATACGAGTACACTATACAGCGTAGATAGTTTAATCGCAGAATAATATGATATACTATTTTGGGCCGAAAGTCGTTCTAAGATAATTCTCTAACTCAAGTAGAGTACCTAATAATACAAGGTATTTCTATATAACTTATACAAGTCACGTTTTTCTATATATTTGCACTGTTTACAGTCCTATAGGAGTCCCGCCAAGCTCCCACGGGACAGGACTAGCAACTTGGTCCCACCGCTTGGTACCCCCGTGGGACTATATAGGAGTCCTATATGGTCCCATGGGACTACTCCCACGGGAGTAAATGTGGGAGTTGGCAAGGTCTATCGATGTATCCATGTAGAGACATGATCCATGACCCGCGGAGGTGGGGCCTAGAGAGTGATGTGACCTCGCCTATCCGCGCACAACTATACTAGTAGAACTCGGAGTATGTATGAGCAACTCAGAGTTCAGTTTGAATACAAGCGGTACTAGTGTCATGCATTCGCAGTAGTATCGTAGTACTCTTCTCACTCTGATTGATACATAGAAGACCTTACATGGTGGGGTCTTCACAGTCCTACGCCCTTTCGTTATGACGTATCTCCTTGATAAGATATCGTGCTCCAAAAATTGAGAGCAGCAGCAATGCTATCAACGCACTAACTATCACAGTATAGACGACCCTGAGGGGGCTAATCCCTTCTGGGTATAGTCTGCGGTAGGCTGAGTGTATCAGTGTTGCTCACTGATTGGACACTGAGTATCACTGAGTAATCAGGGAGCACCCAATAACTAACCTGCACTCACTGAGCATCAGTCATTCTGCACGTGACTGATCTGAGCATGATCACTGATCTGAATCCGTGCTGACATCTACTCAGTGAGCCTGAGCCTGAGCGCCCTCATAACGCGGCGGCAGCTCAAATAGGAAAGCTCCACCCGCCAGGGAAAATCCGGTACGTATAGGTACATATATATATAGCACGGACATTGAACATCATGGTATAATTATTTCATCTATATCGTACTAAGATATCTATTATATGAGCGTATAAACTTGACTTTGGGACCAGCGAAACATCCATGGATCATTATCTTGCTGACAGCTTTGCAATGTTTTGCATGATCGTGCAGATTGGCTAGAGATCATCGGCGAGCTCGCGATGTCATTTTGCCGGTATTGACCGGAATCGAAGCGATCTGCAATATAAAGCGAGATGCATTTCCCTCTTCTGTCAACCTCTATAATCAAGAAGTTCACACAGAGGATCATCGAAGTATCAAAATTAAAGTAAAACCCAAGGCAGAGAAATGAACACCCAGATAGGCAAGGTGCCGAATCCACCCTTACCTAATCTAACGCAGCCGCACGCAGCCACAGCCTCTCCCCTCATAGAAGATAAGATGTTAGATGTGCGACGATCTGGAAGTCATTGAACTCGTTTAACTCACCTGAGATTTACTTCCCAGAAACCACTCTCTTGTTTCAAACTCTCTGCTCAGAAATTATTCCAGCGATTCTACTAAGGTTATCCAACTCGACACATTCGTTCCCTATATCTCCACTACATGGAATCAAGTGTGTCTCACGCTCTCAGTGACGTCGCCAATTGAATTTACGATCTCTTTCTACTTGAAGTTAACATATTTGGTACTCGCGCCAACTCAATACGACAGCACTTTGATACTTCTTACATCACAACACTTAGACAGTCTACCAGTGTCACACTGGACACTTCCGCAAACACCATGTCCGGCATTTTACATAGAGAAGTGCCCATGTCCCAAGATGACGAGTCTCTTTATGTCCGCACGCAAGAATACACAGCCATGCCACGGAATCCGATGTTCATTAGCGCGTCGACTGGGACCTACTACGGATTGGGCGCAGACGATGAGAACACTGTAATCGTCGACACGAAAAGGTTCGATCGCGAATCGCACGAATTCGCAGAAGGAGACTTTGTTTGTCCTGGATTTTTCAACCTGGTTAATCTCGGCGGGTTTACCCGCCGCTTCAACCCTTCCCAATGGAATTACGATATGCGCCGCCAGGCCCAGTCCATCTTTCCATTCTTATCTCTTGGCCCTTCGGCATGTCTACGTGATTTCGATTACCTCCGCAGCCAAGGGTTCACACTTCTCCTTGCTATTCGAAGTCGGCACTCGGCACTGGCACGTCTCGTCTCGGGCGATAAGGCTGCAGCCGAGGTCGGTATTATCGCGGATGCGATTGATGTCCTTGATAACCAAGAGCTCATTTCTGCATTTCCACGCGCTATCCGCCGCATCAATGATCACCTCGCCGGTGTCGATATGGGTTCTGATGGAGTGCTGTCGCAAAGTGAACAGCAGAAGAAGAAGGTTCTCGTTTTCTGTGAATCTGGGAATGAACGCTCTGCCGGTGTTGTCATCGCCTACATCATGGTCATGCTTAATATTGAGACTTTTGAAGCTACGCACATGATCCAGCAACGTCGCTTCTGTGTCTCGATCGAGGACAATATGAAGCTAACTCTTGCGGCTTTCGAGTCCATTCTTTCTGCTAAGTGTGATGTTGAACGTGCTAAGAAATACATGGTTCGTGGAGGTGCGACTCTTGCGCCACCATCGGCACCACCGATGCTGACGAAGAAGCGAAGTTTCCAAGATCATAAATACGATGATCTTGCTGTGGATGAGGATGAAATGGATATGGATATGGACGAGGACCCTTTCTTTGAGCGAAAGCCGCAAGCACCCTTCCAAGACCGCGTGGTCTAGATTCAACCGAAGTCGTTTGCTCCGAGTGTCTTTGATTGGGCTCTGAATGGCACTGTCGTGCCATGGAGATGGGTGGAGAGATGGATATGTTGAAAGAGGAAAGGGAGTGAAGGGAATCTTTACATTGTGTAGAATTGGGTGGCTTTCTCCTCTTTTCTCTTTGCTTTATTTGCTTTTGTCTGCTTTATTGTTTTATGGTTCTTATGTGCAAATACCCAGCTGCAGTTGCTCAATGCTACTACTATCTTCCTGATATTCAGGCCATCCACTGGCTATTACACCCTTGGATCCTATGTCTGTAAGATCATAAACATGAGAAAGTTTCAAGATAGCATGTGTATACATTTTGTATAGAAAAATCAGCGATGGGGCCAATCTCAGGATTTGGTAAGTCTCAAGACGCGCACAAGTTGATCGATGCCCTCAAGCATCTGACCCAACGTTTGAACCCACCTTCTCGACTCTCGACTCAATTGGCCCCTACCTTTTGTTTTCCTTTTCAACCCGAGGGCTCGAGTCTTGCGCTGAAGTTGCGCGATTTCAAATCCACCCTGATCCTCCCTTCTCCTCTCTTTCTTCATCTCGCGCAACCACCTTTCCATCTCGCGACCACCCCAACCCGATCACATATCGTACTCCTGCGATAAAGCGCATGCTTCCCATTGACCTCTAACACGTACCTACGATCGATACACCCATATCAACCCTTAAGCGCATCACCCCTCGTCCCACACCTCACGCAACACCTTAACGCGCCGCCAAAATGAGCGGCATGAGACTGCGCGACAGCATTCGCGCGCCGATACGATACGGCGAAGACGAGTACGAAACGCCATCACGGATCTCGCTGCGCCACGGATACGATGATTCCTTTGATGACTCTATCGAGCTTGGGGAATCTGGTAAACCGCGCCCACAGAAGAGGCGCAGGACAAACATTGTGCCATTCAACCCCAACCTGCCGCCAGCTGCGTTCCCTAGTTTGAGCAGACCACAGCCAGATCGCCGCTCCACCGCCTCTGCGCAGACTCACAGCGTTGGCGACAGCCAACAGGGCATCCAGGTTAGGGATTTTGCATTTCATCCACAAAGTGAGGAGTCAATGTCAGCTGTTCTATTCCCTTTGTCTGGGACAGAACAAGTCCCAATGGGCCAGCTCGAGAATCACCTTGCCAGTAACAACATGGATAATCCAGTGTATGCGAGAAACATGAACATGGCGCGCAAGGCGCGTAAGGTTGTCGCTCCCGTTTCCGAGGACATGGTCAGCTCTCCGGATAGTGATGAGGAACCACCGCCAGATGCGACACAGGCGCTAATTGATACAGTGAGTATATCGTGACTTTTGCTGTGTTAGTAAAATTGAACGTGTCTGACGTGAGTCGTTGTTTCAGATCCCCAACCCCAGATGGAAAGATCTGCACAAAGCTATGCAAGTTGAAATCGTCGAAAACACAATGAAATACTACGACTGGAGACGGGTTTGCGACCTTCTTGCCCTTGGGCCAGACGAGCGAAGACGACTCCAGGAGGCCATCAGCATTCGAAATAAACAGATCGAACGGGAGAACAAGAAACTGGAGCAAATGCGGCGCAAACAGCGCAAGACACTCATGAAGATTGACAACAGCGACTTGAAGCTTTTTAAGCCGCCACCTCAACTAGTACTGAAAAGGATCGCCCGAGAGACCAATAGGAGCTTGATCTTCGCCCAGTACACGGACCTCTTGATGTGTCAAGCGCACGATGTCCTGAAAGCCAGACAGTACTTGCATCAGCACGGGCTACCTCGAAGATATGCCGGGGATTGGGGAGACAGCCTGGTGGTGCTGCGAGAATCCGTGGAAAACCCCCATGAACCCGAAAAGTTCGAATGGAAAGAGAACCTGAGATTTACTCCGCCTTCTGATGATATCGAGACTTCAGTCAATCCTTTCATGGACCCAATCATTACTGCCAAGAGTGAATTCATTCAAAGCATTGGTACGAGCGGCACGATAAATCCAAAAGATTTATTCCGACACGACACTGAGCCGGACCCCATGGTGGACTGGGGAAAGTATTATGAACCAAAACCGGACACGTCGTGGGACACCACAAAGCCCCGACTCGGCGGACTGATCAAGGTGAATATTGGTCCACACCGCGCCGCGCAGATTCAACAATACGAGCAAACACGTGTCAGGCCCCAGGGATTGTCCTACCAGGGTCAACTCATGACCATGCCAGAGTCACCTCCATCGGAATTTCCAGAAGAAACACCATCCAAGAGGCCACAGAACGTGAGTCTTCCCCAGCCCATTTGCCAGCAAACCCCCAGACCTGTCAGCAGAGCAATCACCGGGAACTGGCCTTTGGTACGTTCCAGCCCATCGGTGAGCCAATCCAGGTACCAACGACATATCCAGCAGGCCAGGCTTGAAAAAATAGAGGCCGAGGCCGAAGACATGCGCTATCGGTATAACTTGCAGCCAAACCTCCGGGTCAATGGCGTTGGACTTGGAATGAGTCCCGCATACGGAAAAATTAAGCCAATTACACTGTCCCAGTCAGTTGAACAAGACATGCCTTCGGAATTTTTTGCCAGGGCGTATCGTGGAATGACAAACATGAACGTTGATCGCCTCATGGATGAGTTTGTCTCCTATGAGCCTATTCCGATGCCCGAAGAAAGCGAGGCCGAGCAACAAGAGGAAGAGCAACCCGATGAACAACCAAGTTCCACTGATATTAGCTCGATCACTGAGGTGTCTATGGATGATGTGATCCTGGTGCCGACAGATGGCTGTTCCTCTTCGCAGTAGAGGGATACAAGAGATGTCGAGGAAACAACAATCAAGTATTCAAGGATATGGGACCATCTTCTTCATATTGAACTTCTTGCATGATTCATTTGTATGATAATACTCAATCTGATAGTCTTGAACGATGTTGAGTCTAAGTTATTATTGTATGAAATCCGTCCAATTTAAACATGGTCCGTGCGTTGGACGCGAAAATGCCGCGTCGAGGACGCGATCATACTTCGATCTGCGATATATCGAAAACCAACGTCCAATCGTGCGCGAAATTTGTCTGAACTACGAGTATCCATTTGTGGGAAACTTTGTACACCTAGTCCCTGGTATCACATTCGTTTACCCTTCGCCCCCAAAGGAACTTGACGTTGTGAAAACTTCTCACCCCTGTGAATGACGTACCATCTACATCTATCTACCACTCGCTTTAGATCGTTCACTCTCTTTACCTTGTTACTCAATTCGATCAGACAAAATGTCTGCTGAAGGCACAGCTACTCCCACAGATTCCCGTTCGGGGACTATGGCGCCTGAATCAGTCATTCCTTCGTCGCCACTTACGGACCCGTCGGAGGCTGAAGACTCGAAGTCATCTCACGACAAGGATGATGGAACCCAGGCAGAGCTGGCCGATTCAGAAGATGTCGAGGGGATGGACAGCAAGGCCAAGGCCTTGATGCACTTGTTGAAGACCAGCTCAGTACGTGTCCAGTCCATCCTCGTCTTGTCTGATCACAGTAGTCTGATATCTTCTCGTACCTGCAGGTCTTTGTCGCTATCATGTCAGATAAAATGAAAAAACAACAAGAAGACGCACGCTTGGCGGCGATCAAGCACCACGAACAAACTGTTGCGAGTCAAAAGAAAACAAAGAGTCCCCCTGAACCTGCTCGCAGAACCACTCGAACTCGGCAAAACCAAGATGCGACAAAGGATAAGGAGAACAAGACAACCGGCGGGCAAGACGTCAATGAAAAGCCCCAAGCAGCGACCAGAGGTCGGCCTAGGCGGGCAGCCGCCGCCAATGGCAACTCTATTTCCAGTTACTTTAAAAAAGCTGATGTCGAAGTAACCGAAGACAATCACTCGGTGCAGCAAGCCCTTGAGCAGGCCGCAGATGACTACGAAGCGCACCCCACAGCTCTTGGTGAGCAGGACTTGGTCGCGACACAGCAGCCAGCTCTTGTGAGTGGTGGCAAAATGAGAACATACCAGCTGGAGGGCCTCGAATGGCTCAAGACCTTATGGATGAATGGGCTTTGCGGTATTCTTGCCGATGAGATGGGCCTTGGAAAGACTGTTCAAGCTATCTCCATGATTGCTTTCCTGAAAGAAAAGAATGTCTCGGGCCCGTTCCTAATTTCAGCACCGCTGAGTACGGTGAGCAATTGGGTGGATGAATTCGCCCGATGGACACCGGGAATTAAAACGGTGTTGTATCACGGGTCAAAAGATGAGCGAGCTGCCATGCGAAACAAGTTCATGAAGATGAAAAACCAGGGAGACATGGACTTCCCGGTGGTCTGTACATCTTACGAGATTTGCATGAATGATCGAAAGTTCCTGGCTCAGTATCAATGGCGTTATATTGTTGTTGTACGTTTGCTTCGATTTAATTTTCATTTATAAGATGCTAATCAATCTATAGGATGAGGGCCACCGACTGAAGAACATGAATTGCAAACTTATCAAAGAGCTTTTGACCTACAACTCGGCCAATCGTCTGTTAATCACCGGAACACCTCTCCAGAATAACATCTCAGAGTTGTGGTCTCTTCTACATTTCCTGCTTCCTGAAGTTTTCAATGATCTCAACTCGTTTGAGGGCTGGTTTGATTTTTCGTCTGTCCTGGATAACAAGGGTCAAGCAGAGCTGGTTGAAAAACGAAAACGCAATTTGGTTACCAGCATGCACGCGATCCTCAAGCCCTTCCTTCTTCGACGCCTGAAGACAGATGTTGAACACACTCTTCCCAAGAAGCGGGAGTATATCTTGTACGCCCCTCTGACACCTGAGCAGAAAGATCTCTACCGAGAGATCATCAACGGCACAGGACGCGAATACCTTGAGGGAAAGGCTCTGGAACGTCTGGAGCGCAAGAGTGGAAGTTCTACGCGCTCCCAAATTATGAAGCGCAAACGGAATGGCGGCGATGATACAACGCCGGTCAAGAGTGCCAAATCTAGTGGGACGTCCACTCCGGCCAGTAATGGAAATAACTCCAGTCGCCCTCGCCGACGCAACACGCGTCAAACTTACAATGATCAAAGTGAAGGAGAGTTTGATGAACACCTCCGCAAACTCGAGCTGGGAATTGAAGAAGAAGAAGAGAAGATCGAGCCCAGCGATGCCGAGCGTGAAGAGTTGGAAAGAGCTGAGAATCTGAAGCTTGCCAGTACGTCATTTTCAAGCCACTTTTAGGTCACATTTCCTAGTCCTTTTTGCTAATTTTGTCTTGCAGAGAAAGAGATTGGACAAAAGAAGATGCAAAACCCGGTCCTCCAGGCTCGCCTTGCCTGCAACTCTCCGCACAATTTCTACTGGCCCTGGATGGGCGAGTCCGATTCTGTAGACGAAACCCTCGTTTCTGCCTCTGGAAAGATGTTGTTGTTGGACCGCTTGGTCTCGTGTTTACTTGAGAGAGGCCATAAGATTCTCATTTTCTCTCAATTTAAAACTCAACTTGATATCATTCAAGAGTGGGCAACAACACTCCGCTCCTGGGAGTGTTGCCGAATCGACGGCGCTATTGCGCAGTCAGATCGCCAGGCTCAGATCAAAGATTTCAATACTAAGAAGAGCCACAAGATCTTCCTCCTGAGCACCCGAGCTGGTGGTCAAGGAATCAATCTCACCGCTGCCGACACCGTCATTATCTTCGACTCAGACTGGAATCCGCAACAAGATCTACAGGCCCAGGATCGAGCTCACCGCATTGGCCAGACCAGGCCAGTGATTATCTACAGATTGGCGACAAAGGGTACCGTTGAACAGACACTCCTCGAGAAAGCAGATTCCAAACGCCGTCTTGAACGTCTGGTGATCCAAAAAGGCAAATTCCGATCTTTACTCGACCCCAGTGCGAATTCCCAAGACATTGATGAATTGCGCAAGGTGCTTGGCGAGAACGAGTTCGAGCGGTTCGAGGTTGGCGTTGACCCTGCGTCGATCTTATCCAACGAAGATCTCGATATCTTAACCGATCGCTCGGAAGAGGCCTATCTCCGTGCTGAGAAAGGTCTGGATCAGAAAGGGGCTGCGTTTATCGCAGTTGAAACGAAGCGCGATCCTGGTGAGAGTATTCTCTCTTGAGGTGTTCAATGGATGTCCTGTATCTCTTTTCTTCCATTCGATCTGCGTGCTGGATTATGTCCAGTGGTTACTGTATTGTAACAATCTCTATGGGAGGGGCTGGCTGATTTGATTGGCGTTGACAGACAAGGTGGGATGGATAACTTGTTTGTGTATCGATTCCAAGGTTGCTACACTTTCCATTTGCTTGTGGTCGGCTAGATGCTTAGACTACATCCTCGCTATTGTATCATATGTTAAACCATTTCGATGTTTCTTGCACTAATCAGAAAAAAAAAAAAAAAGCAAAGAATATCAATTTGATACCTCCATACCATTATCTTCTATTGCCACTTAATACGCCTTTCCAGTAGGACTTTCTGCGCTCTGGCCCATGGTATTTGCCATTACTCATTTTTTGAGCTATGCCTAAATCCTAGTATGGCCTCTTTTTAGATGTCTTTTGTATTATCTTTTGAGATGAATTAGCTATTGGCACAAGTTTTTAGACAACCCAATCGATCTCCTCTCGCGGAACAAAAAGGCTCATCATCTCATGCATACATATGCAAGAAAGAATATTGGTTTATGATGACTGATATTCTTAACTTATTTGTGGTCGTACTCACGCATTACTATGGGCTGCTTCGATTATTTCACATCTTAGTCAATCACAACCAACTAACTAACTAGCTTGCTTATCCATAACAATTTAGAAATTCAAGTCAAATTCGTCAGAATTTCCGGTGAATTTCTTGATTTTCGTTCCTTTGTTAGAGAGTCACTCCCTTCCTCATCGAGGATCACTAAATTTACCCTACATTGTCAACCCAGTCATACATACATAGCACATGCACCACTGTAAAAAAGGTCACTAACTAATATTTTTTTCTTAAAAAAAAAATATTGCAAAAAACTTCGTTTCTACCGAGGTATAGGGAAGTAAAAAAAAAGACAGTCGTCAGCTGCAGGGTTCGAACCTACGCGGGCGAACCCAATAGATTGTGACAAGATGGAGTGACTCCACGATTCACTAAGAGGTATTGTTAGTACGTTGTTACATGAGACTCGGAGACTTGGAAACTCGGAAACTAGGGAGCACATACAGTCTATCGCCTTAACCACTCGGCCAAACTGACGGAGGTTACAGGGACCAGTTGTAAGTAGAAACTTCAGAATATAAAATAACAAAAACAGGAGATTTAGAAGTGATGTTCTATTACAAGGTTTCTACGGGACTAAGTGGGCCAATCTCCTTTTCTATACTTCCAAGGTTAGTACAGATATGCTCTATTGTACTTATCAAGTAGGTATTCAAAGGATTGTATCATCTAGTTCGATATGCGAAACCCTCGATGTCATCTTTCTCGGCGCGGCTTTTTTAGTAGGAAGCCCATGTGCACTTTGTATACTGTTTTAATACTCTCTACACATAAAAGACTGCTTACACTGCCTAAAGTAAAGCACTAATACATTAAATATTACATTCATTGAATTAATTGGCTCATTATTTCCATATCAATATGAAGATGCGCAATGGAATAACCAATACTAGTGTAAATACCATATAACTAGTCAAAGTTGAATGATATTTCATAATATGAGAGTACAATGTCGGCTTAACTGCCTTAACTAGATTAGGCAATGATGGCCTGAAGCCGGATAAAATTCGCAATTCTCTGTCCATTGCCTCGCTTGATTATCCAGTAGTGTAGTGCTTTCTCGGACTCATTACGGATAGTAGCGCTTGTGCTAAGTAGCCGACATTTTGGTTCGCCAGCTTGTCCAATGTAAGCATACCAGTAATCCAGACTTTGCACATGTGTGAAAAAATCAAGGGGTCCTGCGTGAGGAGTACGCTAGATCATCTCGGCTGCAGTCCGCTTCAAACGAATATGTTCGAGCCTAGGTAATAAAACGATATGTGATTAAATGAGTAGTGATCCTAATCAAAATATTAACTTACAATCCCTTAGTAATAACTGCACACTGTAGAGCCTTGGTCTCTGACAGGACCGCGTCATATTACATATCAATAAAGACATTTTCGCCCCCAATGGCTTTGAGCACCATCTTATGAGGAGCGCGGGCAAAATAAACAGGTAGTGTTTGAAATGATATCATGAATTGGGTGAGTGTATCAATGATGGGGTTCAGTCTAGGGAAAATGATCTTGAAGATAAGATCAGTATTAGTGGGTGTAGGTTTAATATATGTGACCGCTGGGAACCTACCTTAAGGACTGGTAGACTATCAGGGCTAGTCATAAAGGGTGAAGGGGATATTCAAGTTTCCTCAATATTGGAGGGAGTCGGCTTTCGATCACAACAACCACAACAGGGAATGGCATCGCACAAGTCGGGCCGTCCGGTTCTAGGAGCAATACGGTTCTTGCATGGATGTTTTCCATATTATTCATGTCACACTTGTGAGTAAGAAGCACAGTTTGATGACAATCGAGGCAGCGGAGGATTTGACTAACCTGCAGAAGAGCCTGTTCCTCGTCCACACTTGTATTGAAGGAAGTAATGAGGTCGCTTATAAGGATAGATGTGGATTTGGGGAATAGAGACAAGAGACGACCAAGAGAGAGAGGGTTTTTACTTAGTTCTCAACTTACTCTCTGTGTCGCTCCAATGCTTTTCAGCCATGCTGTTCTTGCTCCTGACATCTTTCTGCTTCTGACGACTCTCGACTTCTTCGATTTGCCATCAAATTACAATTTCTTCGTCCATGGTAGGGCTGATTGGTTTTAGAATGAGAGCTCAGAAACTTTAGAGCAAGCTTAGAGAGACGAGTTTACAGGTGAAGACGTCAAGACATGAAAGATAAATCAGAGGAAGATGGACAAAAAGTAATAAAATGAAGTTATCGCGGAATGGGCATGCTTTGACGCACACAACAAAACGGCTGATAATATATATATATATATATTTACCAGAAAATTGTCTAAGACATCTAAAAACACATCTAAAAACACATCTGAAAATATAAAGGAAATTGAAATTGACAGCCACATGGAACCTAAAGATAGGTGGGTCGGAAGTGGATACCCCTTGAGCCTCATTTATATGTACATATACTATTGGAAATTTTGATATGGGTTTAGAAAGAGTGGCAGCTTTACTATGATTAGAGGGGATTTCTGAGATTTTCACATCGTTTTGTATGGCATTGATGGCCTAAGGATCTCACTATCTGTTTCCCCACTCATATTCTTCCTCCTTAATACCAAGTGATCAACATCCATACCCTCTTTCTCTCTTTCTTCTTTCAAAAAGCAATCCAAACTTAACAAGAAGAAAGGGACGACTGCCCCTTACATGAAGCAGTCGTTGTGAGTTTTGGACTCTCTATTCCCTCTGATTTATCCACTCCCTTATACTCCTGGCACACATGCTTGACGCTGGATCCACACGTGCCGCTCACATTGGAAGTATCGCCGTAGTTGGAGTTGATTCCCACCAAGGTATCCACACCATTGGCCTTGACGTTCTTGATCACAACGTTCCGTGGGCTTTTGCTCTTGTTGCTGCTGCAGTTTCCGCACGATCGGTACAGCTTGCCAGCATTCACCACAGTAAATCCATCAATGGTGACGGTTCCTTGGCCGTTGTGCTGCACAACCTTGTCTTTGGCCTCTTGGGCACCACCACCTTTGATGAGTGCATTTCCGGTTCCGAGGATGGAAATGGCGTCCTACAGAGGACATATTAGCACCAATAGACAAGATAGATATGGGAACATGAGCCTTACCTCGCAAACATCACGGAACCAGACATTGGTCAGCGTACAGGATCCTTTGCAGTGGATACCCTCGAGTTGGTCCGCTCCAATGATAACATTGCTCAGTGATGCCCCATCCTGCAAGATGAACACGGCATTTTCATCACCTATTTCCTCAGCTTCATTTACTTATACTCGCCTTCTATGTGAACGTACCAGTATCATCATCACTGTCGCAGGCTCGGCCACGATCATACTCCCGATTTCCCAGATCAACACTGCCAGTGATCACACTGGGAGAAGGCAAAGAGACAATGCTGCCCACACGAGAGGGAATGTTGAGTGTCTGGGCACTGGCAAGGCCAATGAGACCGAGGATGAGAGCGCTGGAATGCATTTTGTTTAGCTGATGGTTGATCAATTCGAGGGTCAACAAGGGGCCTTTTATACCTTTTGAAGATCATAACAAGACATAACAAGACATAACAAGACAGGACTTGCTCCAGACTGTGCCATCACAAGACAGGATTTAGTCCGTCCTGTCTCCGTCACATATATGGTACGGACTCCACAACATCCGTGAATAAATTTGACGACCTCTGACTGGATGGACTTCATGCATTACCCCACGAATTCCACTTCTGTCATGCAGAGTCTAGCTCCCTATTTGGCCTGGATGCATACTATCTCTACCGTCTCGCGGGAACATAAGACATTTCCTGACATCTGATTCTCCGTCTTGGCGCATATTTAGCCAATGTCAAGGTCCAGTTCTAGGGAAAATGCCAAAAAGCCAAGATTCTTAAAGCATTGGCATTGGGGCAGTGCCTGCAACCTTGAAACTTTCTACGCAACTACAAGATCCACCAACCAAAAAAGACGTTCATGACAATTAACGTCGTAGCCGGCTAATTCTCCTTGGAATCATCATCATTTGCTTTCTATGGACTGTTCCAATGGGGTGAGAACCCCCTCACGGACAAGCCATGGAGCACGCTTTGACAATGGAATCACGGTATTTGGGATGAATTTGCAACGTGGAACCTCCGAGATGTATCCGACAGAAATTTTGGGAGAATCCCGGCGGAGTTTAATTATGAGCAACAGTCACTGTTTCAAGCAAGAGATGAAGTCATATGGACTGGGACTGATAGCTCGCCCAAAGCTGTGAATGGGCTCTATGATTGATGGGATTATTGGCGCACTCAAGTTAGCTATTTCCCAGGAGCAAAAATAGATGGTGGGTTAGTTGATAGCATTGGCATTACTATGTAAATTGTCAGAATGATGTAGAATAGACTTGTAGCTAACAAATGGTCAACTTATTTGGATTATAGCAACATCTATAACGGGTAGGCTGGACGGTTAGGTCAGCATCACATATAAAGTGAGTAACAGGCTTAGGAGAGTAGGTGAATGACTTCTTCGTTTATCGATTCTAAGCTACAGGCCAGGTAGATACATAGACCATGATGACTTGGCATTGAATTATGTGTAAAATTGGTTCAATATCTTGCACTAGTCAGAAATAAAAATGCAAAAAGAATATCCATTTGACGCCCGAAGCCCCCTAACAAGAAAATGGCTGTACAAGATAGTTCGCGAGAATCAAGAAGGTAGGACATATGTGCAGCTCAAGGGGCCATAGAAAACAAAAAAAGAAAGAAAGAAAAAGCATTAGGCTAACAATCCCGCTAGTCCATACTCACACAGTAATCGATCACCGCCGAGCTTTCTCATCCTCAATCTGGCTGCGGAGATCCGAAAGGACTTCGTGCCGTTGGGCTAAATGGGTCTTCAAGGCGTCCACCTGTTCCCCAACGGTCTTGACATCTGCCCGGAGCCGCTCCAAATCCTGACCGTCCTTAGCACGGCCAGTACCTTCACGCAATTCCCGCAATTCCCGCTCCTTATACTCCAAGAGCGAAAGCGCCTCCTTCTTAATCAGAACCCAGTTGGGCCGGCCATCATGGCGCGGTCCATCCCGCCTAGACTCGGAGGCTTTATTGGCGGAGTTCAGCTTCTTCTCCAATTCCGCGAGCTCGCGGCGCAGCCGCACCTTCTCCCACTCCTCGTCCTGGATTGTGTCGCTGAAATCCGTTCCCTTAGGCTGGTATGATCCCTTGCCGCCAACGCCCAGACGGCCGAGATAGGTATCGCCGAACTTAGCCTTACGGCCTGTCCGTGTTTCTGTATCGCCATCTGCACCGTAGCGCTGCGCGGGTCGGACCTTATCAACTTGGTAGTCGATCTGGTTGTTCTCGAATGAGGCGCGCAGGGATGCGGGGATGGTACGTGGGATGCGGAAACCCTCGTGGCGGAGGTTCAGGATGTGCAGGAAGGCGAGTGTTGCATCTTTATTAATTGCGGAGGATGCGGAGGGGTTGACCAGGTTCCAAGCGGAGCGGACATCGGTATCGGGGACATCGAGCGATTCGTAGAGTGGTTGTAATTGTTGGACTATGAGGGAATCGTCAGCGGGGTTATTTTCCTGAATGCGCTGTGCGCGCTGTATAGTTTACTCACATTCTACTTGGCCGCGCGAGTTCCGGTTGGCGTCGTAGATCTCAGTGTACTTGTTCTTGTCGTCGGGCTTCATATACCAATCAAAGCCGTCCTTGAGGCCGACCGAGTCGTCGTCGTCTTCTATCCGCTCGAACTCCTCTCGTCCGCCGCTTAGTGCACGGGTCGCATGGACAAGATGTGCTTTGGATTCTGGGACTAGCCAGTCTGGTAGGACATGGGGGACCTCTTGTAGTTCCTGTTTACAGATAAGACGCCGTGTTAGAGCGATTTGGTGATGATTTGAGAGGGTCGATCACTTACGCCGTTGACCAGATCAAAAACTAGGCGCATGGCAACACAGAACTCCTCGAAATCCAGCTCCCCATCTCCGTCAACATCGGCAATGTCCCAGACCTTCTCGAGCTGGTCATCGCGCAGCCGGCTGTTCCTCAGCACGGAGGCGGCCTGGGAGCTGTTGAGGCGTGTTTGGCCATTTGATAATGAGGCAAAGATCTCCCAATATCGCTCAATCTCCCATTGCTCGATCTTTTTGGTAGCCATGATGTATGGAGCTCCGATGAATGGGGTGGTGGATGAGGTGGGAACAATGGGGGGAGAGACTCGGATTTACCTAGTTCCGTCAGGGGCTCTGAGGTCATTGGGCTTCACAATGTAATTATTCTTCTTTATACAACATAGTATTCGTATTGAAGCGTTCATAATTATTATAGTCTATATGATTATATATATTAGAATATGATGTGTTCCTTTCATTATGTGACATGATCTCCCTGTTGAGTAGATGAGCTCGACATCTCCTGCCCCCAGTGATTAAATCTTCGGCGTTATGAATCTTTTATCTCGTCTTTCTTCTGTTGCTTGGCCTTCTCTGCAGCCTCAAGCTGCTCGCTGACTTGGATAATCGCTCGTTCAGCCTCTAACGCAAGCTCCGGTGCATCCAAGATTGTAGCCAACTTCTTGGCATCAGACATCTTCAACAAGACTCGATCCTCACTCCGCTCTATTTCCTCCGCAATCTCCGAATATGGCGTCTCAGTCGTAGTGCCTTCGAGTGTTCCAGATGCGCGTTTGGCATATAGCTTTTCTAGCTCCGGCAATGAGATGGGATTGAGGATGTTCTTTTCAACAAGAAGTTCTAGATGTTTTGAGCCATTCAATGCTGTGTATTCTCGTTAGTTTCATGAACAAGGTCTGTGTAGGAAATTAAACCAACCACGCCAATGGGACCAGCCCCGGTATGCCAAATAGAAAAAGGGAATATTTGGAACACTGCTTTTTATTAGTATATCATATCACCGGAGAAGACCCATAGCATTCACATACATTGGTATCAACCCAATGGGTGCTGTAAATGGCGCAGCAACCAAGCTCCATATCATCTTCTTCCGATGAAGCTCTTGTCTCTCTGTGGCGATCTTGTGTAATACAGACTGAATTCGCTCCAACCGCACCGCGTTACCCGGGAACAACACATCAATCTTGGTCTTTCCATGGTCTCCATTAATTCGCTGCTGTGTTTTGAATGACGGAATGCTTTTCAGGCCCCATTCTTCGTATGGTATCCGTTGCTGGACACTATTGCCCCAGCGAACAAGGTGCATCTTCCATCCTTTGTCGGCTTCCTCCCACTTCGCCCATGTCTCAGCTGCCTTTGTTGTAACCCTATCAAGAATTGAAAGCTCTTTCGCTATGTCCTTGCGAAGGGGTCGCGCGTATATAAGGACTCGTTTTGTCGAGATCGGAATTAGGAAAAGACGCATGGTGAAGGATGTTTAAGAGAATCGACAATCGTTTGATCGCTTGATCGCTTGATCGCGGTAGAAATAAGTTGATCGATATGAAATGGTTCAAAGTAGGAAAGAGAAATAATAGAAGACTTCACAATAAAGAGGGTCGTTGAAACTTTTTAAATTTTTTTTTTCGTGTGGATGAAAAGGGATAGACGCGGGTGTGATCAAGGTATCAATCGAGACGTCATTCCCGTCGCCCTTTTCGTCTTAGGGAGATCATCCTGCCCTGAACATCAACCTCGGCATACACTTCGTACCTTGCACACGGAGCAATTGGGGATTCGCGGGCAAACTGTTGATTGACGTTTCCCGCGACTCCCGAGTTTCAAGTTTCTTGTTCCTTTCCCCTCTACCTATCATGGACAGCTCCACAAATAGCTCTACAGGGCGAATCTTTGATGAGAGGCTGGCAGAGAAGATCCCGACCATACCAGAGGCATCACCGCTGCCAAATCAGCTTACCGTCGATACCAAGTCTGCTGTTCGCAATAAAACCTCCGATTCATCACTTGCGCGTGCAAATGGTCATACAACGGAAGAACTCGCGAACTCCCAACACTTCCCCCTACGATCTCTACCTCGTATGGTCCCATTTAAAGCTCCATTCAATGACCACTCACTAATACCAGGTCATTTGTAGCCTGGATTCGGTCGGTTGATGAGCCGGAAGAGGACGGAGATGAAGCTACGGCAACTGATCGCTTACTTCCTGCCCAACCAAACGGCGCATTTGTCGCTCAGCACAACCACTCGCCCTCATCGTCCAAGACCCAACCTAATCATGCAACCACCAACGGTCTGTTTGAGGAGGAATCCCCATTCCTTAACCGTGAATCGCGCTGGGTGACATTCTCACGAGCCATCCAATACCCCGCCGGGACCGGTAGAGAGGGACAGCATGTCACATCAGAATGGCTGAACGAGAATCACGGTGATTACTTGCAACCATGGCGAGGAAAGCACTTGGAGGGCGATAGTCCGGAGTATCCACTACACAGCGGAGCCCGAAGGGATGTCTGGATCAAGCGTTTTAATAACAAGATTCTGCGAAGCCCGATGATACCCTTGATTCTTCGAATGACTGTTTGGTGCTTCTCACTGTCTGCACTGGCTCTGGGTGGATCGATTCAGCACATGGCTGACCAAGGGAATCGCTCTCTTGGCCCATCGGCATTGATGGCAATCATCGTCGATGCAGTCGCTCTGGTTTACCTCTTATATATCACCTTCGACGAATACACGTCAAAACCCTTGGGTTTGCGCTCTCCCTCGGCTAAAGTACGCCTTCTCCTCTTGGATATATTCTTCATCGTTTTCGATTCTGCCAATCTTAGTTTGGCATTTGCTTCACTTTCTGAGGTGACAGGATCTTGCACCGAAGCGGAGGTCAACCAAGTGGTCGATCCTCGAAATGATGGTATATGTGTGCGACAGAAGGCACTTGCTTCCGTACTTTTGGTTGCGCTCTTGGCTTGGCTCATGACATTTTCGATTAGTGTTCTCCGGTAAGCCCCTTGTCTGTAATTGGCGTAATCGCTCCATTTTCTAACGCTCTGCTAGGCTTGTCGAAAGGGTGACACAGTGATGTCTGGGTCTCGTTAGGTTTGGATTTTTGACTGTTGAGTAAATATACCATTTAAGCGAGACTTGATTTTGCGCAGGCGCAATTTTAGCTAGACGTGCAAAGCAGGGCCATTGACGCCATACAACGGATCTTGACGGAACCAAGCCACATCCTTGATTCTCTGAATCTTTGCTTTCTCTTCCGGTGTCCCATAACACATATCCCACTGTTTTCCGTGTGGATATGCGCCGACCATTTGGAACTCTTCTTGGTTCCCGTAAAGGTCCTCTAGGAGTCGATGACCCACCCCTGCGGATACAATGATCAAATCGCCGCGCTGGACCTGCGGCTCGAATCGATCAGGGTTCTCTTCACCTCCAAAGCAAAGCCGCGCACTCCCCGAAATGACACCGAGCACCTCGTGCGTTGTGGTGTGGAAGTGGGTTTGGCTGTACATGCTATATACCCATTGAGGAATAACCTCGCCTACTGCCTCCAGATGCTTCTTGGGCTCCGTGGATGTGGCATTGAAGGCTCCATGGTATATCATCAGCGGCTTGGATTGGATCGAAGTGTTCGGTAAATGGTGCCACTCGGGGATTTGCCGAGTGGTCACTTGGGTCTTTGACGGTGGACTTATGTCCATTTTGGGTGATCTCTCCGTGTATTCTGCTTTGCTCGTTTTGCACACATAGAGAAGAGAGTTAGATTGGATTAGATAAATCTACAAAGTGTTCCCGAGGTCGGAATACTTCAGGCGCGGAAGTGACGTCATTCACTGTGGCAGTCAATATTACCTTACATTTAGATGGAAAGATGTACTCCGTATGTAGGTTAATATGACAAGTCCAGGTTAATAACACATTGTATAAGATTGAGAATTAGGCGTAATACGTTTGAGAACAACTCGTCTATGCTTTATATTTCTGCTCTGTGCCGCACCTCGTTCGTAGTACATACTGCCTATGTACTTGGTTTTAAACTATCCCTTTAGATCAGGTCTAGATGTATTTCTTGTTGCTTCCTGTCCCTATGCTCCTAGAGAGAAACAATTAATATACAAGAGCTAGAATAATTAAACCCAATCCGTAGGCTTCTAATAAAACCTTGTATCTTATTTATCAACCAAGTCTAGTCCTCTAGGGGATGTGCGTGTGAACATGTCGATTTTGCTGCAATTCAACCCTTGCATTCTCCATTTATCATCTGCAGAAATGTGAGATCTTCAAATGAGTGTCATGCGTTGGGGCCCAGCACCTCTATGATACGTGCTATAAAGTACCACGTCTGGTATGTTGCCATGTTGACACCATATCTTGATAACACAAAATTTTGGATTTAAAGATAGATACACAAGCATTATCCACCATATCCGAGGCAACAAGATGACCCGCAAAACAGGAAAATACGTGGGCCGCTTAGGCGACAAAATCGTGCTCATCGTGGGAGGAACTTCAGGGATTGGATATGCTATCGCAGAGGCCGCACTCGAACACAACGCAATAGTGATTGTGGCTGGATCCAACTCAGTCAAAATGGAGGAGGCTGTCGCCAGACTCAGATGCTCATATCCATCACAATGTTCCAAAACGCGACTGAGAGGGATTACCATTGATCTCGCCGACGGCGAGAACCTGGAGGCCAATGTTCAATCCGTTCTGCGATTTGCCGCCAACGGGGCGAAAATAAACCATGTCATTATCACCGCCGCAGATATGATGCCTCCGCCGCCGCCGCTGGCTGGGATCACTGTCCAGAGTCTTGAGCGATCGGGCCGCATTCGCTATACGGCGCCACTAATATTCGCCAAATATCTACCCCAGTTCATGGACCGAGTTTCTGAAAATTCCATCACTCTGACGAGCGGTGCCCATGGCCATAAGCCTGATCCGGGCTGGTCCGCCATTACTGGCTACATAGGAGCAGTTGAAACGATGATGAAGGGTTTGGCCGTCGATCTGAAGCCTCTCCGCGTGAATGTGGTCTCTCCAGGAGCCATTATGACCGAGGTCGTGCGGCAAATGCTAGGCCCGCACTACGACATGGCGATTCAAATGGCAAAAGAAAAGTCCTTGGTGGGTAGTGCTGGAACTCCAGAGAGCGTAGCTCAGGCATATCTGTATCTTATGAAGGACCCATTTGTCACCGGAACTGTGTTGGAGAGCAACGGGGGCTTGTTGTTGGCTTGAAGAATAAATTTGAGGTGATTCTCATCTATCACGTACATTAGATTCTACTTGCTCAGAAAAAGGCCAACGATACCAAGCTGCTCCATGTCAAGTAGATCAGATGGCCGTTCAGTTAAACACAAGTAGGGCGTGGAAATTGCAAGTCCTAGATGTCCGTTTGGGATCTTCACTCCGACATAATATTCCGTAAATCATGCAATTTACTACGTAGCAATGTTTATGCTATAATTCATAGCGCTGCAGGTATAATGTACAGTGTGCTCGTGCATAGTGTGATTATTGCATTACATTACCCCTTGCCTAATATGGCGCACCAAGCCGCATTATGACTACGGCAACCCCATCCCGATCACGACTAGCGGTGGGAAGAAAGCAGCAGACATGTATTTTTGTTATTTCACGTGGCCTTGTCCTTCGTGGGTGCAATGCATTGGATAGCAGGTACTTGGAAGTTGGTCTTGGCCTTGTCCTGTTCAGTTCTTATATTTGCTGTGAAAACCACTTTGAACCCAAATAGGAACGGCTCGGTGCTATATCGATACTTCAAAAACGCTATGACCATTGAAACGATTCAGAGCCAGTTGCCTGTAGGCGAGGTGGCTAAGGGAGCCTCCACTTCTCCCATTTCCACCACCTTTGACGTGCTGAGTCGATACTACCTCTTCACTGATAGTCATCAGAGGGCTTGGTGGGAGAATACTGGCTGCCTGCTAGACAAGATCCTGGCCTCAGCAGGTTATAGCCCTGCCCGCCGCTTGGAAGCTCTCACATTTTATAGTCAAGTTTTGATTCCACATCTGGGCCCCTATCCGTATGAGTTTCACAGCGCTATTACCCGGAGCGGGCTCCCGCTGGAGTTCAGCGTTAACTACCAGCAACAAGGAAATGTGGACCCGGTGGTTCGTATTGGATTCGAACCCGTCGCTGCAGCGTCTGGAACAGATAAAGACACCTACAACCAGACTCCAGTCGTCGATCTCTTGGACCAACTGGAAAGGCTGAATATATCAGGGTTTGACCCTTCGCTGTTCCGATATTTCTTGGACGCCCATACCGTTAACGCCCACGAAAGAGAGTCGCTGAAGGAAAAGAAGATCGAAGGGAGCGCCCTGACCTCCCAGGCGGCTTTCGGGTTCGACCTGAAGGAGAACACCATCTCCGTCAAAGGCTACACATTCCCTGCTATCAAATGTAATGTCAACGAGAAAGGCTTCGGAAATTTTATAGCCGAATCAATCCAGCCGCTCGCGGCGCAAATGGGTCCCACTCCCTCGTTCGATATGGTGCACGCTTACTTGGAAGAGACAAACGGCTACAGCCAGTTTGCGTTCTGGTCCTTTGACTGTGTTGACCCTGCCAAATCACGCCTCAAGCTCTACAGCTCCCACAACAGCGTTGTCTGGTCTAAGGTAGAGGAGATATGGACCCTCGGTGGGCGTGCCAAGTCTCCTGTCGTCCAAACAGGCCTGGAGTACTTGAAGGAGTTATGGCAATTGACGAAGTTGCCCGAGGGACATCGTGATTTTAGCGGTGGGTTTGACGACGGCAAAGAATCCACCGCCAGTCCAATGGTGTGGAATTACGAGATGAAGAAGGGCGAGGCCAGCCCACTCACGAAGTTTTACTTTCCCATCCACGGAGAGAGTGATCAGAATGTTATCAGTGGCCTGGCACAGTTCTTGTCTCGTATTGGGCTTGCAAAATATGGTGACAACTACGAGGCCACAGTGCAGCACTATTTGTACGAATTCCCTTCCCCTACAGCCTGTCAATCAATCCGCTAACTATGACAGCCCCGAGAGAGATCTGAGTAAAACGGCTCGTCTGACATCTTGGATATCCTTCGCATATACGGAAAAGACGGGGGTTTACCTGAGTGTCTACTACCATTCATCCGATGAGTATCCATGGTTGAAACTAGAGGAGGCCGAAAACCGATGAGCAGTCTTTCATGGTGGATGGATCTAGTCTGATATTCAGCTCGAAGTGATGTCTATCTAGAATAAAGTAAGAAATATCAATTATCATGAATTAAATTATTTAGTATGTTGTGGACCACCTCTTGTTTGACCAACTTGAATAGCACTTCTGCTAATGGCCGAAGAAATCGCTCTACCTACGGGCCAGAGAATGACACTATGTTAGACAGACGTTTCCTCCTTGTTCACCATCAACTAGTCAGATCAATGCGTAATTCTCCCCTGGCTTGCTTGTTCGTCAACTTCCCACAATCGCTCAGTCCTAATTGGTAAGCATTCAATTAACGCGCACTCCCATGCACCATGCTTCAGCTCACAAAGATTTATATCCTAGTATTTGAACAGCACACACCGTCTATCTAGTCCTTGCATGATACAGGTTACATACATGTGTCGAATGGAAAGAGTGTGATGAGTCTGCAAGACAGACAACAATTTTAATCTGCATTGGCCCGACGTAAGGTCAAAGTAGCAGCGAAGCCTGTCAGACCGCATGTTACCTCTTTCGTGAAATGATTGACAGACCTACATATGTACAAATGTATCTATATTTGTAGTGCCAAGTTCCTCTCCTGGATACCCCGCGGGGCTGCCTAACTGGTAATATCGGGCCATTGCTCTCCCGTCTCTCTCTCCCAGATTCATCTATCTGAGATCCAAACCCAACCTGACAATGACTGTCAATCCTCCCACCTCAGTAAAAACCAGAGGCAATGGCGACTCTGAGGTCTCGACACCACTATTCAAGTGCTTCGTCTTCCAGAACATCGCCGAGCAGGCTTGGTGGGAGAAGACTGGGCCACTATTGGCTAAAGTCCTTCAATCCGCCCAATATAGCGTTCAAGATCAGTATCTTTATATGACGCTGTATAGGACTGTCCTGTTGCCTCGGCTCGGCCCGCACCCGCATACGTGGGACTCTTTTATCACATATTCTGGAGTGCCAGTGGAATTCAGCATTAATTTCCAGCAGCATGGTCCTCCAACAGCTCGGATCGGATGGGAGCCCGTGAGCCAGAAGTCTGGCTCTCCAGCGGACCCGATCAATCATGACACTGTCAGCCAGGCAATTGCCACAATGTCCCAACTCAATCTCAATGGATTTGACACTAAGTTCCTCCATCATATGATGAGGTGTCTCACTGCCACCGGCGAAGAAGCTGCCGACGTTGGTCGCGATCAATTGTATCTTACCAGGATGAAGAACCAAGTGTCCTTTGGACTTGACCTCAAGGCTGGAGAGGTCTCTGTAAAGTGCTACTTGTATCCGGCCCTAAAGTCGCACTTGACCGGCAGCTCTTTCAGACAATTGTTAAACGATGCGGTGCATTCTCTCGGCGATGAGGTCTCTTACCCTGCTTTAGATACTATCCACGAATATCTGGAGAGTGGAGGGATGTACAACCAATATTCCTTCATTGGCATTGATTGCACCACCGCTTCCAAGTCTCGTCTCAAAGTATATAACACGATTCAGGACGTGACATGGTCTAAGCTACGAGACATATGGACCCTAGGCGGTCGCTTTGAATCCCATGCCACCACGCAGCGAGGGTTGCAGTTCGTCCAAGAATTCTGGAAGCTTCTCACTTCTGATCAGGTATGTGGTCCAAATTTCCCCCTTTAGAATACTCAGCAACAAATATTGACTCTGTAAATCTAGGACAAAATGGCTGTTGGCATCTGGAGCTACGAACTGGCGCCCGGGTCCACCGACTTCCCCAACCCCAAGTATTATTTCATCATGCACGGCATGAATGACATGGAAAATGCTCAGGCTATTAGCAAGTTTTATGATTCCATTGGATGGCATGACTTGGCCGCAAACTTCGTTGATTCGGTCAAAGGATACTTGTACGATTTCCCTTCTGATTCCATACCTCCTTATTAACCATACTAACCGATTATAAACAGCCCGAACTTTGAATCCGGGGAGACATCAAACTTGATACAATATGTTTCAATGGCCTATTCGGAGAAGACTGGTGTGTATCTGAGTGTTTATTACCACAGTTCCCTGTAAACAGTCACTTCCAAACATGGCATATCTGTTCAGGTTCCTAGGTTGTTTATCATTGAAACTACTTTCTCTTTGCCTTCCCATAAGTTCGGCATGATAAATGGATTGTATAGAAAATCTATTAAAATGGTATAGATGAAACTACCCGACAGGTGAAGTTAGAAATATAGTACAGAGATATTGATATTTTAAAAGTACCAGAAAATGAACTGTAAACGTGTCTAATCTCCAGTAATACGAGTCCATATTTATAGACTTGTCTTCCACTACTATAGCTAGAATCCCTCGATTCATAGATATAGAAGGACAACAAGACCAGATTTTACTGATATATATTCCCATAGGGATGCGAGCGCTCAACAGCCTCCATGTGATTATTCAGCTAGTCTCTAGGTACTCGTGGAACATCTGTGCAGTCCATGATCGCACGCGGTCTATATAGCTATAGTACCGCCTCAGATAAGCCTGCATCCAATCTAATCGACACATGCCTTCTTCATCCCATCGCTCCGAGTTTACTCCCAATCGAGTTAAGAATAAATCGTCAGGATCCAAGCGTCCTTTGAGGGCCAGAAGCCGATCATAGTGGGATCCCCAGAATACCTGCGAAGGGTTGCTTTCGTACGCGAACGGTATGCCCAAGTAGCCTCCCATAGCCCCCTTCTCAAGGGATTGGAGCGCCGGCAACTGCGTCGTCGCTAGCTCACGCTGGATACTATCATAGGCGACCCAATCTGGAGCTGAGGGTAGACTGCGACCCAGAGTTAGGGACATCGATGCAGATCTCCAGGATGGATGAATTGCGCTGTCTGTTATGCCTTTGCGCTCAACAGCGGGCCCGCCGACCATTCCCTCTAGACTTATCACATCTCCGGGCCCGTAACTGAGCTGGGCGAGCGTTTGGCTAATTTGAGAAGGCCCCTGGATTGATGTCATCAAATCTCGCGAAACAAGTCGCGATGCAGTCATCATCCCCAACCCAGCCTGATCCAAGCCTTTGGAAAGCGCAAGATACGTAGACAATCCATCAAAGGCCTCGTCAGAAGACTCCACCGACAACCCACGCTCCTCAATGCGTCTGCGCAGCTTATCAATAGAATCCCGGCTACCCGTGTGGGTATCATTGAGGAGATAGGACTCTATAGTGAGGAATGACTGGTTTCCAGGCAGGACCGGCATCGTAAAAGCCAGGACAGCGTCGCCGCGATCCACCAGGGCAGGGATTGTCTGGAGCAGATCCGTAATGGTATCCCAGAATGCAGAATTGGGTCCATGAGGACTGAAGATATTCAGCTTCGATACAACAGCGGGCACATCGGGGTAGGTGCGGAACGTGACGTGCACGATGACACCAAATGTGCCTCCGCCACCTCCACGAAGGGCCCAGAAGAGATCCTGGTTTTGGTACTGGTTTGCAGTGACATAGACACCCTATAATGCCGCACCTGTCAGAAGTAATTACACCGATTTAAAGCCGCCATACGGGGTGTGGGGAGGACCGACTGGCCACTTACCTGTGCCGTGACAACGCCAATCTCCAACACATTGTCGACCCCCAAGCCTCGCGATGGGGTCAAAATGCCATACCCGCCGCCTTGCATCCAACCACCGGCAATACCGACCGTACTACAGCTTCCTCCCACTACTGTATACCCAGACTCTGCGGCTGCGGAGTAGAGCTCTCCCGTGAGTACCCCAGCCCCCACTGTCACCGCAGGACCCTCTGATGGAACCGATTTACCGGGTGGAGCCCGAGGGATAAATGATTCCACATGATGGATACCCTTGAGACCGGCGGTATGAAGCTGTAGGGAGTTTGGGGCCGATGAACGTCCTGCCAGATCGTGACCAGTGTTGCGAATGGCGAGTCTCAGCCGATGAGAGGCGGCAAATTGAACAACCTCCTTTACTGCTGCCACAGACCGTACATAAGCCGAGTAGTGTGCCACACGACCCTGGTCACATCGACCAACTTCCGGCGGGTCAATAACGTGGCAACTTTCCTTTAGTGGGCGCGAATGTTCCCAGGTGTGTACCTGTAATGCGGCTGTCAAAAGGCGAACGGTTAGTATAGTCAACAGTTGCTTCAAGGAATCTAGGGGATCGGATTAGATTTACCCGGATTTTCAACGCGCCATGTGGTGTTGTGGAAGTGTTGAATCAGCTCACTGCAAGGGCCATTGGAGTATTGTGCTTCATGGCACACAGCTCCAACTGGCCGCAACTGTACCAGATTACCACCGATAGTGCTATTGAGCGCACCCCAAGCCGCCGGTGAGGGCCAGCAATCATCATGTGGGCCACACCGACATCGCGACTCAAGGCTATCAGACAAATAAGGCCTCAGCCCGAGGGCCAGGATCGCAATAATACCACCCAGCCAGAAAGCCATGAAGAGCGATCCAAGATAAAGTGGACCACCATGGGTCAAAGTTTTGGAGTTATAATAACCATGAATGGTCCCAACAATGACGGAAGAGCCAGAGAGGTGCTCAGGTCCAATCTCGAGCTTCAAGAATATGCGTGCCACGTCTTCGCCCCCACATTTCCCATTATGGAACTGGTGAAGATTGACGAGAGCTGAAAAGGCAAGGGATAGGGGGGTGGAGACGCAAGTATCGCCGCACGGTGTCAAGGTAGACGCAAGGGACATAATCCATGGGAATTTTAGACGTGACAGGTGGCCATCCCTCGATTCTTATCGAGTTACGATACGGTTCATTCTAATTGTGGAACTCCAAATTGACCTACCATTTGATTCCGAATCTACGGAGTAATTGAGACGTGTATTGGCAAGAATCATTTTAGATTTTCAGTGCTGTTATTGCCACGGCTGATGAAATAGGTAGGGCTTGGTCCTGCGGATCGGGCCGTGTAATATATCTATCCATGCCCAGGTGGATGTATACTTACTTAGCAGCTTGAATTAAGGCATCGCCCTCCTCGATGCCTGTATCTTTAGATGATTGTGTGGAAAAGAGAACCAAAGGCATATATATTCATGAACGACTTTGACCGGACAAATTTGACTCAATATAGAGTAAATGGTAGACTACGTGTGCTGTGGAAAGACTTCTGTGAACCATTCCTCGCATGTCATAAGGGATTTTCGACCTCCAGAGAGCTTTTTGGCCTCTGTGGCTGTTCTCTTCAGTTCAGCTGCAGTTTGAGATTCGGTGACTCCACACCCAAATATCTCACCCTCCCGGATTTGATAAAACGAAAATACATCTTTCGACTCCTTCAACTCGGGCTTCTCGAAAGCTGGGAACGTTGCCGGGTCTTTGTATCCGATGAATCGTGCTGGCTGCTTCCTGACTGTGATTGCAATGTTAACGGCCCACCGGCGCCAGGAGGGATGGGACGAGAGAATCTGGCATACCTCGGACGAAGGTCTCTACTACGTCTGCAAATGACACGATATCGCCAACGGCTTGGACAGTGCGACGATTCCAACGAGCTGGGTTCAAGAAAATTCCATGAACTAAGTCGCCAAAATCTTCCTCAATGCAGATCCAAGGTACTCTCTCACCACCGCCAATCAGCGGACTGCGTAACGTGAATAATCCATCAGAATCCATCTGCATCGGGAATCCGCCGAACCCTTGGTAGAAGGATGGCATGAGGAAGTCCTCCAAGTACCAAGAACACATGATTGGTGTAAAGGCTTTGAAGGCTGGATTAGCTCGCCCCCAGGACTCGCCCCATGCTTTAACTGTGGTGAATTGGTCAGCATATCCGAAAACTAAAGCTCTTCATCCAATCAATGGGAGCCTAGGGGAGCTGATGTATACCATCCAAGATAGGTGTACGGATTTGGCCATTTGTGAGCTCTCCGGCAGATGGCTGGGAGCTGAAAACAACGTTCGGGATCCCAGTGGCAGCGGAGCTCTGTAAAATGCGGTTCCCAAAGTCCAGTTCATACCGGCCCTCTCTCACATCATCCTAGTGCTAGTCAATCAGGGCTATTCTTACCCAGGTAGAAGCTCATGGGACTAAGGTTAAGCTACCGTGTTTGAATAGCCATTGTTGATGAATATACCCCAGCTGCCAGCGATGGCATCGCGAGTTGAATCGTCATCAAAGCCGTCTGTCTGCACAACGTCTGCCCCCATCGTACGAAGCTCGTTTGCCTTTTTTGATGACCCATCTCGGGTGAGGCATCGCACACGAAACTCGGGGTTTTGGAGAAGGGATCTAGCAACCGAACCTCCCTGTTTACCTACCCAATTGTGTTAAGAACAGCCCGGCAATATTTCCTAGAGCATCCAAGGAAATTAAACAGAATATGGGATATGGTGTGACTTACCCGTAGCTCCAACAACGGTGATTGTCTTGCGTTCGCTAAAAACTGTCATGGCTTTGTATAGAGAAGGGACGAGAAGCTACTATTTGCCTGGCTGCTTAGACTCTAGATAAAGCGAGATGTATTGAACGTCGGTTATTTAGTGGAATAAAAACGGCCTTACTCATCTGAGCGGTACTACCCAGGTAGGTATGGATACGCACACCGTGTCTTGGTCATGTCAGCGGTAATCTATCGATTATGGGAAATCATGTTGGTCGGGGCATTGAAGATAGTACAGAGACGGGAGGGAGAGCGGGGCATAGGTGCGGTGCCCAATGGTCCCGCAAGGGGCCGATCGTTGGCATATCACTTCTTCAACCCATTTATATGGACTTATTTCACCGCATTTACTGTCGAGCGGCGTGCAGGGTGTGACTTGCCAGGTTTGGTTTGGCGTAGCTGGTGGGATCCTGTGTGCAGAGAACAACAGTTCTACCTACCTACTACATATACGCATGTCTACTTCCCCAAGGATCAGCTCCGAGAATATTGAGCTTCTGCGTCGGAATGTGCTGCATATGCCAGAATATTCAAACTGATAAGGAAATCCGATCTTGATACGCGAATCTAGCTCGCGGAGAGACTTGCCTTAGAAGAGACCAAAAGTGCGCTATATAATATTTCTAACATCAAAGGTCTACTATAACACACAATGAAGTGCCCCGAAAATTAGATGTCCCAAGGTCCAGTGCCGGTGCACCGTTCCCAGTTGGGATGAGCAAAAAGACCAAGTCCTAGTTACTGAATTCAACATCTCGACATGGTACAAGTGCCGTGCTAGTCGGCAGATGGATGGTGAAGCTATTTATCCTAATTCTTCATGCTGATGGCGTGCGCTGCTTGATTGACATGCCTCGTAGCTCCATAGATGGGTAACTGGTGGCTTCGTCACACTTCCGGATGTCGAAGTTGATCAGGAAGTGGGCCATGATAATTCGTAGAAGATCCGCAGCTAACTGCTTCCCAGGGCTAGGACAAATCAGCATGAGAACGAGCAACCGTTGGAGGCAAAGGTTGGGTTAGAACTCACCAAGCATGTTTTCCGTCACCAAACTGACGTGTTTTAGGACTGGAGCCAGCAATTTTATAGTTATTCGGTTTGCCTGACTCATGTCCGAGCTTGTGAAATCGCAATGCATCAAACTCTTCCGGTTGATCGTAATGGCGGTCATCCAAATGTAGCTGTGTATTTGGAGCGAAGACAAAAGTTCCCTTCGGTAGTTTTACGCCGTTCTTAAATGTGTAGTCTTTCTTGATGACTCGATGCACTGCGGCTGTGGGAGGGGTTCAGGTAATTGTGCTTTCTAGTAGGAAGTGAAGCAACTTACCTGGACCCACAGGTTGTAGGCGCATGGTTTCCTTAATGAAACTGTCCAGCTTTGTCATTGCCTCAATGGATTCCCTGCCGACGCCTCCATGTTCGCTAATGGCTTGTTCGACTTCGCTGCGAAGAATATCGATGTACTCTGGCCGTTGAGTGAGCTCGTAGAAGGTCTTTGTTAGCACCTGTGTTGCCATCAGCATCTCCAAACTTAGACACATGCGGGGATGTCCGTACCGAACCGGCGGTATGCACTGCGCCGAAGATGGAGGACACTAGCAATCCAGCAACGTCAAATTCGGTATACTCGCCGGGTGTTTCGCGCTGCGTCCACCGCCATACCCATTGCGCAAGCGTCTGTAAGCAATGTTAGGTTCATTATCGCATTGCAAGAAGGGCGGATTGCAAACACAGACCAGCTGGTCGTCTTTGGCATCGGCATTGCGCTTCATGTCCTCGACTATGAGAGTGCTCAGTTCAACTTGCATGCGAGAAGCGGCAAAACGGGGACCCAGCAAGCTACGCGAAGGGTTAGCCAAATCAGATCTGAAGGACGAGGCCGGGGCAGATTAAGTACGGTCTTAATACGCGCGGCAGCCACGCAATTTGATACCCACTCACCGGGACGGCCGAGCCGTATCTCATGAACAACGAGATGGCTTCTGGGTCCCGACAGAGTGGGTGACCGACCAACACTCGGCCAATCATGCGGAGCATCAATGCTAGTGCGACTGAGAGGCAGTTGAACTCCGTCCATTCTGACCCCAGATGTCAATGTTAGCTGACGGCTACGACTCTTCGCGGGACAAGGACGCAATTTACCACCTGGAGAAACGTTGAGTTCGGCCTTCAACCCAAATTCTTGCTCTTTCACGAGCTCCTGGAAGTATGTGGAATCTTTCCCCGTTGTGCGGTTTCTGGACCAAACGACGGCCTTCGAGAGGGCCGCCACGGGAACATGTTTGAGCGAATCTGCGACACCTGGGCAAGTGTACATGGTCTGAAAGAGCTGTGGACACCGTTTGTCAGGATGCTTCTTTGGGGCCATACCGATGTCAAGGAGAACTCACATCTTCACTGACGGCGTCCAGGGATGCATACTCATCGGAAAGGACTTGGTATTCACGGACCATGTCATCGTTGCATACACACACCTCCCATCTGTCCCGTGTCCGTACCTGGAACGCATAATCGCCATGCTGAAGTAATGTCAGCTTTTTCCATAAATAGCGTGTTTATTCCGTGTTACCAACTAACCTTGACATATCCCTCCTGAAGAAGTTGATCACTATTTGCGGGCCACTTTAGCCCAGACCATCTAGACGCCAGAAAACCCTTAGGGCCAACGGCGGGTAGATCGATCTAGTTGAGCATAGTTTAGCCATTGTTGTGGTATCGACGAAGCAGCTTCGGATACATACCCATGAGCGATAATATCGAACCCAGCGAAAAAGCGCCCAGACAGCAAGAAAGCCACCAAGAGCCTTGATTTCAGGAAACCTTCCCAAGTGATGGTAAATGAGAGTTATAATACCTGGGCTGTTCATACTGGCGTGGACATCTAAAGAAAGAAGGTTCTCCAGTCCAAAGTCGGAAAAGGGGGTTTAGAGATTTGAATCAGTTACCATATATTTATTATGATATGTATGGAGCACGTTCATGCATATGCCTCAATACTCTATTGACCGCCTCTGCTACGGAGTAAACATCCCTTCATTCGTGTCACGCCTCTCCTCGCTGACATACCCTTTCCAGCTTGGTGGCGCTCTGAATGGGCCTGAAATGATACCCGAAGACGCCAGGGACTAAGAGGAATGTCCCCAAACCCAAATTGTATGTGCTTGATTCTCCTTACATATTAAACAGTGTGGACATGCACCTCCTGGGACGGCTGAGCCATGCCTTAGAATCAATATTCCGACACAGTGGCCCACGAACACCTAGCGCATGCAGACACCAGTGCTACGAGGAGGCAGTTAAAATCGCACCTACAGGTCTTGTGTCCTGATCGCAGATCATAGATGCATAGCTTAATGCCACAGAAATAACCCGTTATTGCCTAGCTCCCTCGTTTTCTTAGAGATATATATATGTAGTATAAATTTGACAAAACGCCCTATCAGTACGGACTACAGCGGGTGGAATGGACCTGGCCCAATTACAAACACTACCCACCCTTGAATACTCTCAATCTTAAATTGACCGTACTAAAGAACACTTCCATCAATATATGCAGGTGTATATCAACACTAATGAAAGACAATATTCCAAGAAACAATCTACATACTATTCAAAATATCGTATTCATCCTTATATACAAGGTTTCTCGAACTATTAGGATTCGCATTGTCATGATATCCTTTTAAGCGTAAAGATATCAATGTTCAGCAAAAAGAACTACCGCCGAGGAATCCTTTCTATTGGCCTCTAGTTGAAATCCCTGAAAAGCCTACAGCAGTGGTGAATCTAAAGCGAAAGTAGATCGGCTAGGTAGTTTTAAGACAATTTTGTGAGTATGAAAGAGGCAACTCGTCGTCTATTGTTCAACTCGTCGTCTATTGTTCAACTCGTCGTCTATTGTTCAAAACGTAAAGAATGAGAGATATTTGCTGGAGACCATTCCATTATATAGGGATCTACTACGACACATATTTTGCCTCGACACGAGGTAGCAAAATTTCACATGGTAGACACAGTCGACATGCGCTGCCCTCCGTCGCTGGCATGAGTTGAGTGTGTGGACTGCCGAGCGGATCTCTGAGGCATCACATATTCTGAGTTTTGAGGACATGTGCCTTTTTAAACCAGCTTTGAAATGTAGTGAGGCTTCCCTCCTGACCCCGAGCCGACATTGCTGATTCTTTCAAGACTTCCGCGGTCGACATGTCGCTCTCGTGCTCTGCAAACCACCGACCACCACAATAATTCATGTACCAGAACATCTGGCGAGTTTCGATTCGGCACCTTGTACCATTGAGCTTAATACTGGACCAGGATGGCATTTCCTCGTATCGAGCAGGAATTCCAGTGGCTGTAAGTCACGGTGGTCAGTCACATGAAATGACTCGCCGTGTATGAACGCGATAGGAGAAGGAGAGGAGGCGACGCACCTTGTGTGTATGATGCTGCCACGTCAGGCATTGCAATCTGTTGGCTCGTTGCTTGAACCAGCACCTGGTGATATTTGGACGGGTTCAAGAAGATGCCATGCACGATGTCCCCTAGGTCAACCTCACAACTAACCCACGGCATATCCCCCTTGCCCCCATATGGCGGGGTTCTAAAGACCAACTCTTCTGTTTCTGGGTCAGGAATCCAAGGGAAACCACCGAAGGCATCCACAAATGGATCATAGAAGAAGCATTCCATAAAGGAGGCGCATAGGATGGGAGTGAAGCTGGCAAATGCTTTCTTGCGCCCATATTGCTCAACGTAGTATTTGGCTTCAATGCAGATGAGGATCAGCAAATATAACAATACCCGCAAAGGTTCCGCTCCACCTACTCTCAAATCCTTCGATATGCATTCTACCCTTTGTAGCATTTGTGATGGATGGTCCAGAGCTATAGACCACATGCTGGACGGCTGCTTTCTCCGCGGCATCAATTACCGACACGCCAAGATCATAGTCACTAGGGCCATCTAATGACTTCAACGCCTATTCACGCGCATCTTCAGTAAGTTTATATTTCAGAGCATGGGAAAATTGATGTGGAACCTACCTCGTCGTCGGAATTGGTGTTAATAAACATCCCCCAACTGCCAGCCACGGCATTGGCCATCTCGTTTGAGTTGAGTCCATCCGCCCGAACTATCTCTGCCCCAAGCGATGCAATGGCTCGTGCTTTGTCGGATTGAGGATCTCTCGTGATAACACGAACGTGAAAGATATTATCCTTGTGCGCCAGCAAGGAACGTGCCACACTACTGCCCTGGTTCCCTGTGTTTGTCAGCTAATTGTGATGAATTTTGCTCAGCTTCTGCAAGATTATTACCAGTCCCTCCAAATATCGTAATAACTTTCTTCGCTTGAATAGTCATGCTTGCTAGGTACGATGGGCGTAGGATCGATGTCTTGGCTCAATATCAGATTACTTCAGGTTTTTATGCTTGGGATTAATTTCGTTGTCTCGGGATTTATATATATGTTGCCTCAGAGGCTCAATGAAGTCCTCCATTCCTAACATGGATAAGTTTGTCTGCACGAGAACTAAATTAGACATAGTTCAGACCGACTATTCAATCAACTGACCCCAAATGCCTGATGCGTGAAAGATATCCCTAATTACAATGAAACTCTCCCCGACGCATTGCGCAGTAAGAGGACCTACAACCCCTATTTGTCAATTCCAAACCAGGATGAGCAAGCGAGAAAAAGTGTGACGAGGATGCATGAACAGTTGTGGACCACGATATACCTCCCCTTGCATGGAATATACATATGTACTTCCACCCACTACTCCGTATGGAGTAACGTATTTCACATGCGAGCCGCCCACCCCCAAAACACATAGCAAATGCGATATTTCATAACTTCATATTGTAGCAAGCACATTATTGTTTGTTTCCATGGTCACTCGATAGTTATCAATAAGGCTTTTGAAAGGATTTTGTACATTGATATTGAGAAAATTGAAAAGCTACATTATCGGGGTATTGAAAATTACAACGTTCAAAGCTAAAAATATATATATCGCAACTACCAAGGCATTAATGTTCTCTAAACTCTATAGGGAGGCTAGATATTACCCAAAAAGCATGAATCTATTCAGTAAACTTTATATAGACTGCCATTGCTGAAACATCAAGTGGTAATTTATCGCATTTACTATGTGTTTTGGGGTGGGCGACTCGCTTGTGTGGACGGCTCGCATGTGAAATACGTTAGGCGTGCTTAGACTCGGACTCAATGCACAGAGTAGAGATCAGCGACTAGCAACAACTTCGAGCTTTGGCATGAGAGTTCCCATTCTTCAGCCATCGGGGTTTGTGAGGTTGCGTCCCGGCCGGTCTCCTGATACCACTTCAATCACCCGATAATACGACGGCGGCTCATCTAGGGAATGAGCGGTAACTTGTGGCGAGCTGAGAGTGTTCTAGATTACTTGAAAAGCTAAATTGTGGGTGTACTAAATATGAGCTAATCTTGGGATGATAACTATGTAGTTACATATCCTATGTTCAATCTATGGGGCCCCCCGGCCCCGGGGTTCGTTCTCAAGGGCTGCTAAAGTTGTGCAAATAATGTAAAGATTCTCACGAGCATAGCGTCTAAGGCAGAAAAAATATTTTGGCCTAGAATTGTTTGCATTTCCAAGGCTATTGTTTTGTCATTTTAGTCAGAAATATATAGCCACCTGCAACTTTCTAAGGTTGGAAGCAGGTATTGGAGACGTTGATATGATATGATGATGGGGTAGATATCCACACAGGACACATTTCCATATCTCATCAGTGAGCTGCAGAGCTCTCTCGCTCTGGTCGTTCCTTGAATACAGTCCAAAGAGGGCCAAGCCCCATACTGAACCCATCAGCCCGTTGGTCCCAGTATTGCTGGAGCTGGTCTTTGTTCAATGGCCGTGCCTCAAACTGGCTGAAAAGAGAGTACATTGTCCATCTGATCTGCATAAGAGCAGCGTTTTTACCAACACAGTTGTACGGCCCCATCAGGAAGGGAACGAAAACCTCTGGATGGTGAACTAAGTCGCGACGGCTGTACCAACGTTCTGGAATGAACTCGTCGGGGTGCTTGAAATTCCGCTCATCACGGAAGACGGCGTAGAATGGAACCTTTATATTAACATCGCCGGGAATGAAGGTCTCTCCTATCCGTATACCCTCGGGTGGTGTGATTCGGGGGAATCCTGAGGGCCCGGCGTAGTGAAGTCGAAGTGATTCATTGATGATGCCGTTGAAAAGCGGTAACTTCGTAAGGTCATGTACATCTGATCCATCGTTGTGGGTTTTGACTTGATCAAACTCGTCCTGCAGTCGCTTTTGGTAATCTGGGTAAAGCATAAGATAGTACAAGATTCCCGTCATCGTGATGGCCACCGTGTCGCTATCAACATAAGCGCATTAGAATTCCTACAGAAGATTATCGAGTCCGGGTATTCTAGAGCTTTACTGTACCTTCCAGCAAACACTGATAACGAAGCATCAGCGATCAGGTTCCGCCTAGCTTCTATCGTCTGGGGTGATTTGGCAGAAAAGTCGTCCCAAAGCCAAGCGAAGATGTCTCGCGGTTGATCGGTTCTCTGTATGTGTATGCTTAGCTCATAATCAACGAATTTCAAGATTTTCAAGATTACTGGGCAAGTCACCTTCAGTCTCTTTTCCATTGCTGTCTCAGAGAAATCCAGGAATTGCTGCAATCCTCTATTGAGGATCGGTATACTCCTGAACAGCATGATAAGCCATGACGCGCGAATCATTATTCCCGTTGATACATTCGAGTCATGCAGATACTGCATCATATAATGTGGCTTCTCATTGACAAGCGTGCCGAACGATTCTGCAAACGCAAGTTCACCGATGATCTGCCCGACTGGTGATTAGTAGGGCCTCACCACTCAGAGGATCCTCTTACATCAAACATAAGACACCCAAACCACTTGGTCATATCTACAGGAGTACCTGATACTGCATTGTTTCTGACTTTATCGACTAGCTGGTTCACACATTTTTGCATAGAGGGTTCGTATTCCTTCAGAGCTAAGCAGAACCCCACATGGCCGAGTTAGGGAGTCCAGGTATGGAAAGGTTCAAGTTTGTACCATGCCACTTACCAGCAGGTCGAAACGCGTGGTCCCATACACGTCGGCGACGTTGATGCTCCGCTCTATCTCGCGTCCCAAAGACGGACCGATGCGGCTGCAATATGTCATACCACGGGCTTTTGATACATGACGACTTGGATGAGTGAATGGCAGCGATCGCATCCGGATGCTTGACTGATAATTCCGCTGGGCCTAAACAGGTGACTTGATTTAGCCCATGTTCCCCCCCCCCCCCCCCCCCCACCATATTGGGAGAAGACGAATGAAACTGACTGTGGCACTTACCCACTCGAACGAAGTCCCCATACTGTTCGTGATAGTCCGCGACCATCTCGAAGGCATTCCTGCTCGTGCCAGATTTCCACATAATATATGCGGTCGATAAGCGGGACCCAAGGGGCCCTGGAAATCGCCGCAGCCGATGAAATTGCCATCGGTATACCAGAATGCTCATACAGAGGCTTCCGGTGACCCTCAGGATACGCAGGCTTATTGTCGATAGCCCAGCCCAGAAAACATCGATTCTATTATGAAACAATAGCGCTCCAATAGCCATAAGCGGCACACAAACACCAACCAAATTGACAATTATGGGTGGCAGGGCAAAATCCCACTCCCCATGTCGAAGGACTAGAAGATGAAGGGATATCCCGGCGGCGATATCCAGCAAGATGTGTGAAAAGGATTTGACAGTGGCCGCCATGGTTATGGCTGGAATATGATGGGTACAGGTGTTCTCAGTAACAAAGCAGGGCCTATGCGGTCACAGGTGTATGACAGCTCGAACCGCGCTGTGACGTAGAACTTTGGCTGAGTTGAGGCAAACCAGTCAGTTACGGAGTTGGGCACAAGACAATTCTAGACCACATACGTTGAAGGATGTGAGTACCCCGAGGACCACTCGTCTCTGGGCTATGTTCTAAAGATCAGAACCCCTAAATCGCGATGGGTACTCGAAAATTCGTCCCTACTAAGGCAAAATAGACGGTGTGAAAACTAGCTCGTGAAGGCAAGGACACAATCAATCCTTTGTCCCGATTCTAGAATGCTGATCCACTTCAGCCAGCCATGACACTTCTTTGTTCACGCAAGGGGTACCCAAGTTGTACTTTTAGAGTAGTCCCGCAGATGTGTGATGTTGTTCTGAAGAAGAAACCAAACTATTATTATATGTGTTAGAATATTACACGTCAGCTGTGGAGCACACTGGATATTTGAACTTTACAAGACCAATTCAAGTTCGAAGAATGTCTTTGTATACCCCTTACAGGTAGCATTTTAATGCTTTGTCAGTGCAAAGATAACAGACTAACAATGTGATGTTACCCTATCCTATTTCTCGAGGTATGGTCCCTGGTTTTTAGTTGATAAGGATTGGTATATTGGGTATTGATTTAGTTTGTTCTTTGAGCTTTATCCGTTTATTCAGTTGCTTTTTGATCACCCTCAAGGTGGCTTAGGCTTAAGTGGCTGTGCAATTCATGATGGTTGACGGATCTACTGTTACGCCGGTAGAGGGGACGAAGCGGAACCTCTTGTTACTTGCTCACTGGCACGAGTTTCTATCTGGTCTGCTTATCATTTACGTTGTTTCACTTCTGTGGAAGGTATTCGACCGTCTTTACCTTCATCCACTTGCCTCCGTGCCTGGCCCGAGACTCGCCTCTATCACCTCGCTCTATGGGTTTTATTACAATTACATTCAAGATGGCACATACAGTAAAAGATTTGCCGAGATGCATAAAGAATATGGTAAAAGAACCACTTCGCTTCGCTGTGATTGTCCCAATTCGCGACATAACCTCTGACACAGATCACATAGACTCACCCGTAATTCGCGTTGCGCCCAACCAAGTGCATGTGAATGATGTGAAATTTTATGAGACGTACGAGCCATTCCCACCAGCATGAAGAGAGAGATATTAATGATTGCACAATAGCGTGTTTCGTACAGGAGCTCCATATTACAAGGAACCCGAATTCTATTCATCGCTGGGAGCTGATGGAGCATTGGCTTCTCTGACCGATCCAGCGGTGCACAGAAAGCATCGTAGCTATCTGAGCTCACTATTCTCCACACAAACCACGATGGATTTGAAGCCTCGACTTCTAGAGACATTGAATAAAGCAGCTAGTCATCTTCAAAAGGCAGCCGCCAAAGACAAACCAGTGGATATACAAAAGATTTACAGCGAGCTTATCGTAAGGGCCTGGTACCTGAAGTCAATACCAATTTCCATCGATGCTAACTTGATACTGAAGGGAGATGTCGTATGCGAGCTAATGTTCGCGGATACCTACAATTTCATCGACTCTGGCGACGAGGGCCACCCTCTTCTCAATGAGGTCGACAACCTGGGGTCTATTACCTGGCTGAGTATGTCAATTTGTGGCTCCATCAACCTTACCTATATCCCTCGCTCCAACCATGAATCTTCCGTCTAACTTCAGGCAGTGATGGAGTTTCCCGGCTTGAAGACCGTCATGAAAGCCCTCCCATCGTCTATAGGTAACAGGCTAAGTCCGGAGATTATCAAGTTTAGACAGGTATGTTCAAATATAGAAAATTATATCTCCGTTGGATATTGCTCATATCAGCGAGGAAGTTCTGTACCGACCACTTGGCAGAGGCACAACACAGAAAGCTATCCGGCAATGTCCCGGCCAGGAAGTCATATTTTGATCTTTACCTGGAAATTGACAGTCGCAAAGACTCTCTACCAAACGTGGCGGAGGTGTTCGATGGCGCCTTTAACTTCATGACTGCAGGCATTCACACAACTGCTTATACTCTATCTTGGGCGACTTTCAACATCATAAACTCACCATCCGTATTGGCCAAGGTCCAATCAGAGCTGGATGAAGCCAAGGAGGCGATCCGTGATGACTTTGATCCAAAGCTGATTCAAAATCTGCCTTATCTTGTATGAAACTATCCAGCAGTCTGTTCCGCTATTGTTAGACAACGTCACTTATGTTTCGTCTAGGGAGCCGTCATCCGAGAAACAATGAGGGTAGCAGACCCGGTGCCTGGATATCTGCCTCGCGTAGTCCCGAAAGAGGGTGTCCAGGTTGGATCATTCTTTCTACCCGGAGGTGTAAGTCTACAATAAGCCCAGTATGACTACTGTGGTCCCAGTTGATTCAGGCTCGGAAACTTTTTACTGACAATTAATCGTACAGACCAGCGTTTCCACCTCCCACCCTGTTGTCCATATGGATCCAACCATCTTTCCCGAGCCAGACAAGTTCGATCCTGATCGTTGGATACGTGGTGGAGAGGAACTCGAAAGATACAGTGTTCCTTTTGGGAAAGGCTCGCGTCGCTGTATTGGAATGAGGTACGTTGACAGGTTTTCTGGGTACCTTTAACTCTCGGGAGAGCACTACTGATGGTTGGATACAAAGCGTCGCTTACATGGAGTTATACGCGGTTCTGGCCTATATATTTAGCCATTTCGAGCTTGAACTGGCGGACGATGAGTCACGAAATGGGATACAATGGGCCGACCGCATTGTTGCCCGTGCTACGTCGGATTTGAAGATCAAGGTTTCGAAGGATCTTTGGAATGATTAGTATAGTGTGCATCCACATATGGTGGGAATTTTGAACAAAAAGTGCACATCCTCTGAGAGGCATAAAGGTAGGAATACTGGCAGTTCATCATGAGATACATCCCATCACAGGACAAATCTCAAGACAATCGAAAGAATCAACTATTTGTGCTGTAAATGAGACCTAGTTATTGGATGAAGATGGACTTGTCCCGATGCTTGTTCCTAGGTTTGAAAAGTTATGCTACAGCATTAGTTAATTGTACGGCTCCTGAGGTGCATTACGGTACCTACATCGTAAAGGTAATCCTAGGATTTCCTTAAATAAAAATAAAATGTAACTTGTGTATAATGTAACAGCAGTATCTTTCATCTCCATGATATGCAGCTTATCCTATCCGATTCCCCCCTGATACGTCAACTATGTCAACCAGCGTTCAGCACCAACCAATCCGGTTTATTAAAATTTCGCTACATCATGTACGAGGTACGTATCTATATACCCAAGAAGCATCCTTGCACCGTAATGGTCAGTACGCACTATTATCGTGTTATAGTCTGACCATGTACGTTGAGCGAGAGGACGCAAAGTCAAAAGCCACATACCACGTACTCCATGGCCATTCCATTCTGGAAAGAAGAGTGGCGGTGAGGAATGCAGAATACTACGGGGGTCAGTAGTTACGATAGGTTGTACAGATGCTGCAGACGAGCGGAGTTTTGGCATGGCTGGACAACAGAACTACCAACCATGACCTCAATTCCCGGGGCTGAACTCTCTGGCATGCACCTGGCCACAACCGGTGAATTAGATTTAGCTGGTCCAATCGACCAAATAACAAGCCTAAAGTCAAGAAATCCCCAACGCATTCACCTCTGCAAATCATCACAGTGCACTAGAGTGAAAGTGTGAACCATTACGATGACTGTCACTCATTCCGGCCCAAATAGCATCGCGCCGCCCAATTCATCCGGTATTAAAGTCATTATTGTGGGATTGGGTCTTGCTGGTCTCACTGCTGCCATTGAATGCCATCGCAAAGGTCACAGTGTGATTGGATTGGAGAAAACTCCCAAACCAACGCACTTAGGTATAATATCTTTGCTTCCAGTACAATGCAGGGACATGAATCTGACAGCAACACAGGCGATATTTTCAGCATCTCTAGTAATGGGGCTATCGTCGTTCAGAAATGGGACAATGGTTCCGTTGTTAGGTACCTGGACTCCGTCCGTTGTGACGTTGCTAGTATCACTGTCTGGGATGAAGCGGCCAACATCAAGCTTCGTAAAGACATGAACGGGTATAAAGAGGGCGAAGGGCTGGTACTCAACCGCTCAACCACAGTATGCACCCTGTACGAGTATGGAAAAAGTCTAGGTATCGATCTTCGATTTGGAATATCGGTGTCTGAATACTGGGAAGACGACGACCAGGCGGGCGTCATCGCAGATGGTGAGCGGTTGTCCGCAGACTGTGTAATTGCTAGCGACGGTATTCATAGCAAAGCACGACCGTTCATCACCGGAGAGGACAAGCCCCTCAGCAGGAGTGGTGCTGCCACATATCGCGCGGGCTACCCGGCCGAGGTTTTGGATAGTCACCCGGATGCCCAGTGGATTCTAGAAGGCACAGAGGAGGCTGATCAGTTGAATCACTTTATTGGCAAAGATATTGCGGTTATCATGGGCACTGGAAGACATGGTAAAGACGTGTACTGGGGGTGCTTACATCGTGTACGTACTTTCGCCCCATATACCGTTGGAATCATGCTAACCACTCAATTCTCCTCTCCAGAGCTCCGACGGTGTATCCAAATCGTGGCTCCAACCATCTGACGTGACAAAGGCACTGGCGTTGATTAAAGATTGGCCCGCAAAGGACAAAGTCGGGGCAGTGATTCAATGCACGCCGAACAAAACGTGCTATGATCACCTAGTCATGGCGGTCGATCCCCTGTCTCGATGGGTGTCAGAAAAAGGTCGAATGATTCTTATCGGAGACGCTGCACATGCCTTTATTCCCACCTCGGGCCAAGGCGCAAGTCAAAGTATTGAGGACGGTGCTGTGATCGCAATTTGTTTAGAACTCGCTGGAAAGAAGCAGGTTCCACTTGCTCTTTCGGCCATGGAAAAGCTAAGGTGAGCGAATATTGGCCTCCATTTCTTCCGTGGCGCTTGCAGAATATTTCACTAACAGCAGTACCTAGATATCAACGCATCTCCTTGATTGGCGATGGAAGTGCGAAAATGTTGGAGTCTCTTCACATGGCAAATTGGGATGCCAAACAGCAGGACAAACTACCCACGTTGATAGCTCGCGCGATGTGGATCTTTGATCATGACTGCCAGAAGTCTACATATGAGGAGTTTGAGAAGGCAGCCGAGGCTGTTGTCGCTGGTACCGCGTATGTGCCGGCCAATATTCCAAATGATGGGCGACACGGGATCGTGGAGGAGGAAGGCAAGTCTACAGTGAAGGTAGCATCCGTAACAACCGCCTCTATTCCTGCAGAGTAGAGATACCTTGGCCATGTTGAAACTGTTAAGGATAATATGAGATGATGCCTTAGGCATGTGGCCTGGATTTGGGCTGTTGCCCCTACCTCTCTTTCTTTTTATCTTTTCGCGGAATCTCTTAATCAGTCCAATAAATGAGATACCACCCTCAAACACTCGTTCCTATAATCTCTCAATTACGCAGGGTTGGGGCCCAAAATCCAAGGAATTTGTAGCAATCACACAGTCTGTCTCTAAAGTTAACTACAAATCAGCTAATTATAGAACCTGAATCGACGTCCTCATTAGCCTTTGAAAATTTCTTTCAGTAAGTTGTGCGCCATATAAAATGGCGGAGAATTTGGATATTGAATAGAAGGCCCTGGATGAGATTATGTTGAATTGAGCAATTTGAGACAAAACTCCATTCCGCATCCTTGACATTAGACATCCGCAAAGCCCACAAAGTCCAAAGCCCAACCAGCCCCAACCCACTAATGGGCTGGGTTTTGGGCCCGGTCCTTAGGCCCACCGGTGGGCTATGGGCCCGGGGTGAAAGCTCACTGGGCTTTGAATGGGGGCCCACTAAACAATATAAACATTCCGAAAAATGTGACCTTTTAAATTACCCTGTGGTTAGACTCCGTTTCTAGTCCTTATATTAGGGTAATATTTTATCAATTCAATTGATACGTAATTGAGTATTAGTTAATTTTATACATCACATTTAAATGCGCGAGAAAATGCGGTATTAAGATAAGTTTTAAATTACAGAGGGTCACCCAGAAAGTGATACGGAGTACTCCCGTGTGGTTCCTAAATATATATATCCAACATTACAACATCAATATTATTTCCGCGATATCTCGACCTGCACTAGTCGGATTTTGTTTAAAATTAAAATATATACTTATGTAGGTATTACAACTCTATAATACGTGGAAGGTCAGAATACAGCGATTACAAGAAGCTAGTTGAGCCCCCTGAATGAGGTATAATGGGGGTTTGTGGGCCTCATGAATGGGCTGTGGGTTGAGCTGGGCTTCGGAGGTTGAGCCCATAGCTCACTGTTGGTTGGGCTTTGCGGATCACGCGGATCACAACTTGTGATCCGCATATCTGCAAGCTCTCTGCGATCGAGAAAACATATTATTCAGTAAAATATCCAAAACTCCAAAAAGTATCCGATAATCACTTGCTAAACTCCTGTGGATAACGTCGATCAGTTTTATGATACTACTCACCGCTGCTTAGAACTCTTGCGTCACCACGAATGGATATAGGAGAAGGTCAACAATGGAATGTGATAGATTTGCACTAATATGTACGAAGGAAGGTATGAACACATTCCTACAGGTAGATATACACCTGGGGCGGGCATATGATCCGGCTTACCAATGCAAACACGACATACCTAACTATCCATGGATGTCCTCCATGCTGGTTAGTTGACAGCATTATGGAAACGAATAGTATTCACTGAAAGTTAGATATCCACGACATTTTCTCTGAAGATGTGTCGCATAGACTTTTCTACCTGCATATGCATAGTGTGTACGGAGTGCGGAGTATAAACTTGTGGCTCCTCCACTTCGCATTATATCGGGAGGAGCTTCCCCCTTACTTATCACAACACAGACAACGTCTTCCATAGATACTTGCTAAGTAATGCCGGCTGAAGCATGGAGTATGGAAAGGGATATGAACCCTGATTGACACTAATGTCTCACCCACTACTCAGTGTATAGTTATACGGTGCACAGTGGTCGCATCCCCAAGGTCCCAGGAGTTGTGCATGTCATCTAATTCATTTGTGCATATAAATGCGCCCTTTTTTCGAGTGCAAACTATCACAAGCGGTGTAGAACGGCTGGGTAGATACGGGTGCTCACGACTATGAGCCCGTTGCTATATTTTCCAACATCGCAAACCTAGGACTCACAAAGAGTCGAACTCAACTCATTCTCGAGCCCTGCTTGCCGGTTACAACCAGCTATGCTGCTTCCACACCTAGTCGCTGCCATCAACGAGGCCAAGGACATTATCAATGATCCTAGCACCAAGAAAGAAGATGTCGCACAGCTTCGTCAAGCCTGTGCCTCGCTTGGAAACGCCTTAGAGGACCCCGCGGACAGACTCTTGAACCAGGCATTCCAGGTATGACCTCTTTTTGTACCCTGACTGTTCAGGTTAGAATAAAAGACAGGGTCGATTGGCACTTTGTATTAACAATAAAATAGATTCAGGATTTGATAATTGCCAGGATGGGCATACAATTGGGTGTTTTTGATCAATCTCAACCCATCTTTGGGCCATGCGATGTGGCTGATCGCAGTGGGTGTGATCCCGCATTAGCTTGTAAGTTCTGAGCAATTTGCTTCCCTCTCTTCTATAATGCGAGTACTAACGTGGGATCTAAGCACGTATTCTGAGGGCTTTGGCTAGTCTGAGCCTTCTTGACATTACCCAAGAGGGGAAGTATAAATTAAACAAATCCAGCAAATCCCTCATAGATGGCGGGATGGTCCACGATTGCATTATCTTGACAGTGTAAGTCTAACAAATTTCGGATCTATGCTGATCTTATATCAACACCTAACCATTGCTTTAGTGACCTAGCTCTCAAAATGTCTGCAAACACGCTTGCATTCTTCGAAAGCAACGGATATCATAACCCAACCAATGCCAGTCGTGGTGCTTTTCAGCATACATTTGAGACTTCATTACCCTTCTTTGAATGGCTCCCATCACAGCCCAGGTTACAAAATGCATTTAACCGTTTCATGGAGGCTACTGCGGGTGGAGTATCTCCCGCGCAGTGGGTTGAGTGGTTCCCAGTGGTGCCTAAATTCCAGGAACTCTATGAAAGATCTCAGAAGGACAAAAAGTCTCTAACTTTCGTCGACGTGGGAGGAGGTCATGGGCACGAGGCTAAAGCAGTGATGAGCCGATTCTCCCATCTCCCATGTCGATTCATTGTGCAAGATGGTCCGGAGTATGTTAAAACCCACGACGCTCAGCTGGAATCCGGAGAGCAGGGTTCTTTGGAACGCATGGAGTACAACTTTTTCAATAAACAGCCCGTCGAGCATGCTCATGTTTATTTTTTGGGTAGAGTACTACATAATTGGCCTGAGGTCCAATCTCGTCAGATCCTCCAAAATATTCGGCAAGCTATGGATCAGGATTCAGTTCTGCTCATTTACGACTGGGTCCTTTCAGACAACCCCACGGACATGACACCTGAACAAACTCGGGATGACTGGGCTATGATGACTCTCTTCTCCGCCCCAGAGCGATCTGAGTCAGGATGGCAAGCTCTGTTGGATTCGGCGAGCTTGGAGCTGTTAAATCTTTGGACATCACCAGAAGCTAATGGTAGCCGTCGTTCGTCACTGCTGGAAGTTGTGGTCAAAACTTGAATTATCATCTCATTCTACCTCACGAAGAATAATAGGACGTACTATTGGACTTTTGCATTCTCACGTACTATGAAAAAGGTAAACCATATCAGGTAGAATTCCTTTGGCTTCTATAGGAGATATCAAGTTGGTCTATCAACTTGAGCTTTAAGTTATACATAACTGTCGTACATAACTGTCGTACATAACTGTCGTACATAACTGTCGTACATAACTAAAACTAGTGTCCTGTACTTCTCCGCTAATGCAAATCACTACGAAATTAAAAGAGAATATGATATCCCTCTACGTGAATTTCGGATAGCAAGTTCGAGATTGGGGTTATATTGGTAACATACTGTGCCCATCATCTATAAAGTACGACTGCCAAAAGCTTCCTCATTAAATAACACTTCTCAGGTAAATTCTCGCTCAAGGTACTCCCGCAGTGTAATAAGGGTCTCTCTTCCTTTTCCTCCCTTGGCCTTGAAAGCAGCTTTCTTGAGTTGGCTAGCGGTGCGAGCTTCGGTAGGGCCATTTCCAAAATACTCACCGTCTCGCATCTGGGCATATCTAAACAAGGCGCTTGGGTCCTGATTCTTCAGGTTATCATATTTAACCCCGAACCTCACCTCGGAAAGGTCGCATGGAATATATCGTGCCTTTTGACCCGTGACTAAGTGGGAGGTAAGCTCATAATACTCCAGTATTGCCGGGGTTTTGGGGTCCATATGGTACATACCAAGGGAGAAAATGCGAGTCATTTCTCCAAACGACATTGGATCCGCAACTGCCTGAACAGGCCGATGATTCCATCGAATTGGATCTAGAAAAATACCGTGAACTAAATCCCCAAAGTCGTCGCCTATACTGATCCAGGGAACATCTTCATTCCCACCCCAGAGAGGTGCGCGGCATGTCAAGTATCCATCGTTGTCCTTTTTACAGGGGAATCCGTCGAGCAGAGTTTGCATAAGGGAATCCTGCATGTTTTCCATAAACCAGCCAGGCATAATGGGGGTAAAGGAGTCAAAATTCTGAGTCTGATAGACCCATTCATACACTCGTGCTTTAACTAGAAAGAAAACAGGAATTAGGGTCAGCAAGGTGGAGCATAAACACAAGAATGCAGGATTCCCTACCATCCAAGTAATCGAGTGGGACTTTTCCGCTTGTGAGCCGTTCTGGGTGAGGCTCGGAACTGAAGACAACCTGTTTGATTCCTGCTGCGGCTGCTGCGAGGAAGATTCCTTTTCCCATGCGTTCCGCCTCATTGATATCCGCACCCTAGTGACGAAAAAAAAGTGGAATTAGCGCGATGGCAACAGCCGAGTCGAAGTGCGGGACACAGCCAAGCTTACATAGACACTGTAGTTTACGAACAGCCCACAGCATCCCAAAAATGCTTTCTCCAGCTCCAGGCGTTGTGTAGCGTCAGCTTGGACCACTTGGGCCCCGAGGGATGTGAGAGCCTTGGCCTGGGGCGAGGATGCATCTCGAGTAATACATCGAACATCGAGAGTTTTATTATCTAGTAGCGAACGAGCAACGGAGCCTCCCTGATTGCCTGTCTTGTATAAGAATCTGATATGGAAGGCTGGGGGTAGCCGACTCACCAGTACCCCCGATGACCGCTATTACCCTGTTCTGCTTGGTCATTTTTTTTTTCTTTTTCCAAAGACTGAATAGACAGCTCAAATAGATAACAACTTCAGAAAAGCCAAACAACTCCGGTGGGCATGCTCATTGAGCTATGCTATGATCGTCTAATGCAGTGTCGCTCCTTTTGTACTTCCACCGGTCATATAGGACGAAATAAAGTGTGGGGGAGTAGCTAAGGCCAGTTTTCAGCCTCGATAGAAAATATTAACACATGGAGTATAGCCTACATGCAATGGGTGCGATAAAGAGCAAAAAACAAACAAAAGCTAGCAGGTAGTTAAACAAGGATAAGCCCCTTAACCGCGGGACTAGCCGACAATGTGACATGGAAAGTCAGGCCGCAAGCCTTTCAAAACCCGCTAATGCAAAGTTCTGACGTATAGGAGATCTGGAATTGATGCCAAGGCTGCACCTTGCATTGGTTACACAGTCCCTTGAAGAGTATATTCCAGCATATCCTCGTCCACAGAGTACTCCGTAGTGCACCTAGTGATGGTCAGATGTGGCATTCATGTGTGTTTTTTCTTTAGTATGCGACTGATCGTGGGAGAGAAACCCAAAATAGCGGTCTATCAGTTCATGCTGTACTCCGTAGCTTTCAATGGATCACTTCATTTGGAATGTATCCTCCCCTTACAGCATCGGTTGTGAGTTTTGATTATGACATTGCAAGCTTGCTATGCCGCGTGAGCCCCTTGCCGGTATATGGATCAGTGAATTTAGTCCTATTGGCTAATTCCACCTGCCAAAAACGCACATTATACAACCTGAGAGTATAGCCAGGTTCTATGTTAAGATATTATATGCAGATCACAATACTAAAAACGAGCTGTCTTATCAGTGATAAACTCAAATATGGAAATCACATTTGCACCCCTATTTAAACTCTATTTAGACAGCATTTTTTGATAAATACAAATTATTTGCACACACTGTACGGAGTACAATTTAGTAACATATGATATATTTATGTGCTGCTAGACGATCCACCATAGCGCAGTAGTTAACAAGGTGATTTGAATGCGTCTACTATGTACCTATATAAGTGTGGATATAGGATAGCCCCGAGATCTACAACCCCTGGATTTACATCCACGGGGATCCCGAGATGTATAGAATTAGGACCTAGATCCTCGAAAAGAGATGTATACTACCCCGTCCCCCCTTTCGGGTGTAGGGCTGCTTGGCAAGGACCAGGTATTACTCTAAAAAAAGGAATATGAAAAAGATTATCATCAGACCAAGTGAGCACTGAACAAAGGCGTTCATAGACCAGCATACATCCACCGATCTACTATCGATTTATGTGTTTACGGACTGTTACCTTTCATGCTTTCTATACATGTTCTCAACATGACTATAGCTTTCTTCCGACTCAGGCCACATGGGAAGCATCCCCATTGGAATAAGAGATTGATATTTAATACATTTTACCCTGTCGGCCATTACAAGGTTGTTGGGGTCAGATGGGTCGGATAAGTACTATCATGTTGCTACATACTCCGTAGGTTGGCATACACTACTATGCCAGCCCGGCCGAGAAGGAACACTACTACATGCACGTCACGAGTAATAAATACGGTATTCTTTCAAATGAATACGCCTTATTGAATATAGAAAAATCTATGAGCTGTATACTAACAATCGATTGGTAATAATCATTAGTATTGGTAGTACTAGTAAAAAAGGCAAGTTCGTACATATGCATTAGCCTCCCTTCTCGGCAGGGCTAGCATGGCAGGGTAGTCCAGACTAACCCGGCAGCCCACGCCTACATAGGCACGAGTCGTCGTCATAGGATGGCCGCAGTTCCGCGTTGCTTCTCGTTGTGTGGTGGTTGAAGTTGGCCTTTGCATGATGATGATTGGAAGAGCTTATATATGTGATATTTTTGGACAGCAAGGGCCGCTCACAAAAGCGGCAAGGGACTGCGGGCATTCTAATGGCATAGCACATGCGGGAGCACGAATCTGTATATTGCAAAAGAGGTGTGGCGAAAAGGTGGCTGGCTGACAATACCAGAAGGGCAATCTGTAAATTTAAAGTAGCTTTCTGTTATTGACCAGCGATAAGACAAATCCCTGTGCCCCATATATCACTTATTGCGTTCACACCTTTTATTGCCCTTCATTGGCCCACGCATTTGAAAATGGTCGGACTACACCAAGTACCTGAGGGTCTTCACTACTCATTCACGGGCCCAACTGTGGAGAAACAAGCACAAGGCGGATTCAAAGTCTCGGGGGATTGCTCGTTCCCACAACCAAAAGACTTGACCGGTCAGGGGATACAGGACAGCGGCGAGATTCAGCAGATTCGATCTGTGCTTGATGGCCATGGAAGGCAGCGTTGGAAGCAAGCAGTTCCACTCTTGGTCCTGGCATGGGCCATCCTATTAAAAGAATACAATCGATCTGAAACGCTGCTGCTCTCAGTTTATGAAAACGAGAAATGCATGTGGCAGATTCCATTCGAGTTGCAGCCAGAATCCTCAATTGAGTCATCCCTAGAGCAAGCAGCAGAATTTCTCGGATTTTCAAGTGATCCTGTCAAATCAGAAGCCCACACGACAGGAAACGAACGACACACTTCCCATGTGACACTGTGCATCATTGACTGCCCCTATCAATATCCGAAGAAATGTGGTAACCTCAAACTCCACCCTCAGGAAGCTCTTCGATTAGTATGCCAGCAGCAGACAGATGCAACCATAGATGCCCGTGTATACTATGATACTACAAGATGTATGGAGGAGCAGGCGCAACGGTTTTTAGCCCAATACAAAACCATTTTACAACATCTCATGCGGCAAGATCGCGCTCGGTCCCTCCGGGATATTGAAATGATCAGTGTTCAGGACAAGGACGCCCTAATGCAGTGGAACTCGGATCAGATCATGGTGTCGCAAGATCGGCTGCACGAGTTATTTCAAGCCAGGACTTGTGAAAGACCCAACCAGCCCGCGGCTGTGACCACTGAAGGGTGTTTGACATATGCACAATTGGATAAGCTATCTTCCATTCTGGCTGCGACCTTGGTTGAGCGCGGCATTGGTAGGGGAGCAATCGTCCCCATCCTGTTTGAGAAGTCACTTTGGGCTATTGTCAGTATATTGGCCATCTTGAAAGCCGGAGCGGCGAGCACATCAATATGTGCGAGCCATCCAAATCTCTATATTGCGAAAGTGGTGGAACAGACAAAGTCCACGGTGGTGCTGACCTCGGAGACTGAATATGATCGATTGGCGCGCGTAAAGGGCGTCGATTGCATGGTTATCTCAGAGGCAACGCTGGGATTACTGCCTCAGCCATCAGCCAGCTGGCAGTTCCCGAGAGGTGATAAAGAAGATATTGCATGCGTTCTCTTCACGTCTGGTAGCACAGGTCAGCCCAAGGGCGTTCTGTTAAGTCACCGAGCCATTGCCACAACGATGGATCACCATGGCAGGGCTACGGGAATCAAGAGATCACCCAGAACCCTGCAGTTTTCATCGTATGCATTTGATATGGCCATTTATGAAATATTCCATGCGCTGGTGAGAGGAGGAACAGTGTATACCCCGTCCGAGGAGGAAAGGCTACATGACCTTCCCTCTTTCATTACAAAACACCAAACGACATGGGCCTTCATCACGCCCACAATGCTCAGAACATTTAGTCCCTCGCAATTTCCAACTATGGAGACCATTGTTGTTGGCGGAGAGGCGGTTGGTAATGACCTGGTCCAAACATGGGGGGATCGGCTGTATAATGGCTTTGGGCCGGCCGAAGTGAGCATATGTGTGTCAACTCGAATGGACCCACGGCGTTGGGTCGATGGCACAATAGGCCGGCCAGTTGGGTGCATTGGGTGGATAGTGAACCCGAATGACATGAACACTCTGACCCCAATTGGAGGAATAGGGGAACTTCTTGTGGAAGGACCCATTGTTGCTCACGGATACTTAAACGAGCAAGAGAAGACTGAGCAAGTCTTTGTTTCAGCGCCTAGTTGGAGGTCCACTTTCCCCATCCCACACCGCGGCGCTTTCTTCAGGACCAGCGACTTGGTCCAATTCAACTGGGACGGCTCAATGCGATATTTGGGCCGAAAAGACACTGTGCGGAAAATAAATGGCCAACGAATAGACATCGAAAGCATTGAGGTCACTCTGCGACAGATGGAGACAAACTTGGATGTTTCGGTGGATGTCTTGCCCTCACCCGGCCCGCACCATCAAGAAATTGTCATCGCCTTCGTGGCGGGAAGATCCACAAAGATTGATGGATTGAAAGTGACCTCAGTGTGTAAAGACAGTGCACATGTAGAAATGAGGCGTCATGACCGAGAAGATGCGATCCGTGATGAGATGGGGCGCCGTCTGCCTCGTTATATGATTCCGACATTTTTGATTGAGCTACCAGTTCTACCAAAGACAGCGACTGGCAAGGTCGACCGGAAACAGCTCGCCGATATGTTTACCGGGAGAGCGAAATCCGAGATGACGAAACTCGTTAAGTCGAAGGCGAATGGGAACCCCAAAAGAAGGGCGATGTCCGCCGCCGAATATCAACTGGCATCTCTTGTTCAGGAGACTCTGGGGTTAGAAGCGACAGATCTCGATATGAATAGCGCCTTTGTGCACATGGGTGGAGATTCTTTAGCCGCCGTGAGACTCGTCAGTCGCGCTCGAAAGGCAGGAATATCTCTAAAAGCCATGGATCTTTTGCGACACGACCTGAAATTAGCAGACCTGACGCAGGAGCTCCAGAGGGGAGAACCAATTCCTTCAGACGTGGAATCTAATGTTATTGCTCCATTTTCCATGCTTCCGGAAAACAATAGTGATCTCATCAAGATCCTGGAGGCGGCCCGGGGGCAATGCGGCATTGGGGAAGAGTCTATTTGCGACATCTACCCATGTACGCCCATCCAAGAAGGCCTATTTTCAACCACCTCCGTTGGCTCCCGAGCTTACATCGATCGATTTGTATTAACGCTCTCTCCTGAGGTCGACCAGTCCCGGTTGGTGAGGGCTTGGAATACGCTGATTCGATCCAGCGACATACTGCGAACTCGCATTATCCAAACAACTATTGGGGTATACCAGGTCGTCATAGATCACCATGAGCTTCCAATTCCATCCTACAAATCTGAGGAGCAGTATTTGGCAAGTGGCGCGACGAAGGAGATGGGCCCCGGGACTCCTCTAGTCGTCGTCGGTCTCATAGTACCAGAAATGAATTCTAGGGAAAAGGAGAAGGACCTTGGCTCGCCTATGGCACAACTTATGGTCAATATCCACCATGCAGTCTATGATGGGTGGACGTGGGAAATGATGTTACAGGATATAGAGACCGCCTACCGAGGCGAATCACTGCCTCTGCGTCGATTCTCGGGATTCGTTCGCTTTCTACAAGATCGGGATCTTCTCGGCGAACAGGAGTTTTGGCGTACATACTGTCGCAACCTCGACGCAGCCGTCTTCCCGGAAGCCCTCGCGATCAACCGTGCTGCCCAACTCCGCATTCGATTAGCCTACCTTCACCAACCCCCGCAGAATCCCCCGCCAGGGAAGGAGGAAAATGGCCGGTCAAACGTTCCTCCTGGCCCTGGGGTGACGCCAGCGATCAAAGTCCATTTGGCATGGGCCATCCTTATCTCTTTGTACACCCAGTCCCCTGGCGTGGTTTATGGGACGATTAGCAACGGAAGGCTATCATCTTTGCCGGGGATGGAAAACATCATGGGCCCAACATTTGCCACCATCCCGTTTGCACACACAATTGATCGATCAATGCGCATTGACCAGGCACTCCAAATGACTCAGGCAAATATGCAGTCTACCCTTCAGTGGGAGCATGCAGGATTGCACTGCATTTCTCACGTCAGTCCCGAGGCGTCCGCAGCTTGTATGTTCCAGACCCTGGTCGTCATTCAGCCACCTAAGGCTTCATTGAAGTCAGCGATCTTTGATTCTATCCAAGAGCGGACGGGGGCAGACGGTTTCATTCCGGGGTACTCGATGATTCTGATCTGTACCCCCGGTGAGACAGATCACAGTTGGGAGTTTGAGCTCCTGCTGGACGACGAAATTGTTCCCCAGGCTCAGGGCCAGCGCATCCTTCGTCAGCTTAGTCACCTCCTATCCCAATTAAATGGGGAGCAGTCCACTCGCGTGGGCCAACTGGATTGTTTGGGCATAGCAGATCAGGTGCAGTTATGCGAGTGGCAACTACCTCCTCCTGCGCGCGTCGATTACACTATTCATGGCCTTGTCAAACTTCAATGCCAGATCCGTCCACAAGAGCAGGGAGTTTGCTCATGGGATGGATCTTTCACTTACGATGAGGTACAGCGATTCTCTGATATAGGTGCAATCGGCCTGCGAGACATGGGCATCGGGACAGGGGCCATTGTCCCTATTTGCTTGGAACGCTCCAAGTGGGTGGTCATCGCCATGCTCGCTGTTATGAAGACCGGGGCTGCGTTTGTCCTGCTGGATCAAAATTCAGCCTTGGAGCGAAATCAAAGTATATGTAAAACCGTGACGGCGCGGTGGGTCATAACTTCGGCTGTATGCATGGGGTACTGTCAGAACTTTGCGCCTCAAACCCTGCTATTCTCTGAACAGATGATGCGAGGAGCAAGCAATCAATCATCTTCTCCGCAGGATGACCTAGATACTGGCTATCACTCCGACCTGCTCTACGTCGTCTTTACTTCCGGGTCAACCGGGAATCCTAAGGGCGTAGAGATTGAGCACGGGTCCTACTGCTCCGCGATGATTGCCCAACGTGAGAAACTCTATATCCGAGCAGGCTCCCGTGTCTTACAACTGTCGTCGTATGCATTTGACTCCTTTGCTGTCGAGATTCTCACAACTTTGTCTAGCGGCGGCTGTGTGTGCATCCCGTCCGCCGAAGAGCTAGCCAGGGGCATTGGCTCGGCCATTCGACAATACCGAGCCGAATGGATGTGCGCTACTCCATCCATGCTTCGGCTTATTACGCCAGCCGATGTCCCCAGCTTGAAGACTGTGGTCGCCGTGGGAGAGACGCTGCTACCATCGCAGGTCGCAGTATGGGCACCCGCAGTCACATTATTGTGTGGTTATGGGCCCTCTGAATGCTGCACGGGGGCAACAGTTCACACCATACGCGGTGTGTCCGTTGATCCTCGCATTATTGGGACAGGAATGGGATGTTCGCTCTGGGTGGTGGACCAGTACGACCACAATCGATTGATGCCGATCGGGGCGATCGGAGAGTTAATTCTCCAAGGACGCATTGTTGGCCGTGGCTATCTGAATGAGCCGGAAAAGTCTCGTGTTGTGTTCCTTGATCGAACTCAATGGTCCACTAACATGGACTCATTCTCCGGGGAGCGATTATACAAGACAGGAGACCTCGTACGGATCAATCCCGATGGCACCTGCCTATTTCTTGGTCGCAAAGACCACCAAGTGAAATTACGTGGCCAGCGCCTGAACCTAATGGATGTTGAGCACCACCTCACAGAAACACTCGGGTCCCAGTTCACCACGATTATGGCAGACATTATCAAACCGAGAACAGAGGAAATTGATGGAGATACCCATCATATGCTGGTGGCAATGGTCGAAACGGCGGACGAGGGAATGTTCGACACGTCCATCTCTCATGCTCAGACTGATGGCGGATTTTTATTTGTTCCCCCCAGTTCTCGATTCGTGCAGATGGTCAGCAAAGTCGAGCAGGAGCTCTCAAATGCGTTGCCGGCAGTCATGATTCCCTCGCTGTGGCTTCTCGCCCGCCAAATGCCACTCACCGTTTCTGGCAAGGCTGATCGACGACAGATTCGAGCCGCGGCCGCATCGCTAACGCCCGAGGCACTTCTAACTTTCGGGTGTTCCGGTGCTCAGGCAAGCGATGTCCCGTTGGCATCAACAGAAACCACTGCGTGGATAGTGTCTGAAGTAATGGCCGACGTTCTTCATTCGCGGTTGAAACTAGACAGAAACCGTGTGGTGGGGAAGAATGTTACCCTTTCTCGTGTTGGTCTAGACTCTATCGATATGATGGCTATCTCCGTGGCTATCTCCAGCCGCTTTGACGTTTGTTTGCCGATGGCACCTCTGTTCCGATCCGGCTTAACTGTTCGCGATGTGGCTCTCATGATTTCGATGCCGCCTACCACGCAAGGCATGGAGCAAGAGCCGCCGCTGACAATGGATCTTTGGTCGGAGTATCACATAATACGGGAGAGAATACGTGCCATCTGCGTGCATTCGCGGAAATTGGCGAATTCCAGTCTCAGTGGACGTTCCAACGGGAAGGGCCTTGCCGTTGGCCGCGTCCTGCTAACAGGTGGCACCGGCTTTCTCGGGACCCATATCTTAAAAGCACTGCTGGAAGATCCTCGAGTGCAGTTGGTCACGGTGCTCGTTCGTGCTGAATCGGACAAGGCGGCAATCAGGCGTGTCGTCCAAGCCGCTCATGGTGCAGGCTGGTGGAGAGAATCGTATCGAAATCGGGTCCGGACATGGTTAGGATGTCTATCTCAGCCCTGTTTGGGTTTGTCCGAAAGTCTGTGGAAGGTCCTCTGCGGCCTTGACCACTCAGGTGATGGATTCGACACTGTGATTCATAACGGTGCCTGGGTTCATTGGGGTCAGGAATACCACACACTCCAGTCCGTCAACACAGGAAGCACCATCAACCTCTTGGGTGCGCTAACGCAGCTGACCTATCCTGTGGCTTTTACTTACGTATCGGCCCTCCTGCCCGGTTCCTCGACTGTGGATGACGATCAAAACGTGGCCAAGCTACTTTCCACTTCCGATGGATATAGTCAAAGTAAATTCATGTCGGAACTCGCTATTAAAGAGTTTCAACGAGACCCGGTGTGTAAGCATATCCATATGAACATCATTCGGCCAGGTTGGATAATCGGATCCACGGACAACGGGATAGCGAATGTGAGCGATTATCTTTGGCGCGTGGTGGGCTCTGCTGTGGCCTGTGGGCTTTATAACAATGAAGAGGACTCCAACTCATGGATCTTCATCTCTCCCGTGGACCTAGTTGCAGGGCTGATCACCAGTCAAACTCTGGATGGATATCGAGATAAAATTGGTCTTAATGATGGTCCCCAGTCTGTCCAGATCACGTCCATCACGGATGGCCTTGCCGCCCCTGACTTTTGGCGCGCGGTGTCGACAGCGTGCCACCAGACTTTTGGCAGTCCTCTTCAACCTTGCCAAGGAATCAACTGGTTACATCGGATGAAAGGAAGCATGATGGCGATAGGGGGTGAGCATCTGCTATGGCCTGTGTTTGAATTTTTAGAATCCAACAATGGCCGTTTGGGGTCCTATGCCGATCCCATCGAAACCTCCGCCACGCTGCGAAGTCTCCTGTTCCGCTCAGTCATCCAAAACGTACAGCATATTTGCTCTACAGGATCTATTGAGATCGAGAGTGGTCTGATGCTGTCGTCATCTAACATATTCAGCCGGAGACCCAACTAGGTGGAAGATTGAAAGCGTCTCATGAATGACCGGGAGTAATGTGATATAATGGTAATATAATATTTATTTGAGCTCAGGGCTAAGATAACGGGGACCTACACTGCGTATATAGAATTTATATTGAACAATTCATGTTCAGACTGATGAGCCCAGCATGTCTTCCTTCTAGAGAAGAAAAGGAATATGCAAAAAAGACACCTGAAGTGACATCTGAAAAGATACTTGAAGTGATATCTGAAAAGATATCTGAAAGGACATGTGAAATATCATCTCAAAGGACACCTGAATGTCATTACATATGACCACCAGATCCTTAGTATCATCTCGAGGCAGAGGTCGTATGAGCGGCCGACTTGTACGCTCATTATGAGGTAACGCAACCCGGTAGACACTTTTTTGTCTATCTATACCATCTACTTCTTCCGCCTGGACTCTTAAAAAATGACTGAATCTGGATGCTCCTATGGAAGTGAGGTAGGAGGCTTTCTGGATGACCTTCCTCCTTTCACAAACAGATACATCTATGAAGGGAAAGAGCAACTCGATCAAATCATGGAAATTGAACATCACCGTCTCGCACACTCACGTGCTGAGTCCCTTAAAATTTCTGAATATTTTGTTATTTTCATCAGTCCCCACTCTTTCTAGCAACGGTTTTTGCGACCCGATCCAATCCCAGGTCTTCGCTTGTTTTACAATCCAGCACTGCAGATTCTAATTCTCAGAAGTTCCAGTCTGGAACATCTTCAAGCTGCTGGCGCATTACACGATACAGTCACAGAGACTTTGAGACCGATGGGGCTGCATCATGCGCTTCTGTTATTTGGAGGCGCAAACGTTGATGTCGGTGATGGACAGGTAAAAGGGCCAGATTGGGGCTGGTGCTCCCGCCGGCCTCCTCTTGGTGTCGCCAAAAGACCCGGGGTAGTCGTCGAGGTTGGAGTTTCAGAACCTGAGACCAAACTCTGCAACGATGCAAGATTCTGGGTTGATCCCACCAAAGGAAAAGCCAACATGGCCATCACCATCAAAGTCGACCGTCGCAAGCCCGAGTTGAAACTCAATACCCGGGAATGGAATTCTCATCTTCAACGTCCGCATATCACCCAATTCGCCATTGTCGAAAAATATGGTGATGAAATCACCGTCTCAGAATCTCCACTTGTCATACCCTTCCACCATATCTTCCAGCGCGCCCCGGAACATTCTAAAGAAAAGGATATTCAACACTCAAAGGAACAGCTCACTGAATGGGCAACTTCTGTATGGGATGCCCAAGAGCTATAAAGGGGGAGAGAAAAAAACGAAAATTAAAAAAAGGGAGTCTGGTCAAGGTATGTATTAATGTCTTCTTCTATTTGTGTACCAGATGGACTTCAATCAGGGAACTTGAAGATTGTGGCCTAATATCTCCTATTTGTTCCCAAAATTCAGAGAGAACAAATTAGTTATTTGACATTCAATCATTAATATCAGTACATGTTCAGATGAGTTTGATAACGCAAGTTCTATAACAGTACTCCGTACTAGTAAGAGACATCTATGGATCAGATGTCATTAGGGACATATGATGATTGTGTTATACAAAGAGGTGTGTTATAGAGGGGGAAAAAGCTCAAAGAAACACATCATTGTATTCTAAAGTAATACTTGCCAAAGGAATGATAATAATGTCATTGATATAATTTCTAGTACTTCTAGTACTGATGATATAAATTGGTGTCTAGACTTTGAGATCAAAACGCCATCCAAGCCGATGATGTAGATTTGGCGGGAAAGCTCCGTCATCTCACCGCCTGCGGGATCATGGCCATCCCCACGCTCTGGTCCTTCTCAGCCTCATCACTCTCTCCTCTCCCTCTGCCTAATATCTTTTCCAATCTCTGCTCTAGGAGTTCCCGAGGAGGGTATCTTCTTGCTCGTTTTCTCTGACTGTTCGGACCCCGCTCTTGCAACAACCCCCCTGCCCCTCCCAAGCGCTTACCACTTGGTCACCTTGAAGATCTTTGAGGCGTGACTTGTGGCGCTACCACTGTCTTGAGGTAATATCCATGATTTGTAACTGACGTGTTACTATTGAGAATCAAGAGCGCATTACTGACTAGTTGATTAGGACCCTCCGCCTCGACCACTCGCTTTCTCCCGCATACCACCCGACTCCTACCCCCTCCCCTGCAGCCGTGATGTCCCTCTCGATGCCGCCGGTACCTCACAAGGATGACCTTGATTCAACGTGAGCCGAAAATGATCGCAGATTTACTTTCACATGGCGGAATAGCGCGAACTAACTGTGGTTTAGTTGGTCATTCCTTGAAACAGGAATCGAGAGCGTCATGCTCAACCTTGACTCCGGCATCGATATGAAGACTGTAAGTAAAAGACTGAACAACGCACTACCTGCCGGTGAGCGTATTTGAAAACAGAAGCTGATTGGTTGTTTTTGTCTAGTACATGGGTCTATACACGTGTGTTCAAGATTCAATCCTACCTCTTATCTGACTGACGAGAACCCCGCTCACAATTTGCTATTAGGGCTGTCCATAACTTTTGCACATCCCAAAAGGCCGTCACTAGCGGTCAAGGCCTACAAGGACAACGCGGGGGTTGGTTTTCATCCCTTCATGCCGCACCCTCGGCTTCCCGGAGCGAGCTGACATGGAACAAAGCTCATTTGCTGGGCGAGGAGCTTTACAAATTACTCGGCGAATACCTCTCCCGTCATCTGAGTGGGGTTTACAAACAATCACAGAGCCACACCGAGGAAGGCCTGCTTGGATTCTACATTCGCGAATGGTACCGCTACACGACCGCTGCCAAGTACGTGAACCATCTCTTCCGGTACCTTAATCGCCACTGGGTTAAGCGTGAGATCGACGAGGGTAAGAAAAACGTTTACGACGTTTACACCCTGCACTTGGTGAAATGGAAAGGGGACTTTTTCGAGAAGGTCCATGAGAAGGTCATGGACGCTGTTCTCAATCTGATCGAGAAGCAACGGAATGGAGAAACCATTGAACAATCGCAGATTAAATCCATTGTGGACTCGTTCGTCTCACTGGGTCTGGATGAGAATGATAGCTCCAAGTCAACACTAGACGTCTATCGGCAGTACTTCCAGCAGCCATTCATCCGTGCTACGAAGACCTATTACGAAAATGAGTCACGGCAATTTGTGGCCGAGAACAGTGTGGTGGAATATATGAAGAAGGCAGAAGCTCGTCTGGAGGAGGAGAAAGGCCGAGTCGGTTTGTATTTGCATCCCGATGTCACCAAGATCTTGACCGATACCTGTCTGTCTGTTCTTGTCACCGCCCACTCGACTTTGCTTCGCGACGAGTTCCAAGTCTTGCTGGATAACGAACGCCAGGAGGATCTTGCTCGTATGTATCTACTCTTATCACGCATTAAGGAAGGTTTGGATCCTCTGCGGACGACCTTTGAGAACCACGTGAGACGGGCCGGCCTAGCTGCTGTCGAGAAGGTTGCTTCGGAGGGAGAAACACTTGAGCCTAAGCTATACGTTGATGCTCTACTGCAAGTCCACACTCGGTACCAGAGCTTGGTGGATGAGGCCTTCAATGGTGAGGCCGAGTTTGTGCGTTCTCTTGATAACGCCTGCCGGGAGTTTGTCAACCGAAATCGCATCTGCAAGACAAGCTCTTCCAAGTCTCCCGAGCTGCTAGCTAAATACACGGACTCATTGCTCAAGAAAGGATCCAAGTCGGCTGAAGAGTCAGAGCTTGAGGAAATGTTGGTGCAAATTATGACGGTCTTTAAGTACATCGAAGATAAAGACGTCTTCCAGAAGTTCTACTCCAAGAACCTGGCCAAACGTCTAGTTCATGTGAGCTCCGTTTCTGATGATGCTGAAACAAGCATGATCAGCAAGCTGAAGGAGGCTTGTGGTTTCGAATATACCAACAAGCTGCAACGCATGTTCCAGGACATGCAGATCTCTAAGGATCTTAATAACAATTACAAGGTCTGGCAGGACAAAGTGCTAGATGATGATGATCGCAAGAGATTGGCCGATGCGCACTTCCAGATCCTGGGAACTGGCTTCTGGCCCCTCAATGCCCCGACCACACCGTTCCTTGCACCACCTGAGATAGTAAAGACCGCCGAACGATTCCAGAAATTCTACTTTGACAAGCACAGCGGCCGCAAGTTGACATGGCTATGGCAACTATGCAAGGGCGAAATCAAGGCTAACTATATCAAGAACGCCAAAGTGCCCTACACCTTCCAGGTGTCGACCTACCAAATGGGGATTCTTCTTCTTTTCAACGACGCCGACACGCTTTCCTACGATGAGATCGAAAAGGCCACTGCTTTGGCTTCCGAAATCCTCGACCCCAACCTTAGCATCCTGCTCAAGGCCAAGGTCCTCACCGCCATCCCCGAGGGCGCTAAGCCTGAGCCCTCCACCTCATTCACATTGAACTACAACTTCAAGAATAAGAAGGTCAAGATCAATCTCAACATTCAGATCAAGTCTGAGCAAAAGGTCGAGGCCGATGACACACATAAGACGATAGAGGAGGACAGAAAGCTTCTGCTTCAGGTATGTTTCCTAGCTAACCATCAACCCCCACACAATCCATTTGTCCTAACCTTAGTGTAGTCCGCCATTGTTCGGATCATGAAGTCACGCAAGAAGATGAAGCACGTCCAGCTGGTCCAGGAGGTTATCCAGCAGGTCAAATCCCGCTTCCCACCTAAAATCCCCGACATCAAGAAGAACATTGAAGCCCTCATGGAGAAGGACTACATTGAGCGCATGGACGGTGATGAAATCTCATACATTGCTTAAAGCGAACTAAACCCCTCCCCTTTCCCCAATATTGCACAACACACTTGTCCCTATCTCCTCTTTTCTGTTGCTCTCTGCTTCTGCTTCTGTCTCCTTCCGACCCCAGTGGCTTGTCATGTCCCTTTCTTGTCGTTTTGTGCCATCGATGATGGAAAAAAGCAAGGCAAGAGGGATGGGGCCTATGCTGGTCCAGGATAGGACTCCCACGATGGATAGCCGGCAGATGGAATCAGGTTGATAGGAGCATTTCTCCTCATTGTTTCGGCGATTATTTTATGTTTCCATCTTCATAGCGCTAAGACGACCAACAAATGATGACCTGGATTTCCTTTGCTGATTGCTCCCTGTTTTCCTTTTTTCTCTTTCTGAAAATACTACAACATAATAAATTGAGTTCTGTTTAGCATTTAGGGATTCGAATATCACGATTGCTAGAGACTTAACTCTATAGAAACACCATAAGAAGACACAATGAATTTCATCCAGTGGATATGTATGCATAGTACTGGCTAGACCCAGTGTATATTTATGTATAATAAACAAGAGAACCATGCTAGAATGGATATGCTATGCAAAGCTAGAGACAAGAATCAAGACGAAAGAACAGAAAGTCCGCTCAGTACTTGATCGCCCTAGATGATCAAAATGCAAATCAACACCCAGCTCCCAAATCCAGCCCTAGTTCGTACCAGACGAGTCTTTGCTCTGGGCTGGATGCGTCTCCTCTTTGCCAAGGGGTACTGTCACCAACTCCTCAGACTGAGTATCTACACCACTCGAGGGTGAGTGCTCCTTCTGGTTCGTGGAACCAGTCTCCTCATTCTTCAAACTCAACCCCAGGCCTTCATTCGGCGTGAGAGCCACAGACGAAAACCCATCTACATCAACGGTATCCCTTCCAGCAGTCTTTCCATCCTGGAGGTCCTGGGTATGCTTGTGCTTCGCATCATCCGCATAAGCCGGGAATCCCTGCGAAAGAGGAGACTTAGGGAATGGAGCTTCGGCAGAGTCGGACGTAGAAACATCATCGTAACGCTGGAACTCTCCGCTGTCGCGTCTGAGCAGGATATTACTCCATCTCTTTCTTCTGCTTCCGCTGCGAGTAAGACCGCCCTCGGAGCTCTCGTTGCCCTCGCTATTATTCTGCATGGAACGGCGACGGTCGCGGTCCGACTCGACTGTTACTGTTTCGGTAGCAATGGACAAGACCGGGGTAGATGGCGAAGTCATGCCGGCATTGGGAGTGGCGGTGGTATTCGGGGTCGGGGATGTGACGCGCTTGTCTTGCCATCCGCGGCGCTTTTCGCTAGCCCAGGTGCCCCACGAGCTGAGATAGGAGCTGGCCTTTTGGCTGGCCACGGTCACGGAGGCCTGGGCCTGTGTGAGGTCGACGGATGCCCTTGGCCGGGCTGCGAACCAGGAGGCATCGGTGGGGTCCTGGGAGGAGGCGGTTGGTGATGTTGGGGATTCTTTTTCGAGGGAGGCGCGCTGGGATTGCGATTGGGAGGCATTTCTCTCTTCGGTGCGTTTGCGTTGTGCTTCGCGCATTGTTTCGATGTCAGACCAGAAGCTGTTAAATGCCGCGCTCACTTTCTTTTGTCCGGTTGAGAAGTGGCGGTTCAGGGCCTCGCGGCCTTCGCGGACACGCTCATCGAGGTGGAGGTCTGCTACCTGTTGTGCAAGTCGGCGTTGGACATCTTCCATTGTCAGGCCGCCGGCGTTGGGGTGTCGTGGCTCGGTGATGGAAAATAGGAGCGCATCCGAAGTGAGACGCGAAAACAGGGCGTAATTGTATGTCGTTTTCCACTGGGTCAGGAATTCTGTATTGAAGTCGATGGCAGGGTCTCCTTCAATGTTGTAGGTTTGCAGCTGGGTTCCGCTGCGATTCCCCGAGTCTCCGGCATCGGATGGGTAAAGCTCCTCGTGGTATTTCATGGAAGATAATAACGCCAGCAAGTATTCTTCAAACTGCAGTCGAATGAATTCTTCAGAGCCCATAAATCCAAGGGTCTTGGGTTGTGAAGGATGTTCCTCATCCCAAGTGTCATTGACAATTTGTGTCAGCAGGTCAATCCAGCGCCTATCGGCCGCGGAAAGGACCAGGGCATTGCGGAGGGAAGGAGAATTTATGACGATACTATCTTCGTCAAGGTTAATTAGAATATCACTGTAGCGGTCCTTTTGTTGCAGAAGTAGCGAGTTGGTTGAGCCAACCACATATGATTTTGTGCCATCATCCGCCAGCAGATCCAGCAGCTGGAGAGGTGTATAGGGGCCAAACATGCTTCCCTTTCCAAAAATTTGCAGCGGAAGCCCCATGTATGCCAACAAAGAGCTTCTGTCGCTCGTTTTGAGAGACGTTGGTTTCTCAACGGTCTGAGAATAGGTGTCAAATGCAGGATCCGCGCAGTCCTGCAAATTATTGATGAGGCCGGGTATTAAAGATATAAGCGAGAATTGAATCATGCACAGGCGTTCACATCGCGTCCCGAAGAAAAGCATCTTGGGCTGCAACAGTAGTGCCTTGAAAAGAACCAAAGTCTGAAATTTGAATTCATGAATCATCTCCCGAAGCGAGAGACCTTAATAAATTAGCAAATTATCACACATATCGAAGCAGATGGTATCCTTACCCAAGTTCTGATCTTTTGGGCCATCATTCAGCAGAGAAATCACCAAGCCTTCGCGGAATTTCTGTATCCATGTCAGCATTTCATTCTATGCACCGCCGCAGCTAGTACATACCTTCAAGATGTCAATATCCGTGAAATCACTGTTAAGAAGAGTGCTCAATTAGCCACATTTCCTCATTTTAATTGGGATTCTATCCAGATCCCATGCTAGCGCATCAGGGGAGCAAACAGTCCACGAGGGCAGGTATATTCCACATACTGTTGCGCGAACCAAGCTGAAGTCACCACAGAGAGTTTCTCACGCAATTGAGCTACTCGCTGCGGCGTATCTGTCACGACCACAACGGCCTTTTGTACTGTTGACCGTGTCACATCGGGGGGGGCGGTTGACAAGCAGACTCGAATCGAGCTGGCGGGAGCAGGCGATGCCGAAGAGGGATGTTTCGGGTTTATTAGATGCGCCTTTTTGGCAGAGTGTGAAGTATGAGAATTCTTCGGTCGATCTGCAATCCGACGGGTTAGTTGGTCTGGCGCAAATCAGCTCTCCTCGTCGCGGGATTGCGCCAGAGGAGGAGGGGAGGAAATATTTGTCGGAGACTGGGGGATATCGTACAGATGTGCTCCATCAGATAGGGCCATGAATGGGAGCAGAGACCAATCATTCTCGGTTGCTGGGTCGCTTCCTTCGTCGGCAATACAATGCTCAATCTCGGGACCGCTGTAGGTGTATGGCTCAGTCAGCCAAGTTCCGCTATGGATCGGTCTTTGCCTTCATTTCAAAGATACGATCCCACGGGTTTTGAAGGTCGTATGGCTCACCGTGCATGGTGGAAATCTATGACCAAGACAATTGGGTCTTGTTTATGTTGAACAGTCATCGCGCCGAACCTTGCGACAAGGGGTTCGGCTGTGAGAAAAGCAATTAAAATGCTGGGAATGAATAGTTCAAAGGAATAGTTTGCAATCTGTAGAAAAGAGGTGCTTCTCCTCCAAAACCTCGACGTTTCCCATGAGACTAAGATCGTCGCAAACAGGGGAACATCGCTGATACGGTTATCGGGGAGCGGGCGGTGAACGAATAGCCCCGCCAATAATTGACACCACATACCTAACTGGGGAAAAGGTTAGTTATATATAGTACTCAGTAAGTAGTAACTAGGTATTTGGTAGAAATAGCTTGGATTGCGCAGATATTTCAAAGGATTAAAGGTTATGAGGTGCCCATCGCTCAACTAAATCAGATCACCCCGTATGATTTCTCCTAATCACCAACCAATTCTTGACGACGCCGGAAGAACTATGGACAATGATTTCCAGAAAAGACAAAAAAAGAAAAGAAAAAAGTAAGTAAAAAACACAAGTAAGCTCGCCAGCTTCGTAGCGCCCTTGAACAGAAATAGAGCCAGACTTCAAATTTCGAGACTGGAATTCAATGGCAGAATGGTGATTCTTTAGGAAATTTCGCGTCAACCCATTATGCGAATGTCTGTCCAGTAGCGTTGCCCTGCACTGATCCCTGTACCAAGGCTTCGGCAGCGTCATTGCCTTGTTCAATGTTGTGGAAGTCGAGAATTTCCGAGTACCTAGGGAAATTAGTAAAAAGAGATGCGGTGGGTTAATAAATCAAGCACGTACATCATGATCTTCCACGTATCTACGGGCAGATCCGCATCATTGAACGACCAATCAAACTTCTCCTGCGCTACAGGTTCATCGGTCGGGTCATGGTAGGGCGCTAGATACTCATGCGCTAATGCTTCGGGGGCTTGGATGCGCTTCTTCGGGTTGAAAACCAGCATCCGCTCGAGCAGGTCAACCGCTAAAGAAAAAAAGAGAGAGAAGTTAGCATGGTGTTCATAATTGCCATAGCCGGCTCGAATATCACGTACCATCGGCATCGGCATTCTTGAATTTATTTGCGAGGGGTTGGCGCTCGCGCTTTGGTAGGGACTTGACAAATCGGAGGGTCTGTATCATCATAAATTAGCATGTTTTCGTCTTTTGCCGAAGAATAACTACTCACGTTCTCGCTGCAGATGGTCTGGATCACGTCATCAGGAGGAGTGCCAAGCAGCTCCGTAATGATCGAAAACTGGTTGACATGGTCCTTTCCAGGGAACAGCGGCTTTCCTTCCAACATCTCGGCGAAGATGCATCCCGCACTCCAGATGTCTACTTCAACATCGTACTTTTGCCATGTGAGCATAATCTCGGGCGCGCGGTAGTATCGTGTTGAGACATAGCCGGTCATTTGGGGGTCCTGGATGCGGGCAAGGCCAAAGTCACAGATTTTCAGATCACAGTTCTCGTTAATCAAGATGTTACTTGGTTTGAGATCCCGGTGGACCACACCGGCAGAGTGAACATATTTCAAGCCACGCTATCAAAAAGTCAGATTCTAGCCCGGTTATTATTCCCGAGAAAATCTTACCAGAATTTGGTATAAGAAGTACTGAATGAATTGCTTTTCAAGGGGGCGCGAAGTAAGAAGTCGGTGGAGGTCAGTTCCCAGAAGTTCGGTGACGAAGTAGCTGTGGTCATTAGTTCACACCGTTCAACCCCGCCTTGCAGATAAGGGGGGACATACATGTCTTCCAAAGGCGAAATGAAAATGTCACTCAAGCTGATAATCTGCAGGATGTCAGCAAGTAAGCCTGGACCATCTATTTGAAGGGGTACGGACGTTCTCGTGACGAAGATGTTTGAGCAGCTTCAGCTCCCGGTAGGTTCGCTTGGACAAAACGGGGGTACTGAAAGGCTTCATGATTTTTTTAACTGCGACTGGCTGCGCAGTCAATTGATCTTTGGCAGAGCTGTTGTATTGGTAAGCCTGGTTAGCATGAACCTGGGCTTGGAAATGTCTTGTGCGACATAGAATACAACATACCAGACCAGTCCAAAGGCACCCATTCCCACCGGCTGCAGTTCCGTATACCTAGAAATCAAGTTAGCACCAATATTCTCATGGGCGCTCCTGCTGAAGCGCCCATAGTAAATATAGCGAAGTAGGGCATTGCGAACCGACTGGTGATCTCAAAGGTGGTGCCGAAAATCTGGGCACGCACGAATTCCGCCATGATGGAGGGGGGGGGGGGGGGGGGGGGGGGGGGGGGGGGGAAGATGAAGATGAGCAGATGAACAAGAAATAAGAGATTCAAATAAGAAAATCTCAAGTCAAAAGACAAAAGCGAAGAGAAAATGGAAGGCTGTCAAAAGAAAATTGACAGGAGAAAGGGGTCGCAAAGAAAGCAAGTGTGTTGGCAACAGGTGTGGGGAAGGGACTGCGTGAAAAGCGCAGAAAACAAGGCCGATGACGTCGGTGAAGCCTGGTGTCTAGGTGGCTGACTCAGCGGTTTCAACTGTCAACTAGACCTATGTAGGTAGGTAAGTTGATATTAAAATGAGTTGTTTCTTTTATTATTTAACAGTTATTAGACATCTGATGATTGAATGCATATCCCCCCCCTTTATAACTCTTATTGAATAACATGTTCTCTTCCAGGACTTCTTGAATTTTTGTGTGAACTTCCCAAGTTGGAAGGCTGCCCTCGCTCCACTACCACGCGGCCCAGGCCCCGGTCTATGCCACCGGAAGATGTTTCCCTTGAACAGTATTGCTCTTTGATGTTATTTGATATAGATTATAGAACGTATCTATTAATTGGATAAGATCTACCTACCATGTATATTAATTTTGTTCTAATTTGCGCTTAACTCGCCCCAAGAATCAAGTATGTGGAGAGTTCTTGGGCCCTCTATTTAGAAGCTTGGCAGATTCTGACATAGTATAACCCCTCATCTTCGATCTCTTCAAGCCATAAACATTAGAATTTAATTCTGTATGTAAACTCTACCGTATATTTCTCTTTGTTACTCTTATAGGTCCGGTAGATTGTCCCGACATACACAAGAGGAACTCCCAGGTCTACCATAGAGAATATCAAGGTACACACCCCAGCATATCAAAATGCACTGTCTCTTCCCCACGCTAGGCCAGTTCCGACCTTCTATGACGTGGTCTTGTTAAGTTGCAACACTATCTCCCAACTTACCGCTACATCGCACATCGTAGATAGCACATATATCAAGGACATAAGGCAAACCTGAAGAAAATTAGCCAGCAAATTTTTGCTCAGATATTAGCTTCAAATACTCGGGTCCTGCCACTGTCTGATACAGATGTGAATCTGGCGGCTGAGACATGTGAAACAATGCCTGCCACGCTACTGCGGACATGCAACAAAGACATGCAACAAAGACATTTGAATGATGTGGTTTTGACTAGACAGGAATGCTCGTTCTAAACTCTGGAGTTACTTTTCGGGGTTTCATATCCTAGATAGGAGAGTGCATTTTTGTATGCAAAGTACACAAAAATCCTTAAGCAATATATATATGTGAACACATGTACGGAGTAGTGGTTCCTCATGCCCGATGATTATCTTTACTTTATATCCCTGTCAAGTATTGATAATAATATCAAGATCAACAAGGCGCTCACTCAAGCCTTGATTCTTGCCTATAACCCCCTGTCCATCTGTCCACAAGGCTGAATTAACTTCCCTATTATGGGAGGAGATGAGGTCAGTGGTCAGCTTCACCGCATATCCGAGAAATGCCAATGGTCCTAGGCTGAAAGCAGTTCATCTAAATCAGACTTATGTATATCTATACAAAGTATAAACATATGAGCATTGTATATAAGAGTACATATTATCCTACTGTTGTACTGGGTGTCCACAACTTTGGACACAATACAACCCCGCCCTGCCTGAGGCTCCCAATTCTGCGTCACTCTCCACTTTTAAGCTCCAGAGTGGGTTAAAAGAGTATGAAACGGAGTACAGAACTCCTAGATCAGAGATTTGGATTAAAGATTTGCAGTATAAAGTATATCGAAATCGGTAAATCGGCAAGTTTGTAAATCTATAAATCTATAAATCTGTAAATCTGTAAATCTGTAAATCTGTAAATCTGTAAATCTGCAAATCTGCAAATCTGCAAATCCATAAACGAATGAAATTGATATGCAAGAACACATGATTGTATGGTCATCTGGTGCCCCGTTAAATTAAGAGCCCCGGGTTATGTCGCTTAAACCGTTATAGGAGTTAGTAGTGTGATTGTGATTGCCTGTGATCATTGCCCGGGTTAAAATTAAAGAGAATTTAATTACTAGATCATACCTTATACGTTGCATCTGACAGAAGAACGTGCCCAATTTCCCCCGGGTTTTCCCTTATACATAGTGCATAGCTATATATAAACCCAGGATAAATGCAATGGTAACAATAAGCCTCAACTTTGGATTATACAAGAGAAATACTATAATGAAATATATAACCAACATTTGAAAAAAAAAACGCAGGAAAAAGAACTAAAAAAAGAAGGAAAAAAAACGGGCGAATTACATTAATTACCCAATGTAAGCTGAGCCCGTACATGTTTCTTACATTTCTTACCCTCCCTCTGGCCATCTCCACTCCCCCAGCATGACGATGGTCGCACTGACACACTATTCTCTCTCTCTCCCTCTCTCTGATTCTTTAAACTCTTGACACTTTTATTACCCTTACTAGACTCTTATTCTTTATTACTCTTTAAAATCTTTTTAACGTCTTCGAAGTCATCCCTGATTCTCCGCATTTATCCTCTCCCGCCTCCCCCCGTCCCAACCGCTATACCCGAACTCAACGACTCTCCTTCCTGAACTGGTCGCAACTCCTTCAACCTCAGCCTTACCTCAACCTTTCGCTAGAGCTTGATATAATCTCAACCTAAATCCCATTGGATTGGGCACCGATCTCACTTGTCGTCCATTTCCAC